TGCATCGTTGCACGTCCTCACGGTGCATGCCTCCGTATCATCAAACATACAATTCCATTGGCCGATAATCTCCGATAAAGCTTTGAACATTCGTTCGCCTACTAATGACCATCCGCGTACAATAACGTGCTTTTCTTTAAGTCTCTCAAATCCTAAAGAACGTAACGCCTCATTAGTGCCCGCTGACATGGAAACGAAATCGAGCGTAATAAGTCTGGCGTATTTAGATTGCTCGCACCCATGATGTACGAGACTCATATAGTAACCGCGCATTAATGAAATTCCGCGAGTAGCAAAATAACCCGTGTATTGTCCGCTGATTTACTACAACGACAACGACAACAAGAAGAGAAATAACGAACGGCCTGGTAACCCTAAAACATCAGGCGTGCCGGCGTGGCTGGAGACTTTGAAGCGAAGTACGAGGAAAAAAAGCCACGAACACAGAGCGCAAACGCGTCATGTAAAATCGTTATTACGGCTGCTGCGGACCCACGTCGTCATCGTCGTCGTCGTCGTCGTCGAGAGAGAAACTATTTCAGATATTCCATACGCGTTCCTTCTCTCCTTTAATTAGATGTGCTTCCTCGACCCTGACCGTCCTTATCTCTGAGCCTCTCGCGAAAACGATGCTCGGCTAAATTGATAGCACGGCAGTTTTACTGATTAATCACCGTTGTGAAAACCTCGCGAATGGGAATTATTTTTGAAAGGCTCATATCCACGTGAATAAACTTCAATCGCCAAATGTCGATGCGTTCGCGCGAGTGAAATCGAAATAAATACACTGCTCACTCAGCTTTCAATAGCATCTCGCGTCACCGAAATAATACCCATTTATTGGAAAATATCTCTTTTTCCGTAATGAATACTATTCTGAAGATAATAAATGTCACTGCCACGCAGAGAAATAACCAGTCGGATTAGTATATCAGATGAATATAACTGCAGGGTTATAGCGTACGTTGACATTTCAATTTTAAAGCCAAGACGAGAGCAATCTTTCTTTCCTTTTATGTAATCTCACTAGCACCAGGCTCTTTAAAAAACTAGACCGTCCTCAGTCACAATTATTCATCCTCTGATAACATTCACTGATTTTAATCACTTCCGTAGAAAATCGCGTCTTCGCGAAGTCAAAAGTAATTTTCATCAGATGGCCCTTAGGTTTTTCCCGCCTTCGTTTCTCGAGTAGCGTTCTGTGAAAAATCCTTTACACACACATTTACACCGACGTTGAGAGAGAAAGAAGATCGTCCTACCCCCCAAATTTTGCCGTAGCATTGTGTGTGTGTGTCTCTCTCTCTCTCTCTCTCTCTCGTCCGTCGGTCCGTACTTGGGCGTTTGCGGGGCGCGCGTGAGAGAAAGTGGGTCGCTCGATAATCGTCCGATTTGCCGAGGTTATTTCGGAGCGCGGAATTCATTAGCCCGATTCGTCTTGCCTTCCGCCTTTTTACTCTCTCTCTCTCTCTTCTCTCTCTCTCTCTCTCTCTCTCTCTCTCTCTCTCTCTCTCTCGCTCTCTCTCTATCCCTCCCTCCCTCCTTCCCTCCCCCTCTCTCCTCCCCCCTCTCTCTGTCTCTTTATCTCTCGTTCTCTGCAAGAAAAACAAAGCTCCAATCGCATAACTTCGTTCTTGCACCTTTATGCGAGCTTTGATTGCTTGAGGATAAATAAGAGATTTTTATTTTGAAGAAAAACCGAGGTACAACGATAAATTAGAGAAGGAGAGAGGACGTTACACATAAAGCACGCCAGTTTGCTTTTGAGAGAGCGAGTGGAGCCCGCATAAATCCCGCGCGAAATGCCGACGGACGTGTTCCGTTCAATTGATCACCTACCGACTCGTCCGGAGTAACCACACACTGCTTAATGACAAAAAATCACTTCCGAACCCCCTTTCTCTGTCATTGTATCCTTTCTCTCTCTCTCTCTCTCTCTCTTTTTCTTTCTCTCTCTTTTTCTCTGCTTGCTTGTGGCCTTTCACCAATATAAATAAATCTAACTACGACATATTTATGAAGATGTCATCTAATTCTATTTGTGAGCTACAATCATTGAGTATCTGAATGATAAATAATTATTAATGCCACATTGTTCTTCCTTTTTTCTTCAGTAAAGTATAATCTCAAACTGATTCGTATTATTTGCCAAGTAAATCGTCATCTCGTAATACTAAAAATACCGTAAATCGCAAGTACTCTCAAAGTCCATAATCTCTAATTGTCGTTGATTATAACCGTCCATAATTCGTAATGATTTATTTCTCAAAATATATTGCAATAGGAAATCCTGGAAATGTTGTTTTCGAACAATATCTCGATTACACCCTAACAAACGGTCCAAGCAGTTATCGTTTCCATCAAGCACCTCTTTGAGCTACACATCAAAAGAGCCTCTTTCTCCCACCCTCTCTGTCGTTCGCTCTTACTCCCTCTCTCGGCAGTAGGTGCAGTGGTATACAGTACAGTCTGATATTGGCCTCCCGCCTCCTGGTAATAGCCCACGCAATTCATACGTCATTGCCATTGAACGAAATGCAGCTGCTCTATCCATAAACCGATAGACGTGTGAACACAAAGTAAAAAGGATATATAAATTATGGCTCGTCTGAATAAAATCGAGAGCTGGTAAATGAAAGTGTCGTCGCACCTTGTGAGTTTTAAAGCGGCGATCGATATCGGGACGATGAACTTTCGATGACTCGCTCATTTTTCAACGCGAGACGCGGTGCTCAATTAGTTCACTCGTGCGACGTGTCCGACCAAAGGCGGAGCTCTACTACTTCGTCTCGGCGTGATTCTCACTGGGGAGTCGGCGTACGAGCTTCCATTCCTTGTTTTCTTCCCGAGGGAATGTACACGTATTCCGTTCGATTTTCCGTAGCTACATCAGGCCGTTAGGTTTGAAATTTCAGTCGCACGTTGTTATTCCGACGAGATAATTGCGAACCGAACTGCACACTAAACGCCGTGAAAGCGTAGCTTAGTGATTCGAAAGCGCTAGTTTAGGTTTTAGGCAAAGGAGCCTTGTTAAGGAGATCATGTAATTAGCTGAGTAAATAGGTCGAAGATGTATATTTTACCGCAGGGATAGTAGAAGAGAGAGAGGGAGAGACAGGGAAAGAGAGCGAGAGAGACAGAGAGAGACAGTTCAACACGCATCGAGCAACGACGGCGAACCATCGCGGTGATATAATTTAGTTGGAAAACCAACAGGCTCTTATTTTAAATCAACCCTCCATTACCTATCTCTTAGACAGCATCGGCAGGATCTACATGTGTCAGCACATGCAATGATTATTTATACAAACATGTTTGATTTCTTTTATAGCGCGGCCTTGTATCTGACATCAACATACATAGCGTGCGGTTCTCGTAGGTGGCTGCCTGTGGGAAACTGCGAGTGGAAAAAGATTTTTTTTTATTTACCTATCACCTCTTTCTCTCTCTCTCTCTCTCTCTCTCTCTCTTTCGCTCTCTCTCTCTCTCTATCTATCTTTCCTCCCCTATTCTCTCTCTCTCACACTCTCTTCACCTAACTTTCTGTCTCTGTCCCTCTCATTCGCTTTCTCTACTCTACACTCTGTCTTTCTCTTTATCACTCTATATCCAACCTAACCCTATCAGTCTCTCTACACCTCACTATTATTTTACGTTCGCTATGTGCCTACATACGAGCCTGCACTTCATGTTTGTATTTCTTTTTATTTTGGTTCTTCTGTTCGTTGCGTTTTTTGGGCATATAAGCGTGCAGTATATACACGTATACGTATATTTAGCAAGTGTGTATATATATACATCCTTATGCATTTCGTGTCTCCGACAAAATGCGCTCCACCGAGCGCATATTGCGCGCGCATCTTCATACAAAAGCTTCATTTTTCTATTTCGTCCCTTTCTCTAAACCGATGACTTTCCGGTGCTGTGCGTGCCAATTTTCAATATGAATATTAACAAAGTCCACGACGCAACAGTAAAAAATATGTCGAGAGAGAAAAAAAGGGAAAACAAGCTTTTGTAGCGCAGCAGCTATCGGAGGCGCGAAGTAACAAATAAAGTCTCGATCTATCGGGGGAAAAGCTCGCCGATGAACCTTTGAACGACATTGACTTTGACTTGGCCAGACGCTAAGACTCTTGCTTGCTAGCGCCCCGGCCCCGGAAGCTAAAGTGCCATCAGACACTTTCTCCGATAATTCGTGCTGATGGGCTAAATGAGAAAGAAAGAGAGGGAGAGAGAAAGAGAGAGAGAGAGAGAGAGAGAGAGAGAGAGAGAGAGAGAGAGAGAGAGTGACGGAAAAGGCCAAAGTAGGGACTGGCTGCTGACCTTCCCCGATAGAGACGAGCGACGCTCCCACAGCACGTGCAGTAGTAGACTGATCAATGCCTTGCGATTCTGTGCGGTATCGGGAAAATTTGTTTTGATTTTTCTGTTTTTTTTTGTTCGCCCAATGGTATTTTTAGCGCCATGTTGTGAGAACGAAACGGCAAAAATTTGAATTAGAAACCGTCTCTTCCTTTATCACGTTTTTCTTATCTTTCACACTTGTATATCAAAGACAATCGAAGAGATGGTTACTGTGAATGTATGTTTATTGAGTAAAACCTAAACAAGACATTGACAAATTCACTGTGTTGGTTTCACGTTGGCTTTAGCTACACACACTATAATAAACCTTGAGCGAGTGCATTAGAGATGGATTGATAAATCCACGCCAGTTGAGACAGAACAGGAGACCTACAAAAAGGACTGTGTTGACGTCCGATCTGTTTGTCTCACGTTCGCGCCCTCGAGGTTTGTTTTGAATATGCATTTGTGACACGACTGAACCACAATACACTGGAGCTGTGCCACGATCATTGCTCACTTACGTAACAGACAACAACAAAATAAAATAACGAAACACAATGTATGATTATTGAACCAAGCGAACGACTTGCTCGGTTTTTTCTTCATCGTTGTTCTTTGTGTGTTTTTGCGGCCGTTGCGGCCCCCGGCAGGTGGACCTCAGGCATATGGATGAGAAGACTGGAAGTAACGTCGTCGACGTTGGCGTTGATCTATCCGAGTTCTACATGTCTGTCGAGTGGGACATTCTCGAGGTTCCGGCGGTTAGGTGAGTGTCTCGAAATGAAACGCCATCCGCATGCAGATGCGGGATCGTTTATTCGCGCCGCGCAGACTTTTATTTTTCGTGCCAGGTAATTAAATCAACACGGGTAAGCTAGTTAGTTGAAGTATAACGCGCGGCTCGAAGTTAAAAGCCACTTTTTTAATTCCTTCGGGCAAGCTGGCTTGTTTTCTGTTTATTTTCAGAGACACGAATTCGGCGGCTTTCAACTTTCCTTCGCTCGCGCTCCCTAAGCAAATTTAATCTTCGAAAAGAAGAGAGCGGCGCGCTAATGAATTTTAACGACAATAAACGCGGCGCCAACAAACGGTAAATTTATGTCCCATCGAGGAAACGAACTTTGCTCCTGTTTCCGTTGCAGGAACGAAAAGTTTTACACGTGCTGCGACGAGCCTTACCTGGACATCACGTTCAACATAACAATGCGTCGGAAAACGCTTTTCTACACGGTCAACATCATTATTCCCTGCATGGGCATATCCTTTCTCACGGTGCTTACCTTCTACCTTCCCAGCGATAGCGGAGAGAAGGTGAGTTTATAAAAATTCATAACGACAATATTTTTCCGAGGGGCACGCACAGCCGTCCACTGACTCTCGCTCACTCGGCTGCAGTCTCCTCCGCTCGCTCGTAACTCGAGCCCGTGCTCGCTTTCAATTATTCATCCACAAAGTCAACTCCCTCCGACCGTGAAAATCCCTCGGAAATAATATAACGGACAGCCGCGCGGGCATCCGATACGCGCGGGCGTCGCGTCCGCGCCTGATTTATTACGCCGGCACTTCCGATTGACCAAATTTTATCGTAAGCAAGACTTTAGCCGCGCGCCAAGCTATAAATAAAATGAATCGTCATGCGAATAAAAACGCAATGTATATACGTACGTATAAAAAGGCCAATCAAATCATCTCACCGAATAAAGGGGGAGGGGAATGCGTTTGAAAGGCTGTTTAGCTGTGTGGCGAGTGGCCGCGCGAGACCAGAGACCCGTTGAATTTTTTAACGCGTAAATGCGACGGAGCTACAAAAAGCAATTCCTGGCGCTTTCCCATGGTTTGCCAATTAATAGCCTTCTCTTCCAACGGCTGCGCCAAATTATGGCTATCGCCCGCGAAAAGTGATCCATGCAATTTCGATTTTATGGAATAATCCGTTCAAGTTCGATCTAGCAAAAACATTCAATATATTAGTCCGAATGCGAGTTTCTTTTTTTTCCTCGCCAAAGTAGGGAAGCTCCGAGTGATAAATAAAAACCGCAACAACACTGATAAATCCTCCTCGTGTTTAATTATTTCATGCGATACATTTACTATGACGGTTAATTTATTCATTCTGAAAGCCGTAGTTTGAATGTTCTGAAGAAGATTAATTATGTCAATACCGAAAAAGCATGCAAGAAACAAGTCCGTCCCATCTCGTGGCTCATTCAATATTCAAGCGGGACAGAATAAGAGGAAAGAATCCCCACCAGCAGATCTCAACATTAAATTTTCAAATCGCAACGCACGCCACACTTGAAAGTACGTGGCACCCAACTTGGGGCACCTTTTATCTCGAGCTTAAATCATAAAAAGCCACAGGCAATTTCAAGCTGCTCTCTCAAAATTCTCCGAGCGTTTTCTTTTTTTAGCACGCGGCTGCTCCTTCCTCCCGCGTTTAAAGGTGCCTCGTTAATTAGCGCCGAGTGCAAAAAACTATCCGCCACGATTAATTTTCAGCTGCCTGTATAGGCCAGTGGGAACGTTGTGTAAGACGCTCGTCAAATTGTAGTTTCGCGAGGCGACGCTTTTAGCGAATGCTCTCGAATATGAAATTGCCACTTTCGCGAAAGCCGGCAATGGGCAGAAAAGTCAAACTCGTGCATCCTCTTGCTCGAGCGCGCGAATCAGTCAAAACGCCACTTTCATACCAAACACATGCAGACGCGCGCGTCTGCGTCGATCCATCACACTTGAGACGCGCGGAGGTTTGCCGAGGCGGGTTATTTATAAATTTGCGCTCCGTCGGGCTGATTGTTCCTTCCAAGGACGCGAGACAGCTCTTCAGGATGGATAATCGACAACACAATGCACTCTGCCCCGGCTGAAGCGAGAGAGAAAGAGAGTACTCGTCGATCATTGGCTTGGCGAGCGCGAGAGCGCCAATCGATAAGCAATATCCCGCGCGGAATTTTTCAGACGCCAAAGTGCAGCCGTCAAGCGCCACTCTTCGCCTCCCTCTCTGCCCTCGCGAGCTTCTGCTCGGCCTCCTCTCGCGGCTGCTCTCTCGCGGAGCTGCCGACTCGGGTTTCCTTTTAATTTGGCCTGCGCGCGAGCGGGCAAACTCGCGGAAGCGCCCGCGTGGATTCCTAATTGGAGAGCTCGAGGCACGCGCGCACCCGTGGCGCTCGAGGCGCGATATTGCCCCCGCGAGCCGGCCGACTGCAGTGCGCGCTCGGCCGACGACCGAAATGCAGCTCCGCGCGCCCGCGCCGGTGGGCCGCACGCCAATAGAGCTGGGCTAGCCGCACGGCGGCCGCGCATTAATTGCCGGGATCAGCCGCGTCTCGAGACGTCGGCCGACCGCAGCCGACGCACGCGCCTCGTGCGTGCGGCGCAGGCCTGCTGATCGCGGAAATCCTGACGGACGGCCGAGCGCCGCTGATCGATGCGTGCCGCGCGCAGCTCGCCGGAATTAATTGGCGCCGGGGCCGGCCGGCCGGGGGAAAACAATTTCCGCGCGCTCGCCCGCGTTCGATCTCCAATTGGGGCTTGGCGACCGCGGACTGGCAGCGACAGCGGCGAGGCACCTCGGCGACGAGAAACAGAGCCGCGCCCGGGAAATCGCGAAAGAGGGCCAGCGCAAAACCGATGCGCGGACTATCGATCGCGGACTATCGACCCGTCGGCTCGCGCCGGCAATCGAGCCGCGTTAACAACCTGCCCGGCGGAGCCAGATGCATCGCCGGGCTCGAGTTCGATGCGCGTGCAACGTCGCCGTCGGCAGCGCACAGAGCCCGGCGACCGAGGCCTGCCCTACGAGGCGCCAGCGAGAAAGAAGCCAGTCGAGCCTCTGACGCGTGTGTACTTTGCAGGTGACGCTCTCCATCTCGATCCTCATCAGTCTGCACGTGTTCTTCCTGCTGGTCGTCGAGATTATACCGCCCACGTCGCTGGTCGTGCCGCTGCTCGGCAAGTACCTCATTTTCGCCATGATCCTCGTCTCCATCAGGTGAGTCCACTGCCGCCTGGTCCCGTGAGCCGCTCGCTGAAGTCAATTTGGAGGCTGCCCCATCGGGCCCCGTTTCCCGCGCACAGCCGACCGCAAGGCGAGCTCGCGTTAGGCGCGTAACGAGGCTGGCTTTCGATCAGCGAGAGCAGAGAGAGCAGGAGCCCGGCACCGCGGAGATTAATGGGCGCGCCAGCGACGGACTGCGCTGCTGTCGCGAAGTCAGAATGAACGAGCGCTTGCCCGGGCGTTGCCTGCACTTGTGCGCTCGAGGCGCGTGCAGCCGAGGGCCGCCCGTCGCGAGCTCGCTCTGCTCCAGCGCAGCTTTCTTGCGACGGCTCGGTCGTTGAGTGCGGGATGCCCTCCAACGGAGGGAAGCAGATATGCACGTCGAATATCCGAGCGATTTGCGGCGCGAATCGAAACTCGCGCCCGAAGCCGCGTTCGCCAGAGCGGCCGTTCGCTGTTGCCGGCCGCCAGGCAGAGCTCAATTTAAATGCAGAATATGTTTAGCCGCAACTCTCTCGACGTTCAATTTGATTGCGCTCGCAGCGGAGGCGCTCGGGCAGCGCTTTACAAATGGAACTCGCATGACGGTTGTTTTGGGGAATGATATATATCCGGCGCTGGTAAAACTTTGCTTTTGCGAACTGAAACTGCGCGAGTGTCGTTTATCACCGAGGCGTCGCGCGAAAGCGAATTCCAGTAATCTCTCGCTCCGCGTCGACTCTCGGCAAATACCGGCAAAAATAGCCGAGGCGGCGAGTTGCAATGGTTTATACATTGTAGCAACAGACGAAGATCTGGGTTATCTGCCAGGGAAAATAGCCCATCTAGTATCGATTATATAGGCAGCCGAGGGCGGCCACGTCTTGATCGAACAGAAGCTGTGGGCGCGCGCGCGCGCGAGAGAGAGAGAGAGAGCCAAGTTGCGATGGAGTGCCATTAAAGGGAGGCAGGAGAGGAGATGCCAATCGTCGCGGCAGACGTCGAATCAGTGACGGGAGCTTTCAACGACGCTAGATACTCGCCTTCATGGATACACGTACAGGCTAAACAAAGAACACATCGTCCTTTTTTTTATTTCAGTTTCAGGCGCGAATACGTATTGAAAACTGTTGCCATTACCTTTTATTTTGGGTTATCCGACTTTGTTCGACTGCTTAGTTTTCGCATAAATTACGCTGCTTCGATGAGTGCCAGCGAAAAAGTAAGCAAACCGAGCGCATCGATGCTCAGCGCATACCATGACTTTTGCGATTAAACGGTTTTCTACAGTTCTACACTAATAATGCTAATGATAATGAGCCTACTTCGCAAAAGAAGACTGGATTCGTATAGTTTATTGTGATATTTTTTTACAAATATAGATGGAAATTACATGAAATTACGGTTTCTAAATGTACCATTAAAGGCATACTTAATAATTTTTGATTTCGAAATGTTGAAAATTTTTGTTGAAATCTTGAAAGTAAATTCGATCATTGATAAAAATTCTACAGAATTACTGTATAAATTAACGTTGGAGAGAACTGCCACTAGTTTTTTTTTAAATGACTCGTGCTCTTTTCAAACTAAGATGGTTTCAGAGATAAATAATAATTATGATAAATAACCGAGGCATGATTCCAAAACTAATTTAAAATTCGTAATGTGTAATTATTCAAAAAATATCAGATACACATATATTAGGCACAGAAATTTTACTGACCAACATTACAAACGTCCATTTTTCGAAAAATTGAAAAAAAATACGATAAATCCATTTGTGAATGCCAAGCGCTATAATGGAAACAAAGTGCCAATGAATTGCAGCACTTTCCGATAACAGTGAGGAGGGGGTGGCGGTAATAGTGATGGAATTTGAGTAGCTACTAACGAAGTGGAAGAAACCGTAAAATCTAATCCAGCAACGCTGGCGCTTCACTTACATTTGACTTGGTAAGAATCACTTGTCGCGCGGCGTCGTATCGTTAACCGCCGAAAGTAATCTCCTCTCCGCGTATCTCTTCTCGACAATATAGGAATTTTAACGAATACCCTAGGGAAAAGTTGTCGCACGAAGCTATACATCAGCCAGGAGCGACAGCTGCTGCTGGCTTCTTTGTCTCAATAAACGAGGGAGAAACTTGCGTCGGGAGTAAAACAGCAAAAGTTGGCGAAATCTCGTTCCGGCCCAATAAAAGCGAGGGAAAAGCAGCACTGTGACCCGCTGACCCGGATGAAGAAAGAGAGAGAGAGAGAGAGAGAGAGAGAGAGACACTCTCCTGCTCCCTCGACCGCCAGAAATTTTTATCTCGATGCTAGCGGCGTCGTCGACGTCGCTGTACAGCTATTGACTTTGCGCACTCCGCGAGAAGGGGAGAAAAGGCTGCGCGTGCACCGCCAGGAATTAAAGTAGTGCGCTCTACTTTTTCCTCGTTACACTCGCTCCGCTCGCGCGCAGGTTTAAAAATCTACTACACGTTTTTCGAATTCTCGTTAATCTTGTAAATATACACGCCGCGAGCTCGTACTCGCGCTTCTCTTCTGCGTCGAAATGCAGTCGGGAATTAATAATTCAACGCGCATGTCAAAGACTGACTCTTCACGCACTTGTATAATTACAAGCGCGTGTGTAAATTACACGCGACTATTTTAATTACGAGCTCGTGCCACGCATCGGACAAATTTATCGAACGCGCGTACAACGTATTCGATAAAGGCGGCCAACGAATTTATCTACGCGCGCCGATTTACAATATCGCGCGCAAAATAAAATTACGCGCTGTATTTGATCGAACGATGAAAACCCAAGCTCGGCATCGCCTAATAAGGGACAACACAACAACGGCGAATTCCAAGCTCGCAAAAGAGGAGCGCGCATAAAGTGCGAGAGCTGAGCACGTAATTACGAGTGTAACGCCGTGCACACGTGTGAGCGGCCCATTGTTCGCTTCACTTTTTGTTCCGTCCGTAAACATAGCAGCGACAGCGGCGCGATAAAAAACTGCTCTTTACACCTTCACTTATTGTCGTCGGCCGATCGACTAGCAATTATCCCTATTACCCAGGCTGCCTCCGCGTTTAGATTGGAAATGTTCCCCGGCATGAGAGTTTTTTTTCGACTTCATGCAACTGCCGGCACCCGCGGGCCATTTTTTCTGCTCATTTTGCGAAATCCTCACCGCATCTATCTCACTTTTTTGCGCCTTCGCCAAAGCCCGCGACGCCCGACGTCGGCTAGCTTTTTATGCAGGATCTCTCGCGGTTGGCTCATCACCCGCTTCTTTTCACGAAGCAGAGTTATCGTGGAGTCGACTAATTTTCCGCGTTATAACGACTCTTTCTATTCTACCTTTGCATCTGTAGAAAGGACTTTGCTTTGAAATCGTGCCCTTTTATCGTCTGATCAATTAGCATCAGAAAATTAATGTACGGTTACGATACTTTACAACTGAAAAGTAAACCTCGCAAGCTTCCAGACCGTAAAGCACGTAAACATTTCGAAACACATTTGTCTTTTAATTTTAAGTGAGTAATCCAATTTTCACGCTCGCAACCTCGGGGAAGCTAATGTTTTTCTGCCAGCATCAAATCTTTTATCAGATTTTCAAACTTGAATTTTTCACGTCCGACGAGCTCTCAGATAAAAAATAAAATGTCAGCCACGCCGAAAAGAAACGTTAGTTTGCGCGCTGAAAAAGTATCAACGATAACAAACTCAAACATTTTTCGAATTTACTGGAGTGCATGAGAAAAGATAGAGTTGCTGTTCCTACTCTGAGAATTTTTATAAAAGATTAGGCGGCGACGAGGTTAAATTTAATTGACAAAACAGTATAGGCGAAATAATCGATATTCTTTCTTTAAAATTAAACGATATTGAAATACATGGAATATTTCATCACTTGAAATTTGTGTTAAATCTACAAAGCTCTCTCTCTCTCTCTCTCTCTTTCTCTCTCCCTCTCGAATCATAATTATGTTTCCCTGCTTACTGAGAGTAATTAACTAACTCACCGGAGCAATTCGAAATTCTCGACAAGAAAAGCTTCCTCCTCGTCACTATCACCATAATTAGCCCGAGGACATTTTTATTCCCCCTCGTAAAGTTTGGCTTTTACGACGAACCTTCTTCGTTCGCTTTACTTTCTCCGCAGTGGATATCTTTTCTTTCTCTCTCTCTCTCTCTCTCTCTCTTTCTCTTTCTCGTCGTCGGCGCTTCGACATAACTCGAGCTCTTATCATTATCGAATACGTACACGCGGGTTCACGGCAGAGGGAAATAGACGTCAAAGCGTATTTCGCATGAAATTAGCTTGGAGACCGCGGAGATAATTTAAACATTAAACGCACGACCGCAGTCCGAGGCAGTCTTTAAAGCCGCGCAGCTATCCAGACGTTAAATAAACTCGAGGGTGGAGACTATACATGCGCTCGTAAAGCGCGCGACGCCCGCTGAAAAATCACGGCTTCTATTTCCTTCTTTCTCTCACTCTTTCTCTCTCTCCCTCTCTCTCTCTCTCTCTCTCTCTCTCGCTCTATGGCTCATTGTGATTTCGTCTCGCGGTGAGTGAATGACGCAGCGGATCGTATTATACCGCAGATGCGCTTTTATTGCCAAGGATGATCGATGAGATTCTACTCGTCGATGCTTCGCCTCCGTTTCTAGTAGTTTTCCCTTCGTCGCATTCAGCGAGAGCGCTCGGATTTTTCTGACAAATCGCATCTTGGCTCGATAATAAACACATTTAATTAAGTGAATTCCCTTCTGCGATTGACATACTCGTGATGCATTCCGTTGGGCAACGAAAAAATCCGAATTCGATCTAAAAGCAAATCTCATTCTCCCCTCTTTCACTCGATTTGGCGTCCAACAGCAGGTGCCGCGAGATTAAATTAAAATGCTGTCTCCTCGCAGAAATAAAAATGGTGTATTCAATTTTCCCAGAATTCCATCGCGCTATATAGCTTCAACCTCGATTATTGTGCGCTGCTGTTCCAGGAAAAATATTCATCGCTCGAACTCCATTTTGAAATCCATCGCTAATTAAAATTGATACACCTGACTAAATTACCAGCAAATCTGCCAATTTATTCCTTGAATCATCTGATCATCTTATACACCTAGAGCAGTCGAGAGAAAGAGAGAGAAACCGAGAGGTACAATAGAACAAAACCCAATTCAATCCGTGAGAACATTTCGATGTCGTTTTTGATTATTCTCGGCTGCCTTGAAAGCGCTAAGGAAATTTCCGAGTATATATTCAGTTTACGTAGTCAATAGAACTAATCGCCGAAACAGACTTGTGCAAACAGAACGACGACGACTAAGTCCTCAGCTCTTGGGCAAACTCGGTGGCGCGCGTTTCGCGGCTAATTTGCCAAGACGATTCGCAGCTCTGCGTGTGACTTTTAACGCCGCCGAAACATTTTTTTGTTCTTCCTTCGTTGGTTGGCGCCTCGCGCGCTCTCCCCTCAAGCCTGACTTGCTCAGTTTCGAAACTCTTTTTCTCGCGAATAATCTGCAAACTCGGCTCACTTTCCTATCGATCTAATTGCAAGAGCTACGATTCTCCGTGTAATCGCAAACGATGTGGGCGCACACTTGCTCACGTGCGCGGACAGTCTCGACGGACTGTCGCGAAGGAAATGAAGAGGAGCAGCTCCCGCGAGAGAAGGAGGCGAGTTGGCTTTGACTTTTATCGTTTGGCACGCTCTTGTAATTTCGCGAGATGCCACCCATGCAGCGCGCATTGTCGTCTTCGCTGCGTCGACGGAATAATAATAATAAAGGAAAGCGTAGAAGAAGCAGCAGAAGAAGCGGCAGCTCGCGTATCTTTCAAAAGCCGAACGTGACCTCGGCCAAAGCTCCCTCCATACATCACCACCATTGCCGCTGAGGTACTTTATTTTTTTCCACGACAAGCTAGAAAGTGCCATGGCAAAGGGAGAAAGGGTTTAGCGCACAAACGCGCGACACTGTGTTGCACTGTATACGGGCAAAACCATGCGGTAATCCTCAAAAGGGCCTCCCCGATCACTCAGCTTCTTTTTTTTCCCTTTTGTTGGTACTGCGAAAAAGCCAAGCTCTTCTTGTTGTTTCTTTAGTTTTATTTTCTTTTTTTTTTTTTTTGCACGGCTACTTCTTTACTTCTTTTGCCGGACGTTGGCTGTCGAAGTACATCCTACTTTATTGCGTTATAAATAAACTTTTGTTTTTCTACTTTCTCGTCTTCGACACCTTCATGTAACAAATATGACGTTTAACAAATTCGGTATTATACGCATGACACGGAGAATGAAAAAGTCATAGTAATTGACAATACACCAAATCCGATTAATTAAGTCATGCCAAGATGTCACGTGCTTGCGTGTTTACTGTCGTGGGCAGTTCCCGCGAAATGAAGTCGACGAAGATAAAGAAACGAAGAAGTAACTCATTTTACGATCGAGAGCTCTAAAATATTATCAAGGCTAGACAACAGTAATCGAGCATTTGACTGGGCGAGAGAGAGAGAGGCTTTCCTTCTTAACTTCCAGCAGAACTATAAAATATCTAATGCCGGTACTTGGCAACAAAATAAATCCGTACGCAAGGCGCTCGCGCGAGAAGAAAGAGAGAACTTGCGAAAAAATCACATTCATCTGTGAGCACGTGCAGCAACGTCACACAGGCCGTAAAAAAAAACAAAAAAATCCTGCCGGCCAATAAAAAGTTGATAAAGCGTCCTAACGTGCACTGACCTATTCCGCAGCCACCGCCTCCTCTTCCCACCCTTCCCTCCACGTCGTTCACAGTAAATCGCGCTGAACTAACGCTTTGATGTAATTAATGATCCCTCCCATTTTTTTTTCTTTGTATTTTTTTTGTTATTGCTATTAATTGTTATCGTTGCCCCGCTCAAGGAAATATTATCGCGTAGCTAATTAATCGCACGCGAGAAAGAGCAAAATTAGATGTATCCTATATGTATCGCCGGGGCAGAGAATCGTATTAGCCGCGCTGACCGATTCATTCTTATGCATGGATTTTCCGCGAGTACGCCTCGCTGTAGCACGCCAAGAAATATTAGCACTTGGCGGCGGATTTGCATTTTCAGAAGCCATCGTGGTTGAAATCGATCGGCACACGCCCGACGAGATAAAAAAGAAAAAGAGTAAAGAAAGAAGAGCAGCGTATAGATCATTGGGAATTTAATGGCCGACTATAATCTCAGTAGTACTACTGTGATTCAGAGGCCAATGTGCTTCGTCGGGCAGATAAGCTTCTCTCAGCACCGATCGAGGAGGGCCATTTTTTTCATCGGAGAGTTTGACGTTCGAGAGCGTTATTTTTTCGATCTGGATCGCGCTGATCAGAACTTTCAGGAAGAGTCGTGAAAGTACTAAGCGGGCCTGCCAGTTTTTATTTCACAGATAAGGCTGCTCGCATCAACGCGTATCTCCAGATGAATTACCGGAGAGCGGCGCGACGAAATGTCCGGTACACAATAAAGCTGCCCCAGTTAAAAATCTCGCGCGAAGAAAGTCGAAAATGGCGAAGGATGGCATTAGAAGATAAAGAAGCCAGATAGTTGCGAGGCAAAAGAATCGAAGTGGATGCTGAAAGGGTCGCTCGGCGATAAAGCGATTAAGACCATTGGAGAGAGCTGGAAAAAAAGCCTTCGATTACGAGCAAACGAGCGTTCGAACGTGAATTTGAATAGCGAGCTCGCAGCGCGCCATACTCTTCATACAAATCGCGCGCGGCGCAACGCTGAATATTCAGCAGTGGACGTTCATCTCTTCCAGCGAGCGGAGAGAAAAAAGTAAAGGTGCGAAAAAGAAAAGAAAAATCGAATATGCAAATTGGAAGCGTCGAGCGTATTGTTTACGAAGTCAGCCGGGCGTTAAGAAGTTCCGATTGCCGTTGGAAGCCCTTTGACGAAACTTTGCCGGAACTTTGCATTCGCCGCGAGGGAGTTGTGTGTGTGCGTGCGCTCGCCGAGATATCCCGTTCGCGCGGGCTCGCAGCAGCGGAGGAGGATTCTCCCGGCGGACAATTGGGTCGTTAAAAAAACGGTTATCGCTTGTTTAGAGAAAAAGCTTTTTAGATCATAGTTTCCAGACCGTTTGCCTCTGATACTTATGGCACCGAGGAAGCTGCAGCTACGTCCTATGAATATCAAATCACCTTGTATGCGTACGCGCGTATAATGCGGGCTGCGTTATCCGTGGCGCCCCGGCAAACATCATCCGCGCCGTCCTCCAAAGCACATTATCAATAGCTATTATTGCTGGATAATGCCTTATAAAATTTTTATTACGCGCTTCACGATACACGCGTTTGCATTGATTACTACCTGCGCGCCCCGCCTTTATTGCTTTATCATTATCCCACGGCCTTTTTTTTCCCTCGTCGAATAAGCCCTTAATGCATAACTTATAACGTCGTTCATTGTTTCTGAATTCACTCGATCAAACTTGAAAACAAAAAAGCCAAAATGAATATCGATCGCTGCTGCTCTCACTGGCGCAAGCTTAGTTGCAATCAATACTTTGAAAATTATTGAACACGCCAGACCCCGACAAATGAATCAGTTATGCAGATGACTGCTGAATAGATTTCCTTCTCAATTATCAATGTCTTTGGTGCTCTGGCATCTAATTGAATTATGAATTTATATAACCTCGCGGATAATAATTCGGTCGTTCATGACGCGTTGTCCGTTGCAAAAAATTCAATTCCGGCATTATCCGTCAAACTTGACAACTGAAATAACAAACAAAGGATAAGCGAGCTCACTTCCAAAACTACACGCTAACTTTGCTGATAAACCGTCCGAAAAAAAAGCCAGGTCACAGTTTCAAATTCACATCGAGCAAAGCGATTGCAAAGCGCTATCAATCGATCGCAACTACAACTCAAACGATCCCGCGCACGTATTATTCCCTTCAGCATCAAAATTGATTTCACGCCAGCGGCAGGTTAGCGCATTGGCGTTCGATGATTTGTTTGTTTGCCGTAGTATATGCGTGACAGTGGTCGTACTGAACGTGCATTTCCGTTCGCCTCAAACGCACAAAATGGCACCTTGGGTCAAAAGGGTCTTCATACACATTCTGCCGAGGCTCCTCGTCATGCGTCGACCCCAATACAAGTTCGAACCCACGAGGTAAGTGCGCTAAAATACGACTCTTTTCGTCTCTCGCGAGACCGAAGATTTATGCTAAGACACACCCTTCGCTAACCATCCCATCCTCGTGACCTGTAAATCATGTTTTTCCGTCGCTGCACCTTGTCGCCCAGAGTCAGCACGCGGTTATTTGTTTCTGCGTCTCTTCGCATCTTGTTTCTCTTTTTGAAACTGATCGATTGGCAGAAAAGCCACCACAGAGAAAGAGAGAGAGAGAGAGAGAGAGAGAGAGAGAGAGAGAGAGAGAGAGAGAGAGAGCGAGAGAGGCAGGGGTAAAAAGTGCAGCGATGGCGGTGGCGAATCAATTCCGAGCGGTTGACTTTAGCCCGGGAAATTTATCGGAAAAGGCCATTGTGAGGTTGGGAGGTCTCCAAAAGTCTAACGCTGCGTCTATGTATGTGTCCGTGTGTGTGCATAGGTTCACGTCTACGCGGGCCCTCATGAGAGGAATGCGCGGTAGCAAGGACAGATCTTACTACCCCTACACGGCGTCCTGTCACGACATCAGCGAAGAACATCTCACGCCATCCAAGCGATTCCACAGTCGTGCGTCGTCCAAAGACGATCTCTCGTCCTCGAGGTACTCGTATGTTTCCACGGCAACGGCGAGTTTCAAAAGCCGGCAGACGCCGGTGGTCGTTCTTCGTCCAACATTCGCCGTATCACCACTGACTTTGTGTATTCGCAGTCTGACGGAAGCGGCAGCGTTCGGTGGCAGCTGCTTGATTCACGGGCCGAGTCTGCCGCGGCTGCCCCTCGACTGCGAGGAGCTGCAGGTCGGCGGAGACGGCTCCAAGAGTCCCGTGCTCAGGCCGACCGCCACGTTCTCGCACTCCAAGTGCCCGCCCGAGATACACAGGTCTTGCCTGTGCGTGAGGTTCATCGCCGAACACACCAAGATGCTCGAGGACTCGACCAAGGTATGGGTATCCGAAACGTCGTTGAGGAGAGGACGGCTGCTGAAACGATGATGCTTGTTGTCGAAACCAAAACGCAGGTGAAAGAGGACTGGAAGTACGTGGCGATGGTATTGGATCGTCTGTTCCTGTGGATATTCACGCTGGCCGTGCTCGTCGGCACAGCTGGCATAATCCTGCAGGCGCCCACCCTCTACGACGACCGAGTTCCTATCGATAAGAAGTTCAGCGAGTTCGCGACGACGACCGTCGTCAAGTGCCCGCCCCAGTAGTCTTAAACCAAAAAGAGAAGCAGCGCAGCCACGTCTCGTCTGTCCCACCGGTTACATGCACACAGCCAATCCCGCTTTACTTTACACGCTCTTCGGACCTTCTCTGATCGCAACTTTGTTGACGCGTCCATTTGGCTTCTATTGCACTTTGAACGCGCTGTCGTCGACTTTGATGATAGAAAAACTATCGCCTCGTTGGAGAAGGCTCGAATTTTCCGGTGTATTGCGGATTTTGTAAGATATATAGATTTTCAAAAGCAATCACGCGGCTTACACCCGCGATCACCAACGGGTTTACGCATAGACGTTGACAAACTACTGCGTGATAGTATAACTGTACAGTCGAGTCACGAGAGAAACAATTTTAAGAACTATGCGATGCCACTGATGCGCTGACGGAGACGTGGCAATCAGAAGTCGTTAAGCTTGTAGATGTTATTCCCCACACATGTGTTCAGCAAAAAATTCCTTTGTCTACTGCAAGGACAGAGAAAACGATTAATTACAGATCGAATGTTGCTTGTATATATGAACCAAACTGCTTCTGAAATTGCCGAGACCACTAAAAGAACTTGCAATGAGTAAACCACTGATAACAACAGCTGGTGTGCGCTTCTTTTTCTACTTCGTTGCGAAATACATTTCCTACTACATGGGTAGCATCGGTCTAAGCATTGAAAATTAATTCCGTAACGTTTTGAAAGCAAAAAAAGAGAGAGCACGCGCAGTCGACGGCAATAATAGAGTAAACGAAACCACACCAACAATCGTTTTCCCTACTTTGCGAAGAAGGCAATGAATACCCGTTTATAATTACTTTCCACGCAATTTCGTGCCAACAATGAACAATTATTATCAACTGTCGTGTCGTTCAACAACAACAACAGCAACAACAATAAACAAAAAAATAAGAAAATCCAAGTGAGATGACACACAATGCGCCTCGAATGTAAGAAAAAGGGAAAAAAATATAAAACACAAAAGCTGCCATTTATATGAGTAATTTTTGCGCCTCCGGATAAATAGGTCGCGCGCAAAGTGTATAAGTCTAAAGTGTACGATATAAGTGAATAACGTTCTTATTATATATTATATACATAAATTATCGCGCGCCAACAACATTTAGAGCTACAATGACATGTTACATCGTTACTTTCGATCGTTCATTTTTTTTATATTTATTATTTTGCAATATTGTTTGATACTTTGAGACAAATAAAAATACGTAATAAAAATACAACATAAAAAAAAACGTTCAAAAAAATTATTGTGTAAAGGGTAGTAAGACTAAAGGGATGAAAAACAGTTTCAGAGCATCAAAAAATATTTGAGTCGCTTTATACATACGACACTAAAAGAACATTGAATAATACCAAATGTTCAAGCTTAAAAGTTTAATATCTATCGCGTCAAATAATTTAGAAAGAAGTGCATTATAGCGTGCTTGTACGATCGACACTTATTTTCCGAATGGAAAAAGGATGAAAGACGAAAACGATGAAAAGTTTCGCTGAGGCAGTAAAACTTTTTTTCTCCGCGTTCGCCCATATATATGCAGGCGCAAAGCCGCATTTTATTGCGTCGCGTCTGATTAACAGTCGCGCAACTTGACAACAATGACGATCGATCCACGTAGCGTTCGGCTATTAAACGCCCGAAGTCAAGTTTCCGGACTAATGAGCTGGGCGACGGGAAAGTGGAAAAAAAACGTTGCTGCGTTACAGTTCGGTACGCATGCAACTGAGAAGGGATTTCATTTTAGCTAAAGCAATAGTGGATGTGCGTAAAGGATGTTTTTTGTGCTGGGACAGTTGTGCTGAAAAGTGAAATTTGTTAAACTCGCTTAGGCAGAAAAAGAGGAAAGCTTGTGTTTTATCTTTTTGTTTTCAATCGCGTATGACCTATTTTTCCAACTGCTAGGTCTTTTTGAATCGTGGATTTGAATTTTTAATGAGAAAGCGTTTGCCGCGTACGAGAGTTGAAACTTACCTGTTGAAAAATAACTATTTTTTTGCGCCCTTGAAGTTAGCCATCAAAAGTGTCGTATGGAAAATAATATTAAGTAGCTCGCTCTCAGTGCAATAGTATCTTTAAACACGTACATTAGATATTTTTGCTATGATAGGAATTTCTGGTTGCATGCGTCGATTGAGTATATTATGTAAATATGAATTCAGCGCTGTTTTGTCTGTACTATTAAATCCAAATCCTTTTTCCAACATTCACTCGAGTGTATTTAAATCGCAAAACGAACACCACAGATACTCGGATGATTTTTGGAAAAAGTAAGGAGAAAAGTGATCGAATGGTCACAAAAGAAATAAATCCTGATATAGTTTCAAAAATAGGCGCGATAGTCACTCAACAAAATAGAAAGGTATATATAAATATACATAGTATATAGTAATCGGTGCACTCGTCGCGCCGCTTATATTTTCCGAAGAATAAATAAATCCAAAAAAAAAGTTTGCCACACTTATAGGGATAAGGTATACACACAAGGACGAGTAAAGCATACGAATTCTAAAGCCGATAGCTGTAGACGCGAATCCGCGCGCGGTTCGGCCGAGAAGCACAAGACATTTTTCCCGACGAGTTGCAACTGAGAGAAAAGTTTATCCGCCCGGACGCGTGGTAGTGAAAAAAACCAACTATAACGATAATAAATTATATAGCTAATGAGAAACTGAGAAAAAAAATAGATATAAATATAACTCGTAATACGTTCAACGATCGACGGCTCACACTTGACGCCACGGATAATTATTCGAATAATCGTGGCCGCGCAGTCGGTATAATATATAAATATACTCGTGTAGATATACACACATACGGAGATGCATGTAAATAGCGCAGCGGGGTGTACACACTGCCATCAAGGAGAAAGAAGATAAAGAAGACGAAGATGATAAAACAAAAGAAGTGCTTCCACCCTTTACGAGTCGCGCTTTTGAGTGAAGGCTCCTTATCGGTTATAGACGACACAAGTGCCAAGCATTAATCGAGAAACATGACCTACGTATACGATCATTCCAATGAGCACACCAGCTTCCCTTTAGAGTAGTCGCTCCTGTATTGCTTGTCTTCTTCGCTCGCCGACGATCGCTCGCAGCGTGTACATTTTTAACGAGCAGCCAGCGCAACTTGTACTCATGCGATCGCAGCGCTCTCGAGACATTCTCCCAGGGCGACGACGTAAAAAAGGCAAACTCGCGCAATAAATTTGCCGCCAAGAGAGAAGCAGCACGCGCTGCCGAGATCAACAGTCGTAATGGACACGCCGGAAGAAAAACGCACGTTATTTTTCACTTCGAAGAAGTTTGCGCGCGCGAGCCGCCGACAAATATTAAGGGCGAAATACGGACAAGGCGCTTGTTTTTCTTCCTTGGTCGCCGAGATGCGCGCGTCGCTGCAATTACCGCAGCCCCAAAAAATTGCCGAATTATTTTCGTGGTTCGCTCTAGTTTTCACAGGGAGGGAAGTGGGGAAAGAGGAGGAGAGGGGGAGGGAGGACGAAAGAACGCGAGAGCAACGAGAAGGACGAGCAAAAACACTTGGCGAATTCGAAACTTTATTGGCGCGTTTCGCATCTCGGGCGGTTGAAGGGGTGGCACGTTCAAATGCAGGCAGCTGTAAATAATAATAATAACATGTGTAAATAAAATACCTCGAGCTCGGCATTTGTCACGCCAGAGAGACGGGAGAACCAGAAACAGCAGCGAGTAAGCGCAGCGAGGAACAAGAGTGTTGTTGTAAGCATGTGTCGCGGACGAAAGGTCCCGAAATCGTTGTACGTTACATTGTTATGAAACACGGTGTCTCTTCGTTGTAAAAATACAGAATTAGGACATGTACGTATAATATATAAGTCGTGCGGCCTCTTATATAAGTATCTTCGCTGTTGCAAAACTCAATTGTAATATGCCGACTTTCGCGTGAAACCCACCGAGCAAAAGATGCCTCTCGAAATAAAAAATAATGGAAATAAATGAATTTTCTCAATTTTCACGAAGAGTTATTGTAGTCTAGTATTTATTTTTTATAAGAGCAGTTAAAAATATCAAAGTTGAAAGACAGAAAGGCAGTATTTTGCCAGACTCGCGAGGAGTCCAACGACTCTTGGGTTTCATGAAAAAGTCGAGCGAAAGACAAGTAAAACTAAAAGTTAACAAAGATGTGTAACAATTAATCGTTTTAGCGGTGACGATAACAAGTACTCTAGGTAACAATAGAATATAGATATCCGCGCTCAATCTATAGACAATTATTCTATATACACACACTGCTAAAATCATTACCACAAAATTATCATAACTATAAACGATAAATAATAAACGATTTAACCACTTATATACGTGTAAACGAGAGAAAGAGAGAGGGGGGGAGAAGAGAGGTGAACAACTTAGACAACAAACGAATAAGAAATTTAAAGCGAGAGATCATACGCAACCAAGAAACGATCGTCGAGCAAAGAGATGCGTAACGCATGTCGTTGATTTGTCATCGTACTCTTTCGTTTTCAAGAAGCAACCAAAGATTGTCATTGTAGCACGTGCGCATGCGAAGTTATATATTAATAAAAAAACCGATAGTCGATTAAGGTAAGCAATGGATAATTATGTGATCGTTAGATACGGTTCTTATGTGTAATCGTATATAAAGATTTGTTAAATATGTACCTATTATTATAAAAGAGAAACAACAAATAATGACGAGTGTCGTTTTAGGATAATAAGCGAAGAACAAATAATAATAATGAACAAAACAGACAAAACAAAATATAGAAAACGAGATAAAGTTGTTGCTTGGTTTTATAATTATGCTTGACAAAAGCATTCGAAGAAATAAAAATTGTTGTGGTAGATATGATAATGTCTCTTTCTCACTTTTTTTCCTTGTCAACCTTCTCCCAATGCAATCGTCATTTCTCATTTATCAGCCATTTTTGCTCATTTAAGTATATAGATGAGGTATATATACATGGAATAGCATATGTACAAATCGTTGTTGTAAGTACTAGTCTTATAAGTAGGATACCACTGTGAACGCGAATTGCTTGTAGCAGTGGCTCGTGGAATAGGAATATGTTCAAGTAAGTAGATCGCTAAAGGCTGGAACTTTGGGGTTACACGTCGCTGCTCGTGGTGTGATTGGTGAACCAAGCCTGGATGTCGTCGGTGACGTCTTTGAGTCTCTTCGACCAGGATTCGGCCTTGACCTCGTTCAGCGCTACCCAGTGATGGTAACCCATCGACACCATTTGATCGTAGTACTTGTCGACGAAGGCTTTGAACTGTCGGTAAAAATCAAACGTCACCGATTCGCTCGTTCGCGCGCGGATCTGCGACAACGCGAACGTATCGTACCTCTTCCATGTCGTGCGCAGTGAACAGCAGCCTAGTCGACGCGTCGACGAATGCCCTCAAAGTCCAGTAGGAATCTTTGAACCTGCCAAAAGAAATGTCACAGGTGCGAGCGGTCGTCTCAGAGGAGAACAAGACACTCACCTCTCGACCATAGTCAGCCAATGCTCGTGAATGAATCGGCGAGCGGTGAGAGCGGCAGCTGGATTCTTGGCGTAGGAACGTAATATGGCGCGGACGTCGCCCTCGCCGTACTTCTCCTCGAGGATCTCGTTGAGCACTCTGCAATGCACACGCGATGGACGTTAGGAGGCTACGTTCGCGCGCGGCTCGAAGCGCTCACTTTTGCAGAATCCAGGGAGTCTGGAAGCAGCCGAGTGCGGACAGCAGCCGGTCTTTCTCGTCCCTGTCTCGAGTGCTCTCGAATTTCGACATCAGGTACTGCAGCTCCTCCTGGCCGCCCCGCTGGGCACCCTCGCAGTACACCGTCTCCCGCGCATGCTTCGGTATCCTGCAACGTTCGCTGCTTTGTTTTTCTCTGCTCGCCGTGCTGTCGCTCGCCGAGTGCCGCTCGCCGCTGACTCACGTGTTCTCGTGGTTCCTCGCGAAGATGTCCTCCCACTTGCTCTTCGCCCAGCTGGTGCACTTCTGGTACTCGAAGGTGCAGGCGAGGCGCACCGCCAGCATCGTCAGCGGCGAGCCCTGCTCGATTTTCGGCTCGTTCTCGTCGTAGAATTTGGAGATCAGCTGCTGCATGTACTCCTGGAGGAGACAGAAGGACGCGTGTGAGCTAGGCGCCACGACGGCGATCTCGCTGCAAGCGGTGCGCACCTGAAAGGCCGGATAGGCAGGCGTCTCGTAGAGAGCGAAGTCGAGCTGCAGCACGTGCTTCTCGAGCGCCTTCCACGGGCCGAACTGCCGCTCGCTGGGGCCCAGGTAGTGCAGCAGCTCGAGCGCCGTCTCGTAATCGAGGCTGCCCTGGCGCGCGAGGCTGAGCGCGTCGTCGATCAAGGACGCCCGCGTTGCCGCCGGGAAGGCCGCGTGGTTGGCCCGCAGCGCCTCCGTGAGCGCCCGCCACGTCGGCGCGTCGTAGTTCACTCGATAGTAGCCTGCGCGTGAATCGCACCACTCGCGTTACTTGCCTGCGCGAACACGACAGAGCGCCGGAGGCTCTTCGCGCCGCCAACCAACCCGTTTTGTTGACGTTGAAGAGGATCCAGTCCGCGCCGTCGGCCCGCCTCACGTTATCCAGCCGCCCCTCCCCCTCGGCCTTCAGCCACAGCGTCTTGGGCTCGCGCCAGTGCTGCGCGTCGGTGACGTAAGTCAGCGGCACCCACCACAACGCCTGGCCCTCCTTCTCGCCCATCGCCAGCTCTTTCTCGGCCACGCTCAACTGGTCGAATATGAATTTGGCCTGCAAAACAGCGGCGCGCGTGCACACGGACCATCATGGGTCGGCTTGCTCAACAAGCGGAGGGCCTTTACGTGGGTCGTAAAGCTGGCGCGCGCACGTGTTTCGTGGGGAGCACGCGAGAATGGACTCTCGCTCGTGTGCGAGCGCGGCTGGAAATCGCGGCTGTCGTGTCGGCCGAGAGCAAGCAGAAGTGGGAGCTTACCTGCCTGATAGTGACGGATCCGTTCTCGCGATTCCAAGCGACGCTGATCATCGGGTAGCCAGGCTGGCGCGCCCAGCTGCGAAAGGCCTCGACCATTTTCGTGTCGTCGATCTGCTTGTGAAGCGTCATCGCGTTCAGGAACACGTCCGAGTCCGCGCTCGAGTGCTGCCTGAAAAACGATCGACGCTTGTGCCCGGCTCGACCCACGACTGCGCGACATTCGTCTCCACGCTCACCATCTCCGCAGAAAGTCCGAGTACGCCTGCTTGAAGGCGCTCCTCCTCACCGCGCTGTGCAGCATGCTTATCAGGCAGGCACCTGCGTCGAACGACAGAGCGGACACGCCGATCCGTTAACGTGGACCCGCGTCAGAGAGAAAAACGAGGAGAGAAAAACCCCGAGATATTTCGTTCGCTCACCCTTGCCGTAGATGTCCGGCAGATCGAAGGCTTCGATCCGATGACGGTCCACCGACGAATCCAGTGCTTTTGACAAATTGTAACCGTCGTTCTCCATCGACTCCAACTGCACGTTCACGAGGAAGCTGTCCGACACCTCGAGCTCCTCGTCAATCTGCACTGTCGAGTGTCCCGTCCGCAAAATAGTCTCTCGTTACGATTGACCAACGGTGGCAATGAAGCGTTTGCGGAAACACCGAACGACTTGCCTTTTCGAGAAGAGCGTGCTGGAGATAGAGCTCGGAGCCTTCGACGTACCATGCGTCGGTCCAGTTGCGCGCGTCGACCGAAGCGCCCAACCATTGCTGACCAATCAGGCCGATGAGGTTTAATAGAGCGTCCGCTTTTGTGGCCGTGGCTGCCTGCGTCGGTGTGAAGAATAGCGAGTCTCTGCGTCCAAGGGTGAAATTCATTGCACTCGACGACAAATACGGAGCACAAAAGCACCAAAGCATCTCGCGGTCTCGAGACTTGACCGTTCGATTGTAACGCACTCGACGCTCGTAAATACCTGACGACGATCAGTCCGGGCGCCGAAGCCCCATCGTAATTCACCGGCAGCGCCACGATGTCGAGCTTCTCGATGAGCTTCGGCACGCCGACGAACAGGCTCTCCCACGCTTGCACGACTTTGGCGATCTTCTGGTGCAGATAAAACTCCTGGCCCATGTGCTCGGCGGCGCCCCAAAGAACGATGCTCTGATTGTTGACCGAGAGCTCGCTCAGCTGCTCGAAGTCGCCGACGACGAAGGCCAAATTGTGCGGGGATATGTCGGGCGTCTGCGCGAACTCGTCGAGCATCGTGTTCTCCGAGCTGATGATTCCCGAGAAAAAGTCGCTCTATCATCACATGCTGCCAAAGTGGACGAGGCCACGGGCGAGTGCGTAACTAAGCCAAAGTCTTTAGTCGAGCAACGATCCGACGTCGCGTCAGAAGCCAGGCAAAGTTAAGCTGCCTCTCGGAGAGGGCGATGGGATCGATACGGGGCTCGTAGCCGAGAGGAGCAGCTACATACGGGAACTGAGCAACGCGTGGCAGCGCGTAACATTCTCCTTCTCGTAAATGGTATTATCTGTTGGTAGGTACTTACGGGCTGCTGGAGTTTGCGGGCGGAGCGTTCGATAGTGCCTTGGTGTCACTCGAGTGTACGATCCTGAGTACGAAGCTCGCCTTGAGATGTACCTCGTCGAGGGTGGGGAAAAGTCGCGGCGCGTTCGCTGGCTTGAGTTTTGACACTAAGATCAACCTAAGAGAGAGAGAGAGAGAGAGAGAGAGAGAGAGAGAGAGAGAGAGAGAGAGATTGCGCCAGAGACGCTAGAATTTTGGTGTTTATTGTGAGAGCGAGATAAACTACCTTTCGTTACTCTCGTGTGTCAAGTTTCTCGCGAATAAAGCTCTGTGGTCGACAGTTGTCTCGTACTCGATTTGTAACGAGTAGGTGCCGTTCGTAAGTGCACTCGCAAGCTCGAGCATATAGATGCCGGTCGTCTCGTCGGTCGTGTTGCCGATAATGCGAAACACGTCTTCAGGACTGGGCTCGTCTGCCACTCGCTGGCGGAATCGCGAGTCGATGTGCGATTGATCATCCATCGTCGCGTTTGCAGGCACTTTGGAGATTTCTGTATTGTCGTCAAATTAAAGTTTGCATTGAATTAACGCTGAAGAACGAATCAACTGTTTATTGAAATTTTTCATTGGCTTCGATTACACGTTGTAATGATTTCTAGTGCAAAAACTCTATTGAATACGGGGTCAGTGCGTACAAAAATTTTAAAAGTTTGTTTGTGCAATAGCTTCTTTAGGAGTTGGTTTTCTTTGCACAAAGAAAGATATTTGTTTTAGCTTGCTTTACTAGATTCATTACTTCGTTTGTGTAAATAGAAAAGGTATTTTCGCTGTTTTCGCTTCAGTCACATAAGTTGCATTGTTCTTCATTGCGCGACAGCTCAAACCTCAGTCAATCACTGCGGAGCTTTAAAAAATAACTGTAATGATCGAGGAAAATATGTAACGTAATTGCGAGAATTTGCGATAGCTCGGCGGAAGAATTCTCGAATCAGTTATTTTGCATAGCTAAATGTGCAGAGAAAAGGAAAGTTGAAGGAAAACGAAGAAAATAGGCTAGCGAGTAAAGACGAAGCTAAACAAATGGGAAAAAATAAAAACTCACCGGCCTCGACGTCTCTGCGAAGTCGCCTAGCACCATGATCGTCGTCGTCGTCGTCGTCACTGTTAAGATGAAGATCAACACTGACGAGCTTGACGTTCTGTATCCGAAGATGCTTGGAATTAAGCACCAGTCGTTTGGCCTGCTCGCTGCCAATGTCACCGCTAGCAATCGTGTTGGAAAACTCGATGGCCATGCGACCTTTCAATCTCGTTCGACCATTGATTAATTCCAACGGCTCGAGTTCCAAGCGATATCTCTCCGGCTTGATGCCCTGCCGAAGCTCGTACTTGTCCGGCAAATACTGCTCGCTACTCAACACTTGTTCAGGAGTAACAGTCTGTTCGGAAGACAAAGCGATCAGGCTCGCCGAGGGGAAAAGACTGCCGAGATTACGCAACCAACTTACCTTCTCCTCCGGCAGCGACGAGAAGTGCACGGCGAGAAATCCAGCGGCAATGAGCACGGCGAGCACGAAGACAAAGCCAAAGGCGATCTTGCGATAAGTAACGAAACAGCCGCCGGGTCTCTCGTAGATCACGTCGTTCATGTGGAACTCGTGACGATTACTCGCGCTGCTTATGCCGCCGACGCTGTTGTTGCGGTGGTACTCGTGCGTCGCCATACCCGTAGCTGCAATTGTCACGGGATTGCTTTTGCCGAAAGGTAAAGAGAGGCGCAGACGAGGCGCAGACGAGGCGCGCGTCCTCTAGGCCCAATTTCGACGCGACGCCGCCGCGCGGCCGATGAATTATGCATTTGTGCGGTGCCGAGCTGAATATCGCCTTCTTTTTCTTATGCAAATGCGGCGCGCGCATTCTCCGAACAATCGACTTCCGCCTGCGCATCCCGGACTCGATCGTTGCATTATCGCAACAGGTGCCTTTTTACGATTCCCCCGAAAAATTATGACGACGGACGCGAGAAGATATATTATAATTACCGTCGGCTGCAAGAGGTGGTGGAAAAGAAAATTCGGAGCACGGGCAGTAACGCGGCCGCGCGCGACCGTGTAATTGTTATTTATCGCGGATCCATTGTTTTCTTTCATTGACTGAAACGCCGAGTTGCAATTGTTTAATGGCTAAATAAATGTAGATTTCGACGAAAGCTATTATCTCACGACTGTTGTTCACACATTAGCATTAAATGCTATTAGCCGGCGACCTACTCTTTAATTAAGTTATCAGTCATTTTATGAAGACAACTATACGACTGACATATACTTCCTATTATTCTCCATCGCTCGGAATTACGCTATCATTTGCCGAAGCGCTGCGCGAAGTGAATAATAAAAGATTTTTAAATTCTCGAGAAACTGTTTTCTTTTGCAATCGGAGGAACGTAAGAGAGATATCAGTCACAGCGTCAAAGAGAAAAAAAGAAAAAAAGTAGGTGAACGCAGATGTTTTGAGTTATTGACACGTAGATACGACAGCCGTGTACTTTTCAAGGTAAATATTTGAGGCTCAAGTCACGAAGACAGAAGTCTTTATTAAAACTAAATTCATTCCAACCCATCTAACAAACTCTGCAAAATATGTGACGCGTGGAAAAATTTGCTCGGCCGACGATGATATCACGCACTCGCCGGCTCGTTGCGCTCAATCGGGTAATTGCTACGAGTACGGCGAAGAAGAGAGTGATTTTTTCTGTTCGATTCGCTCGCACGATCAGCCGAGCGAGCATCCGATCGCGGGCAATAACGGCTTCTCCGAAAATGCCAGTTCCGCAAGGCGAGCGAGCCCGGCCGGCGCGCGTCGGTAACGAGTTCGACGAAAAGTCGCGAGCCGCGCGCTGGACGCGACGGACACAAAAGATTGCGGGATGCGCGGCCTGGCGGACGGATATCGTTTGCTTTGATCTCCGGAAGCGCTATAGCGGAGAGCGCGAGCGTCGCGCTGTGTGTGTGTGTGACGCGTAATGCCGCGCCGCCGAAGGTCAGCGCGGCGCGCGCGACCTCCCGCTGCTTAACGGTGCATGCTTATTTTTTCTCGCCACCGCGGGCGGGTCCCTCGTCTCTCGCGCGGACGACCAGCAGAGATGCGCGCGCCGAATCGCCGGCCGGCCCGTCCTCGGCAGGCTGCGTCGAACGGCGATTCCGCCTCTCCCTCGACCGCCGGGTGTTCTCCTCGCGTCATTTCCGAGCAAGACGGCAAAAATTGTTTTTCACGCGTATGCGCGCGCGCGCGCGCCTGCGATGCATCGTTCAACGATAAACCAATGCTCTTACGTAAAGCCGAGCGAATGAATGAGCGAGCGAGTGAATGAGCGTCGACGCTCTCGCGACTTAGCGCGCAGCGAGACCTTTTACCCGCGGTAACCTCGAACGGCGCGCTCGACGCCGCGCCTGCCCCGAGCGGCCCGCGACGACGAGAGATCGCAACGAACGCGCGAAACGTGCGCGCTGCTCGAAAGACCGCGGCGTCGCAGGCGGCTGGCAACGGGCACAAGCGAACGCGAAAAACGAGAGAAACGAGAGAGGAAAATGCAGCCCGGAGATTAATAACCGCTGGCGAATGGCAACACACGTTTCTCTCGATAAGAAGCTGCGAGGGCAAGGCTTATCGGGCCGTCGCGTGGCGGCGCGTGCGAAATCGGCGGAGCGCGGCGGCGGCGATAAAGCGTGCGTAAAACGCTCGCGGTCGGCCGGACGAATGCCAGATAAACCGAGAGACGATCGTCGCCCGTCGCTCGGCGAGCCGAGTGCTTCCCGTGGGCGGCGCGCTCGACGATGGCTCGGCCGAGGGTGCGGACTCGCCTGGATCGCGCGGCGCCCACGGGCCAGCCGAGAGCCGCTGGTCCTTACAGAGCCGCCGGGCGTCATCGGCGTGAGTGCTGACGCTTCCTCGCCTCATCCTTGCGTGCCGATGGCGGCGAGGTCGGTGTGCGCACGGGCGAGGGCCGATCCGCAGTCGGAGCTGTGAGCGAGGCCGAGTTCGGCCAGGAGCGTCGTCCGGCGCGACAAGAAGCAAGGAGCACTCGCGTGATCGCGCGGCGTCCGCGCACACGTCGCTACTGTGCGCGCGGCCGACAGGTAGAGCGCAATTAGTACTTCCACCTGCGCGGACGGACGCCCCCTCCTGTGTCGCACGTGCCTACTCCGCGCGACGGCGACGACGGCCGCGACGGCATTTTCGCGCGCGCCGAGCCGAGCTGCCGATTCGGATGTGCGCCAGAACGGCAGAATGCGCCCGTCCTCCCGTCCTCCCGTCCTCCCGTCCTCCTCGCCGACGCTTTACGCGGCCGAGCAGCGCGCTTCTCTCCTCCGTTCGCGCTTAACCGCGCTTCTCCAGCTGTTTATTGGCCGCCGATTACGCAATGCCTGAACTGCTTTTGCGCCTCCAGCGTCCGCTTGTGTTTGGACTTGGCAGGCGCGCATCGACGAAAAACCGCGCTCGCGTATCGTTGCGTCACGCGCGGGTTTCTGTTTTTCTTTTTCGCATCTTCTTCTTCGTCTTCTTCTTCTTTTTCGAGGCATGATGAGAGCCGCGCGCGCGCTAGGCAGGATGTTGCGAGAGGACAGTATGTAGTTTGGGATGACCGGGCACAAATCTATCTCGTTATCAAAATTACTCGCGCGCACATACGTACGACGCGATGAGAGAGAAAGAGAGAGAGAGAGAGAGAGAGAGAGAGAGAGAATCGGCCCGCTAACAGCCGCCTCTGCGCAGCGCAGCAGCATGTAATGTGTAACTATGTGCTCGAAAATCGCTGCCTGAACGCGAGCGTATATAACTCGCGGTGTTTTCTGCTGTCAGCGAGGAGAGCACGATGCTCGATCATTCATTCGCGTCGAGTGCATTTTTTTTTTCCTTTTTTTTCGGCCGGTAGCCCGCGGAACACGAACATTTTCATCGGGTATTCGTACGATCGGGAGGTGGCGTCGTTGCCGAGCGAACTGACGGCAAAGCCCGTTGTCGAGAATAGCCAGTGAAGGAGTACTCAACGACATACTTTTAATCGATCCACGACCAAGTACTCGCGAGCGGACTGTACGATTAGCGCCGACAACGCGGTAATTTGCGCATTGATCAGCTCGTCGCTTCGGAGCCTCGGAGTTCGACCGCGCCGAAAAAGAAATCAGCGTGGCACGCGCGCGCGCGGCCTCCAGTGAGTTAATGCGTTCGGCCTCGCTGCACCGTCGAAAAATCTTCCACGGCGATACTCGGTCAAGCGCTGCCAAGCTGCCGATTGAGTGTACAATGGGGGAAGGTAATCTACGTCGAAGGTCGCTCGCCACGCGCGCGTACGCGCGCACATCCAAATGTTCAGCCCCCTCGTTTTCTCGCCGTGGCCCAACTTGCACCACATTGCCGGAGAATCTCTCGTAGGACGGTTGTTTCGAGCCGTATGGCATGACGAAAGCACAGCCACCTGCGCTGCCTTTCGCTCGATCGAACAATTTGCAGGCCTCGGTAAGAGCCCGATTAATGAGACGTCGTGCGTTCAGTTAAATTGCAATTAAGATAAAAGAATTCCTTTGTCGTTGCTGACGATTTTACATCGGCGGCAAACTGCTTGAAAACAAGTGTGGTCGAGATAAAAAGCAAAAGGCAGAACAAATCCTTATCTCCGCGAAAAAGTCGTGCTCGCGCACGTTTTTCGTTTTTTTTTTTTGTCTTTTTCGCGAACGCGCGGCGATCCTGTACGTTCAATAAAGCAACGACGACAGCTCGTTAGCCGCAAATAACAATCCGTACGTATACGCGTCGCGGTATATAGCATAGCAATGGGCCTCTTCCGCGTGGTGTATATAAGTAATAAGTGTAATTATGTCGACTGGTACGCGCGGTCACCCTTCCCCGCGTCTTCCCCGCGTACTCGCGCACGCGGAATTTGCGAGCTGACGTCAGAGGGTCAGATAATAGATAGCAGGTAGCCCTTTCATCCGCCGGCAATTGAATAACGAGCTGCGGACGTGCGTCGTTTAAACTCTGCTCTGACACCGATCATCTCTCTCTCTCTCTCTCTCTCTCTCTCTCTTCTCTCTCTTGTACACGGCGATTTTTCTTTCTTCCCCTCCGATTTTACAACCTACGACACTTTGGTTTCTAACACTCAACAGTTAGCCGACCGACACCAACGATCGCGCATCGATTTCCATACACACTTTTTTTTGTTTTTTTCCTCTCATTCCGCGCTTCTTGCAGTGATTTCTTCACAGGTGTTCTCTCTTCCCTTTTCTATTTTATTCTAGAGTTCCGCGCAGCTGTGATTTCGGTATCGATCTCTTAGATTTTCGGCCGCAAGTGCCGCATTTAGTTGTGCCGCCGCTAGCAATTATTCAAATTATTTATTTTTCACTCGATGAACTGCTTTTACTTTTTAACAAGAATTCAACGTCGAAAATAATTAACCATTTCTTTCGATTGCTTCCTTCTCCAGCTGTAAGAAAAAGTAAGCGAAATGAGGCGATCCGCCTTAAAATTAGGGATATCCCTAATTTTAGTGATAGCCATCGACGCTCTTCCAAAAGTAAGTCCAGTCATAAATACGTACCACGAGGAAAGAACGGCCGTGTAATTGTTTTCCCTCCGACATCAGAGGCCGGAACGAAGCGTGGACTTGAACGAGCAATACAAGCTCGGTTCGACGTGCATCTGCGATGATTTGAAGCCCGAAAGTTACAACCTGGAGATCGAGCCGTTGATGCAGGAGGCCAAGTTCAAAGGTCGCGTGCGCATCAACGTCACCTGGACCGAGCGCCAAGACAAGATCACCCTGTACGTGCACCCGGATTTGCAGATCGACCACAGCAACGTACGCGTGACGAGGATGAACGACGTCGCCGACGACGAAGAGGACAGCGCGTAAGTGGAACGTCGCCGACGGGAGCACAGCGGGGAAAAGCATTGAGAAGGTGGATTGTCACAGTAGCAAGGAGGAAAAGGCACCGGTCAGCGTGAAAATCACCAAGGTCGAGCGCAGCCCGATGCAGCGCGAGCTGATCATCCATCTGGACAAGATGCAGAGGCGCAACGCCGTCTGCGAGATCGACATCACCTACATGGGCAACATCACGAGCAACGAGACCGCGGGCATGTTTATGTACGACTACATGGACGTGAACAAGCAGAAGCAGTGAGTATTTTCCGGGAGCCGCCGAGGAGGCTGTCGCTGCAATCACGCTGTCCATCTTTAGCACTTACGTGGCGACCTATCTGCGCCTGAACAACGCGCGCAAGATGTTCCCGAGCTTCGACGAGATCAAGTACCGCAGCAAATTCCAGCTGACGTTGACCCACGCCAAAAGTTACGTCGCGCTGTCCAACATGCCCGTGGTGTCGAGCATCCCCGTGTAAGCAAACGCCTCGCTCCCTCCGCGTCAACGTCGATGAGAATAACGCCGCTGACGCGATCCGCAGGCCGGGCGAGGCGGATCTCGTGAAGGAGACCTTCGCGCAGACCCCCGACATGACAACCTATCAATTGGCGTTCGTCATATCCGACTTCGAGATGATTCTGCCCTCGAAGAAGGTCAACGCAATGGACGGCCGGGAGCTAGAGGTTCGCGTCTGGGGGCGCAAGGACTACGTGGAGGCGCTCAAGGACGTCCCGGACAAGATGGTCACCATCGTCAACTACCTGCAGGACTATTTCAACAGTTCGATCAACGTGCCGAAGCTGGACGTAGTCGCGCTGCCCACCTACACGGCCACCAAGGCCTCGGACAACTGGGGACTGATGATGTTCAAGTACGTTGCTGCCGAGCGTTGCCGCGGCAGTCGCGCGGCTGACCACCTCGTTCGCTTGCGCGCAGGGAGGGCGAGCTGAGCAGTCCGCTGGTGTGGAACGCGGCCTACGAGCTGACCTACCAGTGGATCGGCCAGAGCAAGACGCCGGCGCGCTGGCTGGACGCCTGGCACGGCAAGGGCCTCAACTCGTTCTTGGCCTGCAAGGCGACCATGGACGTAAGTGCTCGCGCCGGGCCGGCGCCGCTGGCGACGACCGATGGTCGATCAACGGTGCGCTTGTCGGCAGATCAACCCGGACGAGCTGAAGGGCAAGTGGCCGATGAACATCCTCTACTCGCTGTACTACGGCTACGGCAAGGACCACGGCGCGCTGGGCGCCGGCCTGATGCGCGACGTCAAGAGCACCAAGAGTGAGTAGCAAGCGCGGCTACTCGCTCTTGGTGACGCCGCAGCGGGTGTGTGCTTTCAGTCGAGCTCATCTTCCGCATGTTCTACTACATCCTCGGCAAGGACAACTTCAAGAGGAGCATGCAGCGTTTCGTGCGCATGCCGTCCTCGCCCGAGACGTAATACGCGCACGCACGCGACAAGGCCGGAGGAGATCTGCCCGAGAGCGCTTATCGTCACGTTCTCTTTGTTTTGTCAAGGAATCCGACGCCCGGGGTATTCGTCTACAAGGACATCTACGACAGCCTGGATTTCGTGGCCAAGCAGACGAACGCCCTGCCCAACGGGCTGACCATCGACAAGGTGTCCGACACGTGGGAGGACCAGCAGAGGCTGCCGCTCGTGCACGTCACTCGCCACTACGAGAACCGCACCGTCAGCTTCAGTCAGGTGCGCCGAGCTTCGCGCCGAGTGCCGCTGCGCTCCCCGCCGCCAGTCCTGCCGAAGCTCGTCTTTTACTTGCAGAAGCTCTACCTGCGGGGACCGCTCAAGTCGCTCAAGTCCTACGAGAGCAACGCCTACTGCTGGAACATACCGCTGGTCATACAGTCGCAGAACAAGTGGAACTCGAGCGACTACGCGCCCAAGGCCTGGCTGCTCAGCGAGAAAACCTGCATGACTAGCCTCAACGTGGCCGACGTCGACGACGAGAACAGCTTCATCATCGTCAATCCCGAGGAGATCGGTAAGGCGAGCTTCCTCGGCCTGTCTCGCGGCTCGCGCTCGCAGCACTCAGTCTGGTGGTTGTCGCGGTGCCCAGGCCTGTTCCACGTCAACTACGACCAGCGCAATTGGCAACTGCTCTCGGAGTACCTGCAAGGACCGCAGTTCGAGACGATACCCATTCTGACGCGCGCCAAGCTGCTCCACGACGCCTGGAACTTGGCCTACGCGGACGAGCTGGACTTCAAGACCGCCCTCAACATGACCATCTTCCTCAGGCACGAGAAGAGCCACGTGGTCTGGGAGCCCTTCTTCACGATGATCGACCACATCGGCCGGCGCATCGAGGGCTCGCCGGTCTTCGACAAGTTCACGGTAATGGCTCCTCGCCCCGTCGGCGCTCCGCTCCAGCCGGTCTCATTCGCGCCGCGAGTGCCCGTTGCAGAACTACTCGCGCTCGCTGCTGCAGCCCATGTACACGGAGTCCTGTGAGATCCCGACGGGCGAGCCCTCGTGGAAGCCCCACCTGCGCGGCCTGGCCAGGTACTTCTTGTGTCGCGCCGGCTACGAGCCCTGCATCGCCGAGGCGCGCGAGCAGTTCGGCAAGTGGATGGCCGACAAGGAGCCCGACAAAGGAATTCCGTGAGTTGGCCTTTCTCCCGCCGCCGCCTCGACGCCTTGAGCGCGCAGCCTTGTCAACGCCGCATTGTCGCGCGCGCAGGGTGGCGAACGAGTTCATGTGCCCGGTCTTCAAGTGGGGCACCGACGACGAGTGGGACTTTGGCCTGCAGCGCTTCATCAACTTCCCGAGGAGCAGCCCCGAGCGCAAGCAGAGCGAGCGCACCTACCTGCTCAAGACCCTGGCCGGCTGCCCCAAGGACCCCGCCAAGATCGAGCGGTAAGCGCGCCCTCGCCTCGGCGCGAGCCACCCCGAACGCGCTGCTTTTCACTCGCGCCTGCCGCGTCGCTTTCCAGGCTGCTCAAGGTGGCGATCATCGAGCGCAACGCCAACTTCACGGACGCTGACATCCACCTGATCTTCACGATGCTGACGGGCCAGACGAACGGCTACAGCACCCTCTACAAGTTCCTCACCGACAACTGGGACGCGGTGAAGCAGCGCTTCGCCGACAAGTCCAACTTGTGGACCGGCATCGTGCACTCGGCCACGGGATTCTTCAAGAGCCGCCAAGGCCTGGACATGGTGGAGAAGCTGTACGAGGTGCGCCAGAGCGAGCTGGGCGAGGCGCCCAAGGCCACCGAGACTATCAAGCAGGAACTCGCCTGGAGCGAGAAGAACCTGCCGGCGATCGGGCAGTGGCTCGACCAGCACACCGCCAGGCCCCTACAATTCGACAAGGACGCCTTGGCCTACTGGAGCCAAGCCCTCGCGTGCCCCAAGCGGGATGCTTCTTACGCCACTGCTGTTCCCCCTGCTAGTTAATTCCTACCACTCCCGACTTCTTTATTCTCCTTTATTCTCCTTCTTCCTGCTCCTCTTCCTCTTCCTCCTCTACTTCCTCTTTTTCTTGATTTTTTAATGGACGGAGCGAGCGAGTGGTAAAACTTAATTTTAAGTTTGTCAAAGCTAAGTTTGACTTTTGTATTACACAGAGCACAGTTCCTCTTATATATCAATGTGTCCCCTCGTTTTAACGTATTTCTTGTATTTTATTTCCTCTTATTCTCCAAGAGTTTTAGTTAAGTTGATTACAGTGTCTCATAGCAGCGTATTACTAGTATTACTTGTAAATTTGTAATTTGAAAAAATTCCGCAATAGTAAGTGTTTTTTTATATAAATCTATTACACGTAAGAGTAATGATACTAGAATGCTTTTTGTCAGTACAATACGTCTTTGCCCAGTTTATTCCTCTACTACTACGCAACAACAATAAAAAGATGATTAGTTATTAAGATAACCTTATATCAGTTTACTTACAAAATAAGTTTGATGGTAATTTTATTAATTATAATGTAATTATAGCGTTTAATAAAAAGAAAGTTAGTAAAATGGATTGTTATTTAGACGATATTGATTAAAATTAATAATTTCCCTCGTCTTTATTGATTTCAATTCGAACAGAGCCAGTCTTGACCAATCAGCGATAACGGAGTAGTTGGTAATTTTTCAATCGGTAACCTGGAAATACCGTTATTATTGGTTGTACAATTGTACCGACCGAGCAATCGAGTGCACCCACCCCCACGTCGTACACTGTTCCAGAAAACGCTATAGTTAGTACAGTTCTCTCGCGCATCTCCAATGCTACGCGGGGCCGCCGCTCGTATGTACAAGCAAACGCGAGTGCGAAAGAGAGGCAAAATACGCATCAGGCGCTCGCGCGCGTGTTAGATAAAGACAGCGCGAGCGAGAGCTACGGCCGAGAGAGTGGAGAGTCTGGCAGTAGAAAGAGAGAGAGAAAGAGAAAAAATGCGACGATCGTCTGTAGCGAGGATGCTCATTGCGTATTGTTCTGGGCAGTGATTCGAGGCTTGCGAAAGAGTGACTTTACGTTAACATAGTCGAATTTGAAATATTCAATGAATTAACTGACACACGACGAGATAGTATATAGATATATAGCACCGTCAGTCAGTACTCAGTGTCTCTTTTCAGGTATAACGTTCAGTCAAGTCTCACACACAGGCTCTCTCCTCTCCCTCTTCTGATGTACGTGCGAAGACGTCGTCGTTCGAGGTGCCCCGAGGAAGAAGTTGCCGCGGTCAGACTGATGCACCGTTCACTCTGGAGAAATTCGTCATCGTCGAGAGGCAGTCTCTGACGAAGTGCCTTAGAGAACCTGGTCAGTGTTTTTCTTTCTCTCTCAGTCTCTCTCCAGTGCCTTTCGTACCCCTTTTTTTCTTATTGCTGTGTTCTTGTATTTTTTTTCCTCTCTCGCACTCCCTCACACTGCTCGTATATGCGAACTTTCTCTCTCAGTTGTGTGCAGATGTTTTGAATAAATGTGATGCTCGACTCACTACTTATTATAGATGCGCTTTTCGAGCCGAGCCGTTTATTTTCGTCCTCGTCCAGCCGCTCAACAGCACTCTTGTTTACCTGCTAAGGCTTCCAAGAGAGCATGTCAGAGTGGCTGGATGGCCCTGACACACCACTCTTGCAACAAGGAGACCAGCCATCACGAAAATGCTGGTTTTTTTTTGGCCTTCCTGCAATTTACCAGTGGTACTTCTTCTACACCAAGCAGCAATGAGGAAACATCTGTGTGTCTGGAACAATGTAGGATCAGCACGAATAGACAAGAATTTTGAGCTAGACTTGACCTGTTCTGCCAACTTGTTATGAATTCGCTAACTTTTGTAGGGAATCAATGGAGCTGCACTGATAAAAAGAACTGTGTTGGATTATCTGCCTTGACAAGTTTCATAATGTTTGGAATGCCAGCCTCAAAATTAAAAATATAGAAACATAAAGTATGGGGCATATCTTTTGATATATTGCTACACTTGTGTCAGTGAACACACAATATTGTGTACAGTTTCAACTTGATTCACTCTTCCAATATAGAGTGGATAATGCTGTTTCATAAAACAGCCTTTTACTGTACATGTGGTGCAATACTTGATTTTGTCAGTCTCTAAAATAACAGCTTAAAATTTTTTAGAAATAATCACTTACCTAACCATCAAGCAACGAGGTCAATGCATACATTTCATCGAAAAAGCTGTATAAACAATTTTTTTACATTTCTCACTTTGACATTTAGTTGCTCTTCTCACGGCTCTCAAATTCAATACATATCAACTATGTTAGCTTATGAAAAAGAGCATGCGCTATAAATAGATTTCTTAATTAGTCTTCATGATGCATACCAATTTATTTTTAAGCATATAGAGCTCATAAATGTAATGAATTTTGTAACAGTTTTGATTCTTTTTACTCTTGTATTCATCTGTGTTGCTGAATAGTTCAGTAATATTTGGATTATGATTTTTCAGATTATTCAATCATCAACGATGGTGGAAAACGATAAAGAATATGTGTTGCAGTGGCCTGGCCATGCAGCTTATGTTTCTGAAAGATTCAGTGGACTTTTAGCAAGGCAAACTTTAGTTGACATCACACTCATATGTGAAGAACAAAAATTACGAGTTCATAAGCTTGTACTTGCTTCTTGCAGTCTTTACTTTGAGGTATGTTAAATTCCATTGCATCATGTAATATTCTATTTTTAAGCATTTAACAAAGTTATGATCGTGTAATTTTTAAATATTACATCAGTATTGAATTTATGATAGACACAACTAAACGTCTGTTTTGTTTACAGGAAATGTTAGCAGAAGACCTTGGTCCAGAACCAATTGTATTTCTTAGAGACCTAGACTTTAGCATTTTGAAAGCCATGATAGAGTTTATGTATTGTGGTGAAACTACTGTATCTCACATCCATTTGCCATCACTATTAACTGCTGCTAGATTGTTTAAGGTATAATTTCATGTTTACATGAAATCGCTTGCACGCAATGAGTTGTTCCAAGTTTGCTAATAAAGTATTTTGATTGCAGGTGAAAGAATTAGAATCTCTTGTAGAAAAAATGTTGGGTTTACAAGCTCAAGACCACAATGACAATGAGGAGTATCCATCAAAGGATGTCAGTGGAACAGGATTCGTCAACGGTTTGATGAGCAATGAAGATACCGGCATTCGCGTGAGTTTCAGTAATAAGCACGTGAACAAAGACCAGGACACCACGGACGCCTCGGATTGCAGCGAATCTGAGTGCGAAAGAAATTATCTCGACGATAATACGTTGGACAATCCGAATGGCGGTTGCCTTTATAACGAGTCATGCAGTATTATAAAAAGTAAAAACTGCTCGACCATACACCGAAACGGTGAGGTAGCAAAGGAAAGACAAAACTCTGTTTATTGGCCGGAGTCGGCGGAGTCGGCAAGTGATAGTTCATCGACACTTGACTCGGGAAATTGCAAGAAAGTCAGGGATGCAGCCTTATACGAGAGGTTGTGCGACTTCGTAGGTAACGGCTGTGCGAAAAGCAACGACCGACCTTCATTCGAAGTGATGGAGAACGAGGTCAACAGGGTAGGCCAATGTTCGAAAGTGTACACGCACAAGAAACGCAAGGTCAACGGTGATAGTACAACGGAAAGGTTTCCACATCTTGAGAAGAATCTGCCTCAACCGTTGGCTTCGAATCGCATAGACTTAGCAGATGAGTCCTCGAACGACGAGACTCCGGTCACTCTGCAAACGAATTTAGACGGCGAGGGCTGCCTGTTGAGTTTCAATAGCATACAATCGATTGTAGGCTGTTCGTTGACCGATTTCTGTCCATCGAGCTCGTTTGATGAGCTTCTCAATACTAGAACGACAGATGTAGATGAGAAAGATAGTGCAGCGGATGACGCCGAAGGCGAAGAGGAGGAAGACAAACCGCCCGTACTAAGGAGAAGCGTACGTTTAAAGCAAGAACCTGAGGAGGAAACGTTCTCGAGGAGAAGTAGACTAAGGTCGAAGCTGAGGGATGATAAGAAAAATCAAAAGACGAAAATGAAGTTGTTTCCACGCAAAAAGAGCAAACCTAAAGAATTAGAGCGAAGAGTTCCTAACGTTAAAGTGATCATGACAACAGGATCCACAAGGAAAAGCCATTCGAAGACATTACGCAAGCAGTCGTCGAAAATCGCGGGAAAATGTAATAGCACAAAAAACGCAAATCATCTGCCGAAGAGCGAGAAAGAGGTCGGCAGCAGCACCGCCAAGCCAAGGACAATGGATAAACCAACAACTGAGTCTACGGAGAAAGCTGAACTAGCTGCCGAGAATAATAATCATCACGCAAGTGAATCTGTGAAGCCCAACACGACAGCATCGGTAAATCGAGCTCTGTGGGGCGATATGTCCGACGTGGCCGAAGACGGCGAAATCAGTCAAGAGTTCCTAGAGTATTCGGCCAGTGCAGAAATACCATTCGCCGTGGGATTACTGCCACTTCGAGCTGCTTTGGAGAGAATGCAAGCGACGCTCGATCACCAGCCAAGAAAAACGCGCTCGTCGGTGGCGTCGACGAAACAGGAGCCGAACGGTCTCAAACGGAAAGCAACGATCCAAGAAGTGGCGTCTTCTAGTGCCAAGAAGCAAACGATAAGTGAGAGCGAAGCCGATGAGAACGCTAGTGCAGTCTGCCATATACAGATAAGGACGTCGTCGCAATGCTCAAAGCCGAGGAAACGATCTCTTTCCGATGGCGCTACAGCTGGTTTGGAACAGACTGCTGTGAGCGGCAGGCAGTAGCTCTCTATTGAGAATCAGTGCACCGACAGTTTAGATTGATTTATATATTGTACATTACGTGAGGATTGATTTTTATAAAATTAACTTGTAGTACGTGTAATCGTGTATATGAGGAGTTGTTAATTTTTAAAAAATCGAAGTTAATAGCAGCATGGAGGTTAACAGTGTGATTCATTTTTTTATTGTAAATGTAATATTAAAAAAGAATATTATTATTCGATTGATGGCGAAATGTGAGTGATAGGTTATTACTTTTTAACTTGACATTTCTTTTTTCCAAACGTATCATTTGTTTTTATTATGAGAATTAAATATCGCATTAATATGTTATGTATTATCAAAAAATGTTTCATGAGAATGTTGACGTAAGCAATATTTGAACATTTTCATAATAAAAATCAATATTTATGCGATCGTACTTAGCGTTTTTCTAATCTGTTCATACTTGAGACACTGAAAATATTGTAATATAGTTACTACATAATTTTATAATCAGTATTAAAACTTCGTGATAGTGCTAAGATGAATTTTTTTCAATATATCAAACCCACTAATTTGAAAGAAAAAAACTTATCGAATACAACTTTAAACATAGATACACATGCTGTCAGTCGTTTTGTAAAACTTAAAATAGAAACTGCATAAATAAACGAAATAGTGCCTACTTTGAAAAAAGGTGAAGGCGATTATATGTTTCCAATTTTAATCTACTAGCAGCAATTTTGAAGTTTGGAGGAATGCTTGTTTCAACATCTAGTACCTAAAATCTGTTCTACTTAGACTGTAAGAGAAAAAAAGTTTTCTGAATCAAATGTCTGGTTTATCTACTATAGAGCATGTAAGTTCAACCACACTATTTATTAACTTCGTTTTACGAGTTTTGCATAAATACTTGTTGTCTCACGTTACAAATGGATCCGAAATTAAAAAATCAGCTAATTAAAGATCCTATAAAAATATAATGAGTTAAAAATAGAACTACGAATTACACACTACTTAAAATATAAGCGATTGCCGAATGAAAATAAATCACACACGAATTATTTATGTTGATTTATCTGATCTAATAATTATTGAATGGTTCATTCATGATTTTCATTTGGTCAATTGCTGTAATTTCGTAGACAAATAAAAATGTCTGTGTTAGCTTTTCTTTCAACATTGTAAAACACAACAGTTTTATTTTGGTTTTTATATGGAGCACAGTAAGGAATGAAAAAAGAAACTTGTTAACTTTAGTCGAGACTTGAGATTGTTTGAGATCAATCCCGCTAAAAATGATATATATTTGGTCCTATATTGTGATTATTATATCAAGGAAGTTTGTACAATGTAACATAATTTCCCAGTGGCTATGTAATCGTTTAGTACTAATTGAAAGGAATTTTCGCTTCGATATAAATTTTTGTTATATTGTATATTTGTATACAGCAATCATCTAATTTCTCAAATCACATTGTACATTTAATCCAGATTAAGGTGTTTAGTTAAATTTAAGTGAAAGTAAGCAAGCTATTGTTTGGCGCTTCTGTATAAAAAAAGAGAATAGGATTGTTCTATATGATTGTCACTTAATTATATTATTTCTATTTTATTATTTTATTAATATTGTCGTTATCGAAGTTGTCATCATCACAATATACAGACGTACAAGAAATGTTATAAGTATTTTTTTAATAAAATTTTATATTGCTGTAAATCTCACTTTTGGTCGCGAATCTATCCTATCTATTTATACATATACAATTATTAAGCAATCTGCTCCGTTTACAAAAATCCCGAAAAAACTATTTACTTCCCTAAAATAAGAAAAAAGCATTGTTTGCAATCAAAAATACCGTTGCATTTATTTTTAGCGAGCAGTATTGTATTTCATCTGAACATCCATCGAGGAACCACAAAATCTTCGCAGACAGAAAAACTCGACAGTGAAGGGGATATCTAAAGATATTCTATAGTGTGCAGCCAACAATATATATATATATAATATGATTATCGTATCGATGCAATCAAGCGTTGACAAGTTTCCTTCATTACCTTCTTTAGGTAATACCCATAACGTAGCCATAACGTATATATACTGCAATTAAAAGAAAAAGCTGCATCAAGAAGAAAGTTGTTTATCTATATTGAAGATTTAAATCCATACCAAAACATTAATCACTGTGGATGATCCTACTGCTAAAACGGAGAAGCAATCAAAACAACAATGCCACGTACCATATTGCAGTTGGTTTAGTATGAAACAAAGCAAGCAAACGCACTTTATAAATTTTCGCAAGCTTGTAGATTTCATCGTCAGGTGACGCTAGCACATTTTCTTCGCCCAATAATCTCTGTCTCTGTATGTCTGCTGCGCGCGCAGCCAGCAACATCCTTGCACGCGTGTGGTGATACGTACTCGCCGTAGCCGTGGTTCGTGTCGCGCAGCGCAGCAGCATATATCTCGTAGGCACGGGTCGTCCGTCTGTTTCAATCTTGATTCGTATAATCGCCGGCGTTCACCTATATTTTAGTGCGCGATAATAATTCAACCCACACCCAACACGACCTTAAAGAAAAGAAGACAAAAACAATCCGTCGAAGTCGCTTGAACGCGCGCGGACGACGCAGAGAAAGTTTCTTCTTCAGCAGCAGCAGCGGAGAGTCAGTATAGTGCGTGTTTCCAAGTGTGGAACAGAGACAGAGGGTGAAGAAACGCGCCGCCGGTAGGAGACGCATTACCAAAAGCTATCCTCGGCGATTTAGTTGTACGGGATACCGGCTGTGTACGTGTGCATCATTTGACTTTGAACAGTTTTTCGTCGGGTCGCCACTACTCTCCCGATAATCGGCACAATCGCATCGGCTTACAAAGCCGCGGTGCAATTTTCTTTTGCGCTAGCTTCTTCCTCTCTCTCGCTTTTTCTCTCTCGCTCTCTCTCTCTCTCTCTCTATCTCTCTCTCTCTCTCTCTCTTTTTCTCTTTCGCCTTCGTTCTCTTCTCAGTAACCAGCGCGTGCGCGCTCTCTCTCTCTCTCTCTTTTCCTTCCTCTCGTTCGCGGCGCACGTCGAGTGCAACACACATAAGTACACACGAGAGACACCGGGGGTGAATTGCCGCCGCTCAGCAGTGATGGAGAAACGGATAGAGTTGGAGAAGCGCGGTAGGAAGCCAGCAGAGGTAAGAATCATAACGTACCCTATTCGTTCAAACATTGGCAGAAAAACGAAATAAAATTTGTACTAGATGGTTATGGTAGAGTCGGTTAAAAAGAAAAAAAAAGCATGCAGGTGGTGCGCGTGAGTAGGTCAAGGTGCCGGCGAGGGAGAACAAGAATTTTTGCACAGTCGGGTGAAAGAGAAAAGCGGCCTGTCTGACGACGTTGGTCTTCTCGCAGTCTCTCTTTCGCAGTGGTGTGCTGGTGTGGGCGGCGAGTGCGCATGTACGGCCCTGCCGTGGTGTGCCTCTGTGTACGCCGCGGGGCGCGAAAGCGCGCGGCGACGACGACGACCAAACGTCACCGGCCATGTTGGACGAGTCCACTTTGACCGCCAGAGCCCCACACAGACATACACATACCCGCGGCAAGAGAGCGGCGACGCGCACCTGCGCCACACAATCACTGCTCGCGTGCCACGGAGTCTATCTCGCTTCTCTCTTTCTCTCCCGTGTAGCTATTCCATCGTGTTGCTGTGCCACAGCCGTGTGTGCATTTGTTTTGGAGCGTGGGCGTGCAGTGGCGTAGACCACCTTACCAATCGCCCCCTCTTTCCATCTCCTATTCGTCGCCGTTTTTTCTCCATTACGCGTGCACAGTACACGTACTAGTCAGACAGAGACATGAACATACGCTTGCTATCAACAAAAGGATCGTTACGTAATCGAGAGAGTGAGACGCTAACCGAACTCGCGCTCCGCTTTCGCGATCGTAGAGGTAAACAATCGACATCGAGAGAACATCAGCAACAGCAGATATGTGAATCGATCGACCGACCTTGACGATGTGCCACCGCCGCTGCTGCTACCGCCGGCAGCAACGGTGCACGTGCGCCACGCCTGTGCACCCGATTTTTTTCTTTCGCTCGATATCGAGCCAGACTTGCTTTCCTGTAAATCAAGGTCACGTATATGATCGGCCAACAGTCAATCGTTGTCGAATTATGCTTTTTTTCCCGCGGGAATCTCGTGGTAGCTTTTACGGGCGATGCGGGAGGGAGCAAGTGTCCCGTCGAGAAAGAACGTGCGAGCGCCATGCAGTGCGTGTTAAACTAGGCCACGCACTCTCGTCCTGCGGTGCGCGTGTGCATCATAACAGCTAAACTTCATTACCGCACGGTGAAATCGTTATTAGCCGTATTTCATTCTCCGATGCCGCGAAGTACTTGCTTCACTTGTCACGTGTCGAAGGATGCTCGAATGTCAAAAAAGTCAAAGATTGGTTTTGAAAATTGGTTTTATTATTGGAAATTAATTAAAAGAGCGCCGGTTAATATGCGTCGTAAAAAATCGAAGCTCGACTACGAACATACGCGTATATAAATAAGGGGAGAAGCGCGTCGCGCAACCGCTTGTTCCGTCTCAGCCCTCGGATCAATAAGATGAGGCATGTCCCGCACGTCGTTATGTGCCTACGCTCTGCACCGCGTCTCGCCTTTGAATATTACCAACTGCGATGAAATCAAATGAGCACCAATACGTCGATGCCTTATCCTCTCATTGTCTTTTCCGTCGTAGATCACAGAATTCGTGCTGGACAACTGCCGGAGCACCAACATCGTCGGTCTGACCGACGAGTTCGTCGCCCTCGAGTCGCTCAGCCTCATCAATGTCGGACTTACCAGCTTGAAAGGTTTTCCCAAACTACCGAACCTTAAAAAGGTGCGTCAAGCCAGAGATTGCCAATGTGAGTGATGCGAATTTCAACACGGGCCCTTCTACGTTTCTTTGTTTTAGTTGGAGCTGAGCGATAACAGAATATCGAACGGATTAAACCTGCTGCACGCGTCACCAAAGCTGACTCATCTCAATCTTAGTGGGAATAGAATCAAGGACCTCGACACACTACAACCCCTCAAGGAGTTTAAAAATCTAAAGAGTCTTGATCTGTTCAACAATGAAGCAACTAATATGGATAACTATAGAGAGAAAGTTTTTAGCCTCATACCGAGCCTACGATATCTCGATGGGTCAGTGGCTTTCGCTTATTCATGATAAGAAATCGCTGTAGAGCTTTACAAGATCAAGATTTCTTCATTGTGATTGTGAATGGTTGCAGGTATGACATCGACGAACGTGAGGTGGAGAGCGAAGACGATGACGAAGTAAATGGCAACGAGGATGGAGATGCCAACGATGATGACAGTGAAGAAGGTAATTATTTGTTACGTTAATTGAATTGAGATGGTTTTTTGGATGTTCTTTTGATACAATTTTTATTTGCAGTGACTGACGAAGAGGATGAGGAAGAAGAAGGTGTTAATTTAGATGCAGTGTACAAAGATTTTGAGGTATTTATACAAACTAAACTTTAATTACTAATCGATTGGTCGAATAGGTAATAGAGCGTCGATGGTTTTCAGGATGAGAGTGATGAAGAAGACTACGTCGTCGATGGCGAAGAAGAGGAGGATGACTTTGAATACGATGATGATGAAGATGAGGAAGGTGAACAACAGCAACAGCAACAGCAAGAAGGTATATGTCGTTTGTTTATTATGATAGAATATTCGATAGATGTAACTAAATCTAAAAAATATTTCAATTCGCAGAATCATCTCCAGCTCGAGGCAAGAAAAGAAAACACGAAGATGGCGTAGAATCGGGGAATTAGAAGTGTTAGCTATGTTTCACTGATAACAAGAAAATTTAAAATTTGTTTTAATATTAAGGAAAAATGTGCCGCCAAGAGTAAAAAAATAGCTGGAAATCAAATCGACCGACCAATGATGACGGACTTTACTGTTGATTGCGTGATTTTGTCAGTAGATCACTGACTGACAAAGAAATTGTAACATACATCTAACAAAATTGTACGGAAAGCAAAGGTGTGAATGTGGTGTGATTGAACGCGTGAAAGAGCAATCGAGCGAATCTAAGAAAACATTCGAGAGATAGATATACAAACAATTTTGTGCAAAACGAGCAAGCGATCGAGAATAAAAAACGATAAGGAAATAAGGTAAAAATAAAAAGCTATCGCAGAGATGGATCACAATGAAGTAGCGAAATTTGGAAAGGCATAAAAAAAAAGTAAGGGCCGCATTCCAGCTTGACCCAACGCACGTTTTAGTTATACTAACGATATTTTATATAGAGTATATAGTTAGAAAATTAGAAGGTGTTGCATAGTTTTGGCAAAGAGAGAATGGATATTTGCGAGAGAGTAAGAAATGATAAAATGATAGCAGCCAAGTTTTACACTCGAAGGAGCGTATTTGTCTGTTAGCTCCACTCGGCCAAAGGCTGGGTCCACGCTGGAATGCAGCCGTCGTTAATCAGTGCTAAGGTTATATAAGTTACATTTTAAATACATCATTATTGTACCATTATTAAGCGTAGATTGTAAAATGAGGAACAACTTTTGTACAGGTTTCAATGAAAAAAAAGATAAAACAACCACACCCATCGAGAATGATTGCGCGGTGCCGCGCTGTGATTTTTGAGATGGGAAACGTTATTTTCAACGTGTATAGGACTTCGATGTATATATATACATATACGTGTGTGTACATGTATATGTGTATATTTATATAAAAACACTGAGGTTGTTAACTTTTTTATTTTTCTTTGATTTTTTGTTGAGACCGCATACGATCGATTCGTACATCGTTTCAATTGATATACTGATTATTGTTTTCTCTTTTTAGACTTAATTAATGTCATTTGATAATTACGCGATTGTTTACCCTTTCTTATGGAATGTCTAAAATCTATAAGTTACAAGCGATTACTTTATACGTTATCTGTGTTTGTTTATTGAGATAATGAAAGATGAAAAATAAACAAATTTATGCATCGTAAGATGGACCAAATCAATCAAGATAATTGCAAGGATCAAAAAGAGAAACGTAGCAGTGCCTTGTCGAACTGCTAATATCTGGCATATCAACAACTATCGATTTTTTTCAGACTCAAAAATCCAACTCATAAATCCTATAACAACTACTACTATTACCACTTCTAAAACTATACATGAAAAGAATATTTTTCTTATAAAATACAATAAACCATAAACATTGAATATATAAAAAAAAAAGAATAATCATTGTGCTTTATAAACATTACTTTCTGTCTCAAAGATCACCCAACGGCTCGTCAACTAATATTTATTATTATGATCTTGCGATGCAAATTTTCAGTGTCGAGAATACAAATTAAAAATAGTAGATATATTATACTTATTTTAGCATTATTATGATAAATAAGAGGATATGTTTACACATGTGCTTTTTGCAACGATTCGACGGTGACTATATAAGTGTCTCGAAGTTAAACCGTTTAGAACGCGGACATCGTGTAACAACGAGGACAAAATAGATAAATAACACGAAGACGACAACTTGAGACATCTTGATGATATAGACAAAATATAAGATTGAATAAACAAATTAATTATAGAGAATAATGAACAATGGACGGAGCCGTGAATCGCGAGAGACTTTGGACGGCTATACATGACTGAAAGCGATCGCGATATTGGGCGACGTATTATAGTTGAATGCAAGAATGCAGTTTTTTTGAGTGAACTCGAGTGGCAGAGAAAGAAGAGAAGATTGATTTCTTAATAAAAATACCATGAAATATGAAAAAAGGAAATTTTTTTAAAAAAATGTAGAGCAGATATAAGAAAACAGGAAATAAACAGATAAAATATGATGAATTATGTGCGAATAAAAGCACAAAGTTGAAAAAAAAAAAAAACGGAAAGAAAATTAGAAATAAAAGAAAAAAATAAAGAAGCTGGCGTGTCTACCGCCAGATTGGTTTATGGCCTTATCCAATTTTTCCAAGACTAAAAGCAAATTTATATTAGGAAACGTGGTGTGATGTGTACAGATCGAAATTTGTAAATTCCTCGATCCCTCTTCAGCGGTGATTTGTTTGCGGTTCGCGCGGAATCCAGACGTCATACAGCCTTTAATGAAAGATTTCTTTCATTGTCTCTATGCAAAATATATACGATCAAAAGGGTGATGTTCGTTAATTTCAATAATAAAAGGAAACAGGCACATATACGTAACATACAGTTATACTTGCCATGTAAAAAAGAGAGACAGATGAATGAAAATCAACTCCACGGTCTTTGAGCTTTCACACGAACTTATTATTATACACTGACATATATATTTTTTTCGACAAGAACAAATTTTTATCTTTCTATCCCTCTACGCAAGGTTGTTCAAAGACACTCACCATCGCTAAATAAATTGTAAAAAAATCACTAGAAATTGCTTTTGTTGCAGGAATACTGTCAATCTTATAAAATAAAGAACTCAATGCGTAAAACTACAGGGCGCATTCCTGTAACTAAAGAAACTGCAGATTTTAACGATGAGTGATGATAGATACGGCTTCAATCAAAGGCTAAAAGAAATTACATATATGTACAATAAGAGAAGAAGTAAATTTTATTGAGAAAAAGTAATTAACTTTGGATATTGAGAAGAATAAAGAATTTACGATATAAAAATAAATCATAAATGATTCCGAGCGGCCCGCGAAGCAAAAACGCTTTTGTCAATTGTAATTTTTGGATAGACCATATATATATTATAAATACATATATATATATATATATATATATTTAAGTAATTGAATTTTGTCTATCGCCCTTGTGTATAAGGTGTATACGTAAACAAAAAATCACAACAGCGAGTCAGAGAAAAAAAAGCAAAGAAAAAACATTGGAAAAGCCAGCCACACATCGCATGTTTCTCGTGACCCCACTTACACACACCGACGACGAGCAATGAAGTTAAAGAGAATGATAATTTATTAATAAAACCATTCGCAAATCAATAAAAAAATTTAAAAAAAAATAACGGAGAGCAATAATTTTACACTCTCATTCAAACGAAAACCCTTTCCGCACGTACAGTCCTGCCAATAGCAAGCTGCCAGTGCTGCCACTGCACGACGGCGACGTCGGGGGGAGAAGAGAGAAGAATATCTCGGGGCAGCGCGCTCCGCGAAAAAGCGCCACAGTCTCCGAGCTGGCGTCACGCTTAGCACACTGGTGAATACGGCACGTATAGAGACGTAAACGGAGCACACCGTGTACTTCGAAGAATCCGCGTTTAGAGTGCGCGTGCGAGAGGGATAGACAGTGCAAACCGGCTGCTACTTCGACTTCTTTCATCTCTTTATATTCGTACTTAGTGAAACAGCATGGCCGAGAGCAAAGGATCGCTCATTGCCAAATCCGTGCAAAAGCACGCTGGCAGAGCTAAAGAAAAGGTGAGTTTTAAATGAACAATACACCTAACCTCATATCTTTCCTTCGTGTTTATCAGCTCGTTGCTATTTCGCCAGCCTTAGCCCTTTTTAACGTTACGCAACAGGAAATCGACCTTATGCAAGTGGATGAGTGATTTTGGAGTATCCTACGAGCGCACGGGATAGGTAATTTGCTAACGCGGGGGGGTTACGAAACGTTCGTACGTTCGGCTACAGCAGCAGTAACAGCAGTCCGCCGAAGGAAGGAAGAGAGAGAGAGAGAAAGAGAGAGAAAGAGAGAGAGAGAGAGAACTTACCGTTCACTCTCCTCGCGCACGTTTATGTGTGTGCTGCTGCATGCATGCCAAGTGCGAGATGTGCAACGGCTGAGCGTGCCGTTCTCTCTCTCTCTCTCTCTCTCTCTCTCTCTCTCACACACACACACACACACTCACTTACTCTCGTGCGACAAGAAACCGAATAGAAGTATACGAGCCGCAAAAGATTTGAATGCGCGACAGAGTACGCAATGGAATTCTAGGAGCGGCAGCTGCGGGTTAATTAGCCATCGGACGTACAAGCTGCTGCTGCTGCTGCTGGCTGAATCAAACAAAAGAGAGTGTATTCATGTCGATCAATAAACGCGTACACGAGTACCATGCTCTCTGCCAATCTTTTTTCTACTGTTTAACTCGCCGAGTGCGCGTATTTAGGAGATGTTCTAGATCGAGGGAATGCCGAAACGAAACCCTACCGCGGCGCGCGATAAATCCGCTTATACTAGCGAAAAGGGAGTAACGGCTATTGGACGGTGCGCTGTGCACATCTATTTTTTTTTACCAACAGGAAAAATATGCATGAAAGAAACAAAAGGTTTTATCGAAAAAGAAAAAAGAATAATGATATGTAGGAACGCGAACCTCGTGGGTGTTTTTTAAAACCGGCCGGTGAGCGGCGTTCCGTGTTTACGTGGCATTCCGAAAGAAAAAGAAATAAAAAACGCAGCCGTAGCAGCCCGGGAGAGCGCACGGGTTGTAGAGCTCTCTAAAGATACGACCTTCACCCCACAGGGGTGTCTGACCTTTTCGGAAATAGAGATGCGCACGGGGTTCGGCAAAAGCTGGCCGACGTCCAGCGAGAATCACGAAAAAAAGAACGTACAGCCGCATCGCGGTGTTTGATGATTTAGCACTGCTGTCAAGGCTGCAGGAAGTGAGCGCGTAACGTCGCTGTCGAGTGCACTTGAAAATAGAAAAGAAGCACCACGGCGCGCGGCTCAACTGGGTCGAGCTTTTCGCGCGAGAGTGCTTTGACCTTAATAAAAGAAAGAGATGAAAGACAGCGGAGGGCCTTTGCATCGTGATCGTTCGGGGAACTTAATTGGGCTTCTTTAACCGGTGGTTAATTGCAGAAAAAGCGAGAGTTCTGCGGATGGTTTGTTTTTCCAGAACAGAATTCTGACAATTAGCCGCAAAGCCAGGATTCCTCGATCGTTTGCGTGGTCAATTCACTTTTACTCGCGAACAAAAACCACTGTCAACGGGACGTTAGGTAAGCCGATATAACCGAGCTTTCTTTATTCTCGAAGTGGCGATCTGAATAAAAAGGCGTGTGACTTTTTCGTCAACCGTGGCGGCGGACCCCATGAAAGTGCTGTCGGTTTGCTTATCGATGTGCTACGCGACTCTCGATCTTCCCGTTGTGATTAGGAAATATGCAGGTATTACCGATCTCTCTCCTCCCAAATAAAGATAAACAATCGATGCCCGCGTGAAAACGAAAGATAACGTCGCCAGCGGATAATAGACGAGTGGCGCAAAAGTCACGCACGTGGCATTACACCAGGGACAGGTGCGGAGAGCAATGCTGCACGCGCGGTGCACCGATCGGCTCGATCGGCAAATTAATTAAGACCGATCGCTTTTGGCGAGCACGCTACGACAGACCAGTCGAGAGCGCCTCGCTGCCGTCACTCGCTCCCTCGCTGGAAGTTTATCGCTGACGATTTCGTTCGCCTCGTGCCGTGATGGACTTTCAATGTCACACGCGAGCAGATCGAAAACGTTTCTCGTGTGCCAGTGCGGCTGCTCGGCTCAGCCAACAGAGAAAAAAAGTAGCGCGACGGCGTGCGACGCGCAAAAAGAGAACACGTCACGTATGGCCGAGCGACGAAATAAAAAGAGAGAGAGAGAGAGCTTGGACAAAGAGTCTCAGAGACGTCCTCTTTTGCATATACGCTCCGCTCGTTGAAAAGAGAAAGACACGAGACAAATGTTCGTCGGACGTTCGGATCATTTATCGAGGCAAACGCTCGCGCGATGGAAGTTGGCGTGAAAAGCTCGCTGTTTTTTTTTCTTCGCACTGGCCACTGCATCGAAAATGTATGTCAGTGCACACGGCTGGACGCGTTTTATTTGTACCTCGCGCGGAGAAATCCGACGTGCGGATGAAGGATACGAGACGGCGGAGAGCTCGTTTCTCCGTCGCCTTCGCTGCTCGTTAGCTCGGGCGCACGAACAAATCGTCGCGATCGCCGTCCGAAAAGCCCAGCGGGGCAGAGTATCGGTAGGTGCGAGAAAAAGCGCCACCGCTGGCGCGGCGGGAAAAAAATCGAAGAAATATAAGCGGCGGCAGCGCGTGCGTGTGGCATCGGAGCCAAGGTCGGTACCGATTATGCAAATGCCGCGACACCTCTGGCGCTATCTCGCAGCCGCGATTATTGGCTTAGCTCGGATGACAAAACGCGGGCGTGAACGGCGAAGGCGGGGGGGGGCGTAACGGCGTCGGCCGCAGAGGGTTAACGCGCGCAGCGGCGTTATTGAATGAGCCTTGCTCCGAATTCGCCGACGGCTGCCACGAGCCGATTCGAGATTGCTCGACGGTCGCACGGTCGCGCACGGGCTTCTCCCGCGGCGAGTCCGGCAATCTCTCGGCGATCTGGCCGCAGTCGCGTCGCAATAATCGCGTCGGGGAGAAGCGAGAGCGGCGGCCCACCTTCACTTTCGCGACCGCGACTCCGGGCGCGCGTTGCACCTGCAGCATCTCTCTCTCTGGCGCGCGGGTGCATTGAACCCCGTCTCCCGTGGCGAAATCGGGCGCGCGCGGAAAGCCGAGACGCCTGTGTGCAACGAGCGCGCGCCTTTCTACTCGCCGCGCGCTTCGATCATTAATGACGCGTCGCTCGCTCGCTCGCGGGCAACGAGCCCTGGGCGATCCCCGCGGTCGATCCGCACCGGCGACAGCGCGACAATTGGACGGCGCGCGTGGGCGCTTCTGCGGAATCGCGCCTAATACGGGCGCGCGCTCCCATGGTACTTTCACTGCGCGCTCGGGCTCGCTCGGCGACGCGACGGCAAGCCGAGGCGTCGTCAGCGGCGAGTCGGAAAAAAAAAGTGAATCGCAGGTGAGCGGCGCGCGCGCCAGAGACAAGCATTCTTGACCCCGTGTCCTGTTGCTCGCGAGCGGCAGCCGGCGGGGTCCCGTTATCCCCGCGGAATGGGAACGACCAGTGGACCGGCCGGCTTTTACAAGGACCGCTTTTCTCGGCCTTCTCCTGCCGCGCGCTACTCACTCGCGCTACTGCTGTCGTCGGACGAGCCCCGATACGGCGCTCGACCAGCTGATCTTCGACAAACGTCCTTAGAGCGAGCATCGCGTTTATCGCGCTTCCGTGACTTGCTCTGGAGCTTGATCAACGAGTTGCTCGGCGCGGACTAGCTAAATGGCGCTTTTCGGGGACGGGACACTTCTGCCATCCTCGGACTCGACAGAGAATGATTTTGCAATGGGTTGGCTATGATCCGACGACAGCTGACCGAAACTCGGTTCTCGCAAACTCAATTTTATATCGAATCACAAGTAACAAAGTGTTGCGACGATTATACCCACATTGCGTGAAAAAAATAACGGGAAAAACCAAGATCCGAAAACGTTCGGTACCCGAATAGTTTTCGCGAAAGTCCGCTAGCTTCACGCCCAACGGGAATTCCAATCGCGATACATCGCGACGTGTAATATCGTAGTTCCCGATAAGCGGCCATCTCCTTATCTCACAATAATACGCGACGCAATCAGTTTGGTGCGCGCAGTCCACGTGCTTGCTTGCCCTGACTCACGAGCAGCCATTCCGCGCGCCTGCATACATTTATAACTTCTCGCCGAGTGCGCGCGATAAAGATCGGCCGCGAGTTTTGGCCGCGATCCAACCGGCGGCGTCGGCATTTTTGCAGCGGCTGCGACAGTTCGCGCGCCGCTGACGAATCGACGAGGGCGCACGCACGTTCGACATGTCCGATAGCCGATCGTCGTGTTCCCACGGCGCTCCGAGCGAGATGAAGAAGGCCGAGCGGAAACCAATGAAACGGCCGGCGACCCGAAGTTCGTTAAAAATAGCAGAGGCCTCTTGCGACGAGCAACGAACGGCTTTTCTCGCGTATCTTATCGCGCGCGGGGTTGACGTGGCGCGATAATTGTGCGCTGTTTTTAAAAATTTTTTTTTTTCGACGATCAATAGAGTTCGCTTCTGTCTCGAATGCAAGCGCGGCCGCGTGATAATAAATGGGTCGATCGTCTGGTCGCAATTGGAGTGAGAATCGCGCGTGCGCGCGACGCAATAATAGCCGCGCGTGCAAGCTCCGCTCGCTATTAATAAAGCCTACAACCCCGGAGAGAGAGAGAGAGAGAGAGAGAGAGAGAGTGGACACTCACAGAGAGAGAGAGAGAGAGAGAGAGAGAGAGTTCTATTTTCGCGGAGGCGACGGCTCTCTCCTCGACGTCGAGCCGCTCCAAAATTTGAGCCGCGTTACACTTCATCTCCCCGGGCGTTTGAAAACCCATACGCGCGCTTCACTCCGCTTCCCGATTGCACCGTCCACGTCCGCGTGGCTTTCTCAGCTCGATGGACTGGAAGAGCACGGAGTATGTGCACGGCTCCTCGACGCGGATCGCTGACAGCTGTTGTTTGAGAAAGGAGGAGGATCGGTATCGCCTTGATGACCATGTCGGATGCTCGCTTCCTCCTCCTTTTTCTTTTTTTCTTCTCCTGTCCACGAGCTGGCGATTCCAAGCTTTATCTGGAGCAGTGATTCGTCCGTTTGTTTTGTCATTTTTTTCTTCGACCGAGGACGATTATTCGTTTCTCTGCTAATGGAGTGTAAAATTCAAGTTTACTTTAATTGATCGACGAACGCGTCGCGGAGTATACTTTTGAAAAAATAGCAAACTTGTTACGCAGCACGGGGACTTATTACTGCCTAAACTCAAGGGAAGAACCGAAACTTACGTAAGATTTCAAGAAAAAAACAAAACTTTTCGAGCTGCCTATCTTTCACACGCGCACTCGATCAACGTAGATATCAAGCGAACACGGTTACGAATTGCACATGCATGCGCAATTTAAAAGAGAAAAAAAAAGGTACGTAACGTCCGCGCGTAACCTTGCATAATGACCGACAGAGCAAAGCGCGCGCTTCCATTAAGGCATGCCCGTAAAACTCACGCGCTCTTGAAAACTCGCTGCGCGCGATCCGCGTGGAAAAAACGAGGGAACGCACTCGCGGCGAAAACAAAGATATTACGAGCGGCTGTCGCGAGCATCCACGGGGAATCGTCATAATTGCGCAACGATCGTTTCTCACCTGCGCGCGAGGAGGAAGAGACCGAAGGAAAAAAGAAACGAACAGAAAAAAAAAGAGAGGTCGGCCGCGAAGAGTGACGTACGTATGCGAAGCGGCGGTCAACAACCTTCGATGCTCGCTCGCTCGCTCGATCGAGGAGCATCACGACGGGCCGCTCGCTGCTCGCTCGAGAGAGGCGCATACCGAAACTCATCTATATGCGCGTAACGAGGCGTCCGCGTTTAATGAGATGTGCCTTGGGAGCTAATAGGGCGAGCGGCGTATCCTTTGCTGGCGCTGGGGTAGACGCCCGGCGAGATGGCGCAGCCCCGAAAACATCGGGAAGCACTGCGCCCACGCGGCAAACGCCCACGGACCTGCGCCTCGATACGCCCGGTCGTCGCCAATTCGTCGTTGGATTGGCGCTGCGCCCACGCTTCGTTTTTTGCGCGCGAGCGAGAAAGAAGCGACGCGACGTACGGTAGCGCGCTTCCACGATCGATCAAGACAAGGGTCTCGCCGGTTCTAGCTAAACAGATCCTCGCAATGACTAAATCACCATTTGTCGTTCTCTCAACAGTTCCTACAGAACTTGGGCAAGGTCGACAAAACGGCGGACGACATATTCGACGAGCACCTGCAGAACTTCACGAGGCAACAGAACGCGGCGAATCGGCTGCAGAAGGAATTCAATAACTACATCAGGTGTATCCGAGGTACGAGGCAGGTCGATCCGTCGATCAAAAGAGTACTTCATTGATGCGTGTCCGTTACACAAACACGTGCTGTTGCCGGACGCTTATCGGCTCTGCTCTGCTCGGCTCGGCTTGGCTCGGCTCCGCTCGGCTCGGCTCGGCTCGGCTCGCCGAGAGCTGGGCAGGTGAACGCACTTGTGCCTTCGCGCGCCCATATGCGGCGAGCAGGCAAGCCGCGGCAAGAGAAGTAGGCCGGGAAAGTGCACGCCGCGGTCCGCTGGCTTCGGCTTGCGCGCCGGCCACTCTACAATGCTCAACTCGAGCGCTGCTCTCGGAAGCAAGAGAGAATCCGCGCCCAAGGCGTTATCTGTTGCCTCGCGCCTCGACCCCGTGGCCTGCTCCCGGACGAGCCCTCGGAAGGACATCGAGTCGGCGGCAAGTCCGTCCTCGGCGCGTGCCCCGAGGGATCGACACTCGTCGAGTCGGATGCGCGTTCGCGAGGGTGAATCGGGTCAGTCGAGCGGAGCGTCTCGAAAATAACCGCAGCGGGCTGCAGCCACCCGCGCGCGCCCGCGCTGCCTCGCGACGCCGCACACGCGTGCAGGCGACAAAATATCAAAGGAATAACGAGGCACGAAGCGCAACGGGCCTTTCTTTTCTCGAGTGGCTTTTTCCCCAATCAACTTTCACCGCTCGGTCACGACGAACGAGCGACGAGTCAATTGAAAAGTACGCGGCTTGCAGCGATGCAGCAGGCGTCCAAGACGCTGATGGACTCGCTGAACGAGATCTACGAGAGCCAGTGGACCGGCCACGACATGCTCTACGTGCAGGCCCAGAATCTCGACATGCTCTGGCAGGACTTCGCTCACAAGCTGGCCGATCAAGTGCTCGTGCCGCTCAACACCTATCAGAGCCAGTTCCCCGAGATGCGGGTATGTACGCGCTTGCCTCCTCGCCGCTTTCACTCGGCCCGCGCTCACCGAGTCTCCTTTCGCCCTTCGCAGAAAAAGATCGACAAGCGCGGTCGCAAGCTCGTCGACTACGACAGCCAGAGGCACAACTTCCAAGCGCTGCAGTGCAACCCCAAGAAGCGCGACGAGCTCAAGGTGTCCAAGGGCAAGGAGCTGCTCGATGAGGCGAAGCGCACCTATGAGCAGATGAATTCCGAACTGCACGACGAGCTGCCAGCTCTGTTCGACTCGCGCGTTCTCTTCCTGGTCACCAATCTGCAGACGCTCTTCGCAGCCGAGCAAGTCTTCCACACCGAAAGCGCCAAGGTACGCACGCTCCGTTCAGGCGCGCCAGTATTTCGAGACCCTCACTTTTTCTTTTCTCTCTCCTACTGCCTCAGGTCTATTCGGAGCTCGAGGCGATCGTCGACAAACTGGCCAATCAACGAGGCTCGTACACGCATAAGAAGAGCTTGTCGCAGCCGCAGTCGCCCAAGTCGCCCAACGCCAACTCGTCGTTAGTAGACTTTCTCTGTCCTCTCTTTTTCGAATATCTCGCGACGGACGTGCCCGCTGCTCGCGAAATAGGCTACCAAAGAGAGAGAGAGAGTGCGAGCGAACGAGCAGCGAGCTGCGTCTAAACTATGAATAAGATCGCTCGAATTTTCGGCTAGCCGTTCTGGAACAAACTGACCGTCGCGACGTTCTATTTGCTTGCGCGCTAAATTTTTACCGTTGACAGAGACTGTTGACAAAAAAATTATCAATACACTTGCGATACTACATTATACAAGTATGAAATTATTATTCAATTGCCTATCGGATAAATGCATCTCGAACAGATCAAGTCTAAAATTAGCATTATTAATCACCACTTTGATGATCTCACCGGCTGATAATATTATAGCTGAGCTTGTTTGTTTGTGCAACTTGGCAAAATATTCGGTTATTTAGTCAGTTGTGAAATGTATTCAGAGCACGCGTCCGAGTAAATTAGCGTTGAAGTTCATTGACAGCCAATTCATTAGTCGATAACTAATCATTATCTTGGTTTACAGACTCATCATCAACACGCAACCACCACAGAACAACATCTCAGCAGGTAACTATCTCCATGTGAATCCATGCATATAACCACACGTATTTGTAGAGTAAAGTCGTAGTTGTTGTGCCTTGTGTTGCTAACCCCAATGTATTTTCGTGATAAAAATCAAATAGAACGAAAGTCGGATCTGAGACTCGGCCGTTTGACGTTGTTAACGAATCCATAAAAGAGTAACTAAGAGGCAAAGAGGAGAGATGAATTTAGAGTAAAAAAAGGCGCGAGGCCCATCCTGACGACGATCAGTAAACTAAAGAGATGTGTTGGAGAGGTGCGAGGTATTTGGTGCGAGTGTTGTTGGATTTTGTGCTATTTGCAGCGAGCACAAACGACTCGACCCCGGTGTCAGCCGAGTCGTCGTACGAACACGAGGCGGCGACGCCGGTTGAGCACTCGGTGGCAGTGGCGCCCGTTGTCGCGGCGCAGCTCAACGGCAACGCCAACAACGGCAACGCCAGCGCCAATAACAGCAATAACGACAGCGCAGCCTCGCTCAATAATCAGGAGGTCTCGCAGCCGCAAAACTGCCCAAAGTCCCATGCCAATCGTGGCGTCGAGGAGCTATACGACATTCCCGTCGGTGAGTAGCTCCCTCCACCTCTCCACCCAGCCTCTCCAAACCTATTGGAAACTACTTCTACGCGAACGAGCCAATTTGTCCAGTTGATTGACGACCAAAAAAATCGCATTGTTCTCCACTCGAAAACATTGCGAAACAATCGGACAACGAAAATTGATGAAAAATTGCTCAATTAGCCCATTGTGCGAGCACGTAAAAAGTGCGTCGACAATGACAAACAACAAAGAAGTCGTTTCCAATTGGAATTTCCTAACCGGAGATAAATCGCGGTATGAACACGAGCATCTCCTATCGCCTGCCTGCCTGCCTGCCTGCCTGCCTGCCTGCCTACCTGCTTGCCTGAACTCGCCCGCCCGCGTAATTTGCTTGCCAGTCGCTGCTGTAGCATGCCAATTTTTTGATTGTTGAATGTCCTCGATTAACAATAATTAACAATGAGACCCGTATACGATGTGACATATATGTTAACCATGAAAATGCAATGTTGAATGTGGAATAATTGATCCTAATGGCGGCAAATTGAATCCTTCTAGAGGTGGAATATGAAAATGGTATCCATTTATCTGCAGGGGCGACAACTGACAATCTACCACCGGGAGTACTCTACAGGGTTAAGGCCACTTACAAGTATAATCGCGAGGACATTGACGAGCTGTCGTTCGAGGTCGGCGAAATCATTCGCGTTGTCGAATATGACGATCCTGAAGAACAGGTTTGTGTACATACAGACGCGTTATGCCCGTAGATAGTAAACCACGCGCTTGCGGATTAGCTTTCTTTTCTTTTTCCCGACTACACAATTTCGAGTTATTCAAATTCTCGAGACGCGCAGAGGCGACAACAGCTCCTTGTCTACATGTGACGACTGCGGATTTTTGCGTGTGACTAAATTGATGACCTGTTGTTTATAATGCACGAAATATGCTGCTTCGCCGATTTTCATTCGATCCCCGATATATTAGGTTTCACGGAGGAATTTCGCTTCTTTTTCTATAAAGCAAAAATATCTTTGCAATTTACAAAAATATTTATGTTCATTGGCATATTTAAAGTTGTCGAAAGTAAAACACGAAATAGTGCTGTTTCACGTGGCTCGATGTATGGTCCGTTACTATTTACGAGCTTCGCCGCAGCTAATAGAGCCGATGACTCACGATATGAAGCAATATTACCATAACTTACTTACACTTACGTTAGAATTAACGTTCTGTTATAAGTTCGCCGTCGCGTAAAATTAGAAGGAAAACAAGACACGCAGTCGGTGTTTATCGCCGCAAACAACATTCGAATATAATGATGCTCGAATTTCCCGTAGGAGGAAGGTTGGTTGATGGGTATAAAGGAGGGCACAGGCGAGAAGGGCATGTTCCCTGCGAATTTCACGAAGCCGCTGTGAAGCCTGCAAGCGATCCAACAGCAGATAGCCGCACGCAGCCAACTCAGCTCTTTGCCGAGGCGCTCGGCCACCAACGTGCCTTAAATCAGCCCAGCCACTGTCTGTGCCAATCGACGACAACCGCTCGTCGTTTAATTCGATCCCTTCCCTCCTCTTCCATCCCTTCTCCACCCATTTTTTATCCCTTATCGAACGCGCACCGAGCATCACTCATTTGTTGTTAGTATTATCATTGCTTTTTTTCTCTCTCGATCGAACTGCCGGGCTCGGTGCACCTTCGACTCGAAAGTCTTGTATAGCAGCGGGTCATCGTCGTTAGCTTCGCGCGCGAGAGAGCTCCAGCCCAATGGAATCGCTAGCGACTCGCTCTTTGAGATTGTATATTTTGTACGAATTAGCTTCGCCTGCGTGTTTTCGAGGTGATTATAAATTGACGGTTATAATCGAGCGAGTCGCTCTCGAGCGAGATTATTACGCTGGAATTTTCCAATGTCCCGCTGCTACTGAGAATCACTACCGCGTTATATATATATATATATGTATGCATATATATATATATATATATATATACATATGTATACAGTGTCTGTGTACACCACACGTGTACGTGTCAATGTACATGTCGCCAATCAAATTGAGTTTATTGCACGCGCGAGCGATGAGCTAAATGAAATACACTATATGCGCGTATGTTGAGTAATAATGAAGTATCTTATGCGGAAAAGTCTATTATTGATAAATTAATATTATTTTATGGATTTGTACATAGGACTACCTGTAAATCGTAAGACTATTATTATCAGGAGATTCGTCCACTCGCGCGAGCCGAGATCGACTTCATTTTTGTTTTCGTTCATTGAAAAGATTCTTTTTAAGAATAGTATTTTTTTCTTGTTTGACGCCGAATCGACAATGATTCGAGCCTAGGTCTGTGAAAGTTAAATTTCTTTTTTTGGAGAGCTCATCCATATACCTTCTCATCGAAAATATGACACATCTTCATCATTAGGAGATAATCAATTGTATAGCGTGTGGACGAATTGTGAAATCTTATACGATCGATTGTATTCAATCCATGATTTCGAAAGATGATGTCCAGAAAGAAAAAATAAAAGATTTTGTAATCAATTTACCCATCTGAAAGATTCATCTAACGGTCACGAATTATTAACTTGGATCCTATTTTGATTGTTTTTTTTTTATAAACGCGTAAAAAGTATATAAGCTTCTAAACGTTGATGTTTGCACATCGATGCCCAATAATGAATTGACTAAAACGACTTCACCTTTACGAGTTTAAATAATTATAATGATTAATATTAATTATTAATAAACTTCATAACGAGAAAACACTTGAGTATTGTATCAAACCCCTGTTTGTAATGTAATTGCGACAATATAAACTTTAAAACGAGAAACAGTAAAGCGAGTCAGTGAACGTCATGAACGAGTTCGCATGAATGTTTTTATTCCGTTATATAATTTAAGAAACGACAAATTATAGTCAAGATGGATTGTTCTTTTATACAAATTTTCAAATGTTTAAGTTGAAGGATCGAATCATTGTTACGCCTAAGAGCTTGATCTATATATTTAAATCTTCAATGGCTGAATCTTTCTTTCTATGTTGAAAGAAGAAGGCCAATCAACGAAAGACTGGTGTCAATTATTCGAGATATATGTCAGTACGTGAATAATGCCAAATCTTTTATGCTTCCTGTTGAAAATTTTGTAAGATTTTACACGTACACGCGTTTTTATAGGCCAAAGTATATACAACAGCGGGTGAAAGTATATTTACTCTACCTAATTAAGCGATAATCAATCATGCAGTCTTCATTTTGCGAGTAAGCTTTATTCTCTGTAGAAAAACCCTCGAAACAAAACAAACAAAAATTCGGTGTAACTATGAAATCGATCGTTGTTATATCGTTTGTCATATTTATGTCGTGTTGTCTAATTTTACTTTAGCCATATTTGCAAGTGTATAACCATAGAAATAGCTATAAATGATACAAAAGAATAAGTAATAATTATAGTACAATAAAGTAGCAAGTGTCTGCTATTTGGCTTGTTCCTTTTATTTCCCTGACTTACTGTTCAAGTACATAATTGCAAAAAAGAATTCAATGAAATTCTTTGATCGAATAAAGCAATTTGGTTGAAACGTAGATATTCAAGAGGATTGTGAGAAGCCCGGCGTATGAGTTGAAATCCTATTTACGTAAAAAAAATAACCCCGAGGATTTAGATTACCCTTGGATTATCGTCTTGTGCCGGTGTCTTATGGAATTTCACGAACAATATTCGATTACTATGCGAAAACAAACTTGCAAATCTTCGATAATATAGAAAAGAAGACAAATCATATCATGTAATACAACATAAGCGAGGAAGGCAGGTGTGAATAAACGGATCTGGGAAAAAAAAAAATATATATATATATGTATATATGTGTATATATAGTATTGGTTGGCCTAGACGAAGCCCCACAGTACTGTACATATCCGATACGCCGAAATAAACCACTGCCAAGGGCTTGCACTTGGTTCTCGAGGCAACGCCGCAAACTTTTCCGGAAAGCTTTCACCCGCTTGTTATTTTGTTTCTTTACAAGATGACTAATCTTCCGATAATTAACTTATCGACCATCATTATCATTTTAACAATATGGAGCTCGAAGCTTTTTAGTTTTTCTGCTATAAAATTGATCAAATCAACTTTGGCGCAGTAGGTACACGAGAGAACGAGATAAGCGCGCCGCGACTTTCTCTACGGATACCGGATGATCGGTAGGATCCACGTATAGGTAGGTGGGCCTCCCGTGGAGAAGATGGCACCACATGTGGGTAAAAGCAGTCTCTTCAATCACACTCACACCTACAGGAGAGCGTCTGGATGTGTGAGACGGTTGCCCGCCGAGGATGCCGCGGTGGCCGAAGTGTGTACAACACCCTAGGAGTGCCGCGTCCGCCATCTTGTCTCTTGACATAGAGAGGTGCGGGTATACACTACACACATCGTCCGGTACGCAGCGACGAGTGCGAGTGAGAGAGACAGACAGCGTAGAGCGCGAGAGGCTCACGCTCGCGGTTCGTGCACATAGATCGTAGTCGGCGCGGAAGTTATTTCCTTCCCCCGCAACGTCGTTGCAAGTATATGTGCGTGCATGTGCGCGCGTGCACAGCCTCAATACAGAACGTGTGTAATAGCCAACCGAAATTTTCGGCTCCGTGAATAAGAGAAGAGAGTAGTACTGCAATCATCGTTCGCGAGACCGTTCATCTCTCGTACAATATCACTCTTGCTCGCCTGTACAGTTGCAAGTGTGCGTGCTGTGTGTGTACAAGGTGAGAGACACGAAGAAGATTATCTTTAGTTTGCGAGGATATACCCTTGCGGAGTACATACGATCGATGCGTGCGGCAACGAGCGCCATTTAAATCGCTCGTTTTTGCTATCTCTCTCTTTCTCTCTCTCCTCCCCTCCACCTTTCTCTCAGACGGATACTCATAACCTCAAAAAATACAGGCCGCTTCGCGAGAAAGAGAGAGAGATAGAGAGACGATAAGTGAGCCGCCGACGATTTCGTAATCCAGTTTGTGTCCTCGGACACGTGCTCTCGGACAGTGTTTCTCTCTCTGTCCTCTCTCTTTCTCCTCTCTCATCTCTTTCTCTATCGCTAGTGCTATCGTTGATTTTCACGGCGAAGGCAACTTGGGCGAGGGAAAAGAGGCAAAGAAGGTTAGACATTGGACTTGGCCGTTTAGAGGGCTTCACTCTCATCCGGTTAGCTCTCACTCGCTCTGTCTTTCTTTGCCGGGTTCGGTTTAATTGGATTTCCTCGTGTACGGTGATAAAAAGGCAGGTTGCTGGGGCGCCTGATCCACAGTCTTTAGTGCAATCGTGCAACCATCATCGTTGTCATTGACAGCAGTAGCAGCTTAGCTCTTTCTCTGCTGGACTCTGTCTTTTAACTCTTCGGGTGCGTGTGCGTGCGGCTGCTACTTGCAAGCAAAAGCGCGATAGAGAGAGAGAGAGAGAGAGAGAGAGAGAGAGAGAGAGAGAGAGAGAGAGAGAGAGAGAGAGAGAGAGAGAGAGAGAGAGAGAGAGAGAAAGAGAAAGAGAGAAAGAGAAGGAAAGAGTGAGTGAGAGAACATACGTACGGACCAATCGCACGCTATAGGCCAGCTTTGGCGAGAGCGAGAGAGAGAGCGAGTGGTGGGTTACCACACCCAACCGCGCCGGGAGCGCGCGCGCGCGCACTGAACTCGCGGAGTCCTCATCTCTCTCATTCTCTCTCTCACTCTCTCTCTTTCTCTCTCTCTCTCGCTGCGTGTATTTTTTCGACAGCAGCAGCCTGCCTACAGCACGGGCCAAGAAGTAGTAGCAGCAACGAAGCAACCTCGTCGTGGTTGCTCTCACTCGCTAGCAAGTGCATCGCGATAGTCGTCATCGCACGCGGTGATAATAGTCCGTGCTCGGGAGAGCGAGAGAGAGAAAGAGAAAGAGTGTGTACCGCTTGCCCGATGCCTAAGGAAGAGAGATATCTAACCACTGTGTAATTCGTATAGTAAGAAGAGTAGCAGCAGAAGATCGACATCGTCCTGGTGGCGAAGAAGTGGGGCAGCGGCAGTGAACTGTAAAGGACAAGTGTTAGCTCGAATGCTCGGGTGTTGCTGCTGCGAGCCGGCGCTGGTGGTTAGCAGTGCTGCTTGACTGGCTGGCTGCCGCCGCGGCGTGCCAGTAGTAGCACCAGGAGTCGGCGGCGCTGGCGCTTAGAGGCAATACGTTTGACGGAGGCGAGGGTGAGGGAGGCGGCGGCGGCGCCGAAGTCGAAGGTGGTAGTAGTGATTGTGGTGGTGTTGGTGGTGGAGGCAGGATCGGCAAAGGTGGTTGGCTGCTGCGGGAGCAGCCATGGCGTGCTGCCTCTCGGAGGAGGCTAAGGAGCAGAAACGCATCAACCAGGAGATTGAGCGCCAACTCCGCAGGGACAAGCGCGATGCTAGGCGGGAGCTTAAACTCTTACTGCTGGGTGAGTCTTTAGTTACACTTTTTTCTACCCCACCCCGTTGCTCTCTCGCAACCTGAAAAAACGAAGTCAGCGGGAGAAAGAGAGAGAGAGAGAGGGAGAGAGAGAGAGAGAGACAACAAAAGAATAGCGTCACGTGCTCACTCTCTTTCGGAGCGATGTGCTATCGGACGGAAGGGCAACGCTTGCAAGCACCACGACCTTTAGACCATTCGTTTGTTCTCTCAACGAATTTGACTGTAGCTTTTACTTTCGGTAGTCGTCGTCTCCGTCGATGTCGGCGCCTCTGTGTGTGTATGTGTGTATGTGTGTGTATGTGTATGCTGTGATGAAAACAACCGCCAGCGCACACGATAGCTATTAATAGCCAAAGTCGCGGACGCGGTTCTCTTCGTACAGTAGCAGCAGCAGCTTTCGCTCAGCTGCCCCCGCAGTAACGGCAACAGCAGTAGCTCGCGCGAACATCAACCTCAGCTGCTACTGCTGCAGCCCCCTCCGGCATGGAAGTAGTGTGTCGGTGTGTGTCAACGAGAGCAAGACAGTTTGTTTTGATTGACCGCACGCGTGTGTTGAGGAAGAATGGAATCAGGCGAGAAACGATGAACGCGCAGGTTAGGATTTTGACGTATATGTATAAATATATATATATATATATATACACACACGTGCGAGTGTTCACTTTCAACTCCTTGAGCTTATATATATATCTATATATATATAATTCATAACAGGACGCGCTCGCGCGAGTCCGGTATTTCCCGCGAATGAGTAAGCATCCTTGGCTTAGAAAATTGCACTGGCACCTACGCTTATAATTTACAATCGACCGAGCAGCAGACTTTATATATGCTTGTGCTTTTTCTTCCTTCGTTCGTTCGTTATCAAAAGCGGCGACGACGATCGGATTTCGTAACGGCGCCAAAAACTGGAAAATCACTTGGGCGATAAGCGAGCTTCCGTGCGAGCTTTTTTTTCGTTGTACACATGTTGGCTTATGTAAACAACCAATGCGCGTAATTTGATTCTTATTAAATGGATGAAACCTTAAATTGTTTAGGCATGCGACTTATTGGGTTAGCCGACCGCGATGTGTTATGTGATTCGAAGCTTTTTCTCTTCCTTCTTTTTCGAAGCGTGCACAATGATATTGAATTCTCTTACGCTTTAGGGCATTTCTATGCGCGTTTTTTTCTTGTTTTTTTTTTATATAATTCCAAGAAATATTAGTTGTAAAGTTCGACTGCGCGTTTACAGACAAGAAACTTGTAATTTTAATCTCTTGACACTGACACACTTCTTTCGTACGTTCTTTTTTTGCACTATCAGTCTCTTGAAGCTTGCGAAATATTTATGATTGTAATTGTATATCATTTTGCCGCTGGAATTAGACACGCATACACGTAGTTTCTATTGACATGTGGCTGCTAATTTACGCGTGACTCACTCGCCTCAGAATTTCTTTTCTTTTTTTTTCCCCTCTCACTCGCAAGCACACACGTATGCGGCATTTATTTTACAGCTTTTTGTTTGCACAATCATATCAACACGTTTATTGTAAGAGCAGTAGGGTCCCTAAAAATTATTGCACCATGTTAAATAGGATAATTCCAAGGGAGCCTGAAAAAAAATGTATTACCGGCAACGCTGAACTGCCTGTAATTTGTCACGAAGCAATAGAAAAGTACCAATTGTACGAGCTGCACGCGTGAATACGAAAAAATCGAATAATTAATCGATGGGCGGGAAACATTAAACGTTAGTTACGTAGATTCAATTGCCGTGCAACTTGACAAGCGCCACCAATTAAAAGACCTTTGCAGTTACTCGTTTGAAAGGAGGAAAATCATCTTTGTCATAGTGGCAATTTTAACATATCGCGCTGGCTCATCGCGTCAAGCCGAACGAACGGAGCCGTGGTGGTCGTCGATCAAAAAAGCAAACGTTGGGCTGCCGTTGGGAAGAGACAGAATTTCTCGAGTGCACTCTCTCAAACGTTATTCTTCCTCCTGTCGATTGTGTCAGCAGGTGTGTTTAGAGCGAGTCAGATAAGATGCGCGCGTTGTAATTGGCATTGGTTTGGGCTCGATTCCGCCGAATAACATTTCCATTATCGTGCGCTTCGCTCGATCGCAGCGAAATTCGCGAGGTCATACGTAAATATTATGAAATTCGAGGACATTAAACCACATAAAGCAGATACGCGACGATAACGGACGGAGCGAACTAAACAGACAACAGCTTTTCGATAGTAATGTTGTGATTAATCGACGCAATATACACTCTGAGACAATCAACTTATCGACGTAACATTGGACGTCGCGTTTCCTGCTTCACGGGTGTGCACCGACACCTGTCGCATAAAAATATTAAGAGAAACAGGCAGAGACAACGGTTTCCTCATCTCGAATTAGCCAATACGTAACTATTTCAAGTGATAAGGAAAAAAGTTAATCACGCTTACGCAGCCAGCAGCTCGTGATTCACCAGGCGCACACGTCGGCGGCTGTGCGACATCTCTTTCACTCGCAAACTCTCTTCTCATCCGCACGTGTTGAATTTTATCAAAATACGAAATAATGTACGCGCATCCGCAACTATATCTGAAAAGCTATTTCTTTTTCTTTTTTTTTCTTTTTCGAAGATAATGAGTGCGTGCGCGAGGAGGAGAACGATTTGCGTTTCAGAAAAAACGAAAGCTAACGTAGCCCAAGGGAGAAGGTAGTGCCTCGGACAGTGTTCGTGGAAGTGAGCGGCAAGGGGTTGGGGGGGGGGGGGCACGACAGAAGAGTACCGCCCGTGGCATACCTGCGTGCGAGCGAGGGGGTTTGTTCACCTTTGCGAGCGCGCATCGCGAACCGGGCGCGCGCTATCGGCCAGTTGCACTCACGGCGACGCGGAAAAGTCGGAGCCTCGCCGAGAGCGATAGGCTCGCGGAATTCGCTTGTTTACGATTGCGAGAATCCCGCGGCTCGCTCGCGACGCCGATATGCGTGCAATTGCGCGCGACTCGGGAATTCGTTCGGCGCTGCGAGTCGATGCATGCGGGGCAGAGCAGCCGCGGTCGGGTCCGCCCGGAGCTCCGCGCAGCGAATCCGGGAGAATTCGGGGCTGAGCTCGGCGCTAAGTAGGTTAAGTTCGCGCGAGTGGAGTAGCCGGTCGCTCACGACACTACGCAGCGCTCTCGGTATAGAGGCAGCGCAACCCTTTGCGCGCAAGCGTCGATCGATGCACCGCCGGCCGAATGATCGCTCCCGTTGGTCGCCCTGCCCACGCCCTTCGCAGCGCGCAACCACCTCTCTCCGCGCGCATTCCCCATCGGCTGAGCGTAGCCCGCGATTCAAGGTCACCGGCAGTAAAACGCCCCGCCGTCGGCGGACGTGCGCAATTGGGCCTCTCCGTCTTTCGGCGGGTCAGTGGACTCCCCCGGCCGACAATCGCGCGAGCGTGCCGATCAAGGAGCTCCCTCAGCCGTGCGCACAGAGAAAACAGCTCGCCTCCTCTTTTTTTTTCTCGCCTCTCGCACATGCGTGAATCGATAGGATATTATTGCGCGCAAGCGCCCACGCCTCCCACCCTCTCTCTCTCTCTCTCTCTCTCTCTCTCTCTCTCTCTCTCTCTCTCTTCCCTCTGCTCTTAGACAGACTGCCTGCGCGTCACTGTATGTGCTTTTCTTAAACGCTGCCGCGTATACGTTGAATCATCCTGCGCAGGATGAGCGAGGCGCGCTCTTGTTTTTTCGCTCCGTTCTACCGTTTTTAATTGACTAATTGTGGATTGCGCATCTTTTCACCTCGATCGAGATTTCTCCGCGCTAACATTGATCGTTGGACGGTATCCGCTCGCAAACGGCCTTATTGCTATTTCACCGAATGAACTTACGTCAATTCAATGATTTGTCGAAAGAAAGAATAATCATAAAAGATCTCGTTATCAAACAATAATGGAAGGTGAAAAAGTTATGAGCAGTCGGCATTGACTTTACAATGGAGCACCGCTAACAGCACGCGTGCATCGCACGTCGTGAAAAAGAACAGGCGCGCGGCAATTAATTAATGGAACCGAAAGCCCATGAAAGCGGAGGCAAAACAAAATAAAATTAATTTAAACTCGTTATCACCCCTGGTGATTAAACGTTCTACGTGATTTATTTACGCGGTGACGGCGACGACCATCACCACCACCATGCGACGACACGAAAATTCTCCGCGGGGTCAAGAACGCGTCGTCACGCGCACAGGGTTTCGGACTGTCAGAGGGTTAGGCTCAATCGTGGACTCTCGAGCGGATCTTTCGAGTTGTGCTTTGCCCGTGTTTCCGTGGTCGAGTAGTCATCCGACTGAGGTCGCATTTCCCAGCCCGATTCTGGTCGTACTCGGCGATTCCGCAGAGCGAATTCCCAGCAGACGCGAGCTGAACATTCCGCAGTAGCCGCTCGCGGCTAAAGCGAAATCGGCGAGGCTCGGCGGAAGCGAGCAAAGTTCGTAAGTGGAAAATGGTTTTGTTACACTGCGCAGGCACTGGCGAGTCCGGCAAGTCCACATTCATCAAACAGATGAGAATTATCCATGGCTCCGGATACTCGGACGAGGACAAGCGAGGCTTCATCAAGCTGGTCTACCAAAATATCTTCATGGCGATGCAATCGATGATCCGGGCGATGGAAATGCTCAAGATCCAGTACGCGGACTCGTCGAATATCGTAAGTGTGGGAAGCGCGAGGGCGAGCGAGCAGCGGCAAGCGAGTGCGACTGAGGAGGCTGCGTTTGCAGGAGAAAGCCGAACTCGTGAGGGCGATCGACTTCGAGACGGTGACGACGTTCGAGGAGCCCTACGTAAGCGCGATAAAGGATCTGTGGAAAGACACTGGCATCCAGGAGTGCTACGACCGCAGACGGGAATACCAGCTGACGGATTCTGCCAAATAGTAAGTCCATCCCGACTATTAGCGGCACGCGCGTACCGCAACCGCGGGGCAACCGGCGCCGCCTCAGTTTGGCGTCAGTAAGATTTGACAAGCGCGTTGCACTGCGCCACAACTGAGTCGGTCATCGCGATCGCCGTCGTAAGCAGGCGGAACGCACGCAGGCAGTGCGGCGGCGGCGGCGGCGGCGACGGCGGCGGCGGCGGCGCAGCAGTTTCACTACAAGCTGAGCATGTTCACAGTTACCTGATGGAAATAGACCGAGTCGCGTCGCCGAACTACCTCCCCACAGAGCAGGACATACTGCGCGTTAGAGTGCCCACCACGGGCATCATCGAGTACCCCTTCGACCTCGAAGAGATACGATTTAGGTAGCCAAATCGACAGATCGACGCACCCGTCGTCGATGCATGCCGTTTTTGCAGTCTTTTTTGCACGTCTCCGCTGTCTTCTCGCTAACCTGTCGCTCGCGCGCTCGCAGCATCGCGCGGGCGACCGTTCTCTTTGGCTTGGCAGGTTGCGCGTTCACTGCAAGATGCACCCTCCGAGCTCACTCCACTAACGCCTCCTTTTCTGTTCCGCATCCACGACGACTAACGCACACTCGTTCCTCTTTGCATGCGCATGCCTGAACATTGCCGATGGCTTGCTGGTTTTTGTGTTACAGCTACATTAGCGATCTCGACCGCATAGGAACTCCGGATTACCTTCCAACCGAGCAGGACATTCTGCGAGCTCGAGTTCCTACTACCGGCATTTTAGAGTATCCCTTCGATTTGGACGGTATCGTATTTAGGTATCTTGACCAACAAACGATATGGCACTTTGCTATTTACCAATCATATCCGCGTCTATGCAGATAACCATCGTGATTGCTCGCGCGATTGCAACAATCTCGCAATTTTCTCGCTCGGCTTGGCATTCATCAACGCTACGTGTCGCGTATGTTATTTTTCGATTTTGTTCTTTTCCATCTGCCGTTTACTGCCGTCAACTGTATTACATTCGAAAAGTCATTCGTAAAATTACTTTGCATCGCTCGACAAAAAGACATATGTATATATTTATATATTTTTTGAAGTGCCGTGTGCTTGCGCTTGAAGAAAGTGTCCTCCGAAGAAATAAACGGTTTAGGCGATAAAAGCTCAATTGCGATTGGATTCTTAGTAATGTATTTCAGTTTTTAAACTTTTTGTCAACCTTACTAACAACTTTCATGCATGACTTGTTTTCTTTTCCTAATATTTTATGTGGAATGCTGTCATTAACTTTTTGGTGAATGCCGTTTTAATTGGTTTCAATGTGAATTTATTACTAATCTTGTGACTTGACAACGATAAAAAAACTAATTTTGCTTATATTTTTGTGTCAGCTTACAGTAGTTAGTCGTTCTACAATCCAAAACTCACAATGAAGATGACGCTAATCGTTCAAAACTTATCTCTTATAGGATGGTCGACGTCGGTGGACAGAGATCCGAAAGAAGAAAATGGATTCATTGTTTCGAGAATGTAACTTCCATTATATTTTTAGTAGCACTAAGTGAATACGATCAAATTCTGTTTGAATCAGAAAACGAGGTAATCAGAAGTGATTGATTAACTATGTAAATACGCATGCATTCATTCGAACTATTGCCCATTGGTTTATTCATGTTCCTTCTTTTTGTCTTTTTCATGTTAGAATCGAATGGAAGAAAGTAAGGCGCTGTTCAAGACGATCATAACATATCCCTGGTTCCAGCACTCTTCGGTCATCTTGTTCTTGAATAAAAAAGATCTACTAGAGGAGAAAATTATGTATTCCCACTTGGTGGATTATTTTCCAGAGTACGATGGTAAGTTCCATACGCTCTATTGGTATACAATTCTAAAAAAGCTAACACTAAAGAAAAGGGTCACTGAGATAAAACCTTGATTCCTAAATCCTCAATTGGACTTACAAAGTTAGTGACGTGAGTTGATGATTGTATTAGGACCGAAACAGCAGCACGAGCCGGCTCGAGAATACATCCTAGCTGGATATCTCGCGTGCAATCCTGATCCCGATCGCATGTGCTATTCTCACTACACCGTGGCGACAGGTCTGTCAGTTGTGTCTCTCGTTAATGACACGTATCAAAAGTTGCTGTTTTCGTGTGTAATTATTAAGGCTAGTGCCAATGCTCGCCGATGTTCGGACGCACGTGTATTACTCGACAGGGGCTTCCACACTTGGACTTCCGTGCGTTTCACTTGTACCTATCTATCTCTGTATCTTTCGCTTACTTAATACGCTCAACGTGTTAGCTCGTGTAACCTTATTACTACCGCGACTATTGGATTAAATTCAACGTGGAGCTTCTCAACCTTGACCATGATTCGCGGGAAACGCCGCTGGCAGCTAACGCATTCTCTCTCTCTCTCTCTCTCTCTCTCTCTCTCTCTCTCTCTCTCTCTCTCTCTCTCTCTCTCTCTCTCACACACACACACACACACCCTCCCTCCCTCCCTCCCATCGTCGAGAACGCCGAAGATACTTTTCCGTTTGCTTCCGCGACGCGTGTAACGCGTTGTTGGCTCGACGACGTATACGTAGACGTGTATATTGGCTAGCAGTATAATGTTAGTTTTTGTGTGCGTGTTCCCAATCCCGTTGGGCTATTGAGATCATTGACGTAGGTAATTATTACGTGGGCTTTTGACGTAAATGTAACTGATTGAGTGACTATTATTGTGAGCATCGATTCACAGTAGAAAAATTCAGGGAATGGAAGAGTACCTCGACAGACACACATTGATAAAAGCTAGAAGTAGTATTGGCTGTAAGCTTGTCTGCGTTTCTCTTGTTGTTTCCTGAAATGTAGGACCCCAAAGAGATCCGACAGCAGCGAGAGAATTCATTCTGCGGATGTTCGTCGACCTGAATCCAGATAGCGAAAAGATTATCTATTCCCACTTTACATGCGCCACAGGTAAGTCAGTCATGTCTAGATGTGCGCCTGCTTTCTTGTCTGCGTTGATAACCCGCTTTTCCGCTTTCGTTCCCCTTGCTTTTTGAGCTTTTGCATGCCATTCGCGTCGGCTTACTCTTGCCTGTTCGTATCGCTTTTTCGAAGGGTCTTTTACATACCTACGGTAGATCGGTAGTCGAATAATTTCTGTTGGTTCTCCACTTACGCTCGAGGACACCGATTATGGAAATGCCTAATTTGCTCATTGTTTTGTTTGATTGACGTCTAACCGCACGCATGCAACCGCACTGGAAACATGGACCTTTAACAGACACGGAGAACATCAAACTCGTGTTCTGCGCCGTGAAAGATACGATAATGCAGAGCGCCCTCAAGGAGTTTAACTTGGCTTGAAGGCCGCAACCGGAAGAGAGAAGCAAACAAATCATTGTTTTTTTATTTTTATGACGGGAGTGTCGCGCGTGTTTTTTAGCGAGCGAATGCACAAACGGAACTGCTGCTACTTCTGCTCGTCTCTCTAGTGTACCACCGTTCATTTTATCTCTCGTTATGTACCGTCAGAGGCCCGCCTCTTTTAACTTATAAATGCTCATTCTCGACGACTCAAAAGGAATGATTATTTTATTAACCTTACACTGCGCTGATTCTGCTAATTATTCAATATACATTCGTTTCAGACTAGCCGACTCTCCTGTGTTATTATTCTTTATTTCTCTACCACCACGCTCGTTTTCGACATCCATGTTCTTTTTGACTTTGGTTTTTGTGAATGTCGCTCCTCTCTTTTTTTACCAGCATGCGCGATTTTTGTACTGTCTCTGTCTCTCTCTTTCTCTCTTTCTCTCTTTCTCTCTCTCTCTCTCTATCTCTCTATCTACCTATCTATCTATCTCGTTTTTTGAAAAAGAATCATTTTTGCATCAGCATGCGACACGCTTCTTTTCTTTGCCATTAACTAACAAAGGGTAAGTGTCTTAAATGGTCTTTAAGAAATCTGAGCTCGCTTCGATCAATCGTAACGTGCTCAATGAAATTTCGTAACGAACCATTAGCGAGCTCGGATTTGATGATATGCAGTCTACGCATCAATGAACTTGTAAAGCGACAAAATGAAAAATTGAGCCAATTGAAAAGTAGACTGCACGTCGCAACACATTTGACTAGTCAAACTGACTGAAACTAACATGAGCAATAATGTCTCTGCAGATACGGAAAATATCCGGTTCGTGTTCGCGGCAGTGAAGGACACGATTCTCCAGTCCAATCTCAAGGAGTACAATTTGGTGTAAAAAGGTGTGACCGCGCAAACCTCCTTGAGGACATCGCTTTAAAGGAAAACCAGAGAATATGCGCACACATGCACGCACGCACGCTCACACACACACACACACACACACACACACACACACACACACACACACACACACACACACACACACACACACACACACATACACACACACACACACACACACAAAATATACACTCACAAATCAGATTCAAGGGCTAGAGAGGAAGAATAAGAAAACAAAAGGAATGTCACTGGCTCGAGCACGGAGCCACACATTATATATATAAATATACCACAAAAGTGCGTCGAGAGAAGCCGAAGGCCGCGTCCGCAGTGGCGAAGAGAAGAGTCGTCGTCGCCGTCGCCACCGCGTCGGCACGGACATTCTCACCTCCCGACGAAGAAGGACAACGTCGCGCGTACGACGATTACATGCATCTAGGGACGACGATAAAAGACTCTTATTACCGATTGCGCGTCTGTGTGCACGTGCGTGCGATTATGTGGCTGTTGTGCCGTGTGTGCTTGCGTGAAAGTTTGACGAGCGCGGCCAAGCCACTGTTAATGCTGCCGCTGCGCTGTATTGGGTACGAGAGAGTGAGAACGAATGAGCGAGAATAAAGAGAGAGAAAGGTGAATTATATAAAATGCACGCGGCTCGAGCGCGCGCGTGAACGATTTTAAACGGTCTGGACGTTGAGTGTGCGCGCACGCTTGAAAGGCTTCGACAAAATGAAAAAGGAAAAAAGCTATATAATGAATATTAAAGGACAAGAAAAACAAATAAATAACACAAAAGACCAAATTATCTAAGGAATTTTTTCGTGCGCGCCACGCCTCGTGCGCGACGACGATATACACAATTTTTAGGTAGTTTTAAAGAAGCAGAGATTGAACGAACGAGGATTTTCTGAGAAGCTTGTGAGAGGCGAGAACGACATTTCCAACAAAAAAAATACAAGTAAAAAAAATACCTCGTCGATTATCTAGCGGCGATGATTGCGCACAAATAAAAACAGAAAAACAAAACCAAGTGGATCGCGTCCTATGCTCTGTACGATTAATACATGAGATATGATATATAAAATGAGAATGATATATAATATTAATAAAGTCAAAGATGGAGTTTGAGAGAATTTTGCAAAAAGAAACCAATCTTTCTGTCTTGGATTTAAGCCCAAACAACAAAAAAAAACATAAGGCAAATACAAGCAACGTATCTCTCTCATTGCGAAAAAAAATTATACCGATTTACTTTTCATACTTCATGCGTTGATGAATTTGTTACCTTTTTATATAGCTTAGCTTTATCGATCGAGCTCGGCTGACTGCGATGTCACTTGATTTTTATAAAAATATATATAAAGAGGAATAAACAACTTGATAGATGTTCAAGTAGAGAGGAGTCTATTAATTAAAGTCTATTGGGAGGGAAAAGATACATTAATTAAATGGCGAGAAAGAAAAACGGCATAGTGCAATGTGCCACGCGTCTGTCCAGTGTATGTCTCGGGTAGAGAAGTAAATGCGATGGAAAATCCCATAATATAATTAAGGTCGATGATAGTCGAAATATAAGTAGGCAAAAAAAATTTTAATGATAAATCAATGGATTTGACACATGAAACATGATAAAATAATTTCGTTTATCCTCTGACTCTTTGGAAACGATTACGAAAGAAAGAGTGAGAAAGTATGCGTGAGCGTATGTGCGTTCGAGCAATAGACGATGTGCGTAAAATATATGAAAAGATGAAGAAAAAGCTTTTTAATTGTGAATTAGATTTGCAGACACGAGTGAGAGCAATTCTAGTGCCATTTACTAGCGTGGTGGTTTTATTGCAGTCCTTTGTTAAGAGCGAAGAGCCAAAGTGTTTATTCTTTTGTGTTTTCATTTTTTAACTGTGCCAGAAACGACTAAGAGTTCTTTCTGCGTGTGACTCAAATTCACAATTCGTCGTATAAATATTGTTATATATAATATATTTAAAGAAAAAAATATCTAGAGTAGCGAGCATTGAGGTACGTCGGCACAAACAAGTGACTAAACGAATAAAAAAAAACAAAAAACAAATCATAGCGAGAGGGCAAAGAGATCTACGATTTGTTTTTAAACTGTTTACTTTTCCTTTTGGTTCATCTTAATTCGTACTAAGTAGCGTATTAGATCTCATTGAGAGCAACGTTTATCTTTTGTATACATTGATCGAGGCATTTATGTATTTGGACGATTGCACCCTACAAAAAAATATTTAACGTTTAGAAAGATTTTCAAATGTTTTAACAATCGTTGATGCTTTCAATGAAATCGATAACCATTGATAAAAAAAAGTTAATCTCTTGTCTTATCTTAAAAAAAGTGAAGTTTTGTGCTAGCTTGAGAAAAAAAATATAACTTGAGCGAAATCAAAAAAGTCGACGCCTCGTTGGCGTTTTCGATTCCACGCTCAGGAATAAAAGCAGTGATCTCGATTGTCCTTCGAGAGTAAAGATCTAGTCTTCTCCCCGAGGAAGGATTTCCTTTCAATTTCTTTTACATTTGATCGTCTAGAGCTGCAGATAAACATGATAACCTTTTCCTCATCACCTATAATTTTAATTTTAGAGTACAATATTTGTTCAATTGGAAGAAAGTGCAATTGATATCTAATATATAGTCAAGTAAGAGAAAGCTAATTTATAATAAGAAGATTTAGTTTGATATTAATTCCATTTAGCTTAATGTGTATTTTTCTTTATTGTTGTATTATAAAATGCTTTATTGCTTTAGTCGTTTTTCTAATTTATTCTTACTATATCAACGAAACGGAGTAAAAGTAAACTATTGAATTAAAAACATTTGTCATAGTTTTCCATTTGTACGATTTGGAAAAATATCTGTTTTATTTAATAACGTGTTTTATATTCTATTAGAAGTAATTTTGAATCAAGAATCTCTTTGAAACTATTTGAATTTCATTTAAAAGCATTTATCGGAACGAGTTTGTGTCTAATTAATAATCTCTGATCCACCAGCAACTGGTTATCATTTTTACCGGTAGCTCGAATTCATACACCAACGCTCTGTTGACAATGACTCGCGAATTCTCCTCGGCTCGTAAAAAAAAATTCTTCCCGCTAATATACTTCCCTCAGCGATAATCTAGCTTCTGTCTCGCCCCCTTGGCGCGCTCATTGTTAAGAAATAAAAAATGACGCCGCACTACATTCGAAAGTGCACTGTCTCATCAATCTCTCTGCCCGTTACAGCATTTACTTCGAAAAAGATATTGGGCGCGAGCTCCTCTGCCGATGATGGAAACGACGAAAAAAATTTTAATATAAACATAAATAACGATTAAGCTCCGTTCGTATTTTTTGCTCCTCCTGTTTCACTTGAATACAGAACTATGTATAATGAAAGAAAAAACATATTTCGTGACTGTGCGGGACGTACACAACAAAAAGAAAACAGCGCTCTCGACGTGTAAACTATATTGAAACGAAATGGCGATATAAAACGGATAGAATCTATTATAATATATCGCAAAGAGAAAAATAACTAAGAAAAAAAACAAGTTTGTTTTTTGCATCGCGTGTACGTATATGAGGACGATAAAAAAGAAAACCGCTCACTGCCTGCGCTCGCTCATTGCCGGCCAGCGCGTTATTCCTTGGATGTATGAGTGAACGCTAAACATATTTCCTCCCTTAAAAAAAAAAAAAAAAAACAAAACAAAAAACCAAAAAAAAACCGATATAATATATGAAATTTGCATGAGTGGCGCCTTTCGAAACTTTCAGATGAGCGTGTCTTTTTATCTTGGTTTCAAGCTTATAAGATAGTTAAATGAAAAAAGTTAATACGACTTTTATGCCGTATGCTAGGGCTCGAATTGAAAATCTGCAAAGAACAATCAACGCACACATTCCGCGGCCCAAGGATTTGAGAATGCACAACTAATCGTGTAAGATTTTTTCATACGCACCTACTACGTGATTTCTATGCCGATTTTCAAACGAAGCCAAGTGAGTTGTATCAATTTTTAAAAACAGCAACAAACGTAAAATGTTGAATGTTGTATTATTATTTTTTTTTCAAGTGAAGCTTTTTAAGAATAAAAAAAGAATTAAAACGATATTCCCCGCGATGGATACCGAAGATTTTTCTAACGAATTGCCATAAATAGCTTATCTATGTAATATTGTTTAGCTAGTGCATAGCCTGTACAGATTTAATGCGACTTATTTATCAGTGTAAATAACATTAATTTAAAAGAAACAAAACACCCCGATCGTTTATTCGAAAGTAACGAAAGCTTTGCGCTCGACGATCGACCCAAGTCACGCCAGCATATACACGATCCATCCTTTGATCACCCATACGTATGTTTCTAGCTCGCGCTTGCGATTGTTAATCAAAAATAAGAAAAAGATGTTACGGAAACAAAGCAGAATGCGAGAGCGAGTTGAAGCTATAACGTAGGCGTAACGTGGATCAACGTGGCGCACAGGCAATTTATTATCCAAATTCATCACGCGCGCGCCATCGAAAGCAAACACAATTATCGCTAATTACACATAACCGTAACATTATTTCGCGTGCAGACAAAGAAAACATAACTAACGTGTAAAAGAAAAAACCGCGAGAATATTAAAGTATGATAAGCTATCCCTTTGGTTTGTCGCCTCGCACGCGAGAGATGATTTGACGCGCTGACGAGGACGGATAAATAAAAGGAGTAGAGCAGAGAGGAAGATGAGGTGAGGGAACGCAGATGAAAATATGAGTTTATATCGAAGATTACAAAATATATAAATACAATTGAATATAAGTATAACATTAAGAGTAACAACAAATAATATTGAATAATAATTATAATACTGCTTGGTTTTTTCAGTGCGGACGAGTAACGAATGCTCGAGACTGACGATCGATGTTTTAAACAAAAAGTGGGGGAGGAAAAACAGATACATTTTTAAGGGCCGACACAGCACGGCTAACACGGGGAGAGAATGACGAGAGAGAGCACGAGTACGATGAGACTCTCTTTCCTTTCTGCGACGATCGATCGTCTTTCATTTTTGTCGTTGTTTCCTTTGTCGCACAAATTATATATGTAAATGTAATCGATGTACGAACGAGCGAGCGAGAGAGAAAGAGAGCGAGCGTTTGTTTTTTGATCTCTAAACAAAGTAAAGAGCTTTGCGCATTATGAATGCGCGCCAAAAAGTATTAGTTTGGATGGTGACGATAATCGGATACAGCAGGGAAAGAGAGGATCCGACCGGAATCGATGTGTGTGTATGCTTGAGTGTGAGAGCTTAGTGAAAGAGAAAATACAAACACCTCGCGCGTTGCAACAAAAATAAAACAAACGTTAAGGAGAATGTAAGCGAAATAAAAATGAAGAAAAATTACAACAATTTAATTAAGAACGTAACAATTGTGAAGGGCGAACGAGCGGATGGCCCGAAAAAAATAATCTCGTAGCTAAAACTTCATTTGTAAAATCGTTTCTCGACATAATTGAAGGAAAAATAAAGAGAAGTATACAGTTTCGCGAGGAAAACAAAAAAAAACACAAAGCGTAATGCGGTTGGGTATTCTTTCTGTGTGTAAAAAATGTAAACACCTACAAACAAAGCCCACGATGAAATCAATGTTTCTAACTTATTTATAATAAATAATATACATTAATGAGAAAATATTAAAAAAAACAACGTATTGTTCGTGTTGCCTGTCTTTCTTGAATCCATACACCTATTTTACATATAAATGCAAACAAGTCAATACTTTAATTGATATTTGTTATTACAATGCTTTTTCTGTTTGCTCTGAATATAACCAAGTTAGTTTCAGATTATTTAGATTCTTTTCATCGAGTAATATCATTCCATGAACGAAGATGACGTTTTCTTATTGTACTCTTAACATAAACTTGTCTAGTTCCACAAAATCAGAAGCAATTGTCAAAGTAAACGTTTGTAAAGTCGAGTTCGTACAACACGTAACATGTAAGCAGCATTTAAATTCTAAAATCATCGAATTGAACGCAAAAATTGTAGTTCTTGTGTGCAAGGCTTTGTTAATCAAACTTCATACTAGATTAACGGTATATAAACCCATTTATGGTCGAGTGATCTTCGGATTTTCACGTTTGCTGAGAATGATTCATGCAATCGCTTGATACGTACGATTGCACTCAGCTGTGGAAACAATAATAGCAATAATGTCTCAGGCATTATCAAATATACGTTATCGGGTTTTAGAAATACGTATATCTCCTAATTTCGAACGGTAGATTCTTGAACAGCATTGACTGTAATTTCTCGGATAAAATCCTACACGCGATGTTCTCCACGTGTAAAACGACAGATATACAGCAAGTGCGATGAATGAGTTGTAAAAGCACTCAGATTAGCGTGAAAGTTATGCGTCATAAATTTCAGCTTCGTCCGTGGATAGTAAAAGCGACTATTATATCCGACCATGCTCGGCAGTTTTCTACTTGGAACAATATTTTCTGCGCTCAGCTGTTTGCTACGAAGACCATGATTCCGTATTATTTTTACAGCGAGTCTGGATAATAAAGCGCCGTTAATCACAGGTGTTTGTTTTACGGGCGAGAAAGCTAAGCTAGTTGTCGTGTCTGCAAGAACACTGCAGAATGTAAGTTTGTCGATCGATCGACAACTGCAAGCAACAGCTACAACGACCGGCGTCAAAAAACAAAACAGGCTGACGTGTCAGCCCATCGAAGTTGCTCCCGAGAAGCAGCGGAAAAGGAAATCGAAATGTGGCGCGTAGGTCCTCGTGGCGTAGTCGCATGGGCGAGTCCTGGCGCACGCCACGTTTCCGCGCGGTCGGCGCGCGCGCGCAAGCGGCCGACGGTGTTGCGCGCGCGTACGGAGTTTCGATGGGCTACCGCGGCCGCGCGGCCGCCGTTCGCGCGGCGGTCTGGCGACAGTCAACTCCCGGAGGCCGGCAGGTACGCACGCGCGCCCGATGAGCTCCACCACTATGTCCGAGTTTCACAGCCAGGTCGTCAGCAGTCTGCACTATCTCGAGGAGGACGAAGCGAAGGACGAGTGAGTACGAACTGCGCGCTCTACCGCGGACCGTTCACCGGGAAGGCGAGACACAACGCCGCGCGAGGCTAGATGAGAGGGGAACGTCGGTCGGATCTTGGGCGACGCCGCGGCCGAGGACTACGGCTCCCGCTTCGCGCGCAGGAGCGCTGCCGCGAGGGCAATGCAGAGGCGTTCCGACGAACAGTGGCGGCACAGCGACGCGAGAGAGGCCTCCGATATCGATCGGTCCGCGCGAGCGACACTTGTTCGCCGTGTTCCCCGCGCCTTTCCGTCGACCCCGCCGGAAGATCAGCCTGTTCGTCGACTAGTCCAGGTGCACGCGGACTTGACCGCGCGGCGCGCGCCGCCCATCTCGTCTAGTTTCGTGCGACGACGCGCGGCAACGATGCCTTCGGCGAGGCACAGCGATCAACGCCGCGGAAGCGACTACGAGCTGGAGCCGCCTGGCGCACGATCGATCGGCCAATCCGACGGAACGATGCGACGAGGCCATCGGGCGTGGAAACGACGCCTAATTACACTGCCGACCCTAGCACTTCTCCGAGCGCCGCGAATCCGATTAGCCCGCGCTAGTCGTCAATTTTCCTCGGGTCGCACTCGCTGCTCGCGCACCTCACGACGCGCTCGAGCTGTCGTTTGCAGGGCCATTCCGATACGCGAGCCCCGAGCACAGGTTAGACTCCCGTCGGGAGGGCAGCGCCTCGTTGTGGTTACGCGAGCGTAGCTTCGTTGCCGCGGCGATCGCGTTGGAATATAAATGGGCATCCGCGTCGCGAGCAAATTGAAGCGAGAGAAGCGCGCAGATGCCGCAACGGCGCGCAGCGAGCCCAGGACACGATCGATGAGTCGGCCTCTCGTCTCGCTTTTCCCGCGAGGCGCGCAAATCCTTGTGACTGTATTCTCGCACCTCCGTCGCGCTCGGCTCTCCGATCCGCAACTGTTGCCGACGGCGGGATTCGATCGAGTTTCATTGGCAACTATTATCGCTGTCGCTTCGCTGACTCATTGTTTCCGTCGCGAGATAGCTGCTTCTTCTCGTTTTGACCCCCCCCCCCTCGCCTTTACGGATTATTCGCCCGGGTTATGGAAGCGCGCGCGCGCGCACTGGTTCTCACCGGGATCACCCTGGTCAGAGGACAAGACGACGCGCAAACCACGATCGCACAGCCCACGGCAGCGAAGAGAACGGGGCGCGAGCGACGATGCTGCGCGCGTCAAACGTATCGATCGCCCACGTGCGCGTTAAAAGGCCGACGAGCTTGTATGTCGCGTCGCGCGGCGGCGGGGAGTTTTGAAAATTGCACTCGGCGCCAGCAACCCTCCCTCGAGAGCGGCTCTTGTGGCTTTTAATTGGTCGGCCGAGAGTGCACTTGCGCCGCTCTCCCGGACGGCTTCGTCGAAAGGAGCAACCTCGCGATCTCACGATTAGCCCGTTAATCAAGCACCACGGCCCCGCTCCTCGTATCGCGCCCTCGTCATTTGCCGGCCAACGGCATTTGATTTCGACGCCTAGTACGCGCCAAAGTCCGTAAGAAACGCCGCGACGGCGTGAATGGAATCTCATAACGGGGGGCTCCACGCGCCACCCAAATAATCGCCGTGATCAGCCGGCAGTCGTGCCCCTCGAAAGTCGCGCGCGAAACCGACAGAGAGACGAGAAGACGGCCGCGCGAGGGAAAGGGAACGAGGCAGTGGTGGGATTCCGAATGCCGAGGTACGAAACGCAATTCTCTCTCTCGCTCTCTCTTTCTCCGTCGCTCTCTATGCCGAGTCTTGGCTCACGCCACTCGTCGCTCGACTCGCGCGCGCGCTGCAGTGCGTGCGACAGTTGCGCTGCACCGGTGTATCTGCGTCGACCGCGGCCGGGATGCCGACCTGCACGTGTGCAATCGCCGAGCGGCGTGCCGAGTACGAGGAGAATCACGTGTGCGAGCTGAAGCCCCCGCTCGAGCCAGGCTCGGCTGCGCGCGACGGCGCCGACGTCGCCGACGCCGACGAGGACACCGACGTCGAGATCCGCGACACCGCCGTCAGGTAAAGTTGCACGCGAGGCCTCGCGCGCTGGCAATAACGCGCGTTCCCACCGGTCACGCAGCCATTGCGCGCGCTCTTTATTCTCGAGGGCGATGCCTTCTCCTTGCTCGCTCGTGCCGTTTTCTCGAAACGCGGAATACCAATGGTTTCGTCGAGGCCGTACGCTCGTACTCGAGCCCGATCGCGCGGTTGCCCGTTCTGCTTTTTACGCTCGGCGTTGCAGACGTCACGTCGTGCCAGACTCATCGATATTATTGACAAAGCCGTTGCGACGAGTTGCTGGACTCCGTGGAAGCTCGAGCGCCTAGTTAAGCGACAGCTGTATAGCCTCGCGTCGCAGGGCAGCTGCGCCTCGAGAACCTTCCAGGCGCATCCGACGCCGCGACAACAATCGCGCCGGAATCCCTGTTCTCCGCAACCAGTTTCGACGCTCTCGGCTGAGACGTATTATTCCTCCCCCCCTCGGCCCTTCGCCCATCTATTCTCGCGGGGAACTGGTTTCGTCGGCGAGGGTCGTCGTTGTCAAAGAGACGAATTGAAAAACTGTCGTCAGGTATACGGATGGCTCGGTGCGACTGCGTAACTCCAACATCGAGCTCATGGACCAGGACATTCTGTATCACTTGGCACTGGGCAGCGGATCCCATGACCTTGTCGAGATGTTCGGAGACCTCAAGGTAAATACTACGCGTGTTTGTACACGCGCGCGTGATAACGACATCGAGAGCTCGTAAAAAGTCCATTGCATTGAGCAACGGATAGATTTGCGTCACGCTTTATTTTCTTTTCTTTTTGTTTGTTTTTATTGCGCTCTCGCGTCTCTCGGCCGCTGCGAGTTGAGCAACTCTAATCGCGGAAGCTTTATTGGACTACCAAGCTTCGAGCGTGCTTTTTTAACTTTCCGTTTTGGGAAACGAATCTTCCGGGAAACTGAGCGCGCTATTGAATTCCGAACCGACGAAGAGTCTATTGTTTGGATTGCGATTGGAAGAGTCCGATTTTCTATCTCGCTCTCTGGGCGCTTGGATATTTTCGTTGTCGTCAAGCCCCAATCCGAATTTCGTCGTCGAGAGGAATACGACGTTTTCTTGATACTCGTCGGTCGTCAAACTTGAGCCAGAAGTGCGATGTAAATGTGAGTTTGATACCGAACTACAAGGCCAAATGCAACCAAGTCCAATCTAGCGATCTCGCGCGCGACGGAAAGTGGATACGATAGGAGCGGTAAGCCGCGACGCGTCCTCGAAAGGACGACAGCCAACAACGATATTACATGGTCGCGCTGGCTGGTCAGTTCGTGTGCATGGGCGGCACGCCGAAGCGCATGGAGCAGTTCGCCTTCTACATCATGGAGGAGATAGGCCACAAGCTGCCCGCCGGCACCACCCTGCTGGACATCAGCCAGTACTCGTACCGCTACTCCATGTACAAGGTCGGGCCCGTGCTCTGCGTCAGCGTGAGTATCCGCACGGCCATCGAGGCGAGCGAGGCGGGCGAGACTCGGCGCGCCACTCTATCGCTCGGCGTCCCTTTGCAGCACGGCATGGGCATCCCGTCGATCGGCATCCTCCTGCACGAGGTGATCAAGCTGATGTACCACTCCAAGGTAAAGAACCCGGTGTTCTTCAGGATCGGCACCTGCGGCGGCGTCGGCGTCGAGGGCGGCACCGTGGTCATATCCGAGGAGGCGGTCGACGACATGCTCAATCCGTACTACGAGCAGGTGAGCCGAACCGGGCCGAGCGCGGCGATCGCCCACTAATCGACGGCCGATGGCGTGCCCGCGCAGCATATCCTCGGCGAGAAGGTCTGCCGGCCGACCAAGCTGGACAAGCAGCTCGTGCGCGAGCTGCAGGCGCTGGCGCACGCCGACGACCCGTACGACACCGTGACCGGCCGGACCATGTGCACGTCCGACTTCTACGAGGGCCAGGGCCGGCTGGATGGCGCCTTCTGCGACTTCAGCGAGTGCGAGAAGAACGCCTACCTGGCCCAGCTGCAGGCGGCCGGCGTCGTCAACATCGAGATGGAGTCCACGGTCTTCGCCGCGCTCACCCACCACGCCGGCATCAAGGCCGCCATCGTGTGCGTGGCGCTGCTCGACCGATTCAAGGGCGACCAGGTCAGCCCCGACTCCGCCCCGACGACCCCGACGACCCCGACAAGTAAACGCGCCGCTGCTTGCTCTGTGTAGGTGTGCGCGCCGAAGGAGGTGCTGCACGAGTGGCAGATGCGCCCGCAGATACTGGTCTCCCGCTACATCCGACGCCGCCTGCAGCGCAAGGGCCAGCTGCACCTGAGCGAGAGCCACGGCTCGATGTGCGTCAAGAGCCCGCGGCGCTTCAAGCTCGTCCAGCAGGAGTCGGAGAACTACGAGTAGAGCCCCGAGCGCGGCTCGCCGAGGCGCGGCTCCGCTTGCTCCGCTTGCTCCGCTTTCCGTTCCCGCTGCCCTCGCCGTCGCCCCGAGCGGTTCGCTGGCCGCGCTTTGGCTCGGCTCGCCGTCTGCTAGAGGTCGGAGCGCCAAGATCAATAGCAGGCCGCGCTCGCCGCTCCTCGGCGATCGAACGGGCATCTTATTGTTAAAGCGGCGCGAAGCGCTCCGAGCCGGGCTGGGCACGGTCGAGCGCGGGGCTGCTACGACCGGCCCGATCGTGCCCGGCTCCGACTCCGCGCCGCGGTATCTTGTCTCGGCGGCTTTTCCTCTCGTCCCGATCGTCGCGGCGAAGCCGCCCCCGTTCGATTTCGGTTGACGTTACTTGGCGCAAGCGGCACCGAGACGACAAGTCACTCGAGCGTACGCTCGGTCGCTTCGGACACCGCTCTTCTCTCGTACAGATATATCCTCGCCGAGAAATTCGAACGATCACGGCCGATTGCGGCCGAACCTCCCGGCGCCGCTCGTTTGCTTTGCCCCGCGTCTCTCGTGCCGACGTCGCGAGCGCTAGATAACGGTGTATCGAAATATGTACAAATCACGCATTTTACCTAAGCACAACATGCATTCTTTTTATACGTTATATATATATATGTGTCTTTCCGGAAATTCCAGGACGCTATTTTTCAACGGCATATCAAAATCTCGAAATTCTAATGGCACTGCAACTGATCTTCTAAAATCGAATCAAGTCGCAATGGAGCGTAGCTTAGCACAAGTTTACAAGTAAATTGTGTTCGTACAAGCGGCGTGTGCGCCGAGGCACGACGCATTCGACGCGTTTTTTCGTTGATTCATGATTCGAGGGACAACGGGTTCACACTTACAACAAGAATGCCAAGTGCAGCAATACAGTTCTTAGAAAAATAAAGAAACAAATGTAACAAACTTTATCACTTTTGAAAGCTATATTATAAATGTTACGTATTAAAGGCTGTTTCGAATATATTATACATTTACCGTTACAAGCGATTGAAGTTGGAAAACTTTGTTAAAACCGAGCAGTTTTAAAATATAAACGAGACGCCGAAAATATTGTAAATCGAGTAGTAGAAAAAAGCATTGTTGATTAAGAGTGTACTTAATTCATTATCGAATAAGGTGTATCTTCGGTGTTACGGTGATCAAACGTAGCGAAAAAGATAAGCAAAAATGTCGCGGAACTACGACAGTCGTTGATCCACGAAAAAAAAAAAAAAAAAAAAAAAAAAAATAACGTAATCGGTTTTTTGCACAAGCGAGAATATCGCGCGCACCGCCGACGCACAATCGCATACTTGCACGCACGAGTTTGAGTTCAGGAGCGTATACAACGACACGTGTCTGTGATGCGAGTTTTCGCCGACAACCGCAAGCGCATGGAAATTTCGCAGGAATAACGGCCGAGAGAGCGTCGGGCAAGGCCGACCGGCAAGAGGAGAAGCGTCGTCGCACTGTTCCCCGCCGAGACAACGGTGCAGGGAGCTGCGTTGGATTCGCCTCGACGACCGTCGTCCCGGACGGACGTTACGGCCGGACGAGAAAACTACCAAATCGCCCGTTCCTCTGCCGTTATTGCGCACCCGAGCGCTTAACCTGTAATCCGCAAGTTCGTTACAAGGGTGCGAGGAGTTAGCAGCGGCCGATGATTCGGCGTGTGCACATAGGCACGCGCGGGCAGCAGCGGGCGGAAGAGTATTTTTGTTGCGGTCGACCAAGAGTGAGGCGCTTGTCGTCTTTGTATTTTATAGGGCCCGTCGCCCGTGCCGGACGCGGGCGGCGCGTCGCCCTGTAAAACAAGGCCCAATAAAGTGACAGGCTATTAAATTCTCCTCGTTGTCATTCACCCCCACACCCACGACCATCCGTCTGTCGCTTTCTTTACTTGTGCTTGCCGCGATCTTCGCGCTTATTCGATCAATGGCACACTTTGCGCGGTCACGCACCGAGTGACGTCTTTGCGCGTGCAGGTGGTCAATTTCAGGTTGAAGTGCGCGGATCGCTCAACGCCCGTCGCCTCGGTCGCAGCGGCGAAATCGCGTAGGCAGCAAGAAAGCGGCCCGTTCGGCCACGCGCACGCGCGATACGCCGCCGTTGAATCATCGCACAGCGAGCGAGCGCAGAGGAGAGGGGACACGGCGACATGCTAGCGCTCCAGGGCCTCGTCGACGCTCAGATTGGTTACCGACGCGCCGCAGGTTCGACGCGCGCCTCGTTCTCCCTTTCTCGAGCCGACGGTATTTCGTTATCGGCGCCGACGATGGCCGAGAGCAACGGGCGCAACGCGAACGGCGACTCGAAGGACAGGTACACCGAATATAGCCCGGCGTTCAACCGCGTTCTCGCACGTGTCGCCAGTTCGGGCGTCGCGATCCAACTCACACCCGTGATCTCTTGCGAATACGCGCTTGCAGGACCGACGGCGGCCTAGTGCATCTGCAAAATCGGAACCTCCAGTCGTTGGACCAGGACATCCTCTACCATCTGTCGCTCGGCACGCGAAGCCACGACCTCGTCGAGATGTTTGGCGACGTGAAGGTAACGACAAACTTGTACTCGTTCCCGTGGCGACTTGCGCTCGGCTGATATCGGGCTATCGCATTACGCGGCATCTATCTCGAGTCGGTGCGCAAGAGATAAGGCGCCACGTGACCGCACACGCGGACTCGAGAGCAATAAGTCCTAGTAACGTGCATGCAACGGAAAAGATAACGAAGGTCACTGCGCGTTACAAGCGTCGCAGTGTCGCTTGGCTGTTTTCTTCCATCTCGTTTACTCTTCGGATTTGCACGCTCGAGCGGCACGGCTGGCTGAACGAGTTGTTCTTCTCCTTTGGCAATCGCACAGTTCGTGTGCATGGGCGGCTCGGCGAAGCGAATGGAGCACTTCGCCGACTACGCGATGAGTCAGCTCGCCGACGTTTTCCCGGCCGGCACCGTCGTGCAGGACTTGCAGGACCACTCGCACCGATACTCCATGTACAAAGTCGGCCCGGTACTCTCCATAAGCGTAAGCGCTCGCTATGCCGAGAACCGTGCTCAGCTTCATCAAGGCTCACCTCCGCAACGTCGCGCGTGTCTTTTACAGCACGGCATTGGCACGCCATCCTTGCAGATTCTCCTGCACGAGGTGATCAAACTGATGCATTACGCCCGAGTCAAGGATCCGGTGTTCGTACGAATCGGCACCTCCGGCGGCATCGGCGTCGAACCAGGCACGGTGGTCGTGTCGGATGGCGCCGTCAACGAACTGATGGAGCCTTACCACGAACAGGTAACTTTACCCTCCTCGCCGTATCCGTCCATCGTTAGTTGCCTTTGTTCGACACAATCGTCATCGACCATCGCTCAACCAGATCACGTTCCAGCGAAATCCTCGATAGCGCGCAGTTCGGACGAAAATGCCAGAGCGCGGTGCCGAGTGTGCGCGCTAAAAATGCAACGTTAACGTATAACGCTCCGCGCGCGCGTGTGCGCGACTGCCGCGCCAAAGCGTACAACTGACAAATTGCAGGCGGTGTGCGGTAAGATGGTCAAGCGATCGACCAAATTGAATCAAGATCTGGCTCGCGAGATAAGAGATCTTCGGCGACAGAGCGACGAGTTTCAAGTGGTCAACGCCAAGACTATGTGCGCGATGGACTTTTACGAAGGCCAAGGCCGACTGGACGGTGCCTTTTGCTACCACACGGAAGAGGATAAGGTGCAGTACCTGCGGGAGCTTCACAAAGCCGGTGTTCGAAACATCGAGATGGAAGCCACGTGTTTCGCCGCCGTCACTCATCTGGCCAGCATCAGATCGGCCATCGTGTGCGTCACTTTTCTCGATCGATTCAAGGGCGATCAGGTGCGTGTCGATGTAAGCATTGGCGAACGGTCAATTTCATGATTTTATTTATTGCCAGGTTTGCCCGCCGAAAAGTGTGCTGAGCCAGTGGGAGGTGAGGCCGCAAGAAATCGTTTGTCGCTTTATAAGACGGCATCTACAGTCAAGAACAAATTAATCTTTTCTTTGCTTACATTATTCTTTTATACTTAAAAGACTAATCGCGCGAGTCTAGATATATGAATTGTAGAAATGAAGGCACAATAAATGTGTTAATTTTATTTAAAGATTTATTATGATTTATGTGAACAAAATATACAGGTCGGTATAAATATCGTACGAATTGTCGATAGCACAGATCCTTTTATTTTTAGATAACAAATACTGTCTTGTCGCACATTATCGAGTCTTTATTAGATCATTTTTTTATTCTCTCTCTCTCTCTCTCTCTCTCTCTCTCTCTCTCGCTCTTACTCTCAATTTTGGTTTCGAAGCGCTAATTTGGAAAATCAGATCTCGCAGATAAAGTAATTGTATTTATTATTGTAATCGATCACTAGTGTCATTAATTATCTCTCACACTCATCACGTAACACTTCTGTCTTGATATAGTAAAGTAATAATTATCGTTATAATATCAGAAAAATTGGGACTTTTTTAGATTATGTAGTATGAGTTTCGAATACGTACGTTATACAATCGAAGCGATATTTCGTTTTTTTTTTGTTCGTTTATGGCTATGAAGTAAGCGATTCTTTTTTTCATAAGCATGCAGATACAAAATTCATTGAAATGCCATAATAAATATGATGATCGATGTATATCGTGTCAACAAAGTAACAATTTATTGCTTACAAAAAATAGCGTAGAATATTGAAAATCATGTGGGTTTCATATAGTCAACGCAAAATATTAAAATGTTTTAAAAATTGTGAATCACGTCAAAAAGTAAACAGTCTTTACTTTTTTCAAATATTTTTTTTTTGTACACCAACCTATCTGATAAAAATTTTGATAAACTATTTTCAATAAAATTTGTATCTCTTGAACAAATTATTTTTAAAACATTTTTCCCGCATTATTATAATTTTATAACATAGAAATATAAAATTCATATATCACTGGAAAAAAATCTTAAACTATAATAATTATGTATAGTTATGGCTAATATCACAAACTATATATAATATCGCATATATCTCAGTAAAAATAATAATAGTAATAATGAAAATAATAAATAACAGTGTGAACGTTTTGCAAGGTATCTCCTACGAAGTTGGATGCACACTGAAAAATCTTCCACATATACGAAAGTAGTAATTACGTGCTTACATGCTAGGTTTACACAGTATTTCTTGACTTTTTTAAACAAAAAGTATCATAATATCAACGGCTATATATTCAAAAAATTTTTCAGTGTAACATATCTTTTAGTCATACAGAGTACTCGAGCGATTATTAGTGATGACTTTGCGGTTTTGGTTACAAGTGTCATTCATGAAAATTGTATCTCTCTGTTCCGTCGATGGCTGATCCGTTTTTCATGAGTAATGCAAGGCAAATGCGATTTTATAGTTAGTGCACTATCGATAAAGCCTAGAGCTAAGATGAACAGATTCTCCGAGAGTGCGGAAACAACAGAATACAAAGGCATTTGTTGCCTCGATGATTGAATTGCGCGATTTGATAGACACACATAATGTAATGTATATATGTCAATACGTATACATATACATACATACATATGTGTGTGTGTATGTGTGTGTGTGTGTATATATATACGGACGGCCGATTACCTAGTAATATAACTACATATTCGTTAAAGTATGCACTCGCCGGCCTTGTTGATATTCCTTCGATTATTACATGAAGTTGCATCTGGATACTCGAAAAAAGATATCGTTAGTCTCGAACGCGAGTTGCTTTTCTTTTCGGATGAAGATTGTTGTCCGGTTCCAAATCTCACGTGTGATCGCGCAGAAGGAACAAAAGAGAAACGATATCGCGGACCAGGGAGGCCTGAGAATTCCATCGAGATGGAAACCATTGAATGCTCATACTTATGTCGTCGATTGTGGCAGGTGACGGTGTACGGTGCTTTCTTGTAGATTCGCGGGAAGCGTGCTCATGGAAAAGCGTGATTTTCGCGTTGTGCGGTAAAATTCTCGGTTTCTTTTTTTTCTTTTTTATAAAATTCCATAAAAAACATTGGTTAGACCATCGGATAATTTGTCGCACCCAATCGCTTTAGTTCGAGGCCTTGGCGAAAACGAATAAATAACTAGATCGATATAGAGTGGTGTCGCTTTGCGCAACGGTACTCAGATGCTGAGAACCCGTAGGAATGTGCCGTGTATCGTAAAACATTAGTTTACTGTTGTCTTCTTCTTAACGTTGTGTTATTAATTGTTAAAACTGCATACTCTGCTCTACGTCTTCTAGCCGTGTAACAACGAAAATCTATGCTCGGGCAGTTCTGTATATGTAATAAATCGTCTAGGAAAACTTGGACGTCGCTTCATTCGCGCCTGGGGGCGTTTGTTCTGTGAACCTTACCAAACGAAACATGGTTTTATCCTTCAGCTGCGTACTCGTATAGTTTTGATTATTCGTAAAATGACTGTAGCTCTTAAAGACTGGAAATCGTAGCTTAACCTTCGCAAGATATATAGACTTGAACTAATATGCTGGCAATAATTGAAGTTTAGACATTGTCAATGTTGCGTAATTTTAGAAACGAGCGGCGATGTATCGGAGAACTGTGCAAGGTGCGCCTCGTCGTTTGTTCCGAGCCATACGCTCATACTGATAATTGGCGTTTACGAAAGAGCCGCTTTCGGACACATTCCGGCCGCGGAGGCAAACTCACTCCGGAGTACAACGCGACGCGCCTCGAAAGCCCGCGCTCGTTTGGCAACCGTCCGCGCGTGCTCCCTCGCCTAATCGCGGATGAGGAATACTTGATTTCGCTGGGGAGAGCGACTTGTCCGAAGCGTAGCGGCGACGGGCGCTCCCGTTAGCCGGTGAACCGATCGAGCGCGTCGCGCTAACAGCCGACGAATCCCCCCGCCAGCCGACGGGACGAGCGTCCCCGCAATGTCAGACGGCTGGCTTTTGGCACGAGTATTATTACGCACGCAGAGGCGAGATTTGGCTACGAAAACGCGCTCTAGGAAATGCGAACGGCCAACGGATCGCGCGCGCGCATACAATTAATACAACGTATTGTCCGACTTACCCGTTGATGCGAGCTTCGCGCTCGCCAGCTCCCTCGGCAAACGCGACGTTTCGACGACGGAGCAACGATCAACGCAGAACTCTTTTTCCTCGTTTGCCTTTCCACTCGATCTGCTCGCACGCGCATATGTACAAGACTAGGACTCCTTACGAGTAAACAGTGTTCAGGCCCGCGGTTTTCTCCTTCTCTTCCGCGCGGTTTCTCTGTCGCACATCGGCGGAGGAATGGTGGTGTGTGTGTGGGGGGCGGGGGGAGGGGGACTGACGCACGCACACGCACTGGAAACGTTCACTTCGGTAGGCTTTCTTTCTCTCTCGCTCCGGTTGATTCGACGACATTGCACTGCTGGTGCCGTGGGCTCGAGGCGCGGGAGGCCTGTCATCCGAGCGGCTCGTCCGGAAGGACTATGCTGACGGACTTGCGCTGCGGCGCCGGCACGGCGTTCGCCTCCGGCTTGGTCGGGCTGCTCGGGTCGGACGACGATATCGCCTCTTCGCTCAGCTTGGGCAGGCTACCAGACAGCGGCCTGGGAAGGAGCTGACGGTTGGGATCGGAGCGTGCGACAGCGACAGCCAACGAGTCGTACCTGTGCTGGGTGGGCGGTGTAGGCGTTCTCGACAGCGGGAAGCTCGCCACCTCCCTGCTGACGGACAGCGACCTGATGGAGCCGAAGGTCTGGTCGGGCGAGAGGTTGCCACCCGCGCCAATCTGCATACCGCTGCTGGAACGCACGCGAAGGCTTGCTTGGTCATCAGGCGGAGCGAGCCGGCGATCGATCCGAGCTCACCTCGGATCGATCGGGTACGTATAGCTTGCGCGAGCGCGCGCTCGGCGAGGTGCCAGCGTTGGCGGCGCGCGGACATACCTCATGGATCCCGAGGTGACGAGGAACGGCATGGGCGTCGGGCACGGACTCAATGGCGAACTGCTCAGCGAGCTCCTAGTGCTGCTCAGCGCCGAGTGCGGGCACTGCGGCGGGCCCAGGCGTGGGTTGGCCAGCTTGCCGCCGGCCGTCCGCTGCGGCGAGCCTCGGGCGCCGCGCAGACACGGGATCTTGGTCCAGCCGTTGGCGTGTTTACCTGCGGCGCCAGACCGTCCAGCTGGATCAGCCTCGTCGGCGTGCCTCCGACTCGCGCCGCCATCGATCGGTTCGGACTCGCGCTCTCCGCTGTCCGCGTCGGATGGCGGAATCGAATCGCGCCTCGTCGTAATTTATTCACGCGCCGCCCGCGGCCGCGCGAACGGTGCCGCGTGCTGGTTTTCTTCTTGCTGCGCTTGGTCGCGCGAGCCTGGTTTTCAGCGCGCCCGAGATTCGCAATCGACGCCGCTCGGCCGCCTGCCGCTCTCGTCGGAGGGGCCCCGCGCTCGGCAACTGCGACGCGCCGGCCACGGTACCTCGCCTCGCGCTCCGCGAGTCGCGGCGTCGGATCCGGGCGGACGGAGCGCGCCGCCGACGTCTCTCGCCCAATTAGTCAGCGTCGAGTGGCCTCTTTCCCGCTTCTGTCCGTCCACCTCGCGTGCGGTTTATTTCTGGGGGGATGAGAGCTCGCGAGCTCGCACGGCCCGCGGCCCGGGTCTGTTTCGTCGCGCGTTCGCCCGCGGCCGACTTCGAGCTCGCGTCGAATCCGAACGCGATAGCTGATCTTGTAGTGCGCGCGAGGCAGCGACTCGCGCTCCACAGCTACTTCGACTGGCGATCCCGGCCAGCTGAAACACTGTCCTCGCGCGTACGCCAGAGCGAAATGCTTACCCATCATCTTGGCTCCGTGAGCAGGACTGAGCGGATAGAAGTCGCCGTGCAGCGGACAGTGGAATCCGACGCGCCTCTCGCGTCGCCTCGCTCGCCTGGTGAGGGCGCACAGAAGAGCACCGAGGGCCAGCATCAGCGCGCCCACGCATATGCAGATCGGCCCGAGGACCCTGGAGTTGCCCGTGAAGGCGATCCGCGCCGCGTACGAGTCCTTGTCCTCGTCCTCGCCTGGACCTCTGTACGACGCCGCTGTTTGCCCAGAGAACCAGATCGGAAGCACTTTAGTCAGTTGGCGAGGAAACAAAGAGAACGAAAGGAAAACAGCCTCGCGTGTCGATCGCGCCGCGACAACGCTCGGTTTGTCATCTGCGCCGACAAATCGATTGACAAGCAACTCTCGTCCGTAAACAGTCTCGATGCAAATGACTTATTCATGGAGTTGGCTCGGCGCGCGAACGACGTCACGTCCGTCTGGTCGTGGAAATTCAAGTGACTTGCTCATCTCGATGTCTGTATGGAAGTGTCACGTTCCATCGTGCGCGTCCGTGCGCAACCGAGTGGCTCGATCAATCGGGAAAAACGCGCTTTCGGAGGGCTAGGGCTCGAGTGGCTCACCGGTGAGAACGGCGCCGACGAGGACGAAGAGAAAGCCAAAGGCGGGCAGGGCGAGCTGACAGTTGGCCGCGACGACGACGCCCGCGACCATGAGGCCACCCTCGATCTTCTCCACACGCAGCCGCGACAGCATCGCCGGACATGTCAGTTTGGCCCTCAGTCTGCCGCCGTTGCCGGCTGTCGCCGATATGCCGTTGGGGGTTGGGCCAGCGTCCTCCGCTGATGCGTTGCAGGGCCTGCCAACAGCAACGACCACCATCGCTGAGTCGTCGGCCGGCGAACGAGGCTGGCGACGCCGCGCGACTCGCTGCCCGGCGTTGCGTCACTAGGCAGCGCTTGCAACGCGCCGCGCGTCGGCGAGCCAGCCAATCGTCGTCGGCTTCGATCGGCGAGCCGGCGCGGATCGCGCAGCGAAGATGCTGCTGCCGCCTGTGCGCGGGCGCATCGGAAAATTATCAGGCGTTACGCAAGAGCAGCGCGATAAACGACCTCTGTCCCGCCAGCGCCGCCGCGAGCGAACGACCTTTCGCGATCGAACGACGACGGCGGTGGCGCGAACTCGTTAGCGCCACTGCAGCGCGCCGTTCTCGCTCGCGCCTCCGCTCTTCCGGTGCCCGGCGTCCGAAACCCGCGTCGCCTTCGCCGCCTCGTGCTCGACGCTTCCGTTCCTCTCCGCGCGTGGGGCCAACTTGGGGGGCCGAAGGCCGCGAGTGTCCAAGTCGCGGCGGACGAAACGACGACGGCGAGAGCGCGGAGTGGGAGCGAGCGATCGAACGAAGCTGGGTCGCGCGCCTACGGCTAATTGAATCGACGAGCAACACGGCGGTGGCCTGCCGGATCAACAGCCTCGCGGAAACCACACGTCCGCGCGCGGCTTTAACGGGAACTGCGCCTCTCTCCGCGGTCCTCCGCGCTAGCCGAAGCTCTCCCGCGCGACTCCCGAAAAACGGCGGCACTTTCACAGCGGCACTTTCACAGCGGCAAATCGGCACGGACGCGCCGTGCGGAGAACAAAGGAAAAGAAGGAAGACAAAAACTCGGCCTGCCGTTAGGCGCGAGTTCGACGACTTCTTTGTTCGCCGCGAGCGCGGCGATCCTTTCGCGAGCTTATCATCCGACGAGGAATCGCGCGTGCGTCGAGCGACAAAGGCTCGCGCTCGCGGCCTACAACCGTGCGCAATCAATGCCGATGACTGTTCGGAACTCTGGGAAACGCTGCCGGCGCGACGCCGCGCTTTCTCTCTTTCTCCGTGACGCGCGCGACGCCAATTGCCGCGGAACGACGACGACGACGACGACGGCGACGTTCGCGCCGTGACCTCCATTTACCTCCGTTTACCGGGGCTATCGACGCGTGCTCTTTCGCCGCCAGCTGCATAGCTGCAGCTTCTCGACAGCCGCACTTATTCGGTACTCGGCGGTGCGACTTGGCCGGCTCGCCCGGGGACGGACTCCGTCGCTGGAGCTCGCGTGGTTCTGCGCGCGACCGCGGGCGCGGAGGGTGCTTTCTTCGGGAACGCTCCGGCGACGGTGCCCGGCTCTCCGCTTCGACCTCATCGCGACCGAGAGGAACATCATCTTGCCTGCGGCGCGGCTGACGCGCGCCAATAATTAAGCAGCCGTCGCCTGCCGTTAATGGAAGCTTGCAAAGCGACTATTATCCAATCCTCGGCGGCGACCGAACGCGGCGCGCCATTGACTTTTTACCAAGCGAGCGCGCTGCTGGCAAATTCGCAAAGTGTGCAACTCGCGCGCTACTCCTCATTTTTCTTCACCGACGCACCGAAGAGAACGACCAAAGTTCAAGGCTCTATCCGAGCGCATGCATATGTTCCTTTTTTTACATAACTGAAAGCGTTTAGTTATATCTGCCTGCTCGTCATACTTTTTTTTTTTTTTTTTTCTTTTCATTGTTGCATAAATCAGCACAAGTGCGAGCGAGCGCGCGAGCGAGAGAGGATAAGAACAATTGGCGCGTTCCCCCTCGCTGCAGCCAGCCGCGCTCTACAAAGGTCGTTGCAATTTACCCACCTCGCGAGTCCACCGCCGCGTTCCTTGTCGAAGCTGCTGGCATGGTTGAAAGACGTCCCGTACGTCATGGCTTCGCCTCAGCCACACTCACACACACGTGCACGCACAGCTACAGCGCGAACAACGAACGAGTGCAACGACCGCTCTTTCTCTTTTTCTCTCTCTCTCTCTCCGTCTCACCAAGTGTAGCAGCACGATAACATGCGGAGAGAGAGGCAGAAGTGCAAAGACTGCTGCTGCACGCAACACGCCGCCAGGAGCGAGCTGCTGGCGCGCCGCGCTGCTCCTCCATACGGCGCTCGGCTGCCGACTAGCGCAGCGCCGAAGCTTCGCCTGTGCGCCGCAGCGACGCCCCCTGGTCGCGCTCGTCGTGACGCCAACGCCGCGCAAGGCGGGGAGGGGGGAGGGTGGCAGCTATCGGATTTTTCTCTCTATCTCTCTTGCACGCGCACGCACACGCACACAATGACACGCGCGCGCAGAGCAAGATCTCTCTCGCTCGAGGAGCGCCGCCGACTTTCTCTATCCTTTGGAGCAAGAGCTTGGGATCGGAGGTGCGTTCGCGCGTTTCGCGGGCGGACGAAGTGTCGGACGTATCGGATCGAGCGAGCAGTCAGTCCACCGGGAACATGGAGTCCTAGAGTCCTGGACCGAAGTAGAGAGAAAGCGGCGCAGGCGCAGTGAATGCGAGCAGCAGCGCGCACCGGCATCTCTCTCTCTCTCTCTCTCTCTCTCTCTCTCTCTCTCTCTCTCTCTCTCTTCGCTCTACGCGCTACGTTCGCCAGATCGACCAACGCAATAGACATCATCCTCGCTCGACGTCGATGAGGGATGATCGCGATCGCCAGCGAAGCGTTATATCGACGCCGTGCAGGGTCTCGTTGTCGTTTTGCTCGTCCGCGCGCGAGCGGAGGCTCGCATGTCCACTGGATTTGCAGCCGTGGCTCGCGCGCAGTTGCGAAAGTGCATCGACGAAGCCGCAGCCGCCTGCCACTCTCTCCGCGTCGACTACTGCAGTTGTTTGGCTGCCTCTCGCGCGTCACGGAACTGGCATCCTCGCTCTTGGCTGTCGAAAGCTTTTCGCTTATACTTCCAAAACTTATTCGGCGGACGATACTCTTGAACGCGAAAACCTGGCGACTCTCGACGTCGAACGGCTTTGCATGCGAGGAGGCGAGAATGAACAAAAAGCTCGCGCGCGCTTTCGTGGAATATCTCGGTAGGAGCGAGCTGATTCCACGTTGTACGAGGCATCATTAGTTTTTTTTTATTAATCATCAGAGCTTTCCTCAAACGGGAACGAAAGTTGAAAAAGTTCTTGCGTAATAAAAACGAGAATTTACGATGGTTACTGTTACGAAAATAATCACGCGACGGCTCCAGTTACAGCTTTGTCAATTCTCTGACACTTTTTCATCTAGAAAATTCAAACCGACATTGCCCGGAGAGCTCGGGCTAGGTCTACTCATCCGGCCCTTGATTGTCGTAGCAAACAGCTAGCCTTTGCCTCTCGTGCTTGGTCGCTCCGCAGCGTGTGGGGGGGTCTGTCAAAGAGCAGGAATAGTCGGCTCTCCCGGACGGCGCCCGTCGTCGGATGCCACTCGACGCGTCATCGCGCTCGCACGCTGACTGGGACCTACAGTAACGCTCCGGTTGTTCTCTCGCCTTGCTTTCGACGCCTGGGAAAAGTGCACGCGTGCGTGCTCGACTGCACGACGCTTCCCACGAACGAAGCTCTAGCCGAGACCTGCGTACTGCCGATCGGTGCCCCGATAGAAAACGCGGGAGCCATCCTTGGGACTTCTGTCGCGATGTCAGGCGCCACGTGATCCAATGGGCTTCGCTTGCCCAAACTGTCCACGACATCCGCCTCCTTCCTACGTAAACACGTCGATATCCTTTAGATGATGGCATCAGCATTATCGAGCGTAGCGAGCTTAGAGTCAGCGTCGGCGTATTTCGGCTATTAGCCTCTCTCGAGCGCCGCGCGAGTCCGACTCAAATATAGAAATCCCTTTCGGTGTCGCTCTCCGACGACGCGCGACATCACGCAACGACCGAGCGTAGCTTCGCTATTCTCGGACGACGCTCGAACGGCGTCACTCGGCACAATTCGATCGCCGGACGTGACGACTGCTCAAATTTATCGCAAGGTCGCGGCCTTGATGAGCGCGCCTTTCGGCATTTGCATACAGAGGCACGCCGCAGGCGAACGGGCACGCGACTCTCGGCCACGACGACGATGGGCACGAGACACGACTGGCACCACCTCGCGCGCGCGCGCGCGCTTCTTCGCGTGTTCGCCGAGCGTCGCGATGGATTTGTACTACTTACGGCAGCGCGGCTCGGCGAGGGCAGCTGCGACTCGCCGCTGGAGCTGAATTGCACGATCGATCCCGCGCGACTAATTAGCCATACGCGATCGAGCGCGTTATGTACTCGCGTCGCAGAAGCCCGCGCGCGCGCTACAGATACCGCGCGTCGCTCGCGCCGTCGGAAATATTCCGCGCGCTCGGTTCCTCGCTCGCTCGATCGCCGCCGAGGAAAAAACTCGGGCGCCGCGAACGCGGGAGCAATTCGCGCGCATGACGGCGGCGTAAATCACGCGGCGAGATAAGCGGCTGCGCGAGTCGCTGCGCGAAAACGCATCCGCGTGCGAGGGAGAGCAGCGCCTTTCCCGCCCGCGAGCGCGCGCGCGAGAAGGGCGGACGAGAATAGGGTTCCGCGGGTCCGTCGTCGCGCGAGCGCAGCCTTTGCGCGAAGGGCGAAGATGACGCGCGATTTTCGGCAATCAAACAATGCATTGGTTGTGTTGAACGGCGCTTTATTGAGCTACGATGAAAGAACACAATGTGATTGTGAGGTACGGGGATCGCTGCGTAGCGAGAGAGAGCGGACCAAAGCGGAAGTGCTTTTGCACGAGGCACGGCGGCGTCGATCGCAGATTGCGGAGCGCTGGAAGGGCTGCTCGCTGACGCCTCTCCCTTTCGCAAGCTCGCTGACCTACATGCCATGCAGCCGGGCGTCGACCCTTCGAAAGCCGCGCTTTTCGCTTGCGAGGCTTCGTTATGTGCGTCTGTCTCTCTGTGGACTTGTTTCACAATGTCTCATTATATTAATCAGCTTTTCCGGCCGCGATGGCTTTTCGTTCTGGAAAAACGAACTTTCAACGAGGGACCGTAATAACTTGCAATCACGCCTAGCGTTTTTCTACAATTAACATTAGCTACTCGCAGCGACGCTAAACTTTTTCGCGAAAGCGACAAGATGAAAGTAACTAGGCGAGTTAATAAATGAGTGCCTTTCAAGATTATACTCGCGTGGTCGTGAACCAAAAACTTACAATTAAGGCTAAATTACCGTCGTGTTCACGATGCAATTAAAGTAATTAATAAAAAGTACGAAGAGTTGACGAGGATGTGAATGAAAGTAATTAATTTCTTTGAGTGGAATGGTACGAGTATAATGACACGAAAGCCGTTGAATTGCGAAGGGAAAGTTGAATCGGCACGAAGCAGAGCGGGAGAGAATCAATGGCAGAGATCTTACACGTGCGAGAGAGGAAAAAAAGCGGCGAGTTAGAAGCATCGATTCCAAGCGAAAGTGCCGCCGCCGATCCACCACCAGACCTCGAAATTGACCCACTTGACGAAGATGCAGGCCCAAACAATTTTATTGAGCGTCGCGGCGACGTCGAGCAGGTCGCGCTCCTCGCACTTGCCAGCGAGTAGATCGAACAGCTTCGCCGACAACATCGTTCGTTCGTCGAGTCGCCCGCGGTCCGACTGAGCGCAAGTCGCGTCGGTTGCCCAACGCGCAAGCTTTATCATTGCGAAACGCCATCGAGTGCCCCGACTATTTTTGCTCGGCGTTGACGACTGTCCGGTCGCCGAATCGGGCCGCTGGGCGATTCCCGCCTGGCATCGACAGCGCCGAGCGCGACGCCGTACTGTACGCGCTCTCTCTCATCTCGCTACGATGCACTTTCATCTACCAACGAACGTGTGCTTTTCTTGCGATGGCCTCTTCTCTTTGCCCCTGGCTCGACCAGCTTATTCCGAAAGTATTTTCAATGCAGCGTGCACCTACGAATTTCGCTTCGCGAGAGCGAACCTATATTCAAAGCCGAAAAAAAAAGAAACAACCAATTTCGAACAATTTTCATCCTCTAACTCGCCTACGCTCCGAAAAGCATGCCCCTCATCCATCCTAACTATCTACGACCGGGCTATATATAAAGTTTTGGGGGCCGTGCAGCACCGCGATTCATACCGGCGGATGTGCACAGGCAGAATTTGCATGCTGCCGCACGCCACGTACACGTCCATCTCTCTCGTCCTGCGCCGCCACACACACGCGCGCGCGCGCGCGCGCCTCGACTGCGAATCGATACGGCAGTCACAATGTCGAGCGAGCATTTCGGCCACGATGGAAAATAGACCGCGCGAGCGCACCTTCCGGCAATAATCTCGAGGACGAGTGCCACTACTTTCGCGTGGAAACGGAGTTCTGTGCATTGGAGGTACGCGCGCGCGCGCACCCACTCGAGAAAGCTCCGGCGACCTTGGCAGTCGGGGAAAGCCCACTCGGGAGAGGGTGGCCGTGTAATCTCCGAGCACGCAGAGTAGCATACACTTGTACGCACGCACACGGCAAATAGACAAGGGGGCGGAGGGGGCGGGTGATCCCGATATCACATTGACGCCTGTGCACGGATCCGGAATACACGGAGTGGGGAGTCTGCGCAAAATCAATAGATAGGCTCTCTCGGTGTCTTCCAATTAAGCCGGCGCGTAGCTCCTGAGCGATCGCGGCGGGGGCTGCCAACCGCGCGGAGGACGTTACGTCACAGGCCTGTCGCACGCGGCACGGCAGAAAAACACAATCGATCGCGGGAATTCGGCGGCGTCGCGCCATTGCTCCCGGAGGCGGCGCGGATCGCCGCCAAGCCGGACAAGCGGATCACTCACATGGGGGCAGGCTTGAGGCACCTGCGCACCTCCTCCTCGGTGTGCTGCTGGGCCATGGGCAGCCGGCGACCGGTGCGGCGCTCAAGCCGGCCTCATCGCGCCGCCGCCGCGCCGCCGCCGTCGCCGCCGCCGCCGCCGCTCGACCTCCGCTGCGACTGCTCGGCCGCCAGCAACGACACCGTCTCCCGCGCGCTCCCCGGCATCTGGACTCGCTCTCGCTTCGCCACCGAACCGCGCACTCCGCCACTCACGGCTGCTCTGCGACGCCGCGGCCAGCAGCTCGGCCGGCCTTCGATCCGCGCGAGCTCTCGGCGGCGCCGAGACCAGCCCCGGGGAGGGGAGCGCGCACCTACGCGCGAGAGACGCGGGCGCGCTTTACGTAACCGCGACCGTGCTGGCATCTACCTCGGGGCGCCGCTGCTTCTCCGCGGGGACCGCTCGGAGCCGCTGCCCGCCGAGGCCGCGGCAACGGGTCTCAAAGTGCGTCTGGAGCGCGGCCAAGCGACGAGCTCGCGCGACCTCGACCCCGAAACATGCTTACGGCCGAATGTTTTTCACCCTGCCGCCGCGTGGCCAACGAGAACAGAGCTACTCAATTATGGAGCTCTGTAATCCGACTGATTTGGAGAAGTAGGCGAACGAAAGCGATCGGCTCCGTTTAAAATTGAGCCGGCTATTCACCGTCATCGATCCACCGCTTGTATACTTCTGTTCAGTGCACGAGCCTCGCTCGCTCTGTCTATCGAGCAACCGTTATATGATTCTTCGGTTGACACGCAGTCAAATCACTCCACCTGATTTATCGAATTTCGCTCATTGCTTTTATTGAATTGCCGTTTTGCTCGTCGATACAAAAGACGCTTGGAAAATCACATTCGTACATGTACTCTGCACAAAAAGGTATAATAATGAGATTCGACGCTGTTGTTCGATAATGAGCTTTGATAACTCTTACAAAGGTATTATTATGCAACGAAAACCATTGTGCAATCCCAGTTGGATTTTCATAATAAAAAAATTCAAGTCCAACACACTTTTATATCTCTAGTAAATATTAACAATAAATATATCGGACAGTATAGCTTCGTCTTTATGCAAAGAGAGCATCGATACGGAATGTGTATTGATAATTATACGCGTAGAAGATAAACGAGGTATAATAGGACTCTACGGAAAAATTTAAGCGCAGTGGCTCCGCAGCATTTAAAAAATTTGCCCGCAACCGGCAAAGCTATATATGTAACGTGAATGCACAACGTCTCGCAGACGGAGATGTAGTTATAATGTATTTACAAGGCAATAGTATTCTCAAAGAAGCATATTTTGTCGCATCGCGCGCCAACGCTACGAACAATCACTTGTCCTTCTTGGGCTCACCGTCGTCCTCCGCAACCTTCTCGCTACCGGTATCTTTCTCGTCCTCGTCCGTTTTCTCGCTGGCGTCGTCGGAGAGCAGCTTCTTCGTCTCGTCGTCGAGCAGGTAGTCAAAGTCATATGGATCGCCGCCGTCCTGGATGCGTCGCAGCTCGGTTTTCAACATGTCCAGACACTCTTGACGCTCTTTCCGCTTGCGCTCGAAGTTCTCTTTCGTCGGTGCCTTCGATCCGTCGGAAGCGGCTTCGTTGTCCTCGCCTTCGGCGATTGCCGCCGCTTCGTTGCGCTCGCACTCCGCCATGTAGCGCTCGTAGCCGTCGATCTACAATTCCGTAAGCAAATTTGATTTATTCGCGCCACGCTGTATTCGTGCGATTCGACAGCCCGCGAAGCTTCTTGAGAGCTTGGACGAACAAGGGAAAAAGAAAGAACGAAGGCGGTACAAAGGCAGAGCTGTAATGCAAAAGTAGTTTCACGTACTTTGTCCTGAAGCATAGTCTGCACGTCGTTCTGTCGCCTCATGTGACTCGGCAGCCAGAAACACGCTTGGATGAGACGCAGGAACAGCCATGCTGCACCCGCGAGTGCCAGATACGCCACCGCCGTGTAAACCATATTCACTAGATCCACCGACACCTGCTGGTAATACTTCATCACTCAACCGATCGTTCGACCGCTGTTTTCTTTTCGCTTGCCGTCGTTGTTTGCTTGGCTATCTGCAAAGGCGCATCGTTCGTCTCAGTGAGTGCTCGCTCTAGCTCTTCCTCTTTTCACATTTAGGTAGTGTCGCGATAAGGCTTATAACGTGTAAAAACTTTGTGTAAATATCAATTGGGGATTACCTCGCTCCTTGGTTTCCCTACGGCGTGCATTGGATATTAATTCCATTTCATTTTTCTTTCCTTTTGACTGTGTTTTTACCGTTTGGTGACGACGTGCGAGCTTGCTGACGTTTCGCGTTTGGCTACTTTTACATTTTATCAATGAACGAGCTTCCGTCGATTATTTATTTAACTTCGGAACACCGTTCCAAGCCAATTGCGCCTACGAACAATCAAGAATGTTCGATAAACAAGCGGCAATTATACCAACGCTGTTCATTCGCGCCCTCGAAGCGAGCGCGCGTGCTATAATGATGTTTTGATAGCCTTTGCTAATCGCGTAAGACACTCTCGAAAAACGCGATAAACGATCTGGCGCCGATAAAATAATTTACCTGCACGCGCGGTGCGCGGGGGAATAAAAGTAAATGTCCAACAATCGATGTCACACATCCATCGCCGTAATGACGCTATACTCGTTTGATGTGCAGATAAAAAACAAGGGAGGAATAACGTTTCGAGGATTGACCACTATCTGAATATTTCTTTGCCGTGACTTGCGAAACGTAAGAGCAAGGCTTGAATTATTGCTTAGCAAAATATAACGCGCGACGAGAACGTTGGCTAGCATCGTCGTCACACGAGAGGAGAGTCGTGTACGTGTGATTGTGCCGCGATGTGCATAATGTAGTTACAAAAGAATTGGCCTCTCGTAGCTGCTTTAAGGGTGACGTGCGTGACGGCCGCGTGACATGCTTATTGATCGGCAAAGCGGATGGAGCTTGGGCTTAACCATCTTTTCGCAAGTGAATGACGAATAGGAAGGTCAGATACATTCAGCGTCGAGAAATTTCGACGGGAAACAATTGCCGGACTCACCTTTCGATCACAAGCTCGCGCTCGCGAGAGCTCTCCCACGTCGTGTGCGACGGGAGTTGCGATGCACGTATGCAAACAAACAAAGTCATTGCTTTAGCGTGTGTGAATTTTGGGAAAGAAAATGTTTAGCTTTGATGATTTATTAATCGACGACTCAGTTCGGCGAGTCTATAAACGTAGACGAAAAAAGGGTATAGATGCTACGGCTTGGCTTTGCCGTTAATTCATATACCGACAACCTATCAAGCGACGATCACTTGCCGTGCACAATTTGACATTACGGGTACGCTTCATTGATTTTATAGACGCTTTGCTGCAATATTAAGCGTTGCTAAAGCTTGCATGGGCGCGAAAAGACACTTTAGAAACATTGTATTTCCTATCGCTGGCTGGAAAAAGAAAATCGTGATACACTACACGACGCTATCGACAACTAAATCGTTAGCTTACAGCGGGCCTAACCATGTCAAGACTTTTTCTCTTTGATCCACTTGCACGAGCTAAAGATTCAGCCGTCCGTAGTTATTATTTTTATTTGAATCGATTGGCCGCAAAAAGTTTGAAACGAAACCGATTTTTTCCTTCGCGAAGGAAAAATCGATTGCGGTTCCAACTTTTTGCTCGGTTGGTACTCTTTGATCGCTATAGCTTCCGTACGATAATCTCTTTTTTACTTTACAACTAGCGATATTGTAAAAGTCCTGCGATTACCACTAGTGCCTCATAGTTTCACTTAACGAAAATTCCATTGCACGAATAGTGGATTTGTTAATCGCGACAAAACCAATCTCCGGCTCTCGAATGCGAAATCGTAATTACCGGTTGATCAAGAAAAGAAAGTCAAAGCAAATCAAACGAATCTCGTCGTCGTACATTCGAAGAAAACTCACCTCAGGTCAACGAGAAGGAAGAAGAAAGCAGGTCGACTTGTTGCATTTCTCCTTGTCCGTTCGCAGGTGAATAACTCTCTCGTGTAATACGAAGCCGCCTGATGTCGACGCTCACTACCAGAACACCTCGAGTCGACTAGATGGAAAAGCGTTTGCACGGACGCGCGCACCAACGTCGGCACTCATTACTGACCCCTATACAAGTGACAGGGTGTAGTTTGTTCGGCTCGATATATGGATTGTTTTCGCATGCAGGAGAGAAAAAAAATCAGAAGCGAGACAGACCGATTTTCCAGGAGCGACAAGCCGTCAACTTCCTCATCGATATCGCTGGTTCAAACTCTTGTTTTTTCGAACTCTGATTTGTCCTTTCGTCGATTATTTATTGCTTTTGCTTCTATCGCTACGTGTCACTTGATCGATCGCTAGTAGGCAGTCTTCTAACACAAAACTTATGATTTTTCGATGACGATCGAGAAAACATTACGTGGCGCGTTGGCAAATGATAAGACAAGATGATTTTTTGACATAATGTGTATTATAATAATATGGCTTTATAATTTCGAAACTGAGCTCAGTCTTAAGAAACAAAAGAAATTATTAATCAAACTATACATTCCGCAGGAATTAATTAAAATTGATAAAATTTGCCGAGTGTTTTTGTTTTTGTACATTTCACGTGAAACGCAAAGGGAGGATGAGACCTCGTTTTTAATCATTATATCACTTGTCTAAAAATTAACGACGTCATACGTCGATATATCCCTGAGCCATCGTTTTAACGGTGTCCTTTTTTATTCTTGTTTATTTAAAAAAGGCTTTTCATAGGCAAGACGCATAAGAAATAGGCATTAAAAGAAAGAGATTAATTATCCATTTGCATTTACAATGCCCTGTTTTATAAAAAGATAATACGTCGTTCGTAAGGTTGCCTTGAAAAGGTCTCTAAAGTAACTCAAAGTTGAAAGCGACAAAACAGACAAGATAAAAGCATTACGGTGAGATTCGGAGTGACAATTGTCGAATGCTAAAAAATTTGCTTCGTTAAAAAAATATCACACAATTTTCAGTCCCGAGTGAATGGCTCGGGTTCTTCGCAGAATGCACAAAAGAAAAAAAAGAAAAATAAAAAAAGAATAGCTTTCGAAGTATAATGCAATCGTGTCGTGAAAAGCGTTTAACATTAATATCGTTCTCCTCCATTTACACCATCAAAACAGCTACAGCTATGATTATATATACATAATTCAGCATGTCCAACCGGCTATTTCATGTTGTGTTCGTCGTCGTCATCGCAGTAGTAGTTGTTGGTATCGCCGACGACGTCGCAGTTGCTGACGTCGTTGCCGTAGCCGTTGTTGCCGCTGAAGTCATGTTCGAGCGGACGTAGAAAAGCAAGTAAGGTGTGGCCGAATTTCGTGGATTCGGGGCGAGCTTATCCTGAAGTTCGCGCACTGGAATTACGCGAACGGCCTCATCGTCGCACTCGAGCCATGTGCCACTCTCGTTGCGCGATGTCTGCCTTATACCGCAACAGTCGTTACCTCGGCAACCCTGTTGCAGATGTTGCTGTTGCTGCTGTTTGCTTCGCAGTGCTGCCTCCTGTTTCTCATTTACGTTAGGCTTGTTGCCAAAGCAATTAAAAAACGATGTTATTTTACCGCTATTGTCGGAGCCGTGGTGGCCATTGTGATGTGGATTTGATGACTGATGGTTTTGATAACTCTAAAAATCATAATAAAATATTAACAAAATTTCAATAAATGTATGTATATATATGATCGTTATTTCGTCCTGTTGGCCCACAAATGGACTTGGTTTACAAATTTTCAAATTTCTTTCGTAACCACTCAACATATTTAGTAAATATTATGTTAGTACGCCGATTCAAGCAAAAACATGAAACTCCTTGATAACCTTTCATTTACGGGTTCGTAACAATGACGATAAAAGCGAATATTTTAAGTAATGATCAAATGATATCGTACCTGTCCGCTCTGTTGTTTCGAAGCGTTATCGCGATCACACTGCTGATACTCAAAGTGTGCGGATTCGCCGGGCAGACGAGTATAGGCGATGTAGTGGCCGGCCGTCATGGTCGCGCCTTGGTGCATAATTACCGAATACAAATTATACACATGCCGTTGAACCGCTGGTTCCTTATTGCACTCCTCGCAGAAACATTGTAGGGTCAGTGGCGTTGGCATGTGATTATTTATTTTTTCCATAGTACTGAATCAAAAGAGACGTTATTTGGAGTCAAAAATGTAATAACAATGCAGATAGTTGTAGTTTATCTTACCCAGTAAACCTTTTTATTTGTAAAATAAGTATTCTCGGTAATGACGGATAACATATAGCTCGTTGAGCCTCATTATATCGCAGACACGCAGCACACCAATACTTATTCTTATCGTTCAGGAATTCACTCGTGACTACCAATTTCTTGTAAATAGCGCTACAGTCTAAAGTTTTCCCATTCTCATCTGAAATAACAAATCATCCAAAAATAATCAATAAAACTTGTCTCTTTCAGGTTTTAAGCGTTTCATTCATATTATTAAATAATCAATATGTGTATATAAAGAACCTTTTTCATTCAATCGATCAATATCGATGGGCACGCAAATGTTGCAGAAGGTCTCTTTTCTTTCGGTGACCTGCTCGCACTCGAGGCACGTCGTACGTAGAAGGCTAACACCCTCGAAATCCTCGTAAATGAAGCATTTTTTAGTCTCGAGCTGTTGACTTTGCATGGTTATCTCTCCGTTGGTCGATGGTGGTGTAATGCTACCGTTTTCCACAATATGCGTTCCCGAGGTCAAACTCTTCAAGATTGTCCCGTTGAGAGTAGTTTGTATCAATCCACTGGCACTGGAAGCTCTCATTGAACTACCTAACGGCTTTTTCTTTTGCTTCTGAGACTTGCGAGTGCCACGTTTGTTACTTTCAGGCAGCGCGACAGGCTTGGTTTCCTTGAGAAAATCAAGACTAGGACCGCTACTCGCAGTTTCTGGCCATTTGAACTGGTTGTCTCGGTGCCTCACCACCAGCTGGAACGTCTCGCGAATGTTGTCGAGCAGGCAAACGAGCAACTCATGTGCGTCTTGTTGCTGGTTGCCCTCGAATATTGTGTTTACGTCTCTGCCGAGGAACAACAGATTACGTACTCAATAATTTGATTTGTAAACTAATAGATGAAAAATGAAAATACAATCATTACCTTAGCGCTTGTAGAAAAGCATCTGGCTGAAAAGGCTCACTGTTCTCTCTAGCTTCTAATTCTCTCAGAGACATAAACAGCTCATGCAACTTCTCAGTGGCTACCTGAATTCGCGGCTTATTCAGTTCTGTAGCTGCACTAGCAGCTGTTAAAGATGGAAGATCTTTACTACTATAACTACGACTACTGCTTGTCGTTGATGACACACCAGTTCTACCCAAGGATGATATCTTAATCTGCAATAAGAGATTAGTGAACACACATGTATCTGGAGATTGAAGCAGTATGATGCAAAATTTGTAAGTAGTATACTTTGGTTTGAAGTTGCTTTTCATTGATGATTGATAGATCTGTTACTAAATGATGAAGGTTGTGTAAGAATGATGGGGTGCAGCGTAGGGTGTAGAGAACACTATTTAGGAAGCAAGTATTGCCTAGATTGCATAAAGTTGCTATTCGCAAGCCTCCTGTTATGTTAGATGTGATGTCGCAGCCAGAATCTCTATGACTGCTACTTAATCTTTGAAAATCATTCAACATTTTGCCTGTAGCTACCAAAATAACAAATGGTAAGCAAGTATACTTGAAGTAAGCATTTATTATTGAAATGTAAGAGATGTGTACATACTTATTTGAAATGGACGTACTTGGCTAGTACTAGCCCGCCCGACCAATTCAGTATCGGATTTGGTTTTGTTGAGCCCTTGATTGCGCCTCTCTGATGTGGCTGTGATAGAGAGGCAAAGTTTCTTCCTTGGCGGGTTTGGCTGTTCATCAGTCTCTTCTTCTGCTTCTAATACTGTCATTTTCTGTCAATCTACAAAAATATACATGATACATAAAATTAGATCCACACTCCATTCACTTGAAATTGATGTCTACTAAAATTGAACTCTTTGATGACCCACGACATTCCAATATCTTTTGCTCGAGCCAAGATGCTCAAACCACTTTCTGGACATCATTTTCCAACGAGACGTAGCTTACAGACTACTTAAGCACAGTTAATGCAGCTTAGATGCAACCTTAGATGTCAGATTTATGTAACGACAACGTGTAACACACAGTGCCGTATGTCTCTTCCGCGGCAAGCGGAAAGAAAAAAAGCGCGCGGCAAATATTTGTTCCTTTGACGCTGCCGAATCGGTATATATACGAGAGAAAAGGAGATAGAAGAAATTTTCGCGCGAGTCTATCAAACCCATCGTAATAAAGGCAGTACTTACTTTGTACCGCCGAGCGTAGAAGTCATGGAACGTCAGAAGGGCAAGTTACCAAGCACGCAGAGTGTGTCCAGACCAGGATCTCGACAATCTGAGAAATGTCTTCTTCTCGATGTGGGTACTCGACGTGCCTCTACATCCTTCACCACCTGTTTTTCGATTTCTTGGTTTCTTTATCGGCGACGTCGCGCACTTTGCGTTTTTAATTGATAGCGGTGACGACGGCGGCGGTTCTTCGTGATTCTACGGATCTCTACCGCCGAGACCCGAGACTGATTATCCGTTCTCTCTCTCTCTCTTTCTCTCGTTCTCTAGTAGCGCGAACTTCTTTGTGTTTGTGTATATCAGTGCGTCCTTCGGTCACTTCTCGTCTGAAAGCGACAGCGAGCCATTGTTGTAGTCTACCGCCATTGGGCCGCTCGTGATCGTGGACAACCAGCGCGTCCTTTCTACAAATATGAAGGGGAGAATGAAAACATACACACACACACACGCGTGCACACACACACACGCGCGCGCGTGTATGACAAAGCACAGTATAGTTTTGCGCATAAGAAAACTTGATCGTGGTGTTTGACAATTAACGTGAATTTTTATTTAAGACCGATTCCTTTTAGTTTTTAACGATATTATTTGTTTTCGAACATGATTATTATTAATACACACAACAAATAAAAATAAAATATTTTATAACGATGATTTACAAAAATTTTAAATAAATTACCATTTTGGAGTTTGATTATATATTTATTGCATGGAATAGAAACAATTAATATTAGTAGCATCTATTGTAAAGTTAGTTGGCTGCTATACCGACTGCGATTCATGTTACGCTGTTCCATTTTCCAGTTATGTTAAAAAATAACTAACAAATTAGCAACAATTGAAAAAGTACTTCATAACATTCAATGAAACTCTATTTCCACGTGAACTTGATAATTTCTACTCCGTATTATTTTTATATTGAAATGCTGCAAATTAATTCAATTGACAATCGTAAAAAAAAGAGAAAAAATTAAGAAAATCTGGCCTAGATAAAAAGGAGCACCAAAGGATGAAGGAGAGAAAGAGAGCGAGTCTTCTCGAAGCTTTTCTTCCCTCCTCCACCGCTTGGCCGCGCTCGTGGTGAGTGCGCACAGTCAGCTATAATATAGTTGAAAAAACGCTGTCTAGTGAAAATAAGGATAGCAGTGCAGACAGAGCAGCAAGCTCTACGGAGTCCCCCACCACAATCCTCCTTAAGGAGAACACTCTGGTGTTAGCAATAGCAGTTGCTGGTGTATTGGATTTGTGTGTCGTGAATAAAGTAAAGTAGTGCGCTTGACTCTGCAGGCTCTTCTCTTTGTATATGTGCTGTGCTTTGTAAAATGGCGGTGGACGTGCTGCTGCTCGTCGGCAACGTCTGATCGAGTATCATCGTCGTCCTGAGCGAGAAAGAGAGAGAAAACATACTGTGTGCAGCAAGCAACCTGACAAAACGGAGTGTACAACCGAAACGGAAAAAAGCTTCGTTTTTCTCGGAAAAGGCGGAAAGACCGCTATGCGAGTCCCCGGTATCACGGCATCATCATCATCAGCAAGTTGTTATTACCTGAGCAGCGCCGGCGGTCCAACTACCTCTTTTTTGGTAAGATTAACTATTGATATACCTATATATACCACAAACTATATAGCGTGATGATGCTGATGGCTAGGCTGCGCGAGAGCGGAAGTTCAAGCAGGCATTGTTTGGGGACGCGAGAATAAGACAAAATCGAACGATCAGTTTTACCTATGTGGAACACGTAGGTGTTAGATGAGTTGTGCTGCTTCTCTCTCTTTCTCTCTCTCTCGGTGTTTCCCAATTTTTTAAATTAGATCACAAGCGTTGATGCACGATGACACCGTACTCGTAATATTGCTAGTCGACGAATTTGCAAGCAATCGCAAGTTGCTTTTCCCGTTATCAGGAGGCCATTTACAGTTTCCTCGCGCGCGCTCGCGAGCATCTCCCTCAATAACACGTAAAATTATCTCCCCACTCTCTCACATTGGCGCTCTGTCTCACTTTCGACTCACTCGCTCTCTACTGCAAAGCAACGCACTCCGCAAGGTTAGGTGTCCGTGTGCTTCGTTTTTTTCTCGATACTCTACACAAAATCATTTGTTACTCGACGATAACTATCATAATAAACGGAGCGACTCGCTCCTTCGTCATGCAGCGTGGTACTCCAATTCTCACAGCTGATGCGGTGACACTCAGGTAGGTAATCGCATACGTAGCTATACACGTTGCGTCGTCATTTTTTTTCTTCGCTCTTCTTCGTTTCTCTCTGCCCGTAATATATCCCGAGGACGAACAACGCGCTCTATCTCCGATTTCCCGGCGCGAGGTTAGGAGTGACTTTGCAATTTACGTGACGATGTCTTCCGCGAGGTTTAACGAACATCCAATGCTCTTATTATAAATAAAAGTGTCTTTGGTGGTCGAAAAACTGAGCGAGATATAGACACGCTATGTGAGGTTTCGCTATGTTGTGCAAATTGTTATCACCTTCTTATCTCGGACAAAACGCTGTGATTGTTTCTAACGTTTTACACAATTTCGACATGCCATTGCATACTTTCTTAAGAATAACGCTGTCATGTGGTTTTAGATAATCCTTATTGTGTGCTTTCAGGTTCTAAAATATTGAAGAAACACCGCCAAAATGAAGATTGACAGGAGTAGACTAAAAAAGTGCACTTCTGAAGTGGTACGTATAAGGCTTTTGTATTGTTGTGATAATGTGTGAAAATAAAAGTAAAAATGTTAAATGGCTAATTGAAAATTGCAGCCAGCCGAGTGCCAAGCCTTGATAACCAAGCTGCGCTCTTGCTCACACACTGAGTTGTTAGAGGAGTTGAAGCAGATTGATGCCTGGACTTTTGGAAAGTGTGAATTGTTTCATTGGATTGATGTTTTAGATCTCAGTGATAGTATATTGGAGGAGGCAGCTGCTAAGAGCCCAGACAACCCATGGGAATTGGCCTGTGATCTTCCACAAAACAGAGAGGTATTAATATTTTCCCTAAACTATAAATAGTGAAATAAGGGTACTTAATTAAGAATTCTTATTTATTTCAGGCAAAAGAATTATTACTTTGGGTTCTCCATTTTACAACGCTACTTATAGAGCACTCTTTTTCACGACACCTGTATAATAGTATGGAGCATCTTGTTACCCTGCTGTCCAGTTGTGATATGCATGTGGTTCTTGGTGTTCTAAATCTTCTGTACATGTTTAGCAAACGAAGTAATTTTATCACACGATTAAACAGCGACAAAAGACAAGCTTTACTTAGCAGATTAACTCACTTAGCTGAGGTTTGTATTGCTATCGGATATTTGAAATAGTTAATAAAAAAATTTTAAAAGCTAGTAAACACCATTAATTTTTAGAGTTGGGGTGGTAAAGAAAATGGTTTTGGCCTAGCGGATTGTTGTAAAGAACATCCAGACAAGGTATTTATACATCAATACCCATGAAATGCAATAACTTCTGATTACAAAAAGTGTCTAAAATTACTGTATTGTGAATTTCAGCCTTTTCCCGTAAGTGCAACCACGTTACATTTTGAATTTTATGCTGAAAATCTTTCAGTTCAAGAAACGTCCAGTGGCACCCCAAGTGGTGGTATAGTAAAAAAGACTGCTCAGACAAATCTTGTAACATATATACACATCGAAAATGTAGATAAAGTCTGCAAAACCCCTGCGCAGATAATGAACGACTTACTAAAAGTTTATAACGTACCTCAAGATCGACAGGTACATATATTGATGCAGCAATGGAAAAATCAAATCTTCGCGCAGACGATAACCAAATTATCTGTTTTTTGCAGATGGCACTTTTGACACATATTAGGTTAGTACATAGCTTTTCGGATTATTGGCGACGATTGCAATGCGTGCAAGCACGGCTGCAAGCTCTCTCAGTGCTTGTGTATAGCAATGCGCTTCAAGAGAACGCGCACAGTCTTCTTCATCCTGGCCTCCTCGAGGAACTTGTCGAACTACTTGAACTTCCACATCCTCATCTCGTTGAAATCCGCGCTGCAGCCCTGCGAACTTTGACAAGTATCATTCATTTGGATCGAAACCCTCATCATCCCAAGTAAGTTAACATGCGTAATGAACTTTTTACCACCCAAGTGTAAGTTTGAATTAGATCTAATTACTTCTTGTATCGCTTTTCAAGAAAATCGGGTTCTCGTTTGAACACAATTATCGATGTCACGGGCGCAAGTTCGTATCATGGATTCTTGCCAGTTCTCATTCGTACGTGTATAACAACGCTCACGTCACCACAACCGGAGATGCAACCTTTCCCTTTGCCATTAGCTACAGCGCTCTTTAGTTTTCTTTACCATCTCGCCAGTTATGAAGCGGGTGGCGAAGCGCTTGTCAGCTGTGGTATGATGGAAAGCCTCTTAAAAGTTATCAATTGGCCTGGCAGAGAATTAGAGCACATCACGGTATATTTATATATTTTCAACGTAGATATCTTGTTGACAACGCCAAAATATTAATCTAACGTTGTATTTTTCACTTGTTTATAGTTCGTCACAAGAGCTGTGAGAGTAATCGATTTAATAACAAACATAGATATGCAAGGCTTTCAAGCTCACAACGGTTTAGCGAGTTTCATTAAGCGTCTTGACATGGAAGTGAATGTCTGTCGTAAAGAACAGCCATTCGAAATTATTCCAGAAATAGAGCCAGCAGAAGCTCCGCAACCGGCAGCTGCTGCTGCTGCTGCTGTACCATCTGTTGCCACTGCTGATGAACCAGCAAATCCGACGCAACAGCAAGAGTCACAAGTAAACGAGGCCGAGGAGTCATTGAATCCCATGGAGACGTCTGAAGACGAAAATACAAGTTCGAAGAGCGAGATCAAACTAATCCCTCCCCAAAATTATACTCCTGTGAAAACGGGCAAGACGTGTTTGCCTCAGCGAGCAGCACTAATTAAATCGATGCTCAACTTTCTGAAGAAAGCTATCCAGGATCCCATGTTCAATGACAGTATAAGACACATTATGGAAGGAACACTGCCATCCTCTTTAAAGCACATTATCAGTAATTCCGAGTATTATGGATCGTCACTCTTCCTACTTGCCACTGACGTCGTGACTGTCTATGTGTTTCAAGAGCCGTCGCTTCTATCTACCTTGCAAGACAATGGATTGACCGACGTCGTATTGCATGCGTTACTAAATAAAGACGTAAGCCTTATTGCTATATAATCTGTTCTATTTCACTTTAGAAAATTTTTATAAAATAATTATCTATTGTTGACAATGATTCACAGGTACCAGCAACGCGAGAAGTCCTTGGTTCACTGCCTAACGTGTTCAGTGCTTTATGTCTGAACCAGCGCGGCCTCAACTCATTTATGAGGCGACAACCGTTCGAACGAATTTTCAAAGTGCTTCTTTCACCAGTCTACCTATCGGCGATGCGTCGTCGCCGCAGTACCGATCCTCTTGGCGACACAGCTTGCAACCTCGGAAATGCAATGGACGAGTTAATGCGTCATCAACCGAGTCTCAAGACTGATGCAATGAAAGCGATCGTCAAGCTTTTGCAGGAGCTCTGCGTACTCGGTTGCGATGCGCGTTATGTGTGTTGGCGTGCGGCCAGTAAAACCGAAAATTCACCGTCGATCAGCAGCTCTAGCAGTCGTCAATCACTGTCCAGCGGTCAGTCTGTTGGTGTCGGTGTTGGCGAGAGTGGTGGAGGTTCTGGAGGTGGAGGTGGCAGCAGTAGTGATGAAGAAGAGGAAGACGAGGAAGAGGCTAGTACCAGTTCGCATCCTCAAAGAGAAGAACAACCTTCACCTTCTCCTGCCCAACCTGGACCACCCCCGCAGCCTAAAGAAAAAATACCTATTGCTCTTGTTGATTACATACACAATGTCATGAAATTTGTCGACGCGATACTTAGTAACAACTCAACTGATGATCATTGCCGCGAGTTTGTCGCGCAAAAAGGCCTCGTGCCGCTTTTGTCCATTCTGGGATTGCCAAACCTGCCGGTTGACTACCCTGTGGCGCAAGCTGCTCAAGCTGTCGCCTCAGTTTGTAAAAGCATACTGGTAAATTTCTTTCCAATGTCACGTATGACTAAAGTTTATTCTAATTTTTTAAAACTATTACACGTTTACTTTGAATTAACAGAACCTGGCACACGAACCATTAGTTCTAAAAACTGGTCTCATCCAACTAAACGAGGTACTTCAATTGCTAAAACCTCTGAATAGTCACATGGAGTCACCTGGTGGCTCCATATTACTACACGAACTTGCCACGGCGTCAAATCTCGAGACTGCTTTCACAAGCGACAAGGCAACGCCGATGCTTCACGCAATGAATGCAGCTCATGGATACGTCGTTATGTTTGTTCATGTTTGCCGTACAAGTCAGTCCGAAATACGTAATCTTTCAATGAACCACTGGGGATCCGAACTTGGTCTTGCCGTCCTCAAAGGCCTCTCCGAATTGTACATGGCACTCGTTTGGGAGAGCACATTGCTACTTGCTTTGTGTAGTGATGGAAGCATTCCTGCGGGTTGTGATTTCGGCAAGGAAGACATGGATAAACTTATGCCACCTGAATTAAGGGTAAGTTTTATAAGTAATGAGTTTAGTATGATCTAAGCGTAGTATATAATGTAAATAGAAAACGAAAGACAGCTAATATTATTTATTATTTGAGTGTGGTACGCTACTATCAATCATTGATAATAGACGGTCCATGTAATAAATATATTTTTTATATAGATGTTTTATCTTGTTCATTATACGATAAAACTTTTATTTTTGCAAACAAGTATCAGGCCATTATGATACACGTCATAACTCATCAATATATTTATTTTTGCTACTTTGTTTTACCGATTCCAGACAGAAGGAGAGTCATCAAATTGGACAGCAAATGCAGCAGCTGCCGGTGATGGTAGCAATGGCATGACAAGCGCAATGGAAGCTCTTAGTACAGATCCTCCACCTGTCTCAATGGAAGTAGACGAGAATAAACCCAGTACGAGTACGGGGACTTCTACAACTACGACAGTTGCCACTGGCACTGGTCGTACATCTCCTAACACCCATCAGCTTAAATACATCAAACCTTTGCTCGGAGCCTCGTCGCGACTTGGACGTGCATTGGCAGAACTCTTTGGACTTTTAGTGAAATTATGTATGGGATCTCCAGTTCGCCAGCGTCGTGGCCAACCGACACCGCTCATGCCTACGTTACCTTCACAAGCAGCGAGAGCTGTAGCCACTGCGCTTAATTGCCTTTTGATGAGAGGACTTTCACACGATAAATTACCGCCCTCGCCAGTACCAAAATTCAAGTTAACTTTTCTAATCTGCTCGGTTGGTTTTACGTCGCCGATGCTATTCGACGAGAAAAGACATCCATATCATTTGATGCTGCAGAAGTTTGTTAAGTTGGGAGGACAGAATGCGTTTTTCAGCACCTTCCGGTGGGCGCTGTCGGGTAGTGGTCAGTTTGATCTGGCAGAAGGCTTAGAGCATCCGAATTTGCCCGACGGTACTGGCGAGTTTTTGGACGTTTGGTTAATGCTTCTTGAAAAAATGGTTAATCCTAAAGCAATCTTAGATTCTCCTCACGTGGTATCTACTAAGTGTACCGGACTCTACAAATTCGAACCATTTGATCCTGTCAAGTATCTCGTAGACATCCACAAGAAGGCTTTTGATGCTGTGATGCTGATGTGGGGTAAGAAGCCCCTCAAGAATTATGGGCCTCGTATGACAGAGTCCATTCTGTCGATTCTTCGACACATTCTGCAAGGCGAAAAAATCATCAAAGAGCGTCTTGAAAAGGAAGAAAGTACTGAAACAAGTGCTGCAGCTGGTACTACTAATCGCTCAGGAACCGTTGAGCGTCGAGAGGAACCTGAAGCTGACGTGAATCCGGAACACTTGAGGCAGCTGATGGACATGGGGTTCAGCAGAACTCACTGTATCGAGGCTTTGCTTCATACTTTGACAGTCGAGCAAGCTACGGATTATCTTCTTACTAACCCTGCTACATTGCGAGTTCCAAGAGCTGAATTGGCTGGAGCAGATGCCAATGGTCAAGATCTAATAATGGATTTAGAGATGGGCGACGACGACCAAATGATGCAAGCAATTGCAATGTCGCTCGACGACTCCGAGGCCACGATAAACTCTGAGGAGCCTATCAAAGAAACGTCTAAGACTATTGACGAGTTCACGCATACAGCTCTGGAGCAGTGCCTGAATCTATTGGATTTGATGCCAGACACTGTTTATAGAATATGCGACCTACTGGTGACGATAACTAAACGCAATGGCACCGACTGGCGTGACAGTATGCTCAAACACTTAATTAAGGAAATTGGCGATTTGGTTGATAAACTTCGAGACACCGCCGAGTCACAGGACGAAAATGCAGGTTCACGACTTGTCGAGTGTGAAGAAGCTAATAAGGTAGCCGGCCGCATCTACTTGTATACGCTATTTTTCGAGGGCACTTTCCAAGAGATGCGCGTGCCATGTGCGGAAGTAGTCGAACAATGTGGTATTCTCGACAAACTTGTAGCTTTACTCGTAGCCAGTGAAGCTCCTCTTACTGCAAGTAAAAATCGTGCAGCTCCACCTAAAGATGAAAAAGAAGCCACAACTCTAGCTACAAAGACACCAAAATGGCTCGCACCGCTTTTATTGTTAATCGATCGATTGGAAAAAGTGGCAGTTCTTACGCAGCGTAAGCAGCTCATGCACAGAGTAACCAATCGCACGTGGAAATGGTTTGATCTGAGTTCGGGCAAGTGGATGCCCTACTCTTCGGCCAACAATAAAATCATTAACGAGGCATACTGGGCAGGTGAACCAACTGTGCGCATAAATTGTAGCAGGCGCAAGTACTTGATTACTTTCTCCTGTATGACTCAAGTGAACGAAGAAAGCGAGAACCGGCGTCCAATCACAATGGGCTTCAAAACTACCACCCAACCTATCACTACTGCTGTAGAGGAAGCAGCAGCAATAACCGTGCCAGCTGTAATACCTGCGCAAACGGTGCTGTCAATAACAAACAACGGAGCCACGCAGATTTCTTCTTCTGATACTAGTATGGACACCGAGGACGGTAGCACTACATCATCTAATGAGGATAAGAGAAATACTCCTATACAAGGCCTTGATCCGAATGTCACCCCAAACATCGTTCGTGCTTGTGTAAAATTATTGGCCATTCCAGTTGATCGCGATGCTTTGCACGCACTGATGAAAGTTTGCTTACGACTCACCCGTGACTACACTAACGCCAAAGTTTTCGCCAAAGAGGGCGGAGTGAAATTATTGCTCGACATGACCCAGGCCAGTAGTTTTATTGGATGCTCTACACTCAGCACTCTTCTCATCAGACACACTTTAGAAGAGCCAGAAACTTTAGGTCTTGCAATGGAGAAAGTCGTGCGCTCGCGCACTCAAACCAATATTCCTCCGGCCTACAAAGAAATTCTATTCATGACGCGCCAGATCAGCAGTGCCGTGTGCCGTGACCCAGAAGTCTATCGTAAAGTGTGCGAAAATATACTACGAGTTGATGTAAACGTGCTGAAACGCGACGATGTCGACAATCGACTTGTAGTCAAAGCTTTACCACCAAGTCTGTCATCTTCGCAGCCAGTGGATGAAGAAGTACCGATTAACGTTATCCACGAGCTTCTCAATGCCCTTATAAAACCAGTTCCTGTTCTTCCTGAGGATTCTTCTAACACGCCACCTGCTGGCACGCCCGAGAAAAAAAATGCTACTACTGCTACGAACTCGACGGCCACTACCTCAACATCGTCGTCGCGTAGAGATCCACTGCGCAGTAACACCGCAGCAGCAACAAGTGACCCACTCGACGACGATGATCAAGTGTCGCAGATCATACCGCTTAAGATGTACACAGATGTCGGAGCGAACGGTAAAGTCGAGCCCGAAGAGGCTAAGAAACCTCTACTTCCTAAATCAGCCATTCTAAAGATTCTTGCCGAGGCTGTGCGCTCATATAGCGCCATCGCCAATCTCATTACCGAATACACTTATCGCGCTGGCCAGAGCGAAATGATTCAGGAAGACACCATGGCTCTCGCATTTCTGTTGGACAAACTCTTACCGATCTTGCCCGAAAATTCTAGTGACAGACAGTGCACGGGAATGGCTCGAATGCTCATCGCGGCTATTGCCTCCTGCAATCATTCGCCTGATGCACAGTGTACTCTCGTTGCTGAAGTAAAAGCTGCACTGACAAGAACCTTGGCTTTGTCCGAAAGCTCGGAAAAACACGCGCAGTTGCAGCTGTTGATTGGCTTGATTTCGACGATGATCGACAATTGTCCACCAAGCTCGCATCAACCAATCCGCGGCTCAGTCAAACCAAACCAATATACAAATGTTAACTACATCGTGCGCATCATGCTCAAGAAGGGTATCGTTACCGACCTTGCCAAGATACCACATAGCCTTGATCTCTCGAGTCCCAACATTGCTGGTACTATCAACGCTGCTCTCAAACCTCTAGAGACCCTTTCTCGTATTATCAATCAGCCAATGCCTGGTGCTATCAGCAACAAATTACCCAGACCAAAGAATCGTAACGCTCAAGAGGAACCACACGGCGAACAAACCGGTACTACCACATCCGATGCTACCAACGCTGTTGGTGAAGAAGTTAACGAGGATGCAGAAAATACCGAACATGACATTTCTGCAAATGCTGAAAGTCTCGAGCCTACCTCTGAAAGTCAACAGCATGAGGATGATGGAGCGGCTCTCGAAGATATTATGGATCAATTGCTGGAAAGGTAAGGATTCACAACGCTGTATAGTTTACATTTGAATTTACGACATTTTATTAGAATTTTTGAGACATCAAATTTCTTTTCGTTAATTATGTGTTTATATTTTTTTAATAATTTGAAATATCATAAAGACACTAATTTTAGTGAATGTAAGATTGCCATTTAATTTTTAGTGTTTCCAATTAAAAACTTACTTTTTAAACAAATTTTTTTTAATCAAAATTATTTCAAAATTATAATTGAATAAAAACTCAATATTGTGACAAAGCAGCGTCTAAAATAAAGTAGTGTACTGTTTTCCAGGGATGGATCGGCCGTTGCGGAAGAGCCATCTTCTCGTCCACATCGGCCGATGGACATTGAAGACGAGAGCCTCGCCATGCGCGATGGAGAAGGTGATTTTGATCCAGCACGAGACACCACTGTAAGTATAAATCTTTAATTTATAGTATTTGTTTAGTTAATGATTTTTTAATTTTTAATATTCTTAATTATCGTGACAATGATTTTGTGAGTTAGTTTACCGAATAAATGATTTAGATATTCATTTCAATCGTTGCAGGAGGATTTGATGAGTTCAGATTCCGACTCAGATAGCAATCCATCAGACGATAACGAGGACGACGTACAAGACGATGACGACGAAGAGGAAGAAGAGGAAGAAGATGATGGCGAAGAAAACGAGGAAGAGGAAGAAGAAGAGGAAGAATCTTCTAATTACGACGAAGATAGACTGAACTACTACGAGGATCGTGTGCCAAGTATGTCATTGCACCTAGTTTCGCATTCAGCAGCAGATCGTGACGGCGGCAACGTCGTCATCATGCAGCACAACTTCGACAACCAAGACTTAAACGCTGTTGCACCAGCGTCTGGTCGGCAGAGTATGCCTTGGAATGCAAACTTTCCCTTCGCTCTTGATCTCTTCAGCGAATCGCCCTCCGTTGGTGAAGGCAATGGTTTGGCTTCCCATCCTCTCCTCATGGCCCAGGGTAGTCTGGATACAGCAAACAATCGTGCCCAAAGAATGCTCCGACAGCGCAGATACCAATTCCAATTATCTAATCCGCGTCACGCTAATCCACCAGTGATTTTACAGAGGTAATAATAATCTTGAACCCTTAAAAAATCCTTTTTTTATTTTTATGAATTTGTTTGTTCATTTTATGAATCATTATTATAGGCTACTTGGGCCAGCAGCTCAAAACTTGCCTTTGGCTGCAAGTCAAATTTTGGCTACTTCGTTTAGAGATACACGAGTTGTTGTCATGGATAACGGACTTGGTATCATGGCTAATCCCGATGACGAGCAATATGACTTTGTAGATCAATCGGGATATCTATTTGGACCTAGTCTTGCGGCAACCTTAAACAATGTCCCGACTGCTCTTCACTGGTGGATCGAAGAGAGCAGGCTACTCGATGGCGATTCTCAACCAGATTGCTGTGTTGGTTAGTGTTCATATATTAACATTAATATTGCTGTCATAAAATATTGAGTAGATTTTAAATGTTTACTTTTATTACAGGCATCGTATACAAGTTGATTCCTGGTTTAGAAAAGTACAGAAATGCTGAGCTTGCGGAAAGAAAAGAAAAGCATAAAAAGCAGCAGGTTGCGGAGAAAGAAGCCGAAAAGAACAAAGAAACCAAAGGAAGTACGAGTACAAATGTGACTGAAAGTAAGTTATGATTTTTTACGTGAAAATGACATGTATTTTTATAAATTATACGATATATGTTTCTATTGCGATCGATAGCTGAAGTTCCAAGTACACCGCCTGTTGAAATGCCTAGAACATCTACTTCGTCATCTGATAGAGATGAATCTAGACAGCTAATAGCAGCTGTGGAGGCTGTCGTTGAGGCTGTGCGGCAAGAATTACACACTGATGAAGAACCTATAGGTAATTCTTTTCCTATATGTTTATTTTTAATCCACAGTTTCTATTGCTAATAAACTAAAATATGAATGTATTTAATCATTTTATAGGTGAAATGGAAGTGACTGTACAAGACGAAGAAGAGAGACCACCGCCTCCACCTCCACAAGATGAGTATCAGTCGACCGAAGAAAGAGAATCTCAAGCTGCAGCACTTACTGCGGCTACTGAAATTGCCGCGCATCTTGTTGATTCGGTTCTCGGTGCTTCCGCTTCAGAAGCTTCCAGATTACAACGTTAGTAAACGCAAATATTATTTTAATGTTATATTATCAAACATTTGCCTTGCTTATATAATTTTCCATGAATAGGGCAAAATGACAGACCAGCTGAAGGATCTTCAACAACAGAAAATTCCGAAGTCTGGACACCAGCTGAGCTAGTTGACTTTAGTCAAAGCTCGAGCAATGACTTGTCGCGAGAAAATAGTGTGCCAATAGATTGGATTAGAAGTTTACTGACCGATGACACCGTCGAATCTAACGGAGAAAGAAAGTGTGTATCGAAATAATTTTTAATACATTTCTCATAAATTTATTTATTCTTACTTAATATGCGAATTTTTAATTCAGTGCCAACGTCAATCAAGAAACCAATAGTGCCAGGCCTGATGCAACGAGTACACCACAACCTGAAACCCAACAATCTAATGCTCAAGCAGCTCCTCAAGAAGAAACCACTCAACCGCAAGCATCTAACGATGTAACGACCAATTTGGAACAACAAGACCAAGCATCATCTGCCTCACAAGAACCATCAACACAAGAAGCAGCACAACAAGCTGGGCATTCGCAAGAACCTCTACTCGACGGCGTTGATCCATCATTCCTTGCTGCCTTACCAGAAGATATGCGTGATGAAGTGATAGCCGAACAGCTTCGCCTTCAACGCATTAGGCAACGAGCTGCTCAACAGAATGTCGTTCAAGAAATGGCTGGACCTGTCGAGGTTAACGCAGAATTCTTGGCTGCTCTTCCACCTGCCATTCAAGAAGAAGTGTTAGCACAACAAAGGCTTGAACAACAGCGACATGCAGCCGCTTCAGCTAATCCTGAGGACCCTGTCGACGCAGCAGCTTTCTTCCAAAATCTTCCACCTTCGCTCCGTCAAGCGGTGTGTCTTTTTAACATTTTATTATTAATTAACCGTCTCAAAAAATGATTTATTGCAATACTTATGCGAATTATTAATTGCAGATCCTTACGGATATGGAAGAATCTCAAATCTCTGTACTTCCACCTGATCTAGCACAAGAGGCTCAAAATTTAAGACGTGAGTGGGAAACCCGTAACCGAATGATGATGCAAGAGAGATTCTTGAATCACGTTGGTCAAGGTAATGCCACACTGTCGAGTATCCTAAGAAATTCTGGTAGAGGTTCGTAATTAAAAAAAATTTTTTTTAGTTAAATATGATCAAACATTCACTTTACCATTTTGATCAACAATTTATTTACAGTTCGTGGACCCGGAGCTCGTTACGCAATTCATGCAATGCCACAGCGTGCACAGTGGAATTCACGCTTAGCTGACGCGGGTATTACTTATCAAGCAGCTGGTGCAGTGCGACTTCGCGGAAAACAATTGCTTGACCACGAGTCTATGGCCTGTTTGTTAGTTTTATTATTCATCGACGAACCGAAGATTAATACTCTAAGACTTCACCGAGTGATTCGAAACTTGTGTTACCATACGAGCACCAGAGAATGGGTCGTGAAAGCTTTGCTAAACATCATGGAAAGGAGTAATGATGAAAATCGTGATGCTTTCGTAGACTTTAGCGGTAAATTCAGAAGGAAAATTACGCATTCGAGCATGGACTACTGTTCTCCAAAAGCCATTGATATGCGAAATAATGCACAGTCATGGCTAAATATCAGTATAGACGCCGCCTTAGGCTGTAGAGCTAATGTATTCCATATTATCAGACACGGTGGCAAAAAATCTGACAGGCAAGGCCACAATATCACGATCCATCCGCAAGCTTCTCCAACTGTCTGCAGGCACACGTTAGAGTTGTTGATATCATTAGCTAAAAGCTTCCCTGGTTATTTTGTTCCTATTAAGTCGAAAGAGTTAGAAGAGAAGGATAAAGAAAAGGAGAAGGAAAAGGAGATTAACAAAGAAGAGACTGGTACCAAACCAAAGACTGCAACGAAGCCTTACAAAAGTGACGCCCCAGATTTCTGGGACATGCTTCTTAGGCTCGATTCTTGTGCCTCGAAAAAAGGAAAATCTGTGGCACGTACACACTCAAATTCTAATTTGGGTAGTGAACCCGAACAATCGGTGTTATCTTTCGAAGTATCATCTTTTGGTCAGCTAATCTCAATGCTGAACTGGTCCGTGATTAAACGAAGCAGTCAGTTAACCGATAAACTTCTTCGACTTTTGTCGCTGATCTCGATAGGCCTCACTGAAGAGCCGCAGCGAAGGGCTGAAAATACAACGCCGAAGAACAAAAAATTACCTGACCCTATTAAAGAGTGGAGTATCGCTGCACCTGAAGGACACATCAAATTAGCGGTACAAGTACTAACGAGCAAGAGTTGCTCGGAAGAAGGCTTGGAAGATGCTACTGCTTTACTTTTGAATTTATCGCACTGTCCTGATCCTACGCGACAATTGGTAAGTTATCGAATATTATTTTCGGTACATAAATACTTTTCATATATGTGCGTTTATTAACATAAAATAATTTTTCCTTTAGATTCTCAAACTTTTGTTGGAAGGAGCAATGGAATTGGCTAATATGGTTTGCGAACACATAAACGACCTAATGATAGAACTGAAAGTACTGAATCGTGAGCTAAATAGAAGAAATTCAATGGAAGAGCAACCGTCGACGAGTGGTAGCGGGGTAAACAAAGGTTTCCTTGTAGACAGATTTACAAATGATAGTGTGATAATAACGGCCCCAACGAAACTAAAAGCTGGAAGCGACTTGCAACTTCCATCGATGGGTACACTCGTCAGTAAAACTTCTAGTCAAGCCTTCTTCCTGCGTATACTCAAGGTGATCGTGCAAATACGCGAAGCCGTACGCCACGCGAGCAATAAAAAATCGACTGAGACCAATGCAACAGCTACCGCAACCACTGTCGCTGCAATTGATGAAACTCAGCCAGTTGAAACCGGAATGGAAGTCGCTCGAAACGAAGGCGAAGAGGCTACAAGTAATGATAGTACTACCGATGCTGACGCTGTTGCCATGGATACAACACAGGTTGCAGCTCCATCAACTACAGTCACGCCGACTGTCGCAGAAGCTGCTGCTCCTGTGGATGAACCAAAACCATCAAGTTCGAATACCGAAGAAGACAGTAAATCGACGCTGCCATTGCTAAGTGAAAGTCTTGTGCTGGATCATCTGTGGGAAACGTTGAGTGCTTGTTTACTCGAGTTGGAACATACGCCTGATCATCACGCAGTTCTTGTGCTTCAACCTGCCGTCGAAGCCTTCTTCCTTGTGCACTCATCGTCGAGTACCACAAATCGCGACCGAAACAACGATAACAACACCGATAATCTCGATGTGGTGGCTGAAATTGCCCCAGTGTCGCCAGTCTTTCCAGAAAATGCCGACGCTGCTGCTGCTCCAGCGGTTGCTGGCGCTGCTGCTCCGCTTGCGGTTTCTGCTAATGTTGAAGGTGGTGCTGCGGCATCTTCTGCTGGCTCGGCTGCTATCAATCCAGTGACACCGCACTCCTGGGATGCCCACCCAACACCACAAAAAGTCCTACCGCCTGATCAGTTGAAGTTCCTCAAATTTGCTGGTATATATTTTATTTGTCGTATTTCATGTACAGTAAATGATAAAATGATATTTATAAAATAACTTTATTACAGAAACACACAGGACAGTTCTCAATCAAATCTTGAGACAAACAACTACACACTTGGCTGATGGGCCATTCTCTGTGTTGGTCGATCATACAAGAGTTTTGGACTTCGATGTTAAGAGAAGGTATTTCAGAACGGAGTTAGAACGGATGGATGAAGGTATTCGAAGAGAAGAGTTGGCTGTGCACGTGCGTCGTAGCCATGTTTTCGAGGATTCGTTTAGAGAGCTTCACCGGCGCAATGCAGACGAGTGGAAGAATCGATTCTACATTGTGTTTGAAGGTAAAATCTTTACTTTATATACGTTTATGTTAGGAAGATATTTAAATATTAACAATACTCATGATTTTTTTGTCAACAGGTGAAGAAGGTCAAGACGCAGGTGGTTTATTGCGAGAGTGGTACGTCATCATCTCGAGAGAGATTTTCAACCCAATGTACGCCTTGTTCACGGTCAGTCCAGGCGATCGTGTTACATACATGATCAACTCTTCCTCGCATTGTAATCCTAATCACTTGTGCTACTACAAGTTTGTCGGTCGAGTCATAGCTAAGGCTATTTATGACAATAAACTGTTGGAGTGCTACTTTACACGTAGCTTTTACAAACATATTCTCGGAATTCTCGTCAAGCACACCGACATGGAGAGCGAGGATTACAGTTTCTACAAAGGTCTTGTTTATTTGACCGAAAATAACATTTCAGATCTAGGATACGAATTAACATTCTCAGCAGAGGTGTGTATTGTATAATTTATGTAAAGTTATGTTTTTTTGATTTTCTATTACATCGATCACTAATTTATTTCATTTATTTTCAATTGTAGGTCAATGAATTTGGCGTCAACGATGTAAGAGATTTAATAGCAAATGGGCGAAACATTATCGTCACAGAAGAAACAAAACTTGAATACATTCGATTGGTCTGCCAGATGAAGATGACAGGAGCAATTCGCAAACAGTAAGATTGTTTTATATATTAAAAAAATTCTTAAAATAATTTTTACTGGATTCTTGATGTGTTCTTTCTACAGACTTAACGCATTTTTGGAAGGATTTTACGATATCATTCCCAAACGTCTTATTTCCATTTTCAATGAGCAAGAACTCGAGTTGTTGATCAGCGGTTTACCAAATGTTGACATTGAAGACTTGAAAGCCAACACTGAGTACCACAAGTATAGCCCGACGTCATTGCAGGTTTGTAATCGATAAAATAATATTTTAATATTTAAAATAAAAAGACTTGAAATAGTATATAGCGATACAAGTACGGAAAAGTATATTTCCACCTTCGTTTCGCTCGGCCGAAAACGCCACACAAGACGAGGAACTCTTTCCCGAATATATATCGTACCGTATTTTTCGATACGACGTGTGAAATAGTACCTTATGATACAAGAATCTACTTTTCTGCCCTTGTATCGTAATGTACTATTTCAACACTTATTATTGCCAAGCATGCGAGAAATACGTACTTTGTGCACGGAATATCGAAAAAAATTAATCACTGCATGACTGATGCATAAAATTAACATAAATATTTATTATTTTAGATCCAATGGTTTTGGCGTGCTCTGCGCGGTTTTGATCAAGCAGACCGAGCCAAGTTTTTGCAATTTGTCACGGGAACTTCAAAGGTCCCACTACAAGGCTTTGGTGCTCTTGAAGGCATGAATGGCGTGCAGAAGTTCCAAATCCATCGGGATGATCGATCGACAGATCGCTTACCTTCAGCCCATACATGGTACGTTTCAACGTGATTACTTAGAATGCTTGAAGTAAGTTATGAATTGTAATTATTTAATTATTTTCTTATTTATTTATAGTTTTAATCAATTGGACTTACCCGTTTACGAGACCTACGATAAACTACGCAGTAACTTACTAAAGGCAATTCACGAATGCAGTGAAGGATTTGGATTTGCGTAAATTTTTGCTAACGACATACGGACATACTCTTACGTCGCAAATTTGTTTTCTGTAATGTGTTGCCTCTGCCTATTCGACAAAGTAAATTATATATCTGCGTGATGTAACAAATGTGAACTGTGCTTGATCCTCTATCGAGTTTTTAAAAGAAAAAAAGTAATGGAGTCAACGTTCTAATAACACGCATGTGTATATACATATACTACAATGTACATATATATGTATATATACATATGTATACATATATACGATTATGGTGTAATTATTGAAAATAACTTTGAGAAAAAAGAACACTACACGATTTAAAGTTTATTTTGTTGAGAAAAAGCTCTGTGAAGTTACGAAGAAGTATGTATGTGAAATAAAGAGAGGAACTTAACGGTAATTCCCAACAAAATGGAATAGGAGAACTAAAATGTAAGGCTAACCACATATAAGACTCTACGATAAGGTTTCTATTTAAGGGAGCTGAAACCGGCGTTCTAGAATAGCTTAAGAGATCCAAAGCGATCAAGATTGTAATATACAGCACTCAAGAGAGAATCATTGGTGATAAATTGTAACAACAGATATTTAATAGTTTGCGTATAGTTACAGTATGTGTGAATGAGAACATAATACAAAATGTTTTCCTAAAAGTTTTACACGAACGCAAAAGTTGTGAAGAAAAAAAAACAGTGGTTAATAATTATTTACGAGAGTGTGAGATTCATCCTTATGTTTTTTTCGTACGCGAAAATTGAGAGCCTAACTTACCGATGAAGCCAAGGAGATTTGCAGTGTAAAATCTGAATAGCAACCTTATTTTATTTCCTTTTTCTCGTGAGAGTTCTGAATGATTGTACACTATTAGTATTAATAACTCTAATTTTTATTGATTAATATTAATAGCTATAGTAATTTTTAAATAATATCATTTAACGATTATTAATTCGAAATGTGATGTTATTAATGAAAAACGAAGTGTAATTTTTCCTAAAACCTAAGAAAAATAAAAAAGTTTACAGTTGAAACGATACATACATAGCTACAAATCTAAGCGGAAAGAAAAAGCGTCAATGGTAAATTACAGAGTAATAACGTTGTGCATAAAGAAGAAAAATACACAGCTCCTTTCGATATTGTTAGGGAATTATTGCTTAGGAATCGCTCAAAAACACAGTAAATGTTGTATTTCTTATAAAAAAAAATTAATAATATAGTCGCTTTGTTTTATTGTTCGTAAGACAAGTTTGTCCCGACCATATACCTTTTTATTCGAAAATATTTTGTTTCGTGTCGTTCATGTAAATCTCAGTAAATTTGTATTTAAGAACATCATTCTGGTTGGTTTACTTTATTTTGCTCGCCGTCTTCATTATTATTTTTTCGTCTCTCTCTCTCTCTCTCTCTCTCTCTCACACACACACACACACACACACACGCTCATAAACATATACGCATACACTAAATCACACCATATATACATCGAAATGGAGTGAATGGATCGAACTTATTTACACCCACACACACGCGCCCGGACTCGGCATGTTTAGAAAATTACCTAGGCAACCGTTTACTGCTTCGGACATCATCTGCACGCTAGTGTTTGTAAAACAATAGCATTGCATAACAATCGTCACACCTTTTTCCCCTCTTATCTGTACGTATTTATCTCAAATTGACAAATAACTTTTATCTTTGTTGCATAACAAAATTGCATCTAGAATCTTTAGAAGTGAACGACAAATACTTATTTTTGCGAAATTTAGTGCTACATTCAAGATTATTTCTCGAGCAGCAACGAAAAGTACAAAGCACCTAGATTTCTATTGCAGCTTTCTGATTTTACGCTTGCCTATTGACATCGGTCAATTTAGCATAAAATCAATACTACTTGGAACGCTTATAGGTTTCACGTAACTTGTAAGAGGGTCATAAACTAGTCAACGTCACGACTTTTCCTGATGCATATATGTAGTATGTAACATAAGGAATTCACACCTTTTCTCTCTAGCACACATTTCGAATTCTAGCAAGGTACGCTGCCTTTCCGTCAACCATCGTCATCGCCAATTAATGATAGCTCTAGCTTTTTAATGCGATTATTGCGTGTTTTCAAAACTTCTCTAACAAATATATGCTACTTTTCTGTAATTCATTTTATTAGAAGATTCGTCAACGAGGTAAGCTTATTGCTTCACTCCGCAAAACGCAAAGCTCAATAGTATATAGCGTCTTTCACTTACGACAATACGAGTAATCGACAATTTATTTAGAATTTCTTGGAATGAACACTATCGATGACGATTAAACAGCGCTCACTTCATTTCGTTAGTACTGTAAACATCTCTTTGTGTACCATGTAAAACTTGCAATTTGGTTTACCATGATTCTAAATTAACTAGCTTGGAACTTCCATTAAAGTAATATGTTGTAAAAGTTAAACAGTAATTTTAAAAAAGATTTAAAACATCTTAAAAATAAAAAAAAATAGTAAACCCAAAAAAGAAGCTAATAAGAAAAGGAAAAGGACGCGCAATGAATCATCGGTGCTCGTTTCAATATGTAGAAATCACGGAAGCACGTGGTCGTATGGCTGGAAATAGAGTTTAAAACAGAAGAGAACATCGATAGGAATTAGCGAGGTCGCACTGATAAAAAGCCTCGAGTAACGTACACGACGTAGAGAGTTGGAGCGGTGAGCGCAACTCTCGCCGCACGCAATCGCCTCTTTTTTCCTCCGGCCACGCACGCAAAGCTTCCTTAGTACCCTATCCGTGAAAAATAAGCTCGCCTGACAAAAAAACACGATGACTTACTTGTCCACAGGCAGGCAAAAAAAAAACACGACACGTTATGCACGAGACGAGCGAGCAGCAGCAGCAGCAGCAGCAAACGATCGAATCGGTAACAAGCGTAATTGCCGAGGCGGTACTTGGCCGAGGACGACTGAAATTACGCCAGCGCTGCTTCTCCCCGACAAAAATGAAAAGACACGACAAACGGACGACCGCGCGCGGTGCCTCGCGTGTTTCCGCCCCTCCCCCGCGACTTTCTCTACCTGATTAAGCCCCGACTCGCTCGCCACGAAAGACGGCTCTTTCAGTTTTCTGTCGTCGTCGAAGCTCCCTTGTCGCGCGATACCAATCTGTGCTTGCGGAGCGCGATGCTGGCCAGGAAAAGGGTGATTTGCTTATATGACCGATTTCTCGTTCGTTTCTTTCTCCTCTCTGTCGCGCTGTAGTTTGCTTGTTTACCTTCGACTCGATAAGCCCAAATGATTTGCGATTTTCTGGGGACTGACACTCGACTGATTGTCAAAAGGGTGGCGCACGCGACAAGTCGCGGAAGATGGCCAAGAAGAACGCGCCCGCCGCGCTGCAGACCGACGTAAGCAACGACGAGGACTGGGCTAAAATCCTGGAGCGGAAGGGATTAGTCGGTGAGATTCAGTTGTTACGTTTGCATTGTTCGCCTTTGATTGTCAAACCACCGATCGTCGCACTGCTCAGTGGCCGACGTCTATTCGGACTGGAGCGGGCCGTGCGTCGGTATGGTGAGCATACTCAAGAAGATCAAGATGGAAATCGGCGGCGATAACTTGAGCTACGCAACGGTAAAGCAAGCTTCTTATTCGTAAAGGACTACCGCGGTAGACTGGCTGTAATATCTGATCGATCCAAGTACAGGCCAAGTGCGACAACATCCAGTCTTTGGCTCGATTTCGGGGGCAGAGCGAGCCCACTTGGATGTTTATCCGCGTGAGTAAGCTCGCGAGCTTTTCGTAGCCGCTATCGTTGTTGAGCGGAGCGATCTTTCTAGGATGGAAAAATGGTCAATCTGCTGTTCGGAGCGAGCTGCCCGCATCTCACGGAAATGCTCACAGAGGAACTGAAGAGACTTGAGACGGGCGAGGAACCCAAGTACGCAACTCCTTTTGTGCGATTGATTTGATGTGCATTAGTTTACTCGATTAACGGCTTATAGATTTTCTCTTCCGGTCTCGGAGATGTGCGAGGAGGAAATCGTGAGGATGAAGGAGATCGAGCAGAAGAAAATCGCCAAATACGCCGAAGAAAATGCGAAAAGAGGTCCGTGCTAACGTGTTGTTGCAAGTTCATGAGTGATTGCATCGACGATGATTTCGTAGACGCCGAGAGAAAGGAGAAATACGAAGCGGAGCTAAATCACTACGTGGACTCGCTGCACAAAGAGACAGTTCTCATCTTGCTGCCGTGGCTGTTCAAAGACGAGGAGGGCAATAAGAGGGACAAAAAGTCAACGCCCGCGTACGTCGAGCTCGCCGAGCAATTGTTACCCGAGTACTTTACGATCGACCGCGAGGTTGGAATGCAGATCGAGGAACAGCACTTGCAGGAGATGCAGAAAGAGGTGAGACACAGTTGTTGGGCAAGTCTTGGCGCGATAACGACGTGGTCTTCGACGAGCGCAGACACTCTTCGAATTCAGCAACGAAAGCAAACGACTCTTCGTGGACGGCAAATGTCTATGTATGAGGCTTAAAGTTATCGACAAGGTGCCGCAGATCGACATTGAAAAGTGCTTGTTCGAGTTACTGTTCGGCGAGCCGAACGTGTCCCAGTCGCCCGACGATCTTATCGAGGGATGGTAATGCTATACCTTACTTTTTCCAATTGTATTTCTCAGGTTAATGCACTTTTTCCTCTTACTAGTTTCGTTCAACGCTACTTACCATCGCTGAGGGAATTCATCAAAGACACCATGAGCGTAGCATCGGATCCGAAAAAACTGGACAAACTTCTGTGCGTGACGACCGTGTGGATACCGCTAAATCCAAGAAACAAGGCCATTGCTTTCCGCGCACTCTTTCCAAAATACGTCCAGGACACTTATCCGGTATTTCAAATGATAACGAAGTTAATCAAGTTTCTCTCTATAATAAGAGCACCTGGTTTTTATAGTACGAGGATAAAGACGCTTCGGTTCCCATCACGGTATTCAAATACGACAATACTAAAATAAGAGAACTCCAAATGGTTCACGAGATGTACAAGCACGAAGTAGTTAAGCACGGAATTTTCGAACGCGACAAGTTGTCCCATCACAAATTAATAGCCAAAGATATAGAAGAGTTTGAGCAACTGCCAAAAGAACTACACAGGTCAATTTTTAATGAGCTCTAATACAAAAGTATCAAATATTGCAATATTTTGTATTATTAAATCCTAACAGCACTGCGGTATTCGTATGGGTAGTCAAGAAAAGCGGTATCAACGTATTCCTGTCGTTCGCGGGAATAGGGCCAAACTACGTGAGCGAGACCCCCGAAAAGGCCATAGAAGACGCAGAGCAATACTTCCCTCGCAAATCTACGGTGTCGGAAGATGTGCAATCGGACGACGAGGAAAAACCAGCCGATGAGCAGCAGCAGCAACAGGAGCAGCAGCAGCAACAGGAGCAGCAGCAACAACAGGAGCAGCCTGCGGCAGCTTCGTAGCTTAATTTACATGTGTAAACAATTCGATGGAAATAATAAAGCCAAAGTCACAGTTTGAATTTCCAGTAAAACTCCACTTCCTCGTTTTATTTTCCACTGTGACGAACGGACACGTCACGTTGCGTCTATAACATATGTATATGACAGGTATGAAATAAGGCGCAAGCGCAAACAGCATATGTACACCCGCGAGATTTATGAACGTCGATAATATAAGCGAAAACGTGTAAATGGTCACTTGAAAATGCAACTCTTACTACGAATATTCAAAGGGAAAAAAAAAAAAAAAAACAAACGAATAAAGAAAGATTTATTGCACTACAATAAATCTCGACTACGGCATCTACTCGAGCGCGCCGACGTCTGCGCTACACATGTTGCTCACCTGGACAAATTGCGAGCGCAAGATTGGCATCGGAGCAAACAGCAGAAAAAATGCTCTAAACCGGCAATAAAGGATGAAGCACGTAGGTCCGAACGTGCCGCGAAAACTTTCCCTTTTTACTGCATCCTTTCTTCGAGGCCTTTCTCGAAGAAAGGATGACGCCCACTTCATCAAATGACTGGATGCCGAAAAAACTCTTACTCCTCCCTCTCTTTGGAGGTGTTGATGCTAAACCTACCCCTTTGGGAGTGACAGAGGGGAGCGCCGAGGAGGACGCTCCAGGACAACGACAAGTCAGTCAGAGCAGAGCCCTCACGAGAGAAACTTGTGACATTTTTCTTGTATTCTACATCATTAAAAGCAATTGGCAGTTTGAAGTATCACTGATCTCTCTTTTCATTTGAATTTTCCACGCTACCCAAATTATAAAGTCGGTCAATGAACGCTCTCATTCCTTATTTATCGAGTCACGTTCAAATTCATCCCGCGCTTACAACTAAATACAAATTATTCCTTGTTCGCGCCAACGGCAAGGGTGGGGATGTTACACTGGTGGCAGCGGTGGGATACGAAATTTTAACAAAAATAAAATATAAACCAGTAATAGATCATACGCTATCAACATCTATAGCAAGTATCTTTGAGATTACAAGTTTTCAAAAGGAAAGAAGAGTCCTCCAGATGCACTGGCCAGGATACGCTACATAGAAATATCAAGATTTGTGTGTGTAATTGTGACTGTACGTGATCTGTGCATATAAACTTTGACTGCGTTATATTATAGTGCACATTGACTGTGAGTGAGCGTGCAATTTTGTGCACGAGTGCCAACTGCCCTCTCCCCGGTTTTAGGCGTGTTTCCCGTGGAGTACAGGGTGAATACCAGGGTAGGCGATTTTTGTGGCCACGCCACGGCTTCTTGCTCAAAAATCGCAGGCTGCGGCTGTCCTCACCAGCATTGTAAGTTTTGTTGCAATTACCGTTTTCAAGTGACCATCGCGATATCGTGGGAAAATATAATCAGTTATTTTAGAAGTAAGAATTTCTATAATGTATGAATAATGTATTTAGTATAGTTTGCTTTTAGTAGTCTTACATCAACTTGCGCTAACAGTGTACGATATATTCAACATTTTTTTTTATATTTATTATTGATTCAATATTCGAAATTTGCGTTGATATTAAACTTGATAATAAGATTCAATTTTGTACTTATACTGATTTAATTAACAATAATAATCGTTCTTTTTATTAATAATATTTTATAAATAAAATTAGTCAAGTAGTTGACTAGCTTTTCAAATTTTCAAATCATTTTTCAATTTTTCAAAAAAAAAAAAAAAAAAAAAAAAAAAAAAAAAAAAAAAAAAAATTACCGGAAATTTGCCGGAAAGTGTAGATGATTTGTTTAGATTTTCTGCGATCCATATTGCTCTAGTTGTCAGCTGTTAAGTCTTCTTATCGGTATCTGAAATTCAAACGAACACAAGCTGAATGTTCTATAATTAATGCTATTAGTGGTGTATACGGATTCATACTCATCTGATTTCAAACCGGTGTCCCTTAAGTATTGCTTTCGTTTGGCCTAATCTCACTCCCCTTGCTGTAAAACACGATAATGTCGGGGCGCGGTAAACGTAGCAACCGCGGTGCAGCCGGTGGCCCGCCTGCTAAAAGAAGCACTAGGAGCGCAACCACCCTCGCCCAAAGGAGTGATGGCGCGGGTAATGTGGGCGAAGCACGAGTTCGCGGAGGGCAGGTGAGTCGAGGTAGGGGCCGTGGAAAAACGACTAGTAGATCGGCGGTACGAACCGTAAACATTGAAAGTATCGATATGGACGCTGAGAACTCGGGCGCAGACGATAGCGATTCAGAAAATCTGCCGTTAGTTCCAAACACGATGAACGCGGGAACATTGAGCTTACCTCGGGTAATCCCTAACGAGATTATGGTTGCCTCTCCCACTCACTACGAAGCGCGAGCAGGCTACAGCGGTAGCGAAGCCAGGCCTTACTACGTCGAACCTAAGACTGCATTAACTCTCATACCGGTGTTCAAGGGGGAGGGTGATTGCGTCGAGGGGTTTGCGGAGAAGTGCGAGGAAGCCAACGGGTTTGTTGAGCCGCGTGCACGTTCGCTCTTTTTGCAGATGATGCGTAACAAATGCGAAGGGGATGCAAAAAATTATCTGTTAGCAACAAAACATAGCGACTTAACGAGTTTTCTAAGTGCACTCAAGGATAGATATCGTCCGCCGGAAAGCTTTTCAGATCTGAATGCTCAGCTCAATCGAGTAATACAAAAGCAGGGCGAGTCGATGCGAGATTACGGTACGCGCGTTAGCCTTCTGTTAAACAAGCTCATCCGTGTGGCGCGGTACACCTACCCGGATGGCGCCGCCGCGATCATACAATGCGCGCAGGACACAGCACGCGATAGCTTCATAATGGGCATTTGGAGAAACGATTGTACGACTAGAGTTGAGGCTAAGAAACCAAGTACCTTGGAAGGAGCGATCTGCGCTGCTATTGAGGCCGAGATGAAGATTCAACAGAAAGAAGCGCTAAAGGAGCAGAACGGGGCGAACAGGCCCTTCAACAACAGGAAAAGTGCGTACCAAGTAGCCTACGTAGCTAATCAGGTGCGTGCAGACTCGCCGCGCTGCGATCGAAATCAAAACTCGGGAGGCGCGCCGGGCAGCAATTCAAAGCAGGCCGAGGGAGGAAACGGAGGCTCATTGTCAGCAGACGCTACTCCAACTTATGATAGGGAAAGGCGAGGGGAGCGCACTTGTTATCGGTGTTACCTTCCAGGACACATCGCAAGATTCTGCCCATCGAACTCTGCTGGAAACAACTATGACAACGGACCGACGAGAGGAAGGCCGTCGTGGCGCGGAAGGCCGTTTCAAAATCGTAACGCGCAAAATTCGTATCGTAGCAACCAACAATCAAGCAATTTAAACGAAGACGCGGCCCGATCGACCGAGACGCGACCGGGCGCAGCGAACAAACCGTCTCCTGCGACATTCGTGTCCACTACGCCGCCGAACGAATAAACCCGTCGAAGTCTCCCTTTGTCGAGCTTTTTTGCGAAACACGGCACGAAAAGTTCACATTCCTCGTAGATACCGGCTGCGGGTTGAACCTCATAAAATCTAAATGCCTCGGCAGGGGAGCATCCGTCGACGAGAGCGTTCGATTTAATTTAACCGGTATCGGCAATGGGCTTGTGAGAACGCTGGGCCAAACAGCGCTCACGCTCGGCGACATTCAGATCGTATTCCAAGTTGTCCCGGACGGTTTTCCTGTGAAAGGAGACGGTATATTAGGAGTAGAATTTTTAGAAAGGGAGGAAGTCGATCTTGTTTTTCGCAAAGACGGAGGGGAAATAAAAGTAAACTCGAGATCGTATCAATTTAAGCAAAATAACACGATTCATTTACCAGCGCGATCGAGGACTTTCGTCGAGTTTGCGGTGCAAGCGAGCAAGGAAATGAAGGAAGGAATTCTTCCGCGGATTAATTCCGGGCCAGATGTATATATCGGGGAAGCATTAGTGGCCCTCACCAACGGCAAGGCCAGGGTGTGCGCCATTAACTCTTCTAGTCGAGATATCACGGCTATCTTCCCAATACCGAGCGTAGAGCCAGTTCCTGAAATTAAATCGAACGATGCGTTACCCGATAAGCGCGATGAGGCTAAACGGATAGCCAAACTTTTACGATGTATTCATACAGAGCATCTCAATTCTTTAGAACGACATAAACTCGTAACGTTGATAGCTAAATACCCTTATCAGTTCTTTTTACCTGGAGATAAATTAAAGGCCACCGATGTATTAAATCACAAAATCGAAACTGTCGATGAGATTCCAGTCCATGTTAGGCAATTCCGATTACCTCAATCCCAAGCCAGCGAGTTAGAAAAACAGGTACAAGCGATGGCTGATGAAGGCATAATTCGCCCTTCGATTTCTCCTTACAATGCTCCATGTTTTCTGGTTCCAAAAAAACCTGATGCCTCCGGCAACCCTCGGTGGCGTTTGGTGGTCGATTATCGAGCCTTGAACGAAAAGATTATTAATATTTCATACCCAATGCCTAACATCACCGAAGTCTTAGATAAATTAGGAGGGTCCCAGTATTTTTCATCATGTGATCTCCATACGGGCTTTTTCCAAATTCCTTTGGATCCCTCTTCGAGCCATAAAACAGCTTTCTCGACTCAGTACGCTCACTGGGAGTATACGAGAAGTCCCATGGGCCTACGTACGAGCCCAGCCGTGTTCCAGTACATGATGAACAAAATTTGTTCGGGCCTCCAAGGGGTAGAAATGCTCATCTATATGGATGATGCTATTATCTTCTCTGATAGCCTAGATCTTCACATAGCAAAATTAGACAAATTTCTCAAAATCATAAAAAATGCTAACCTTACCTTAGAACCAGAGAAATGTTCATTTTTGTGCCAGCAGTTGCCCTACTTGGGGCACATAATATCCAAAGATGGTATTAGGCCTGACCCAAAGAAAGTAGAAGCAGTGCGCTCGTTCCCAACTCCCAAAAATAAAAAGAATGTAAAGCAGTTCCTAGGATTGATAGGGTACTATAGGAGGTTCATCAAAAATCTGACGGGTATTGGCAAACCCCTCTATGCCCTGCTCAAGAAAAATGTCGAATTTCACTGGGGATCTGATCAGAAAAAGGCCTTCGAGACCCTAACAAATGTTCTCTGTGAATCACCAATACTCCAATACCCAGACTTCACCAAGGAATTTCGCATTACGGTTGACGCTTCTACTAAGGGTTGCGGGGCTATACTTAGTCAGGAACCGAACGATCTTCCAATCGCGTTTGCTTCTCGAGCATTTGGCCCTGCTGAACAGAATTATTCCGCAATTGAAATGGAATTAAATGCCATGATTTTCGGTATCGAACATTTCAAGCCTTACATTTATGGCAGAAAGTTCACTCTAGTCACCGACCATCGTCCTTTGGTGTGGCTCCAAAACTTAAAGGATCCTACGTCCAGGCTTGTTAGGTGGAGATTACGCCTTATGGATTACACTTTTAAAGTGGTGTATAAGGCTGGGCGGGTGAATTCCAATGCTGACTCTCTCTCTCGTAATCCGATCCTTCCTAATCCAGTAGACGGCAGTGAAGTGGTGAGTTGTGAAAAGATGGATGTCTGCGCAGACTCCCCATCGGTTCCTGATTCACAGGCCGACCTGCTCGTCCTTGAAGACTCCCCGCTAATCCAGGTGTCACTGGCTGAAGTACTAGCCCTTGAAGACTCTATTGCCCAAGTTTTTATAACCTCCTGTGAACCAATAGATGTTTTGAGTATAAATGAAATGCAAAAAGAAAAAGAGAAAAGAGATGAAGTGACCTCATCAGAGGCAGAGATAGTTGAAGACACTGAAATGTCCTACCGGGCCAGGGCTGAGAACCCTGGATGGCCGCAGGTCTCATCAGAAGTTGGAATGAAAGATGACGCGGTCTTACGGCCCAGGGATGAGACCTCTGGGTGTCTGCAGGCCCGAGTGAATGGAACCCGTGTGAGTAGAGAGGGAGATATCAGCATAATGGAATCTACTGCGAGTGAATGTGTGTTTTTGATGGCCTGTGATATGTTTGAACACACCAATGATCCCTTACTCATGGAGAGCGACCATTTAATACATTTTATTCCAGCAGACTGTGATTTGACTTCAGAGATTAATAAGGAATTCATTGATAGAGGTATGCTAACAGTAGAATCACTGAAAGCAGTAAATCCAAGCTTAGGTACTGTCATCACTTTTAAAACAGAAAAGGGTCACTATGTCTTCAATCTTGTAGTGAAGGAATCAATTGAAAAGGAATCGTCAATCACGGTTATTCAGACTTGTTTAGTTAGTCTTCAACGGGCCATGAACGATTTTCAGGTCAGAACTGCTCGCATATCAAGCTCTGGAAATGGTCTAGACGATATATCATGGAATGAAATTGAGAATAAAATGTTCGAAATCTTCACAGGACATGATTATCAATTTAAAATCTGCTCGAATGACCTACATTTCCCAGATGAGGCAGAGGTAGAGATTTTGTTACAGGAGTATCATGATTCGATAACAGGGGGACATCAAGGATGTAGCAAAATGTACAAGGCAATTCGCAAACACTTTTACTGGGATAACATGAGGTCCGATATTAAAGGTTATATAAGATCATGTAAAAGTTGCCAGGAAAGTAAACTCAATCGTGTAAAAGTCAGACAACCTATGGTCATCACTGACACCCCCAAAGCCGCTTTAGATAAGATTCAAATGGACATAGTCGGTCCACTGCCTATCACACACTCAAATAATCGATATTTACTTACCATCCAATGCGCTCTAAGTAAATATGCAGACGCAATCCCCATTTCCAACATGGAAACAGCCACAGTAGCAGGAGCCTTAGCTGAAGAGTTCATCTCTCGACATGGTTGCCCAAAGGTCATTCACACTGACCAGGGTAGTAATTTTTGTAGTCAATTGATGTCTGCACTTTGCAAAATTTTCAAAATTGAACGTATACGATCCACAGCCTTTCATCCTGAATCTTTAGGCTCCTTAGAACGAGCACATCACACATTTGTTGAATATCTCCGACACTTTTGCACTATGGAGAACTGGGATCAGTGGATTCGCTTTGCAATGTTTTCCTACAACACTCACATTCATGAAGCTCATGGTTTCACTCCACACGAAGTCTTCTTTGGCAGAAAAGCGAGAATACCCTCCTCATTTGCAAAACAGAACATTCCCACTACTTATAATGATCTGGTTGACAATCTTCTTCAACGTTTGAGTTATACTCAAACAAAAGCAGCAGAAAATCTAAACAGAGCAAAAGAAAAGTATAAACAGATTTATGATAGGCGTATGAATGCAAAGACCTTTCAAGTAGGTGACAAAGTATACTTACTGAAAGAGCCACGCAAGAACAAGTTCGATAAACTTTATATAGGTCCATTTTTAATTATAGAGGATTATGATCAAATTAACTATAAGATAAAACTGAATGCCGGTCATAAGATTGTGCACGCCAATAAATTAAAACCTGCCTCGATAAGAATAACATAATATGAGCAAGATAAGTTTTTCATAAGCATCGAACCTGAAGTTTTTTCTCTTACCACAAATTCACTAATGTAAGCATTCATAACTTTGTAGGGTTAAGTCACTATCAATTATTTTTATTTTCTAGATAACTATGTACTATTTTGGACTTTTGAGACAGGCTAGAAAAACGTGATGCCTCACAATAGTCTTGCACTCAAGTTACACTGATAATGTCGAGAATTTTAATTGAGCATAATTATATCGATATAAAGGCGTAAGTTTATAGACAGCGTTCACTAAAATGGAATTACAAGGACTCTGGGTACTACTAACCCGCTGTTTTTTTTTTGTGTTGTAACGTTGGATAAAAAACAGCTTTATGTTATGGGGGGAGATGTGACGAACGGACACGTCACGTTGCGTCTATAACATATGTATATGACAGGTATGAAATAAGGCGCAAGCGCAAACAGCATATGTACACCCGCGAGATTTATGAACGTCGATAATATAAGCGAAAACGTGTAAATGGTCACTTGAAAATGCAACTCTTACTACGAATATTCAAAGGGAAAAAAAAAAAAAAACAAACGAATAAAGAAAGATTTATTGCACTACAATAAATCTCGACTACGGCATCTACTCGAGCGCGCCGACGTCTGCGCTACACATGTTGCTCACCTGGACAAATTGCGAGCGCAAGATTGGCATCGGAGCAAACAGCAGAAAAAATGCTCTAAACCGGCAATAAAGGATGAAGCACGTAGGTCCGAACGTGCCGCGAAAACTTTCCCTTTTTACTGCATCCTTTCTTCGAGGCCTTTCTCGAAGAAAGGATGACGCCCACTTCATCAAATGACTGGATGCCGAAAAAACTCTTACTCCTCCCTCTCTTTGGAGGTGTTGATGCTAAACCTACCCCTTTGGGAGTGACAGAGGGGAGCGCCGAGGAGGACGCTCCAGGACAACGACAAGTCAGTCAGAGCAGAGCCCTCACGAGAGAAACTTGTGACATTTTTCTTGTATTCTACATCATTAAAAGCAATTGGCAGTTTGAAGTATCACTGATCTCTCTTTTCATTTGAATTTTCCACGCTACCCAAATTATAAAGTCGGTCAATGAACGCTCTCATTCCTTATTTATCGAGTCACGTTCAAATTCATCCCGCGCTTACAACTAAATACAAATTATTCCTTGTTCGCGCCAACGGCAAGGGTGGGGATGTTACACCACGTGTCTTACACGCGGCTTACTTCTCGCAGTCACAGCTGCACTTGCGATCGCGCGTCCTTTCGAAATTGCGTCCCTATACCATTGGCTTAGTAATCGAATGTGGTACACCAGGAGTTGAGCCTATAAGTATTTCACGGCCTCGCGGGATTTACGCGTTCATCGAAATAATGTGATTATCTCAGCGCCAGCCGTAAGAATGCAACCACCTGCCTACCACTTGTCTTCTCTATGACGCGCACTGCGCACACCTACAAAAAACAAATCGTTAGCCATTAATATTTCATGAAAATTTCATTGAAAAAGACTACTCTCCTCTATTATCTGATTTATCAGTATTGTTTAAATAGACTCGATTGTTAAGAGTGTCTGCGCGTGCATTATCTATTCTTGATTATTTGCTTGGAAGGGGTACTGATAAAATTCTGATACTGATTCTTGCATTGATTTAAACAAGGCGACAATTTTATTAGCTGGTGAAATAAGAATGTTTTTTCTTTGAGATGATCCCTGAGATTCAGGCTAAGTAAAATCATTGTAGATTACAAGCGATTACATATAACGCATATTTAAGGCACTTCGTATCGGTTCTATTCTGTAGATTAGATAACTTTACAGTGTGATATGAGAATTCACAAAACTATTTTCATAACAAAAATAAATGGATTCCTTAAGATTTCATCCATTATTAATAGCATAAAAATGTACACTTCCATTAGTAAAAATTGTCTTCAGATTTAAGTACAGAAAATGGTATTGGTGACCATTTGACTAAATAAAATATATCTGTTTAGAAAAATATAATCTAAGATTTGCTGTTCGATCTGTATTGTGAAATAATTTATAAGAATAATCATTATCAACATATATTTGCAATTTTTATGTGAAGTAATAAATTAATTTCTAAATTAAGAAACTTATGACTAACGAGTGCCGAGTGCCGAGAGCCGAGTGCCGATACCGTCAACAGCTGCCGTAAGAGCGCGCAGTGATCATACATGCGATTTACTATTTACCACTACGCGCCAAATTTCACGGTTAGGTCGTTCTTGCCTTTTATAAAGTTTTTTTAATGGATTTTGTTTGTTAGTATGAATTAAACCGTCATTAAGAGCTGCATCACTAAAAATGGGAGACTTTCATTCGCCAATGCGCTGCATTTCACCAAGTGCACGGTAAATTAAAATCTGTTGATAATTATTTTTGTATACCATGAGTTTGATGTTAATTGCAGTTCTCTTGTTTCGTTTCAGTGTTTTAACACCAAAACCACAAGTACAACAAACTTTAGAAGTTCGACAGACACAAAAGAAAGCTAAAAACGCTATTACACTATTTTGTATTAACAGTACACTTTTTGCAGTTGTTCTCTTTGACATGCAAGTCTTTCTAGAGATTCTTCTTAACTGTTATTTGTAATAAATATATGTAATATACTCTTTGCCTTTTAGATTTTATGGTGGCATTGCATATAAGCCATTTTCATGGATTGAATGGTGCTTAGCATCCATTCTTGGTCTTAATTCAGTCCATCATTTGATAAGGTATACCATGGCCATGTTCAGTTTGCGGCCAGTCACTTTGACTGCAAACCAAAGAAAACTTTTAGGGATATCAGAAGATGATCCACTCTTCAAAAATGAAGTTCTATCACCTAAAACACTACCAGAACCAACCACTCCACTTAATTTTTCTTGCATGAATTTGAGTAGAAATTCTAGTGCTCTTGGTACTTCTTCTTTAAATGAAACAAGTAATTAATTTTTATACATGAAACACACATGAACTAAATTTTTATGTATTTTTAAGAAATATTCTGATGAAATTTTTTTCATTTTATTTTTTAGAAGACTATTCAGCTTCTAGCCCATTTTCAAAATACAATAGTCCATTATCTCGCAAGTCAGCAGTAAGTCCAAATGTCCCCATTAATAAATCATTCAACAGTTCAATGAGTGCTAGTTTCACTGGTGATGACTTGATTCAAGATGAGGTTGGACTGCAAAACTATTTGAAAGAAGTCACAAAGAAAGAATGTAAATCTACACCACATTCAACCAGTGTTGATCAACCATCAAATTTACTAAGCTCCTTTTGGTCTCATCCAGCAACTCGCAGTCCAGGAGAAGTGTCACCCTTCTTGAGACAATGCGTTTATCAATTAGCACCAACTGTTGGTAAGCTTTAATTGAATAACTGTAATTCTTGTGTTACTTTTAATATAATAATATTCATTAACTCTTACTTTTTTCAAGACAAGTCCAAAACTTCTAGTCCTGGTGCTGAAGAAGGAAGTTCACCAAGAGCCTATGGAAGTCCTGATGTTTGGAGAAAGTATAGAATTGATCCAGCTAAAGTTAATCAATGGATTGCTAATTTGAGAATGGTAATATTCTAAGCTCCATTTGACTAAATTTAACCAAACATTGAAAATTAATAAACAAAATCTTCTTAACAGTGGATAAGCAAAACTGTTGTTGAACGAGTTGCATTAGAAATAGATAATGTATGTTCTAGTCTAATCCGTCATGGTTTAAGTGACTCCCAACCAGGACATGTAGGGTTGGACAAACTCAGGAAACTTGCTCAATCATTCTCAGTAACTGTTATACCTACTTTACCAGCTCTAGTTCCTTTCCTTGAGCTATCAAGCAATCAAGAATATTTAGTTAAAAGAATTAAAATACTTGCTAAAGGTGGGTCCATGAGTGAATTCAAATGGAATAGTGGAGGATCTCATAATGGAAAAGAATGGGATTCAAGTTTGCCAACAGACACAGCTGTTAGTGCTCAGTTGCATTTTTATTTCCATCTATATTATATGAAAAACAAATGTGACTAATCATGATTTTTCTAGATTATCATGCATCTCGTTTCAATATATATGGACACTCAATTAGAAGCTCCCTTGAATCAACCTGATGCCAGACCTTTCACATCGAGATACATAGCAAAATCGGGTTCAGAATTACCGCGAAGCAAAGGTCCTATAATAGTCAATCACTCTACAAATCCACCTCATTACTTCCTCGCTCTCACTGGTGACTCCCTAGAAAAAGACTATGAAGATATTCCACGAGTAAGTTGAAATAATTTATAGTTGATAGAAAGAGTTACGTAAATAATTTGTGCTCTGTTTTTTACAGGGCAGGAACAATTTGTTTCACACACTACTTTTATTCTTATACATAGTTAAGACTCGTGATCATGGTATGCTCGGCCGCGTCAACCTTGGCATGTCCGGCGTGAATGTCCTTTGGGTGATTGACTAAATGACCTGTACAATTTTTCTATTTTTCTATTGCGCAAAGAACGTGTGTCAGTGGAAATTATTTTAAAATCTGAGCAATTATTTATTTTGTTATAATCATGCCAAGAATAGCTGGGTTAAATGTAATTCTCCCGTGACTTCATTTTAACTTTAAGTAGGTAGTCTGTAAAGTTAAGTTATTATGTGATGATCTTATGATGTCGGTGTATATGCGGCGTGGTAGTAAAAACTTTGTACAGATATGTAAATATGAGAAAATTTAAGCAATAAGGTCGTGTCTCTCGTAAATCTTAAGCATTCATAAAAAAATAGTGAAGCAATAATATATGCAAAATGTCTTGGTGACGTTTGTATCTATTTTTCGAATGCAAATTATTGACTACGCATTGTAAAGTGAATAACAAAAACTCTTGGTCTTTTTGAGTGACTTTAACGAAGTGTTCTATTACTAAGATCCGTATATTGAATTACATTAACTCAATTCGGAAATCATCTATTCATTCAAGCAGCGAAAACGTAAATACCCTGTCAAAAAAAAATGAAAAAATATCAATGAAAAATTACAATCAGCAGTAATACAGAGATTACTTCAACATCATAAAAATTATCTATTCAACAAACGATTCAATCCTACATCAAGATTTATTATGTCATGTAAAAAATGTATCTTAACATAACTAAAATTTATTGAAATGCTTGAGCACTGATCAATTAAATTTACACCACACGAAAGTGTAAAAAAAAAAGTGAGTCGTGCATTCAGACGCTGCAGCAGCAATAGAACTGCATTTAACGATCCTCGGCTTGCGCATGCGTGGCCGCTCACCATTGATAGCGTCGTCAGCGTTGAGTGTGGCGTGGTGTATTCTTTTTTTTGAACGAGAGAGTGCACACGCTGCTAACTCCCCTCTCGCCCGTTCAATCCAGCGGCAGCCTGAAATCGCGCGAACGAGTAGAGTCCAGTAGTGCAGTACACGCGTTGGTTGCGCGCGGACGAGCCGACTCTTCTAAGTGCCCACTGGCGTACATTAATAGTTAGTAGAGAGGCAGAAAAAAGATTGTGTATATTCGAAGTGAGGGAGAAAAAATGGCCCACCGTTAGATTTCTACTTCGGCAAGGTGAGCGTGATACGGGGTTATTTAATTGGTTGTTTTGGGCATGAGACATCAGAAGATGTTCGTTGAACGCGAGCTCTTTTGTACGGACGAGTGTGAGTGTACTCTCGTGTACAATAGTGCCATGTGGTGTATTGGGTTTCGAGCTGCTCGTAACGTTAGATCTTGAATTGTTTTCGTTTTGCGCAACAAGTACAGCTAAGACAACGTATTCCAAGCTGCTTATTATAGCAATTTAATGGCACGTTGACAAATCGCACTTTTCCTTCTTATTTGTCTAGTCAATATGAGTTATCGCTCGATAAAGACACCGTGCGCAGATTAATCATAGAGTTTAGTGGAAAAGGAACAAAAGCTAATTACCTTTTATGAGCTCACGTGTTCGCATGTGAATGCTCCAGAGAAGCTTCTGAAGCTTATATTAAACGTCTGGCGTGTTATTCCTAGTGGAAAATTGCACATCGCGAGGACGCTCGTCACTTGCACGGAACCTGGATTAGCGTCAATCTCAACGTAGCCGAAAAAATTACTGTATTCACACACACACATGGATCAGTTAATAATCCATCTAGTCTCCGGCGCCGCGATAGAGCGCGTATTATCAAACGAGCCGGAGATGTTTTATCACTCGCTTACGAAATTTGTTTTATTTATACAATGGAGCAGCGGCCGGCGCATTGACGTACACGCGAAAAAAATGAAAATAACGAGAAACTCAAAATATTCGCGTGCGAGCGGCGCTCGGTTACACAAGCGCAAACACATTGCTATCACACGTGCATTGGAGAGACTAATCAGACGGTGTTTCTTTGTTGCTTATTCGCGCAGCGAGAGAAAGAGTGAAAGAGAGAGAGAGAAAGAGAGTGTCGAGGATGAGAAAGGACGCGGAGATGTCGCAAGCTGCCGAGGAGCAACGCAAGGACGCGATCCTCGAGGAGACGTTTTACGTGTCGTCGAAGCGCAACACCGTCTACAGGGTGAGACTCAGCGAGAGGGGACTGAGCCTAAGGAAGGAAAGTCACTGCGGCAATGCGGCCAGCAAAACCGAAACTATCCGCGTCGATGACATTGTCGGATGCAGGTAAGCGTTTATTAATGCGAGTCTATTAATGGGACGGCCTGGCGTTGCGAAATTTTTCGAGATATACTCGTTCAAGGTTGTTCCTTGTGGGCTCGCTAGCCGACTCGGTGTACATTGCGAAATGTCAAACAAATGCCCGAGAAATTCTTACCCCGAGATAATCTGTTAATCTCGCGAGTTACGTTCAGTCGTTCCGAGAGTTATTCCGCAGTCGATTCGCGGATTAGGCTTACGTCGAGTCGACGAAAAAATTGGATGCCGCCATAGGCAGCGCACGAAAGAATGCCGCACATCCGTGTGTGTTTGACAAAAAGTCGATTCCGCCGCGCGCAACACACGCGTGATCGTTCGTTCGGCGGAACACATTACGGCGAGCCAGTCGAGATCCGCGAGTGAAGGTCTCGTCCGGTTGCCGCTCGCGCTTGTGCCGCGACAATCGTACGAAATCAAAGGAACGTTGGAGCGAAGATAAAGCGAAAGAGTACGGGCGTGCGGTGGCGTCCCAGATAAAAGCGGATTACGCGCGTACCTTTCCGCCTATTTTTACAGGAGCTCTGCAACGTGTTTAGACCCTTAGCCGCCACGTCAGCAGGACAGCAGCCGCTGCCACGTCGTTCCGGGTTTCCCTATCAGCTTTCGAGGTAGAGAGTACGGCGCGCACGGAACCAGTCGGAAACGCGGCGATTGCCGGTTGCCAACGCGCCTCGTTCAGGTGAACAGCGCGAGCGCGCGTTTCGCGAAGCGGTGCCAAAGTATTGACGGAGCGTGCGCGCGCGCAGAACTCAGTCATTAGCAATCAAGATCCAGTCGGATCGAGGAAGAAGAAAATTGCACGGCACGCTCTGGCGAATCATTTTTTCAGGAAAGAACGCGAGCCGTCAGCTTCGAGTGGATGGAGAGATAAAATGCTGGCGTGATCGAGCGTTGCGCCGAGAATGCCGAGGACACTTGACGAACAATTGGTTGTTTGTTGGCAGGTGCATGCGCTCGAAGCGCCGAAGCGCGGGGAGTTGCGCCTGCGGCCCGGGAGCGTCCCGCGGCCAGCCACGTCTCGTCGAGTCGACGGAGACGGTCCAGCCGAGCGACGAGTACGACAGCTCGGCCTACCTCTACGTGTACGCGTACACGCTGAAGCGGCGCCGGCGCGAGCGCATGACCGTCACCTTGCGGTTTCGCAGCTTCGACCGCTACGAGGACAACCTGCGCGAGGCGAGCCGCTGGCGACTTGCCGTCAAGTGCCTCGTCGCCGGCGAGCCCATACCCAAGCCCTACATGAGCCCCGCGCACAGGAATTTGCAGTCGCTGCTGAGCGGTGAGTGCGGGATGGGCTGCGCGAGGTGCGCCTCTCTCGATCAGCGGATCGAGCGACGCGACGAAATTCGGACGACGTCTCGGCCGTCTGCGACTTGCACTCACGAAGCTACAGCCCAGCTCTGACTGGAGCACCTACGTACGAGCTTTTCGGACTTGCGTGCGCCTAATCACTGGAATTACGAGGCTCTGGATCGCAAATTTATTATGCAATACCTGGCGCACACGGACACATTTATCACGTAGCTTTATATTGGCGTCGATAATATCAGGCTGCGAATACGCCAGCTCGAGCGCTCGGCTATCGTGCGCGCGTTCGGTCGATACGGAACGCGCTTTATCTGAATTTTAGGCTCGCTCGACTCGATGATTAAAAGTGACCTCCTTTCGGCGCGCACTGGCCATGCTAGGTCGTCGCGGCCGCAGGTGTCGAAATATCGTCGGCAGGCGAGACGGCGGACAGGCGCTCACGAAGCCACTACTAGCCGATGCAGTCCTCGGCGTGGGCTTTGATCGACGGGGCTTGGCACAGTGACCGCGATTTTCCAGCAGGAGAGCAGGAGGAAGTCGATCGGCGAGAGGCGGAGTCCTTGACTTGCATAACGCGCCCATCCCGATCCCCATTTCGGTCATGTGGGAATCGATCGCTTTCAAGGACTTGTTTATTTCGCCGCTCGGCTCTCAGCCGCGTCCGCGACAGGTTCAACGAATTGTTTATTGAATGCAGCCGACGTTTGCTTTCAATTGGCTCGTTATCTCGGAGCTTTAATCGATAGACGATCGTCGCGCCCGGTTTTTTTTTCGTTTTGTCGCGACCATCTAGTTCCATTTTCTTCTGCACGGAAAAGTACTCGTGCTACTGAGTTTTCTTACGTGTTTATCGCGCGATCAACTGCCTGACAAACTCGCTTTTCCGAGGCGGATGACGCGTACACTTCGAAGGCGTGTGCATTTTTCCTGTCAGAGTCAATGAAGAAATCGTTCTGGCGCGCGCTCTTTGACCTTTTCGTAACTTATTTTTTAATCTACGCTCGCGGGCCCAATTTCGATGCAAAAAAGAGGATCATTAACTCTTGCAAAGATTTAGCGTGTAAATTATGCTTATTTTTTCTCTCTCTCACACACGTCAAAGTCATGACACTTACACGCGTCTCGACGACTAGGAATATCGTGATTCAACGCAAATGTTTTTTTTTGTCGCCTACTTTGACGACCACTCGAAATGGTGATTTGAGAAAAGAAAAAGTTACTCGGGAGAAAGAAATTCAAAGGCCACGAGTGGAGAGACTGCAAGACAAAGCAAAGCGAAATTCTTTACTCGATCAAAGGGGAAAGAGAGAGAGAGAGAGAGAAAGACGTTCTCGCAGACGTCGGTGAAAATATTCTCACGTTGCGCAACGGCCAATTGAGTCTATCAATATACTCATTGGTTGCGTGACGGCGAAAAAAGAAGGCACTCGCGGGGGGGGGGGGCGACCCTACGCGCGCAACGTCAACGTTACGCGAGCCGAATGGCTTTAATTTCCAGTGCGTAACTCGGGCGCGCCGATTCCTCGCGCGAGTCGGGTGCTTAGCGTAGCTGCACTGTCTTGCCGCGCTGGACTGTTTTTGCCCGCTGGCGCGTGCGTCACGACGCCGAAGGACGCTGGTCGGAGGACTCGCTCGTTCGTCAATCCTCGCGACGGCGTCGCGGCCTGATGAGTTTGCCGTCGATTGCAAAAAAATTCTCGCCGTCGTCGGAGGAGCGCATCTGCTCCTCGCTGCCGCGAATCGAATTTGTTTTTCTCTATTGTTCCTTTTGCTGAGCACGGCTTTGACGCGCCAATAGCGTTCTCGGAAGCGTCGACCAGTTCGGCCCGGCGATAAGCGAGCTATTAGCCCCGTGGACGCGGCGGGGAGGCTCGCTGCAAAGCGAAAATTAATGTCCACGCGCGAGGCGTTGCGTCGTGATCCGCCGCGCGTCGCTTTGCGCTTCCGCGCGCTCACTTCAACCGTCGAATTCGTGCCGCAGGTAATGAGCGCGCGTACACGATGGATAGACTCGCAGTGATCTAACGTCTTCGGGGGCAATCAGTTTGACGTAGTTTTTTTTTTTTTCTTTTTTGTCGCGATGACGCACAGCGCACGCGCAATTGCGAGTCGGCACAATTTCGTCCGAGTATAATCTTGTTGTTCAAATAATGACGGAAATCGTCTTACGTCTGCGTCGATCGAAGCATCACCGACGCAAAACCCGTTGTCGAAGGTATTAGGAGAAAAAAGCACATTCAAGCTCCTCGATAAGCTATAGAAAGAAAACTGCGCTCTTTTTCTCCTGCTGCGCGGCTCGAGTGCTTTGCATAACTAGCGAACGCGCGAGCACGAGAAACGAAATCTCGCGCGCTGTCCTCGTGCACAAACGTCAACATACGCACGTAAAAAAGCCATAACCGATGCCGTCGTCTCTCCGCGACTGATCTCAATCTCGTCGTAGAAGAGGTAAATACAGCGGCGCGCGATAAAGGAAAGGCGAGAAACGCTTGTCGCGAGGCGATCGATGCGAACGCTCAATCGGGAGGGAGTACGAGAGAAGGAGAGCCTCGCTATTTATAAACGAGCGGCTGAATATTTTGCAGCCTGTCCAACCGAGCTAAAGAATCTGCTGGTGATCCTGAATCCAAAGTCGGGCCTGGGCCGAGGTCGCGAGGCGTTCCAGCGCCGCGTGCATCCGATTCTGTCGGAGGCCGAGTTGACCTACGACCTGTACATCACGCGCCACTCTAACTACGCGCGCGACTTGGTGCGCACTCGCGACCTCGGTCAGTGGTCGGGACTGGTGCTGGTCGGCGGCGACGGCATCGTCTTCGAGGCGATCAACGGATTGCTGCAGAGGCCCGACTGGGACACCTGTATTAAGCGATTGCCCATCGGAGTCATCCCTTGCGGCTCCGGCAACGGGCTCGCCAAGTCCATTGCCTTCTCCAAAGGGTGAGTGTCTCGGCGGTCGACCGATCGACAGTACGATTATTCGGGCGCGCTCGGCCACCCAGCGCGGACGCCTGCCGCGTGAGTCTTTGGTCGCGGTGCCCGCAAGGCAGAGCGCGTGACGCGCTTGGATAATTATGCTAATTTCCGAATGTCGCCGGTTTCGCAATAGACGCTCGCGCGTCCGCCCGCGCCTTTAGTATTAATGGATAATGTAACGTGTTGGGCGCAGCGAGCCGTTCGACCAGAACCCGATGCTGATCAGCGCGCTGTCGGTGGTGCGCCGGAGGCTCAACAGGATGGACCTGGTGCGCGTGGAGACGCGCAAGCAGACCCTGTTCTCGTTCCTGTCGGTCGGCTGGGGCTTCCTCGCTGACATCGACATCGAGAGCGAAAGGCTGCGCGCCATCGGCGGCCAGCGCTTCACCGTCTGGAGCCTCGCCAGGCTCATTAACCTGAGGACTTACAAGGGCGTCGTCTCGTACCTGGCCTGCGAAGCTCAGACCAATGGCCTGGGCAAGAGCAACGGCGACGCGAGGATCAGCCACTCCAAGAGCTGCGGAGACGATCTTGACCAGTGAGTTTGCCTCTCTTTCCTCTTTTTCCTCGATTTTCAACTTTCACGACGAGCTCACGTTTAAATCAACGCAGCAGCTTCGCCAGCGAGATACGCGAGTCGCGGAGCTTCGACGGCATGTTCGACGTGGACGAGCGCGCGTTCGAGGTCAAGGACGAGTGCGACTACGCCGAGCTACAGGATAAAGGTCGAGGAGTCGTCACGGAGACCTTGGCGCTGGAAACGAGCGGCAATGAGGCGGCGACCACTGGTTTGAGGCGCAGATGCGACAGCTTCTACTCGGCCAGGTCGCGCAAGTCCGCCTACTTTAGTACCGGTTCGGGCTCCATCTCCAGTACTTACCATAGCGTCGAGGACCTCAACGACAGCAGTGAGTCTACACACCGTTTTTTTCTTTTCCTCGAATAAAGTCAACGAGTCCGCTCATTAGTCGCTTCTTCTGTCTCAAACACGCGCCTACGTCTGTCTAATGAAGCTGTATGTGCATATGCAGAATCAGCGCTTCAATTTCGCTTCTACTTTTTTTAGACTTGGAGAGTAGCAACATTACTTATGGGCCTCCGTCGTCACTGCCCGCGCTCACGACCAAAGTACCGAGCTCGTGGACCAGAATTGAAGGTACGCGTAGCAAGAAATTTTCTTTCTCTATTTTATCGTGGTTTGATATTTTTCTGACTATCGGCTCGATTGCAGGTGAATTTATTATGGTGCAAGCCGCGTATCAATCTCATTTAGGACAGGACTGCCTTTTTGCCCCCCAAGCGAAGCTCAACGACGGTATCATTTGGCTTTTGATAATCAAAGCGGGAATTAGTCGAACAAATTTACTACAGGTATGTTTACGATGTTGCAATCGATTCCAAGATTTTTTATTAAAATATACTCATTACTTCGACAGTTCCTACTGGGATTCAGCACTGGCTCGCACCTTAGCTGTCCAAATGTGGAAATGATACCCGTCCGAGCATTCAGAATCGAGCCAGCCGAAGATTCCAGCGGTTTGCTTACAGTTGATGGTGAGCAAGTTGACTATGGACCTCTCCAAGGGGAAATATTTCCGTCACTCGCCACCGTCATGTGTCCTTGATAAATAATAAAACTGTATCTGTTGATGAAAGTAAAAGGAAACCTACAAAAGTATATTCCACGCAGCCGAGCCAAATAACAAAGAAACAGAAAAAGAAATCGTTTGCAATTAAGATATTATATATACATTCCTATGTCTGTTGATTAGTGAATAAGTAGCTGAAAGAAAATGTGAGAGAAGTCTGACAAAGTGGCCGTCGATTTTTTTATATCAACATTTCCAGTTTTAATCCGCAGATTATATTGTGCCAGCGATATAATATATAGAAGTAAATGATTTCAACGACTCCCTGCTTGTACATGCCAACCTTACAAGTCTCTTCCGTCGGAGATTCAGCTTATAGTTTTGGATAATCCAGCACTATATAATATATATACATATACATATACATATATATATATATATATGTGTGTGTGTGTGTATATATATGTGTGTGTGTGTTTTCTAGCCAATTCTGTGATGTCATGTCAAAATTAAGATTTAGACTATATGTTAATTTTTAGATACTTTTTTAAATGGGTACATTGTTTGTTCTTATTAGATTAGTTTTTTTGTAGCTGTTTTGTAGATATGATGTAAATGTGCTTTTTGATTGAGATCTCCATCAGTCTGTTGAAAAAGTAGTAGCATGCAGATTTTTACATTGATGAAAAACACTTATTATGAGAATGGAAAATAACGAGTAATTTTATTTTGTAAATCTTGCGTATATTTCGTCCAAAAATGAGTTATACCGTTTATTACACAATAGTACCATTATATACTATAGAGATTGAAAATTATGACAGAAAAAATTCTATGCTTTGTAACTATGAAAGAACAGTTATAATAAAGAAATCATTTACATTGTTTATGTACTTACTTTCTAATGATGTGTATATATAACAAAAAAAAACCATTATATACAGCGGTTCACATACAAAAGATGGTATATCTCGATGCATAAACGAAAAGTAAATTGTTTATTAAAAATGAAGTGATCCAATAAGAAGTGACAAGCGTTTTTATATAAAATTCTGGCAAGGCATTAAGTATTTTAAGTTATGTTTTAAAATATTTAACAGCTCATAGAGCTCGAAATGGCGTTAAGAATTGACAAGTAAATATTTCGTTACGTTTCTTCTCTTCTTCTATCTTTTCTTTTTCATTGTATTATTTGATAATTTAATGTCGTAAAAAGTTGAACTTAAGTTAATAAATTCTAAAAACGAAACTTAATTGGTCAACTTGAGCGAATTAATATTAGCCAATAAATCTCTAACATCATCTTGAACCTGATCAGACGTATTGGAAAGAGAAAGTCGCGAGCAAAAAGAGCTTAACGCCTCGACCTGGTCCTGAGTATCCTTCTGTTTTTGCAAATAAGCCATCAGCATACTGATGACATTTCGTACCTCATCTTTTATTTTATTCATATCGGAGTCATCTCGGGCGCAGTTTTGGAGTACTCGGAGTTTGGTTTGTGCAAGTTGCAGAGGATTATGGCCATGACTATCTAGAGATAAAACATCAGTTCCAGCCATCAATAACAAGGTTACAACGGACATTTTGCTTGTTACTGCTGCAAGGTGCAGGGGTGTGTTCCCAATAGAATCTTTACGATTAGGATCTGCTCCATATCGCAGAAGAAGACTCACCATCTCCGTGAACCCTCTGAAAAATAAAAATGAATTGTAAAACATGATTATTCTAGGAAAATTGCAGCTATTCTATTAAAGTTTAATGACGAGTACCTGCAGGAAGCCAAATGCAAAGGAGATCGTCCTTGTTCATCTGAATTATTTGGCGAAATTCCTGCTTCCAATAGCCGCTGCATAACTTCAACGTTGTTTGTAGCAGCAGCCAAGCGCATCCTACGCTCATCTTTACAATTGGTGACGTTCATTTCAATGCAACGTAACCTTTGCCAACGAGCACTTTTGGATTTACTTGATTTGCAAATGGTCTGTTGAACAAAGTCCCTCGGTGTTGGAAAATCACCACCACTTGGCCAAAACCTTGATGGTATTTTTATGTCCCAAATCTACAATTACAAAATGTAAAATTTTATCAACATATTGAAATTACTCTTAACATAATAAATCAACTAACCTTTGCCCTATCAGTGAGTGGGAAAACTAGACCAGAATTGAAAGTACTAACACTGACCAAACTATTATTTGGTGTGCTTTGAAGGTTCTGATTGACTGGAGATTTATCATCCACTGAATCATTATTTACATTTTCAGTAGACATTGCTTTGTCACTTAGAGAATCAATCGATGAATTTTCATTTGCAACAGAAACAGAACTTGAAGCGTTATTAATTCTTATTATTGGTTTATTATTACATGTTCCTATGAAGTTCATCAAGATGATATTTTCATGCTGATTAGCTGAACTGTCGTTAGAATCATTGCCTGTCTCGACTCCAGAGTCTGTGGAATTCATTACAAATAAATAAAATTATAATTGCAAGAGGAAGTTTGAGATAATTTCGTTTGTCTTAACAGAATACACATAAAATTGCAGTTGAGAAAATAAAAACGCCATTAAAATGAATATTGAACACAGTATTTGATAGATACTTTGATAGAAACGTTTCACAATCGCGATCTATGGATATTAGTATCATTGTCCAATGGAGGCCGGTCACATTGTAAATGCGTATTCATAACGTTGCTGCCATTTTAATCAGTTTCAACAATTACAAAAAATACACGATTTTTTTCATCACAATATATATTATATGTACTCAAACAACACCCTTGAAATAAGTATAACAGTGGTCAAAATACTTAGTTCAATGATCTTGCTATTAAAGATAAATCTGTGTGTATTTTATACCCATTTTAACGGATCGTAAACGCTCTTAATTCACTTGGTTTCGTTGATTTTCGATGCACTATTTGTCATCCTAAAAATTCGTTTCGAAAAAAACAAAACACTTTCATGTCCGAATACTTTTCTTTGTGTATTTGCTCGACTATAGCATTTAAAGGTCTATTGCTTCAATGGACATGAAATCAGCTGGACTGCTATGGGCTGGGGGCAGCACTGTCATAGGTTCTTCTTACTTCTCCTCCATCATAGTTGGGATGAAGAGAAGCCAACTTCACTCGGTACATACGGGTATATAAATAAAAAAAAGAATTAGTAATTATATTAGCGTGTTGCAACTTGTAGCGTTGCGTTAGTTATCGCGTAGTATCGCACGTGCCTATCGTGACTAACGGCCTAACCAAGTTAATTTAACTTTAACTGACTTAAACAGCGCAGTCAATAACAAAGTAACCTATTCAAATTATTTCGTCTGTTGACAATTTATCGTGAATTAGTTGCTCATATTAGGTTGTAATAAACATATTTTAATACCTAAATAACGTGTTAATGAAAAACTCGACATGTAATTCCAGATTATTTTTACAGGAAACGTCAACAATGAGACCCCACCTGTTGACCTCATTGAATTTGGAAAAATTGGAAGAGTTGAAAAGAGAAATAAAGAGTATCCTGATTGCGAACAGTCGTGAGAGAGTGACATTAGATCAATTTCCTCATCTATTTGAATCTCAACTTGGAGACCCCATACCTTTTAAAGATTACAATTTCTGTAGTTTAAAAGAGTTTTTGTTAAGTATACCAGATACAGTAAGACTCTGTATGGATAAAACAACCAGTGTAACATATGTTTATCCTGTTGAAAGCGAAAAAACTAAGCATATTAGTTCTCTGATTGCAAGACAAAAAACAAACGGAAAATGTAAAAAATTACAGCATAAATCAAGATTTCATTCAAATTATATTGATCCTATTTTGCTGACAACATTGATATTGAAATTATCAAGTAAAGGATGTGTTAATAAAGTTGATCTTTTGGCTGAAATTGAAACCATCATTGGAGTTCAATGTTCATATACCATTGGCGACTTGAATGCTCAGCTGGGTATGCTGAGTCACATGTTATTCCATAATAAAAATAGCATCTACTTAAAAGATGAAGCAACATCTTATAGTCAAGAAAATTTATTGTGCAATTTTATTATTAAACCAAAAACCATAAAACGTTTGCAGAAGCTGTTGACTGAAAAATATCCAGAGGGAATATGGTGTCAACAACTTCCTTATTTATATCTAAAAGAATACGGAATTGAATTGGAATATCGTAATTTGGGTTTCAATGATATTGTTGAATTTATTGCTGTTTTACCAGCAAGCATTTTTAAATGCACAAGACCACCCAATAGCTTCAAGTACAAACTTTTTTCGAGTGAAACAGAAATGTTGGTTAATAATCAATTAAAGAATTCAACTGTTGCAGATTCTATTGAAAAAGTTGCAGATGATATTAAAGTTGATACTTCACATGCCTTATTTACTTTACATTCTGTAAGTACTTATTTTACCATCTTTCTGTATTTTTGTTTGTTCAACATTCAACAATTGCAAAATAAAAGAATGTTTTTTATATTTTTTATAAGTGTTCCAAGGCTCTGTCAAAAAGATTAATTCCAAAAGAATTTATGAACTTTGAAGATTCCGTTAAACAAATCAATGTAGCCACAGTTTTGGACAATTCTGGTGTTATTGTTTCTGAAATATATAATCCATCTCTCTTCTGGATAATACTACATAGAAACAAACGCAAATTAATTAAACTTATGGATAATTTACAGTTGGTTGATAATTTGAATTACATTAAACAATTCATTAGTATCATAAATATAATCATGAAAAATTTTGTTTAGAGAATTTTATCTTGGTCAGGCTGACTTAGATAAATACAAAGTACCACCAATTGTATTAAAACCAGGGTTACATGTTGCCTGTCTCTATTCCAATCGATGGCACAGGGGCATAGTTAAAAGTGCAGCAAATTTGAATTCTTCAATAGTAAGTTCATTACAAATGGTAAAATAATTATATTTTTTGAAATCATTAAAATTTCAGATATTATTTTATGATTATGGCACCACAAAAGCTTACAAAGCTAACAAACTTTATTTTTTGCACAAAAAATTTTCATATTTACCTGCACAAGCAATACCTAGTTGCTTGTATGATGTTAAACCAACAGCAAGTTGCAACAAATGGACTCAAGAGGCAATTGAAAAATTTGTTGATAAAACAATAGAAAAAGATTTTCTTGTTTCTATACATAACAGAAATCAAGAGGTATAATTATAATCTTTCTATTAATATTAATTTTACTGCTATTAATAAACTAATTTACATTTATTTCTATTTTGTTTTAGAACAATTCAATTACAGTTGATTTAATTGATGTCTGCACTAGTAATACAATAAATCATTGGTTGGTATCAAATGATTTAGCAATGTTTGTTAGAAAAGAAATCAATTTCATATCAAGTGAAGAACAACAATATTCTACAAGCTATGTCAGGCCTGCAAAGCAATTGGAAGCATTAAAAAAGTATAAGACAAGACTTCAATTACTTGAAAAACAAAATCTTCAGTCAACTTCTAGCAATCTCAGTGGGTCTGTCGAAGAAAAAAATAAAGACAGTGCCAAGACAATTCTTTCAAATAATAATTACTATGTTGATCATTGTGAAAATACAGGCATTGATAATATCCAAAATTGTGAGACACAAAAATTAGTTATAAAAAAACAGCATATTACAGAAGCTTTAAAAGAGTTGGAGAAATTAATCATGTTTACAAAGATATAAGAAAAAAAGCAGTAGCAGGTTTACTAAGTGCGAGATTGATCTATTTTTTTCTCGTAACTAATTATTTACGTCATTGATGATTCGAACGCGCAATTTATTTTTTCTTACTGTAGATAGAAAACAATTTTACTTTTTTAAAAATCATATATATATATATATATATATAAATATATTTTATATACACATTTTTATACAATGAATTTAAAATGTATGTACATAGAATAAATTCGCTTCATTTCCTAATTCCTCGCAAAATTTTTTCACTTCGTTGACGTTACATATATGTCAATAAAATTTAAATATTTTTCATTAACCAAGGCTTCCGGCTCGATAGTTAGGCTCTCACCAGATAAAATCCGAGGGTCAAAAAACCACGCGGTATTTTGCCACAGTCCGCTGTTTGGCTCTATTCCAATTCTGTACTACTAATAGTTAAAAACAATCTGGCAATAGCGTTCTGATATGTCGGGGTCGGAACGTATAAACACAGTTGACTAGAAAAAAGTAACTAATTAATTTACTAAATTAACTTTTTTCATTGTTATTGTTATTTTGTGTAGTTTTATAGATCAACATTATTCTTATTTATATATATTTTTTCTTCTAATCAACTGTGACCCCTCAATCAACTTCCGACCCCGACAACGCTTTTGCCAGATTGCTTTTAACTATTGTCACTACAGAATTGGAATAGAGCGAAACAGCGGACTGTGACAAAATACCGCTTGGTTTTCTGACCCTTAGATCTTATCTGGAGAGAGCCTTAAGTGGACTGTGGAGTGTGGGAAAATTGAGAGTTAACGTGGCAAACATGCCATATTCCAAAGATTACATACAAAACAATCTTGAAAAAGAGCTCGTACCTGTGTACTTCGTAAGTAAATTCAATCAATATGTATTGATAAAAAAATCATGTCAAGTTGCGTGTGAGACGCCAATGCAAAACCTCACTTTTACAGCATACAAGGAGGGCTAATTGATTGTCACAAGCACACTCTGATAATCTGCTCTACTAACAAATGTTACGCTAAATTGAAATTTAAAAAAAATAATGTACAGAGAAAGCACAACAACAAAGGCTCCCAACAAGAATGAGAGCAACAACTTGATCCATAATCCCAGAACAGAGGATTTTAAGAAACAAACAAAAAAGAGTGCCTTTGATGTATTAAACGTTGGTTTGATCATTAGTTTAGCTCTGCTTCTTAGATTGTGTACATCTCAGTATCCTTACAGTGGGGCAAATACACCACCAATTTATGGTGATTATGAAGCTCAGCGCCACTGGCAAGAAGTCACCTTAAATCTTCCAATTTCACAGTGGTATTCCAATTCATCCAATAATGATTTGCAATATTGGGGATTAGATTATCCACCACTAACAGCTTATCACAGCTTTCTTGTGGCTTGCATTGCCCATATACATGATCCAAAATCTGTGGAATTACACAAATCCAGGGGCTATGAATCTAGTAGCCACAAATATTTTATGAGATTGTCAGTTCTTGTTGTTGACATGCTAATATTTATACCTGCTGTGTTGTACTTTTCTTTCTCTGCATTACCATACTCTATAAATCAAAATAGTTATAAAAAAATTTGTTCTAATGATTGCTATTTTATATCAATTACTTTACTTTGTTATCCTGGAATAATTTTGATTGATTATGGACATTTTCAATACAATTGTGTTTCCCTTGGATTTTTCATAGCATCTGTAGCCTTAATTTTTCAAGACTCATTAATGCTTGGATCTTGTTTCTTTGTCCTGGCTTTAAATTACAAACAAATGGAACTGTATCATGCTCTTCCATTTTTCTTTTATATTCTTGGTTTATGCTTCAGGGCCAGAAACAGAATGTCATCTTTATACTTACTGGTTGGTGTGTCATTAACAGTTTTGGTAACATTCGTCACAGTCTGGGCTCCATTTTTAATAAATGTTCAAGTTTTTACAGATGTTATTTCACGACTTTTTCCTATCAAGAGAGGTATTTTTGAGGATAAAGTTGCAAATATTTGGTGTACCTTTAATATTTTATACAAGTTGAAAAGCCACATTTCCAACTTTCATCTTACCCTCATTTGTCTAGTGACTACAGTCTGTGCTTTGTTACCTAGTTGTGTAGATCTGTTTTGTCGACCATCAAAAAACCGGTTTCTATTGGCTCTCATAAACTCATCGCTAGCCTTCTTTTTATGCTCTTTTCAAGTTCATGAAAAGTCTATTCTTTTGGTGGCAGTACCAGTTTTATTATACTTGCATAAAGATCCTTTCTGTTGTTTTTGGTTTCTAATTATATCTGTTTTTAGTATCCTTCCATTATTGATAAGAGATGGATTATTTGTAGCTTATCTTGCATTATTAACTTTTTTCATAATAATTGTTGCATGGATGGAGCCACAAGTCTTTTATCAGCAGTCAATTGAAATGAAGGAAAAAAACAAAAGAAAAGTCAGAAGTTTTGAGAATTATAATTGTTGTATCAATGCTTTATTTGGCTTATCACTTATAGGAATTTTGTTCATATCCATTTGTAGCGTACTAATTGAACCACCAAAGAAATATCCAGATCTCTATTCTCTTCTCATATCAGTTTACTCTTGCTGTCATTTTTCTGTCTTTTTTATTTATTTCAACTATAAGCAAATATTTTGGACTCCTGATAAAGGTAAATTAGAATGAATGATGTATTTGACATGTAGAGAGAAGTAAATACTTGAGAGCATTGATATTAATAAAAACAGTTTTTTTTTTATGGTAATCTTTGTAGTTGTCTATTCTTCATAGCCCCTTCTTCCATTCTCATACAAATCAAGCAATCTTTAACGACGCGTGTTACTTTGTTCATTTTGTTGTAGGAAGTAGATCCGCCGGACGGTCGCGGTGTTAAGTTTTCAGTTTTTATAGTATCTGAAAAATTCGAAGAGAAAAGTCTTCTGTCGCATCACAAGTAAGTACAGCAATTGAAAGAGAAAAAGTGCATATGTCAGTGAGTAAAAACTGATTTGTACATTGTTTGCACTGACACGCAGATTAGATTTCTCGCAGAGGAGTTGACGAGTACCCACGCATTTTTGCAAAAATGCTCGAGGCCGGAGCAATGGAAAAGAAGAAGAATGTCAAGCTAGCAGCCTCAGCTGTGGACGGACCAGCGAGCAACAGAGAAGGGTCCCTAGAGCTGAGGATCTCGGCGCCGGGCAAGGTGATACTGTTTGGGGAGCACTCGGTCGTCTACGGCAAAACAGCCCTGGCGGCGAGCCTGAAGCTGCGCAGCACGCTGATTCTCAGGGAGTTGCCGGAACCGGCCGATGGTGGCTGCTGCCAAATCGAGATGCCGGGAGTCGGGCTGTCGATCCAGCTACCCGCGGATCGACTGCAGGAGAGCCTGCTGGCGCCGGAGGGCGAGCAAGCCGCCCGCGACGACTCCGACGAGGAGCCGGACCACGCGCAGCTGCTGGAGCGTGCGCGCGACTTCACCCGCGAGCACGTGAAGGGCGCGGCCACGCTGGATCAGCGCCAACGGTGCAGTCTCGAGTGCGCGCTGTACGCGCTGACTCGCGTGGCCTGGGCCGAAGACCTGTGCCAACTGCCCACGGCGGGCTTCTTGCTGCGACTCACCACCGAGCTGCCGCTGGGCGCTGGCCTGGGCAGCTCCGCCTCCTTCTCCGTGTGCCTGGTCGCCGGCTTCCTGCTGTGGGCGCGGCTGCGGCGCTGCGGCAAGCTCATGCTCGATAGCCAGACCCTTCGTCAGGTGTCGTGTCATGCCCTCGGCTGCGAGAGGATCATGCACGGCACGCCCTCCGGCGTGGACAACGAGGTCTGTACCTTCGGCTCGGTGATCGAGTTCCGCAAGGGCGAGGAGCCGATACTGCTACCGCTTAGCGCTGGTCGCCTGGCGGAGTTGCGCGTACTGCTCGTCGACACCCGCGTCGCCAGAAGCACCAAGCTCATTGTCGACAGGCTCGCCCGGTTGCACGTGCAGTATCCGGAGGTGTTCGATGCGATTTTCGAGGCCATCGACCGACTGAGTCGTCGCGTTATCGACATCGTCAAGGCTCCGAGCAGCGAGGATGCTCAGTTGCTCGAGGCTTGCCGGCAACTCTCGGTAAGTAGCCTTTACCCAGCTTTCCGGTAGGCCAACCTCTGCTGTTTTCTAATTTTCTGTCGGTTCGCCCACAGGCTTTGATTGACGTTAATCAGGGACTCTTGACTGCTTGCCAAACGTCCCATCCGACTATCGATTCGATCTGCGCCATCGCCCGAAGGCATGGTCTCTCGGCTAAGCTGACGGGTGCCGGAGGTGGTGGATTTGTTTACGCTCTCGTTCCACCCGACATGCCTACCGACAAGCTGCACAGTATAACTTGCGAGCTGACCGCTAATGGATTTTCAGTTGTAGAAACTAGTATTGGGGGCTCCGGTTTAGATGTAGCTATTGCCTATGATAATCATTAGTACATATTTTTTATGGAACAAATCTGAATATATTACTTTATTAAAAATAATAACAATATAAATAATAACAATTTATTACAAGTTTAACAATAGTACACACACATATGCATAGACACGTACTATTTTTTTATTAGTACGTGAATGTATGTTGGGGTGGAAGGAAGATTGTGGCTCCCGCCGTTAAATAAATATTCATATTTTATAAAAAAATAACGAAATATAACCTTGAGAAATCGAATTTCTTGCGTGTGCTAGAGATCTTTTATCAAAATTATTTACTTTTATTATTAATAGAATAAAAATAAATTTAATGAAATCGACAATGAGAATAATTATTATATTAGATCGTTTGTAAGTTCATAATATAACAGCGACTGTCAGTACAAAATATGCATTATTTTAAAATCTATTTCCGTTTCTAAGATTACATTTCATCGTATTTTTGTAATACGCAGAATATATTTTTGACTACGCAGACGATAAACAGCAAAATGCAGTTATCGTCACTGTAGTCGCAGAGCCAGTGGAGTGCATAGCCAAACGTGCAGAGTTTTCACGACATTATACACTATACGGAATTAGCAGTTTTTCATACGAAAAACCGTAGAGCATGGGCCACTTTCCACTCGCGCATGACAAAAGTATGATCGACTCAACAGAGCGAAATTGACAGTTGTAACATTTTTTAATAACAGTCGTTCCATTTTGATAAATATTGTAGTTATTAATTAAAAACAGCGCTCGCTCTTCTTTGTATTAAATTCATTCCGTTTGTTACGGTACTTTCGGCTTCCGGTATACGCTCGTCGATGCCACGCTCACTACTCATATTGTTATGTCTATCTTGTGCTTCAGCTTCCGACAGCCATTCTTCAATCTCTTGCGTATACATTTTCCGTTGCAAAATATCTCGTGTACGAGGTCGTGAACCAATAAATATTCGTAAAGACTGGGAAAATAAAAAGATATTACTTTATAAAATCAATAAATTCATTGATAAAATACTCACGCCAGGCGGTAGAAACTCGCTAAGTTGTTCTGTCATCAAACGTTCATCTTGAACAATCGACTTTAATTCGTAATAATTCAATTCGACTTGCTCATGCAGCATTTTCTCCTCTGTCAAAAATACAAATGTATAAATATGAATGAAAATTTGTATTTACAATAAACAGTTCAGCGACATGTCTTTGCCACTTCCTCACCGTCTCGTTTAGTGGTTGATTTTTTATACTGAATCCTAAAGCGAAAAGCTTCAAGAAAACTAGACACTACGATTGTCAAAACTATCATTGTTATTAAATAAAAAATCATAAAGTAGATTCTTGTATACATGCCCACGGTGACAGAGTAGGCATTCATAAGTATAAACCAATTGTTGACAACAGTAAGTTCAAACAGAGTCATGCCACTGGCCATTAAATTGTCAAAGGTGTTTAAGTAATAGTATCCTAAACTTGTGCTTTCGTTCGCAGAATATTTATAGAAATCTTCAACTGTTGTATTACTGAAAGGTGTGAAAATCGATTACACGATTCGTCTAAAGTAACTATAGTTAGTCCCTTACCGACAACAATTTTTCATATCATATCCGGCAAATAGCTCCATTCCAATGATGGCGAAAAAATAATAGAGTACTAGCATGACGATCGCCGTGGAACACATTTGCGGAGAGAGTAAGACTAACGTACCAAACACGTCACGGTATCGTTTCTTCACTTTGAACAACCGAAGCATTCGAAAGGGTCGAAATACGACAAAGAAAACTGCTTTGGGAAAGAGCGTGAGTCCAACTAACGCTATCAGCATCAAGGCCGAGGTACCAAGGTCAAATAGATTCCATCCGGAACTCAAATAACGTCGTATTCCTAGACCCAGCACTTTGATTAAAGCTTCCATAGCAAACACTAGGCGAAGAAAAAGAATAATAATAATCATAATACTGTTGAAAAAATCATCATAACAGTTGGACTCATCGCTTACATCCGGTGAATAACAATGTGTCCCAAGAAGCGGCGAAGAAATGAGCAGATTTTTCTCTACTAAATTCTGCCGATTGAATGAGACGACTAATCATGGCAATGCCATTCCCAACAATAATAGAATCTAATAATATAAAATGCGTAATTAGTCAGGATAATAAACAAAAGCACAGGAAATATTTTTTATACTAACAAACAAAGCTTTCAAAGTATCGCCAAGAAATAACTACATGAGCTCCTTGACAAAGCATTTGAAGAGGCGACCATGTCGAATGGTACCATGGAATGCTAGAATATTGGGGTTCCCAAGTCAATGCGGTGGCGTCGTAAACATTTGAAAATTCGTTCCATGACAGAGTGCCGCTATTCGACACGTTTAAATATTGAAACATCAACACTATATCCTTGATAGCTGGAAAAAAATAATAAGTAAGACTCACATGTTGCTGTAAAGCAGAGAGAGGATAACATTATTGGTTTACGTTTGTGGGGAGCATAGTAGCGCATTAAGCCTTCAAATTGTTTGAAGCGCATGGAATCTGGGTTCTGTTTTGACACTAACAGTTTAAAGGCATGTTGAGACGCTTTTCGCTTATGTAGAAACAACTTTTTAAATTTTTCTCGCTCTGCTGATGTGAAGGTTTCGTTGACGACGGCGAGCATGAGATTCATTATGACGTATAGCATTGTACAAACATAGGATACAAAGTAAATTGCGTACCACTTGTTTTGTGAAAATGATGGCATCATAACATCTGGAAAGCTATAATTACATCACATTACCATTTGACTTTTACCTACGCTATTTTTTAATAAAATCCATACTTTGCTGTTGTTAGCAATACAAAAAGACTGACGAAACTATCTTGCAAAGTTGCAAAATTTACGTTCATTTCAGAAAATAGATAATATCCCAAGACCGTGTAAGTCGAAATAAAAAATAATAGGAGGCCCAACATATCTAATATCGGCGGAAGTGTTTGTAAAATTTGTCTAATGAATCTTCTTACTCCTCCGCAATATTTTGTGTCTACTAAAAAGATTGGTCGAAGGGCGCGCGTTACTCTAAAATGTGTCGACTGACGCGCTAAAACCACCAGAGCCTCAGCGAACATAATCAATAATGCTATACACTGTTAAAAAAACAAAATTTGCAAAACATTAATACTGCATTCTTAAATTATATTAGTTGGTATATAATAAATTATATTACAAATTTATTATATGCCGACTAAACAAAGTACATATTGATTGACAGATAACCATTGGCAATTATAATGTTTCACTGGATGCTTTCGTAATACTACAAAAAAAACTCTGAAATTTGTTTTGTACGGACTTTTTTTTGTGGTAGAAATTCGGTTTTAAAGATGATGATAATAACGATATAAATCTCTTAGAGATTAGTCCGCTATTTTTCAATAAAAAATACAAACATTTGCAATAAAAAATAAATATTCACTTATCTAGCCACGTATATTTCTGCACTACATTATATGCAATTCTTTTTACCTTTATCATAGTTCTTTTGTGTTTGAGCATGGTTCCCCATCCTATCCACCTCAGTTTCAAAGTTAACTCAATGCCGATTGTTGTAAGAGCAAGTAATTCTATGGAACTATGAGTCCAAATAGGAAGCTAATAAAAATTAAATAATATAAATTTTGTTATGCGACAATCAGAAATGATGATCGTCTTACTTTAAAAAGAGGCACAGCTGGTTCCTCTACAAATGCTAGTCCTAACAAAATTAATGATGTTAAAAGGTCAAGTCCATAGTACCAACTATTGTGAACTAATAAATATGCTGGTAAATCTTCAGCATGTCTGGGGTGAGATTCAAATTTTTCATTATTTCTTCCTTCCTGCGGCCGCGTTCCAAAAATATTCCGAAAGATCCATATTTTTCGATATAATAATAAATGATGATTGGTTCAATTACTGTATTTTGAAATAAAAATATTACGTTTTACCTCAAGAAAAATAGCAGCTTCGTGATAGTTCATCTCCCAATATAAATTAGAATTGTCGTCGGTAATAAGAACATTCCCGTGATGTGAATCTACATTCTCTGATGTAACGTGAGAATCCATATTTAGTGGAATATTGTAATCAATGTTATCGCAAGAATCTTTGTTTAATTTTGTTGTCTGCAGTTCTGCTGCTGATCTGCAGCTGCTCCTGCAGTCCCAGCGAGGGCAAGGTAACATTGATCCATATTCTAAAAAACGTTAAAAGCAAGTCGAATCTATCTACAATATGTTTCCACAATATTTATTAAGAATTAATTTTTAATAAACTACTTCGCAATAGAAAATTTTATATGTGAAATACATCAAATCAAATCACAATGACAATTTCGCAATTAAGGAGATAAAACAATTAATCAGAGATAAATGAAAATAAAAAGTACGCACTAAAATGCACTGATCGATAAGTGAAGAGTACTAACTAGGAATATAATTAGCTTGCATGTAATAATTTTTGTGTCCAGTTTGGATATCATTTTTAAATTTTCGGTAATGTTTGTCTTCAGTTTTCCGTACGTTCTCCACTAGACTGCACATTGATAAAAGCTCCGCTCGCTGCACTGCATCCGATCGACGCAGTAGATAATAGTCGATTCAAAAAGTAAATAAGCCACGAATCATTTCACGTGTTGAGTGATACGTTGTCATGTTATTGACGAATGAATACTTGAAGCTTTAAATTAATGAAAAATGCACAATTCGCGCATGAGAACGTGTAATTGTGAAGCCTTATGATGTTTTAATGTCTGCGATGAAATCTGTTATAGCAGAGCAACAGAAGCGACTAAAACGCACTTGTTTATCAACTTTGTGAGAATGAAGAATAACTGTAATAAGCACTTCAATTTTTTCACATTTTACCATCGTTCACAGGCGATTAACAGACACTCGTACGCTTATTCGCATGATGTAAGCTGCCATTTAGTTGTGTGTTGTGGGAGTGGTCGGAAGGCGCATGCCTCCGCCATACTTATAAAAAAGGGAAGGGTTGAGAGCGCACATTTTTGAATTATTTGAAAAACCATTTTAACAATATTTTAATGATTGTTTATAAAGAATCATAATTAAATCGAAAATAATTAACCTTTATCTACATTTATTTCTTTTCAAATTAAAGATATTATAATTTAATTATTTCACTTTACTTCATTAGCCTATACGGAAATGCATATTATTTATTACCACACTATTATACACATATTTATATCTAAATAAATAATCAATTTGAATTAATATAAAAAAGTATTTGATTATTATTATAGATGGATTATTTAGATAATGTTCTGAAAGGTCGTAGCTGATCGCTGTACACAATTAGTTCAGGTATCGATATTTTTTTATTTATCCAAACGATTAAGAATAACGACAATAAGACAAATGAAAATATTTTATTATATTTTGCAAGTGCCTACAATACAAACATATGCTCGTCATTAAACTAAAGAACAAACCCGCAAAAATGTACTTTTCTATATATTTTCCTACTCATACGTCGTCGATATCTTGATGAATGAATTATTTACACAACTGTACATCATAGTTGGTTTATTATAATACTTTATATAATTACTATTTATATATATATTTTATTTTGACATAAAATCTGCAAAGAATTGTAAAACTACGTTATTAGGCCCTAAATCATATTGATATAAATGTACAAATGAATAACTTGAGACTCAACGACTTATCACGCAGCTGCAAGGATAAAAAGCAAAGACATTTTACAAAGTGCGTTGTTTTTTATAGTGTGATTTTTATATAATTCCTTTTACAAGCTCTAATTGTTTTGTCGTTTTGCGTAAATTAGTCCATACATATAGGCTCATAGGCTATTTTCAATTTTTCAGAACATTTTTTGCTTTTGTTTAGTTGTATTGAGCTACATGTAAATTTAGAGGTAAAGAGAGATTAGTTAATTAAGGGTGAAAATGAAAATTTTCATTCACTTGTCTATGTCTGTATCGATATGCTCTTTAAGAGGATGATAAAGCACATTACCAGAACTTACCTTGCAGATTTTACTATTCTTATTTATTTTTAAACTTCTTGTATAAATAGCTGAGTCAGCCTCTCTTTGAAATGACTTTAAGAAATAAGGTCGAACTGGCATAGATATTTAGAAACAGTTCAAAAATGAAAAAGAATAACAAAATCTACCAAGTATCGGTAACTATATATCTCATATATAATGGCTTCGTCATTCTCTCGAAGTTTTATAGTAGTAACAATTTTTAATGTTATGCCTGTTGTCAAAGAATATAGTCACAGTGTATTTAAGCCATCAAAGCAAGAACAAATTAATGAAAGAAGTATATCATATACAAATAAACGTGCACGTATACACGCATGTGTGTATGAATGCAATTTATACTCTCAATTTTAACCAAAGAATGTAGTTAATACTAACTATTGCAATAATGTATTTTTGCTTCTTCCGGTGCAATATTCACTTGGTAAATTTAATACAAACATATTGATGCTTTATTACTTTTGAAATATGAAAACTTTGATTTTCGTTGCAAACATTGTTATCGGCAACGATTTGATGACGATTGTAAGCAAATATACGAAACTTCCTCATATATTTGTATATAGGCATAATGTCAGGCAATTTTATTTTTGTATTCGCAACCATTGACCATATACAGTTACAAAAATGTTGATATTGACATTTGAATTATTTATTGTGGTCTAAAATTTAATAAGGGATTCAGAATAACTTAATAATATGTTTTGATGAAATGTGCAAGTACGCTGGCTTTTCCATTTGTTCAAAAAGCTTTGCTTCAGTGCATTTCGAAAAAGGAGAGATTAGTAAAATTTACTTTTGCACCAATAAACTACTGACAATGAATATACTCGTGATACAAACATTCCAAAAAAAAGATCACTCTTGTTCACCACATGTATGCGGCTCTGTACTTGCACTTTGGTCATTGTTTGTAATTTTATTGATAAATTCTTGAAATTTGCAAAGATCATCTAATGCAGGAATATTACAAGCAACTATTTGAAATTGAAATAATCGATTTACTGAAGTTATAATTAAAGGTTTTAGAAAGTACTCACATCAAATGATATCACTCAAATGATTGTTTAGACTGCATAGAAATTGACCATTTTTAATGAAAAAAACCTATTGTTTACTGTGATTAAAATGTATTCTTCTTATTTAAATTTTCTTACTCTTAACAAAGCTGTATATATATGCATGGTGATGGTAAATGGGGAGATTTTGGCGTGACAATATTAATTATTATTTGATTCGAGTTTGCAACAATCTGTATAGTTTACACTGGAATATTTTAAAATATTTTTCTCAAAATACAGGCACTGGATAATTTTACGGAAAAAAATTATTGATCGGTTGGTTCATTTAAGATTTAATGTAGTTTGTCAAAATTCTAATACATGAACTCAACATTAAATACGAAGAAACTTGAAATTTATTACCAATATTATTTAGACACGACTGAGATATTCGAGAATTTCAAAAAGATGTATTCATTTGTTGAAAGCACTCATAACTTTAAAATTATTCGAGCGCTATTTATTGACGAAATGATACAGTGACTGTTTTATTTTTTAGTATATACAAAAAATATTTTTTTATAAGTCGGGCGACGTCATATGGATAGAAATTACTTCCTAGTCTATGTATGAGGTTTGAAAAATTAATAAAATTCTCTTTCAACTATTATAGATATCAAACAAATGTTTTAATGTAATGCAAGAAATTCTTATATTAGGTAATTATTAATACCACTTTGATGTACAGTCTCTTAAAGAAGAAGCTGGGCCAGTACTAAATAAATATAAGGTCTCTTCTATTTGATAATTTGTGCATGCGTAACAATAAATAATATGAAAATAACTTTAAAGGGTGACTTAACCTCGAGTCTTACTTGCTAAAAATGAACAATAGATAAGACTACAGGTATAATCAAAAAGAAAACATGAAAAAACTGCATCTACTTACGTACTAAAAAATTAGCCAATCGTAAGAAAGCACAATTATTAATAACGAATAGATTATTTTGTACAATTTTGATGACGTAGTTTTTATGAATAAAACTTTTAATTTTAACGGGAATTGAACAATTCATTTTTCGATAAAGACTATCTAAAGATTGTTATTTAAGAGAGTGAAACAAGTACTGAATGTGCACTTAAATACTAGAGCTAGATTATTTCAAATTATCAAAATTGCATAAAGTTATGAGATGTTAATTTGAGTAAAAAAAACTAAAGCCTGCAAAACCATAGAGAAGACACCTGAGAATTCCATACAGTCAAGACAAAATTTACGTAACCTCTGCTACGTAAAGTTTACTAGATTCCATATTTATTAAGTAATCATTACGGCCATCACTGTCTTGGCTAAATGAGAAAAATGTTCTTCCTAAACATTTGAATTCGTTCGATTAAAACGTCCCGCTCCCGGCGATAACGTCAATTACATAAATTTCCTTTCGATCTGACAAAATTTGCACAAACACTGCTGCTGCAAAGCGGAGTCAAAATATTGTACTATTTATTATTCATCGGATGTTAGTTTTGTCTCATGTAAAAGTATTTAGATCGCAATTTTGTTGGAATTGATCGGGTTTATTGTTATCTGTAGCATCTGTGTCATCGAAACATAACTGCTTACAGCAAGACGGCGAAGGTTCAGGGTTCTTGATATCTATCGAGTCGTCGTTCGGTTTGCGCTTACGTGTACCGTCGCTGGAACTCGGTGAGAGATGATCATCAGTTTGTTCGATGGTTTTATGAGCGCTTAATGGTGTCAAATCGAGAGTGGAGATGTGGGTTGCAGTGGCGGAAGACGCTTCAGAAGAGGTGGCGATGACGACGGCGTCATTCGGAAGGGAAGAAGAAGTCGAAGATAAATGAGAGGAACGGTGATGTAGATTCTTCGCAGATGACTCTTGCGCACAGGATTTGCGCCTGTAATGACTACTGCTACTTCCACTACTGCTGCTGTGGCTGCCGCTAGTATGATGTCTCTTTTTTTCTTTGCTGTGCTGCTCTTTATCTCTTGACCGATTGTGCTCTCGGCTGCTCCCTCGGTCCTTATTTCTTTCTCGATTGCGTTCCCGCTCTTTTCCATGGTGAGAAACATGACGCTCACGGTCTCGCGTTCGCTCGCGATCCTTGCGCTCTGTAGCTGTCCTGCTACTGCTGTTGCTACTCCTATGTTCCTTGTTTTTGCGACTGTCCCTTTTACTGCTGGTATGCTCACTGCCACTATGTTTGGCACCGCTTTCATTTTGCAGTAGCTTTTTGTCATTTCCTTCTGCTGCTGCTGTTGCGGACAATAAATCGGAGGATGAGGCACTATTGGCTTGGCCGAGGTCAGCAGATTGTTGTTGGTCAACTTGGCACGGCTTGGCTCGATCACTGGTTTTTTTAGCGGCGATGGCGGGGACGCAGGGAGAATCATCAGACTCATCCTCGGCCATCTCCACAAGAGCTTTAACGGCGTTCTCTGTAGCGCATTCGAGTTTGGTAGTGAACGCCTGGAGCGTCTCGGCCTCGAGTAGCCTGTAAGATTTTTCAACGCTGGGCTTGTCTTCAGCGAAGAGCCGTTCTGCTAGTTCGAGACTTTCCTTGCGGATCCGGTCGAGCATCTGCTTGGAAGCTGCCGAGACGGCATCCCTCAATGACTGGCATGCTTGCTGCAGGTCTGCCTTTGAGTGATAAATAGCGATCTCAAGGGCTCGATCGACTACCTGACTGGCGTAAGACTTGCCAGCGGCCTGTCGTGCAGACAATAGCTCTGCATCGATTTTAAGCGACAGCGGTGGAGCTGGAGCTGGCGGTGGTGGCGGTGCTACTTGACAGTCAAGCTTAGGGCTGTTTTTGAGCCTTGGTTCCCTACTGCTGTTGCTGTTGCTGTTGCTGTTGCTATTGCTGCTGCTACTACTGCTACTACTGCTGCCACTGTTACGTCCTAAAGCCAAAGATTTTTTCTTGGCATGGTGGTGGCTGCCTGATTTGCCATCGATGCGATGGTCCTTATCCCTGCTACTGCTGCTGCTGCAATAAGTCGAGTGATGACGTATTTTATAAGAGAGGGAGAGAGAGAGAGAGAGAGAGAGAGAGAGAGAGAGAGAGAGAGAGAGAGAGAGAGAGAGAGAGAGAGAGAGACTGGATAGATTGGTATGCAATTAGTACCTGCTCTTGGACTTATCTTTGCTGCTGCTAGTGGATGCAGTCAGCTTATGCTGCTTTAGCTGCTGCTCAGACTTTTTCAAATTACCCTGGTACTCGGCAGCGCGCTCCTTAGCCTTTCTCTCTTGTTGCTGCTCAGGTACCACTGCCGCCGTAGTTGCCATCGCCGTCGTCAATGACGTCGATCTGGCTGACTCATAGTACTGCTGTAGACGGACGTGCCAAGCAATTGACGAGACTGCTGATACGGTCCTGAACTGGTGGATGATGTTTCTCGGCAAGAAGTAAATGTCGTTGTCGTAGAGGCTGACACGGGCGTACCGAATCGATTGGCGCCTCAGCTGGTTGAGTTTCGCATCTTCAAGCCATTGAACACATTGGGATATGGGCGGTTCATGCAAATCGAGTTGCAATTTTTCCACGAGTTCGTTAAAGTCGGCAGCGTGAAAGGCCACCACGTCCTTGGTGATGCGGTTAAGATGCGGCAGCTGCTGCTGCTGCTGTGAGGCGGAGGTGCCACTACTGCCTCCGTGCACAGCCTTGAGCACACCCACGGCTGCGGTGGTCATGCGCTCGAGACCGTGTCCCACGTGATCGGCGTGGGCCCGTGTGCGATCCTCGAACAGGTACTCGCGGGCCTCGCTCAACCGCGGTAGGTACTGAAGATTGCGCAGCTCGTTAATGCCTGTGCGCCGGCGTTTCGCCGGGCTCTTGTTTATATCAGCGGTCGGTACCAGCTGCTCTCCCGGTCGGATCCATAATATAGGGCCGTCATTCGACTCTTGGGCGCTCTCCATGCGAATGGCCGACAACGGTCCCCAAGGCATTGTCTGTATTGAGTCAATAAATATCAACACAAATGTACCATATAGTTTATACCATATCACTGCCATGCACACTAATTACCAATCTCAAAAAGATGTTCCTCTCGAGCATCTGTAGTATATCCGGGAAATAGCCGCCGACCTCCTCGTGCACCGTGCCCACTAGACTTATCTGGTGCAACGGCCCGTAGCGGAAAGTGCCGTTGCTGTAGCTTTTGCATACGTGCTCCTTGTACTGCAGCATCGTCGTAGTTTCGATGTCGCTCTTGTGCCCCAGCACACCATTTTTTACTGTTAGCGTCGGGTACAGCTCGGCCATATGATCCAGAAGATCGGGCATGTACGCTGCGGCATTATGCACAATTCCCATTACGTGCTGGGCTTTACCCTGCTCGTCTTCGCCAAATACCACCTATAATCAATAAGGTAATCGATTATTTTAATGTGTTTTATTTTAACGGGTGCTGCTGTTCGCACCAAACCTACACGTACGTACCTTGAAAAATTCCCTAGCTAACTCTTCTAGCTGGTCCTCTGGTAATGATTGTATCTCCTCTTGATACATGCGAACAATCGACGCTCCGCCGTTAGGATAGATCTCGATGTGAATAAAATCCTTGTATTTTAACCCATGCAAATTTGTCATTGCGTCACCTGCATCATTAGATTTAGATTTGTACGACACTTTATTGCTTTTAAACTGTGAATGAAGCTTCGTACTCGAACCGCCGCTTGGCCTTTCATAAATACTGGAACTGCTTTTCCGATCTCTGTGGCATTGTACACCCACGTTGACTTTTTTTATTTTACTTCGCTTGTAGCACCTCGTGCAATGATGCCTTCCCGAACGCTCATCTTTACGCCTTTCTCTTGACCATGAAGATGATGACTTGCTGTGCGAGTGCGCTGTCGTCGTTGTCTTAGACGTTTCTTTGGAGCTTAGCAACACCACGCCTGATTTATCATCGCTAGGCTCTTTTTTAATTTCAAAACTGCACGACAGTCCCTCACAAGCCTCTTTCAACTCTGTTGCACAGTTTAACTGCTGTTTGTTATCATTCAAAACACTGCACTGATCATATTTATGGTCCACAATAAGCTGTTGTTGTTGCTGCTGGTGAACAACATTGGATGCTGTCAGGTCACCGCTGCTGCTGCTGCTGCTGCTGCCAATCGATGTCATCGATGGAAAACAGTTTGTAGAATTATTAATAGCAGTGATAGTACAAGCTGGGCTGTTGTGAGCAACTGAAACTCGTGGTGGATAATCTGGACTCTTGGGACTGCCCAACCCAACTTGACGACTAGCAGTTTGAAGGCTCTCAGCCAGCTGTGGGCTCCTGCTTAATGCATTCCCATTCTCTTCTGAGACAATGGACATGATACTTGTTGCTGCTGCAGTACAAGACTCATCATTCAAGGTTAATACTGGAGCAGGCTAAAATTGATCAGAGTTGATGTGACTTGTTTGCTAAAGACATAGGAAATTCTTACTCATAATATTATAGCAAATTCACTTACATAAGCAGAGTAAGAGGATTCTGCTGCATTAGCTGTCACTGCATCTCCAACCGACTGCTGATTATCATCACATTGGAGAACTTGTTCTTGGAAGCATTTGCTGCCTGTGAAAATGAAGGCAACGGAGCAATGAGTGCATCACGGACGAACGTTATAAGTATTTCGCGTTATGATGGAGAACGACAGTTGGTTGAAACGTCTTTCATCACCTACCTACGGTGGTATGAGTGACGATTTGCGAGGGATCAGGTAGAGCAGCATCACAAACCTCGGACATGTCGATCCGAGAGCCGAAAAGGTCCTTGGATTACAGAAGAGTAGCAACAGCAGTAGCATCTGCTACTGGAGTAACAAAAACTGAACCAGAAGATGACAAGCGGCAGGAAGCAGGGAGCAGGGCCAGCAGAGGCCCCGCTCTCGGCGTTCTTCTGCAATGATCGCCTACTATCGCGGACGTCTTCCGCGTGGATAGCTGCGTATGCTCACGTCAAGTACACTTTACCGGTGAGCGTTGTGTGCTTTTAGTTACACATCATACGATTCGTACTGTTTTCGCTGACTCGTTCTAGCCAGACTTAATCTCTCATTTGTTTCTCATCCTTCTCCCTATTCGCGATTAGGCCAGGCGGTTGATGCTGCTGATGACTTGAAGCTCAAGGCTTACTGCCGTCTCTAAATCGCTCTATAATTGCAAACTGCTGTTAACATTTTATTCTCGATGACTGCGTGAATGCTGTTCCCAACAATTCACGGTTTACGGATCCTTGTACCTGTATAGAGCTGTAGTTAAAACCCTTGTACCAACTACTGCTGATTCGATTGCGCTTGCACTGATCACACAGGCACCCGTAGCAGGAGTAATCAAGATCGCCATTTTGATTTTTCTGAATGGCGCCGCTACCGCTGTCATTCGACTGGCGCTCCGATCCGTAGATCTACTTTGTTAGGATTGCTGGCATATGTAATGGAATAGGAGATACATCGGATATAAAAGATGCTCATTTATTCGTTAGACTTCAATAATGATAACTTGTATAATTATATCTAGATACTTTAATATATCAATTTACTGCTTGTTTATGAAACTATTTAAATTTGGCGCCTGAAAATTTTCAAAATGGTCGGTACAACACATATATAGTAATAGGTAGAATACATAATAATTCGCCAGTTGCAGTGGGGAATATATATAATCACAGTATTCGCACTTTGCACTCTTCACATTAGGTATGTATATGTAAGGGTCCAAGATGGATATATGAGGAAAACTAAGATTCAAGCGAAATTTATTCAGCAACAAAGAACTAAAATCTCAATATACAATCAGAAGTAGAATTTGATACAAGGAAAATAAACTAAAAATCGAAAACTACTCATTGAAAGTAAGTTAAGTAAGCTTTGGACTTTTGGACTCTTACCAGCGTCGTCGCCGAATGCCGACTGCTTTAAGTTTTCTTGTCTCAAAGTACCTATATGCATTAGACAACGTATTCTATTAGAGTTCAATAGTCATGTGTTGTTAGTAATAATATTTGAATTTGAAAGGCAAACAACAAGAACGAATATACATCGTGTATATTACAGCATAATGTCATCAAATGCAAAGGATCGGTAAACTTTTATTGTTGAAAGTCTCGCACAGTTGAGTACTGTCGAGTCCCCAAATACGGTTTCTCTTGGCTGCACGATCAAAATTGAATCAAGAGAAAAGTTTTAGATCAATAGCATTCAACATTTCATTTTTAAACTTGAATATTTACATATTAGCTATACGAAATTGAATTTTGTAAAAGGTTCTACATATCTTTGAACATTAACCCTTTATTTTGGCTTATTGTTATTAATAAATTCCGACATTTTACTAACAACTTTGTTAGCAAATCGTCACTATGGAAGCTTTAATTCCTATTATAAACAAGCTTCAAGATGTGTTTAATACTGTTGGAGCTGATGCTATACAGTTGCCACAAATTGTAGTATTGGGTACACAGGTTAGTACAGCTGCTTTTCTTCTTACTTGCTATAATTTCTATGAATATTTGTTCTTGAAATCTCTTTTTGAACCTTCTCTATTCCAGAGTTCTGGTAAATCATCAGTAATTGAAAGTCTTGTTGGTCGAACATTTTTGCCAAGAGGCACTGGCATTGTAACTCGTAGACCACTAGTATTACAATTAATTTATACTCCTAAGGAGGACAAAGAGTACAGATGTGCAGAAGATGGTACATTGGATGTAGACGAATGGGGAACTTTTCTACATCAAAAGAACAAAGTTTATAAAAATTTTGACGAAATTCGTCTAGAGATAGAAAATGAAACTGACCGTATGGCTGGTTCTAATAAAGGAATCTGTCCAGAACCTATAAATTTAAAAATTTATTCTAGATCTGTGGTTAATTTGACTTTGATCGATCTTCCTGGAATAACAAAGGTTCCTGTTGGAGATCAACCAGAAGATATTGAAAGTCAAATTCGTCAATTAGTACTAAAATACATCTGTAATCCAAATTCTATTATTTTGGCTGTTGTAACAGCTAATACAGATATGGCCACAAGTGAAAGCTTAAAATTAAGTAAAGATGTTGATCCAGATGGGAGAAGAACATTAGCTGTTGTCACAAAATTAGATCTTATGGATGCAGGTAAATTAGAAAATTTTATAATTATTCCTTGAGTTCTAGATATTTTTAATACAATTTCAGTCAATTATACGATATAGAACTCAGCTCTCGTGACCTATTCATAATATCAACATATATTAGTCATTATAAATGTTATAATTCTTTTTCTTAAATTATTTTCTAGGTACTGATGCTATTGATATTTTATGTGGCAGAGTGATTCCTGTAAAACTGGGTATTATCGGTGTAGTCAATCGATCTCAGCAAGATATTATGAATAAAAAGTCAATTCAGGATGCTCTCAAGGATGAAGCAGCATTCCTTCAGCGAAAATATCCCACTTTAGCCAACAGAAATGGAACACCTTATTTAGCGAAAACTCTAAATAGATTGTTGATGCATCACATTCGAGACTGCTTACCAGACTTGAAGGTAAATTTTGTCACTTGTTAGTTGATCCTAGATTGATTTAGAATTAATTCTTTCCTTTTTGCTCAGACCAGAGTGAATGTTATGGTCTCACAATTCCAAACTCTTTTGAATTCTTATGGAGAAGATGTTGGAGACAAAAGTCAAACTTTACTGCAAATAATAACCAAATTCGCTAGCAGTTATTGCTCTACAATTGAGGGTACAGCCAGGAATATAGAAACAACGGAACTGTGCGGCGGCGCGAGAATTTGCTACATATTTCACGAGACCTTCGGAAGAACGTTAGATTCCATACATCCATTAGCTGGATTAACAAAAATGGACATTTTAACAGCTATTAGAAACGCAACTGGACCACGACCTGCTCTTTTTGTGCCTGAAGTATCCTTTGAACTTCTAGTCAAACGGCAAATTCGTCGACTTGAAGAGCCATCTTTACGATGCGTTGAACTTGTTCACGAGGAAATGCAGAGAATTATACAGCATTGCGGAATAGAAGTTCAGCAAGAAATGCTACGTTTTCCAAAATTACACGAACGAATAGTAGATGTTGTCACGCAACTTTTACGTCGAAGACTTCCGACGACCAATTCAATGGTTGAACTTGTGTAACAATAAATGATGAAATGATTTTGTTGATATTTTTAATAATAATTGATTTATTGATTCTTTTAGGTCGAAAATTTGGTTGCTATAGAATTAGCTTATATTAACACAAAACATCCAGATTTTTATAAAGATGCTGCTTTAGTGTCCTCCTTACTTAAAAATGCTGAAATGAATCAGCCAAAGCAGAGTAGAAGACACTTAGCTACTTCTAGTGTAGTAGCTAACGCTATCATGCCAATAGAAAATGTAAGTACGCAGCAAAAAGAATTTCTTTTGTTTTACTGAATTCTTAATGCATTGATTCAGAAACAATCATACAGTCGAGATGACTACAACATTTATTCGGAGCAAAATAACAAAGAAAATATACAACAAAATTGGTTGAGTAATTTACTACCACAGGGTAGAGCTGAGTCGAGTGGTCAGTCGGCAGATGGATCACCGATAAAAAATCGCGATGAAACTACTTTGCCGAAACCCAACCAGAGCCCTGATGCAGCGTTAGAGTTACAAAAAGCTGTCAGTTCGCCTCAACAAAAGCCGGTCAACTTATTACCCGAAGTACCGGTGCAAACATCGCGTAAGCTCAGCGATAGAGAAGAACGGGATTGCGATGTTATTGGTAAAAAACTCAATTAGTCAAATACTAATAATTAATGCTTTATATTGTTCATTTACTTATACACTTTTTTAATTATCAAATTTAGTTCTCATTTTAATTGTATATTTTTAATGAAAAAGAAATATATTTACACATGGCCCTCTGTACACTTTTGTACATATAACAATGATTTATCTAAATTATAGGCAGAGGATGCTTCTATAATTTACTATTGATAATGGTTTCTGTCTAGAACGTAACAACATCACTTCCAAAGTGTTCTGTGCAGCAGCAACGTTTCCTCACTAAAATTATCTGAAATCCAATGATGATTCCAATTTGATTCAAATATGCTAATAATTTTATTATCGTAAACATTAACATAAGTGATAACGGTATTTTTTTTTCGAGCACCTATTATTTATAATTGATTTAGATTGATGAAAATATAATTGATTAATTCACATCAATATTTAATATTCTGACTGATGTATCTGAGTTTTTAGAAATAATTTTTATCCAATTCATAATTTCAGAGAGGCTCATCAAATCATATTTTTACATTGTACGGAAATCTATTCAAGACAGTGTACCTAAGGCTATAATGCATTTCTTAGTTAATTATGTAAAAGATAATTTACAAAGTGAATTGGTGACGCATTTATACAAGTCAGATCACGCAGAAGCCCTTTTGAATGAAAGTGAACATATTGCTGTCAGACGTAAAGAAGCAGCCGATATGCTTAAAGTAAAAAATGTTTATTTGATATTTATACTTTTTATACATTGATATTGAGTGCTGAATTTAACAAATGACTTGTCCTTTTCCAGGCTCTCACACAAGCTGGTCATATTATCAGTGAAATCCGAGAGACTCATATGTGGTAATTGACAGGTATCAACTTTTTGAGCAACTAGCATTCATTGCCTCGCGTATCGATTTAATATTCTTTACCTATGCATTATAAAATTGGTTGCAGTAGTCTGAGATACCAATATTGTATGTTCATTATTATTCTCTCACGTCTGGCACATTTGAGAAAACTAAATAAAAATGTAATAAAGTACGAAAAATCTAGTGATCTTTAATTGTTTGTTTTAAACTGATGTACAAGACATAGCATTTAAGCATTGAATGATAGATTGTTGCGTTTTGATTGCTTCCAAACTTGGTTCAACTAGTATTTTTCCAATGAATTTAGCATGTTCGATAAGCAGTGGCAGAGCTTCATTATAATAGCCATCATACATCTTCGTTAGAGCCGTGACTCTTTTTTTCTCGATTGAACTTTGAAGTAAATTATATAATTTGCTAATCCCACTTTTCTGCCCGCATTCTGTACACTCTAGAGTGTTGTGAGATTTGCGGCACTGTTTCAAACACCGCTTACACTTGAAACTAAAATCATTATTCTGCAATTTTGATGGCCAATCAAACGAACACGCTTCACATTGGCATTCAAAGTAATATTTCATTTTCAAATGTCTGCGTCTGTGATCTCTGTCGTTCTCTAGAAAATGTTGTCCGTAACAATCAAGGATTTCCGACCCTTTTGGTATAGAGCGCAACGACGTAACGGCGACAACACCTATAATGGATACATACAACAATAATTTGTACTTGTTCAAGATAATGACAACAGGTATAGAACTAACGTTCTTTTATATATCATACCATTGGGAAAGCAGTGCCTAACAACGTTTGGATAGCAACTATGATTGGTCAAACTGACGCTAGTATAGATAGCTCCTCCGACATTTCGCGGCTCAAATACCTTTGTTTCCTCGTTACGAACGTTCTCAACAATTTCATATGCATTGCACTCGATGGCTTGTATATTGCGTAGAAAACTTACTGCCAAGATATTCTCAAACTTTTCAGAGAAATCTACCTTTAAGCCAAGTTGCCTCAACGAGTAAATCAGGCAGCTTGCCAGAAAAATGGAACAAACTGCAGTATCAAGGTACGATTTCAACTGACGATCGGTGCAGTGAGTTTCTAAGCCAAACACTGTTTCGTAATTATCCGGCTCGTATTTATCCATCAGCAGCGTCACGTCAATCGAATCTTTGTCATTTTCGTGAAGGCGAATAAAGTCCTCGCCCAAACAAGCCGTGGCTACCGTTCTATAGGCCAAGAGAGCATTGCACTTTTGCAAATCGTTGTGGTAAAAGTATTTGAAGATTCGGCACTCGTATTTGTGGAATCTGTCCCATGCCTGCTGAGCACACTGCTCCGAGCAATACCTGACCTGCAACGGATAAGGGAATATGAGGAAAGGCTCGAACGGATGAATGGGCGCAGGCGCGAACAATGACCGTCGTGCAGGCGCTGCAAGGAATCTGCGTGACGTTGACAAGCCGGAACGACAGGTGACAGTTGGCGCAATTGGTGCGGAGGGCAGGCAGGTCGGTGCTGAAGGAGTAAGGCCGGTCGACGATGAGCACGCTGCCCGGCTCGATGTCGCGTGCGGCGCGCAGCAGCCGTCCCCGCGCGGGCTCGCGCGACAGGGCCAAGGTAGCCGAGCAGCAGCTCAAGAAGCGATGTGGCCCAGCGTGCAGGTCCGGCGGCACCGTCGACGGCCGAGCAGCGGCTCCGCGAGCGGCGTCGCCCGCGGGCGCCGGCTCGCTGTCCAGCAAGCAGCTCCGCAGCAGGCGCGCCTTGGCCGAGCGCGAGTCGTTAGCGCTAGCCGCGATCTCGTTGATGCGGCGCATGGCCTCGTTGAGCAGGCCGCGCGCCACCTCGGGCGCCTCGCCCGCGGCTCTGCTGCAGTGGGCGCGCAGCACGAGGGCCTCCACCCGCAGGGCCGCGCACTCCTCGTCCCGCTCCTGCACTCGCTGCTCCGCGTAGCGGCAGTCGCGGGCGCAGCGCGCCAGCTCGCCCGCGCGGTAGTAGTGGCGCATTCGGCGACCGAGGACCCGCCCGAAGAGGCCGCTCGTCGGCGGCGCCCGGGCCAGCGCCTCGGTCAGCTGCCCGCGCTCGAGCAGCTCCGTGGCCGCGGCTTCATTCTTGCCGTCGTAGTACGCCTCCAGCTCGTATTCGGGCAGCAGCCCGGACACGGCCTCCACGATCGCGAGCCGGTTGCCGGCTCGCGTGGCTTCCAGCAGGCGGCCTTTCCTGACTGCTTCCCAGCGCGACCACCTGTTCTGCGCAGCAGCCTTCAATTCCCCGAGGAGGCCACTGCCAAAAGTACAATGCGCGCACGTTCCATGTAGCCTTAGCAAAACTTCTTAGCGCAAGAGATGGCTGTTTAAATGACCCCGCAGGCCTCCTCGGTATATCAATAGATTCCATTTTGCATCTATTAATATTTGAGTATTACCAAAAGGAAGCGTGTACGATTTACGCTAATTCGCGTTCAATCAAGTGAGCCTGGCTTTAACTTTCAATCTTAAACCACTTTCATTCCATTTCTAATCAAAATCCATTTGCACTATCGGCTCGATGCAATTTGCTGTGCCTTATACCGAACTTGTTTACATTCCTCAGTGAAATCTAATCCGAGTCCGAAAGATTAAGGTGAGACTGTCACATAAGATATCGTTTGAAGTAACGTCTAATGGTTTTTTTATTGTACCTTTTATCGTCGAGTGGCAACATGCCTTATACTATGCGAGCGTCGATGCTCCGTTCCCGTTCCGACGATTAGCGGTGGCTGCTGCAGTTCACTTCTCGACGCACAACTACGGCTACAACTAGTGACGCTAAACTACAGCGTGTAAGTATAGCCTATCCTAAAATTAAAATTCCTTTGGCTCGTGCTTTATATACATATATATATTTAGTTTTCTCCCCGAAACGCCTCCCGTCATTTCTATATATACACTGGGCCGGTCATTCACTTTATTTCTTCACTTTGACGTAAGAACCGGGTGGAATAATCGATAAGAACGGTCCTACGTAAATCTGGCTCCGGTAAAAAAAGGAGCTTCGAACAATATTACATCTCATTGTATACAATTGAGGAAAACCATCAGATTCTCACTCTTCAAGAACTTCATTAGAACTTCTTAGTCTTAGAACTTATCTAAAGAGCACTAGAAGCAAGAATGCGAATTGTTGCAGTAAGTCCTGTTGCACAACCAATAAATACTATCGAAAACGTGTATCGCAAGTCTTGAAAATAATGCTGTGCGGATTATACTGACACTTGCAACCAATAAATGACTGCGCGTAAGTGTACATAACTGGGTTGAATTATTTCATTTGCAGGTCCACCAAAAATTATTGTAAAGCTTCAAATTTATTCTTTTTTAAATTTGCAACTACTCGCCAAATTACATCTCAATCAATGCAATAATGAAACGAGACCGTCTCGTTAGCATACGTTTTCTAATGATTGTGATTGATTGCTACGCACAAATGACACGAAAATTGGAATTTTATTATATTTCGAAACAATAAGGAGATCGGTGAAAAAACAAACGATCCATTGATTCTCGTCAGGCTTATATTTGATAATAACATGAGCAGAGACTGGGATTCTAATTTCTAATATGACCGATCTGTGGGCCGAATTGTAGCTGCGCTCAATTTATTATCGCTTCAACTAAATCAATCGTGTCTGTTTTATTGATGAAAAATCACAACATTCTCACAAAATAAAATATTTTTATCAACTGAAAAATATATATAAAGCATTTAAATTTTTATGATAAAAGCATTCATACAAAAGCTACTGATGATAAGTTAGAGTACGATACACGCAGCTTCACTCTAGTAACAGAGATAGAGGATAGAGAACACTAACATCAGCAGTATTTGAAAATACCACCAACCACCAACGACCAACGGATTGAACGGATGTATATCTTACATAGAGTAACGAAAAGAAATGGCTACCAAAAAATCACTATAAGGACATTCCGTTAGAAAATCGGTTCATTCTGATACTTTTGATGATCATTCATCAAGACTCGATTAGTTTCACTTTTTTATATCGAGGTTAACTATTACAGATATAAAAATCGATATTACTTGAGTCAAGTTGGTGATTTTTTTTACAAGTTGGATTCTCTGCGAACATGTACAAGTTCTCTAATAATAAACGAAGCAATTCGATGGTATAGTTTCGAATATAAAACGTAGTTACAACTATTGTTTATGTTTGATAATTTAACTATTTGTATTTCCGCAGCCAAAAGTCAGATATTATTAGGTTATGATGAAAACGAACTGATGTACATACAAAGTTAACTATTGAATTATATTTTTATTTGCACTGTTGTTTTTTTCTCTATTTGGAGTTCTTGTTGAGCATTTGATGTAATTTTAAGATTTAAAGAATGGAAGAGGATACAGAATATTTAAAATTACCCGTGGAAGATCGTTGTCTGCACAAGGTTTATTGTTCTTTTCATTGTCTATTCAAATTATGTTAAATATTTGATTTCATATATTCTTTAATTCTTGAATAGTTGTGGAAAGCACGTTTGCATGGTTATGAAGAATGCACAAAGACATTCAGATGTATTGATGATGAGAAATCACCTGAATGGAATAAATTTCTTGGTCTCGTTAAAAAGTTTGTTATTGATAGCAATGCAGCAGCACAAGAGAGAGGTTTGGAAGCAGTTTTGGCATTTGTTGAAAATGCTGCAGTTGCTGGAAAGTAAGTTTCAACTATCTTCATTACTGAATTATCAATTTTTATTGTGCTAATAAATATTTGATAATTGATTGTAGAACAGCCAACGATGTAGTCAGTGGCATTGTCACCAAGTGTATAGCAGCACCAAAGGCAAAGACAAAAGATTTAGCTATACAAATAATATTGATGTTCATTGAAATAGAAAAACAAGAAGCAGTTCAGGAAGAATTAATTAAAGGAACTGAAGTTAAAAATCCAAAAATTGTATCTGCATGTATTTCAACTTTGACACTTGCACTCAGGTATGTTGTTTTCAAACTCAATTGAAAAATATACAATAGCATTTATTTAATATCCTCTTTAATGTCTTAGGGAGTTTGGTACCAAAGTTATAAATGTCAAGCCGTTGATGAAGAAAATACCAATTTTATTGGAGGACAGGGATAAGGCTGTTCGAGATGAAACGAAAGCTTTAACTATTGAAATATATAGGTATTGTCAAGTTTATTTTAAATTTATAAAAGTGTTTGTTATACTAAGTCAGTCTCACTGACTTTTGTTGAAGATGGATTGGTACACCTTTGAAATCACAATTGAATGTTTTGAAACCTCTCCAATTATCTGAACTAGAGATGGAATTCAATAAAGTTAGTAATGAGAAAGCTATTGCAACGAGGTACTTGAGGTCTCAAAAACCAAAAATTATGAGTTGCATAGAAAATACAAATGACATTAACAATGGTAAAATAAATCCAATATATTTAATATCAATGATTTTAATACTTTAAAAATATTTCCAGATAATAATGTTGATGATGATGATGATGGTGTAAGTCAAGTTGAAGTAGATCCTTATGAATTGCTTGATCCCGTTGATATATTGTCACAATTACCAAAAGATTTTTATGATAAAGTGGAATCTAAAAAATGGCAGGAAAGAAAAGAGGCACTTGAAGCTCTTGATACATTGTTAAAAAATCCTAAACTTGAAAATGGAGATTACGGAGAAATGATTCGTGCTCTAAAAAAAGTATTTAATATTTATTTGAATATTTGAATTTCAATGAATCATTAATCAACTTAACTTTCATCAACAGATAATTTTAAAAGATTCAAATGTTGTTGTGGTGACTTTGTCTGTAAAATGTTTATGTGGTCTTGCTACTGGTCTAAAGAAACGTTTCCAGCCCTATGCCTTAACATGTCTTTCGGCTGTTTTGGAAAAGTTTAAAGAGAAAAAACAAACAGTCGTTCTAGTTTTGAGAGACTGTGCAGATGCTATATTTTTGAGTGTAAGATCGCATTAATGATAACGTCTTATCAGAAATCATACATATTTTATATAACATTTATAGGTTAATGTGGAACAAATTTTGGAAGATTCAATAGCTGCATTAGAAAACAAAAATCCATCAGTTAAGGCCGAAACTGCTTCATTTTTAGCTCGTTGTTTTGCAAATACACCTCCTGCTGCCTTGAATAAGAAGTTGCTAAAAGCATATACAGGATCATTGCTCAAAACTTTAAATGAATCTGATCTTTCTGTAAGAGATAATTCGGCAGATGCGCTTGGTACAGCAATGAAATTAATAGGAGAAAAAGCAATGTCACCATTTCTAGTTGATCTAGATAATTTAAAAATGGCAAAGGTATTTATGATTCCTATAATACTTTTGTTTTAAAAATAATTTCTTCCATAAATGACATGTTTTTGTTATTGATTGTAAGATAAAAGAAAGTGCTGAAAAAGCCGTCATTCATGTGAAAGTTGCACCAGCGCGAAAAGCTCCTCTGACTTCGGAGAGACCAAATACTGCACCAGCTAAAATTGAATCTCCAACCAAAATTGTAACAGAACAAAATAATTCTAAGCTAAAAAGGCCTAAAACTGCTGCAGTAATTAAAAAACCTTCAGCTACTCAAAAGTCCTCTAAAATAGATCAAAAGACTAGGAAAGTAATGAAACAGCAGCCTCAAGCTGAAAGAAATTTAAGTAATGATGAAATTGATGATATGGCAGCTGAAATGCTACCTTCAGACATTTTAACTGGTCTTGTAGACACTAATTGGAAAAATCGATTGGCTGCTGTTGAACAATTAAATAACGTAATAACGATCGAATCAAATAATTTGTTGTTTTCAAACTTGAATTTATGTTTTCTTATAATTTTTAGCATGTCAAGCAAATGGACCCAGCTCAAGTATCATCACAACTTATTGTAAGGGTATTGGCAAAAAAGCCAGGTTTTAAAGATACCAATTTTCAAGTGTTGAAGCTTCGTTTAGAATTAGTAAAAATGCTGGCAGAAAATTATTCATTTTCAAAGTAAAGTATTTACTAAACTTTTAAATTTGGTTATGATAAATTTTATATACTTTTTTAATACCATAGTACCGTAGCTGAATATTGTTTAAATGACATAACGGAAAAATTAGGAGATGCTAAAAACAGTTCGATTGCTGCGGAAACACTAACAGCTATTGCCGAAGTTGTTGGCTTAGATTCAGTAGCAAACGAAATGGCATTATTTGCATCTAATCAAAAAAATCCTAAAGTTCAACAAGAAACACTTCTCTGGATATCTAGAGCTTTGACTGAATTTGGCTTTGCGTGAGTATCACTCGATCGACGATTAATGATTTATTAAAAAGATGTTTATTAAGAAGTTGTTTTTTAAAAAGTTGTTTCACATTTTTAGAGTGAATACCAAATCCTTGATTGAACACGTTAAAAAGGCAGTAAGCGCAACCAATCCAGGTATACGGACCGCGGCTATAACTTTGTTAGGCACAATGTATTTATACGTTGGTAAATCGCTACTCGCATTTTTTGAGAATGAAAAATCTACATTAAAACAACAAATTGAGCAAGAGTGTGAAAAGGTTTGATGTTGAAAAACGTACTCGATATTTGATTCATTATAATAGAATTTATTTACAGTTTGAAGGTGAAGTGCCTCCAGCACCTATTCGTAACGTGAGGGGAAAGAAACAACGGTGTAATAGTGATGATAAGGATGATGATGAGGACGAAATTCAAGAATATTCACCGTCAGCGCAAAAAAGTCTTAGCGATGTCTTACCAAGATCAGATATTAGCAGTTTGATAACAGAAGCTTTATTAAATGAATTGAGTGATAAAAATTGGAAGGTAGGAATATCATATTTATCCTTTTAAAACATTGTATTTTATAAAATCTCGAAATTTTATCGTCGTTTTTAGGTTCGCAATGAAGCTCTTCAAAAAATTGCAAATATTTTAAATGAAGTTAAATTGATCAAAGGATCTCTTGGAGATTTGCCTCAAGGACTTGCTCAACGTTTGGTAGATAGTAATAGTAAAATCGCGCAGAGTACATTGGGTCTATGTGAGAATTTGGCTGTAGCAATGGGGTCACCTATCAAACAATACATTCGAGTACTTTTTCCTGGATTTCTACAATGTCTTGGAGATTCAAAAGTAATAGAACGTCATTTTCAAATGTAATAGCAATTAATTGATTTTATGATTTATTATGTCATAGGCATGGATTCGCACCGCCGCCATTTCTTGTATCAACAAATGGGGAGAACAGTGTGGTTACAAAGAATTTTTTGACGGTGAAATGATTGGTGATGCTTTAAAAACTGGTTCTCCTACTCTTCGAAGTGAACTTTGGACCTGGCTTTCTGACAAATTACCTGGAAGTAAGTCTTATATAATGAAATGAAACGAATTAATTAAACGTAATAATTCATAACAATTTCAGTACCTCTGAAACAAATATCGAAGGAAGAACTGACCATATGTTTACCAGTACTCTACAGCAATGTTGAAGATCGTAATTCCGATGTGCGAAAAAATGCTCAAGAAGCAATACTTGGTTTCATGATCCATTTATCCTACGAAAGCATGATGAGACATACAGAAAAATTAAAGCCTGGATCCAAAACTGCTGTGATTACCGTTTTAGATAAAATTCGACCAAACTTGCCAGTAAAACCTTTGCCACCTACAAAGAAGCCCATTGATGAGAGTTCTTTAAAAACAGTGAAAAGTGGTGGTGCTCTCAAAGTTGCCAGCAACAAATCATCTGTCAAAACAAAAGTACTTTTACTCTTATTTAGTATTTTTATTAGTCGTACTCATTATAAGCAATTATCAAAATTGCAGGGTGCCAAGTCTGCTGCTGCTACTACTAATCGTAAAAAAGATGACGACATTGATACAAGCCCTCTCTTAGCCGTGAATAACATGAAACACCAGCGTTCAATCGACGAACAAAAGCTGAAAATATTGAAATGGAATTTTACAACGCCTAGGGAGGAATTTGTTGAATTGTTGAAAGAGCTCATGCTTACAGCAAATGTTAACAAAACTCTGATGTCTAATATGTTTCATTCCGATTTTCGTTATCATCTTAAAGCTATAGATTCATTGGCTGAGGTAATAACTATTGCGTTAATATGATACGTAACTGTACAAAATTGTATATATACACATATATGTGTATATGTACATATATATGTATATTTTTTAGGATTTACCAGGCAACAGTAGAGCATTAGTATCTAATTTAGACTTGATTCTCAAATGGCTTACATTGCGATTTTTTGATACCAATCCGTCAGTACTTCTAAAAGGACTAGACTATTTACAAACAGTCTTTAATATTTTAATAGAGGACCAGTATCATATGTTAGAAAACGAGGCAGCTTCCTTCATCCCTTATTTGATAATCAAAGTATAATAGCGCCAAATTCAATTTTATCAATAATCCATTAAATGTTACATAATTTTGAATCACGTATTATTTAATATAGATAGGTGATCCAAAAGATGCAGTACGAAATGGAGTCAAAGCTTTATTTAAGCAAATAGCAGCAGTTTATCCTGTTAGTAAACTTTTTTCATACGTTATGGAAGGTTTAAAATCAAAAAATGCACGACAAAGAACAGGTTCATTTAATTTTCATTCTTATTCCATATATATTGATATAATTAAAACATTGATAAATAATATTATCACGCCTTCTTAGAATGTCTCGATCAATTGGGATCACTTATCGAGAATTATGGTGTAACCGTTTGTCAGCCATCTCCATCAGCAGCTTTGAAAGAAATTGCTAAACAAATAGCAGATCGTGATAATTCCGTGAGAAATGCCGCTTTGAATTGCATTGTTCAAGCATACTTTTTAGAAGGGGAAAGAGTTTACAAGCTGATTGGCCAAGTAAGAATCGATACTAAATTTCATACATGTCAAGTTTTTTAATGATTTATTCAAGTCATTGGTATGAATAAATAGTACATTGCGATACAAGTGCGGGAAAGTAGATTCTTGTGTCGCGTGGCGTTTACGCCCGAGCAAAGCGAGGGTGGAAAGGTATACGAGACGAGAAACTCTTTCCCGAACATGTGCCGTACCGTATTTTTTGATACGACGTGTGGAAAGTGCGATTTTCAACCCACGTTTTTTGCCGAGCGTGCGGGAACAACGCACTTTCCGCACGGAGTGTCGAAAATATTTTGTTATTCGTAAGAAATAAATTTTACGTGGTAATATTTTAAGCTTTAAATGTTCTTGTAATATAATGAACTATTAATGATTACTTTAAGATTTCAGAGAAAGATCAATCTTTGTTAGACGAGCGAATCAAGCGAGCTGCAAAAAATCGGCCTAATAAAACAGTATCTACAATAAAAAATAAGATACCACTGACGCAAATATCGGCACCTCCTAATGATAATGATGTAAATGAAAGTCAGTATGACGATGATACTGAAGATGAACAAAAAATTGAGGAAGATGTTGATGAGTGAGTACGATGTTAAATATGCAATTTTTACGTTTTGTTAAAATATTGCTTTCCTATATTTATTATTATTATTATTATTATTATTCATTATTTATTATTATTATTATTCATTATTTATTATTATTATTATTCATTATTTATTATTATTATTATTCATTATTTATTATTATTATTATTATTATTCATTATTTATTATTATTATTGTTATTCATTATTTATTATTATTATTATCATTGTTATTATTATTATTTATATAAGCTGATTTCATATCCTATTAAACAAAGCAGGCCAAAGATAGCTGTTACTCCTGAAGACGACGATAATAAAAAATTGGAAGCTACTTTTATTTGCGAAAATAAAGGCTATTGTGAGAAACAAAAATTGATAGATGGACGTGGTTACCATAAAAAAGATATCAAATTTTTGTCTGTAACTGAAGTCGGCGATGAAACGTTTGTTTTTATTTTATTTTTTTTCAACATTCTTACGAGCTTCAGAGCATATCGATATAGTAATAAATTGGCTTGATCTGTTTTGTTAAAGAGACCTGCATTAAATGAAGTCCAAAATTAACATTTATGTTCATCTATAACGATATACTCCAAAGTTCTCTTATACTTACAATTAGTTAGATCGTTATGTATGATGTATAAAACTGATAACTACGCAGCGCCAAGAATCGCAAATACAGCCCGTTTACTATATAATTTTTATGCATTGCATAGCTTTTATTTGTTTCTTTAGAAAAAGTAAAAAATTGTTAGTCTGGTTAAAATATATCAATGGTGTGCTTGTTTTACTAATTACAATTTTCATTACGACACCTTGTAATTAAAAAAAATGCATTTGTTAGACCATCATCGTATAAAAAGATACGCGGTTCTGGTATAATTTTTGATAATTAACTATATAAATTTCTGTAATTTGTTGTTCTAATAATAAGATTTTCATTGCAATGATGATATAACTTTTTTATACTTCCAGGTATGTTTCCGTAAAAAATACACAAAGTATCAAAGTATCTGGTCCATTTGGTTTGGATATGGACTTACTGCAAAAAATCGAAACTAGCGCTCCAGCAAAGTGCCGCGTACCTAAATTATTAGAACCAAATATAGATTTGAATGAGACTGTGGAAATGTTGAACCCTAGTCGTCAAAGACAGTAAGATTTTTTTATTGATAAATTATACTTCTATATGTCTTGATCATTATTATTATCAATTTCAAGAGTGATCCCAATATCTCCTCCAAAACTATTATCGTCTAATTCTGAAAGTATGTCACCGTCAAATTCTTCGGTTGGGAAAGAGGACAGTTTGGAAAGAACAGTGCTTGGAATGGCCAGTTTAGATCTTACAACAGCAATACAATCTATGAACGCTATGGAAAGAGTTAGTATTTCTGTGAAATATATGTTTTATATTATTTCAATTCATTTACAAAGACCATTTAAATTATGATTTCAGATTTTAAAATCTCATCAAGTATCGATGCTACAATCCAAGGAAGACAAATTTATCAGCTCTGTAAATATGCAATTGAAGCTGTTACAAACTTATCCTTTACATCAAGGAAATATCCTTGTATCAAAAGGATTTCGAACAACTTTTATGATTATCTTGACGGTAAATATTCATATATTTACAGTTATGTCTCGTACAATTTTTTTATTAAAATTTTGAAAAAAATTTGTTGTAGTTTTACGATACAGGAATACTTGGAAGAAATGTTCCTCTTCACCATCTCAAAGATCTTGTTGATCAAGTGATTAGTTTTTTAGCGGAAAATAAACTCAATCGATTAAACGACGCCGAGGCATATATCAGAGTCATAAACACAATAGCGGTGAAAATCATTGACAATTCAGATCATACTACTATAATATGGTAATAATTTCAACTTTTCCCAGAATCTATTGCATTGAATTCATAAGAGATTATTGAATTGACTATTTATATTGTCTTTTTTAGTGTACTTATAAAACTACTGCATGAAAGAGCCAATTCAAACGGTCCACCTAAATACGAAGATCTTGTAATGAAGTGTTTATGGAAAATTGTGAAAACAATACCTAGTTGGGCAGGAGACTTAAATTACGATATGATTCTTTTAGAAGTTCACAATTTTTTTAAAGTAAGTCTTAAAAAAATATAATTAATACTGTAACTGACTACTAGATTTTCATTTTTAAAAAGAGCAACGTTTCAATTTTATTTTGAATAAGGAAAACGAACTCTTTTGGCACCCGTGTGCTGGGAAGTTAAATACATGTCCGAGAAAGTGATTTTAGTTTCATATGATCTCTTCACCTTCGCTTCGCATCAGGCACAAAGTCCATGCGAGGCTGAAATTACTTTTTCGACAAGTATCGAAATCATTACATTACGAATAGAAATAAAATTACGTTTTTGGTTGTAGGACTATCCAAGTGTATGGTGGAAAAAACAAAAGAAACCAGATACTCCCATGCGAACAGTCAAAACAATTCTTCATACAATGACTAAAGTGAAAGGTAGCACAATATTGAGTCATTTGACTCAAATTAACAACACCAATGAATCAGAGCTACGTTCGTATTTAATGCGATTGATTGCGGTAAGCATTTTATTTATGATTTTTTTAGGAATGAAATCTACACGTAGATTTTATTTGCAGACTTTTAAACCAGATGAAGTTGGCGCAACTGCTAAAATACTATCGAAATCTTCCATCAACATCCAACAAGGACAGAGTCAGAAACATGTGTCAAAATTAACACAGCAACAACTATCGGAAATATTTAAAAAAATCGGTTCCAAAAATCACGCCCAAGAAGTAAGTTTGTTAAAAAAGTGTCAAATTAACATTTAAAAAAATAATTTCTGACTCGTTAAATTATCTGACCTAATATAAATACGTATTTCTCTAAAGGGACTTGCACAATTATATGATTTTAAACTTCAATATCCAGAAGCAGATGTTCAACCATTTCTAGAAAAATCTCATAAGTATTTTCAAGATTTCATTGAACAAGGTCTCAAAGATATAGATAACACAAGAAAAAATCAAAATATTTTATCCAGTCAAGTTAATAATTACAATGGTAGCGGCATGTGAAAATAACTTACAATTGCAAAGTACCGTTGTTTCGACTTATAATATAATTATAATATAAGAATTAACCATGGAAATTGTATAAACAGTACTTGATTAAAGTTATGGACAAAAACATCAGATCCATTGTGTAGGTTGCAAAGACTGAAGGATTTCTAATAGGTAAATGTTTAAAATAGGAGATCAATGTCAGTCTAGACTATTTCAAAAATAAAGTATCCCATATAATCCAAGAGTTAAGAATCATTTAAGTATTTTAGCAGCTCCAACTAAAGGATTTTTTTAGGTTATTATAGATGATCTTTTTTCTCACTCATTTAATTACATTGTTTTATTTAATATTTATAACCATATAAATGCGACCTATAATTTAGTGTAGTAATAATAATAATACTCATCAATTAAATGAGAGGGCTCTCTGTATTTTTAGTAATGATGTAAAACCTTAGATTTATGTAATCCAAAATCTGATAGTTGTAATATTTCCTTTTTAAATAAAATTAAGATTGCCATTTCAGTAACAGAAAAAATATTTTATTTTTTATTTAATTAAGATGGAAATAATAAACATTTGTTAAATAATTTTGTATCCTTATTAAACATTTTAATTCTCTAAAAGTTGCTCATTTTAAGTTTCACTAACATTATTTTAACGGTATAAATGATCTGCATGTAAATTAGAAGCAATTTCAGATTCCCATTTGTCACCGTTATTCAATAACTTTTCTTTATTGTACAACATTTCTTCATGCGTTTCTGTTGAAAATTCGAAATTAGGTCCCTGAAAATTTTAAGCATTTTTGTAATGAGCTGTGAAACTTTAGGAAAAAGAAAGGTAGTAAATTGGTACCTCAACAATAGCATCAACAGGACAAGCTTCTTGACAAAAGCCACAATAAATACATTTAGTCATATCAATGTCATATCTAGTAGTACGCCTTGATCCATCTGCACGTTCTTCAGCTTCAATAGTGATGGCTTGTGCTGGACAAATTGCTTCACAAAGCTTACATGCAATACATCTTTCCTCTCCAGATGGATATCTGTAAATAAGTCAATTTTATAAATAATATCGAACATGCAAATAAAGTAAATACATGTATAAATATTAGGTTAATAGTTCTAACCTTCTAAGTGCATGCTCTCCTCTAAATCTTGGGCTTAATGGTCCCTTTTCAAATGGATAATTAATGGTAGCTGGTTCTCTAAAAAAGTGTGCTAAGGTGATCCCTAGACCACGGAACAATTCTTGATAAAACAACGTCGATACAGCTCTTTCTGTGATATCTTTCCATTCCTGTCCCTTTTCAGGATTAACATCATAATACTTGCTGCGAAGACTAACTCCCACTAGAGCTGGCGTAATACGGGTAGACAAGAAAACTAGAATAACATAACATTTCATTCAACGTGTTTTAAGAGTTTAGAAATATTACCAATTATTTTGTTTTATTTAAAATTTATTGTTTAATTACAAAAAATCAAAGGAAAAGTTCACTGTCTCTTTAATAAGATTTTTTTCGCTATGCTTCTCTCCTATTTAGAATATGTTACCTAATATTAAAATGTATATCGATTGTTAACATTCGATAACCAAATAAAATAAAAACAATCAATTATTAAGATTCAAATTAAGTTACCTCTTGCAGGCAATAAGACGGACATAATCAGATTATGATGAAAACAGCGCACTGATGTGGAGTTTGACTTGTGAGTATCAATTCAATACTGATACTATTAGGCTTAAGGGCTTTATATATTAATAATGTCTACGAAAAGTTTTCTACTTAAGGCTCTTACACGTAATTAAAAAGAGAGAAGCCGAATCGGGTGCCGTGACGAACGAAACAATGAAATTAAAAAGCACGTGGAATTTTGATTTGAAAGGGTGATCTAAATCACACAAAGTTGCAGTATGATTTATTTTAAATATCTTAAGAAAAGTGCATTTTATTCTCTAAATATCAATAGAGTTATTCAGGCAGACTACACTATTCACACTCGTACAGTTCGCATGCGCAGCCCAAGTCCATTGTGTTTAGACCGTTTATAATTTATGACGTTAAATGTGTATGGTCAGTGTTATTTTTTAATATTGTTTACAAGAACATTTTTTTTGTCAATTCTGGTGACAAAAGTTAATTTTAGTAATTTTATTAAAATTTCAATTTAATTATTTTAAAGTATTTAAAACTTTATTAATAAAATGGTGGAGCCATTTGTGACAAGTAGTAAAGATGCTCAAGAAAGGTGTAGCCATTGGGTGAAGAATGTAAAAGAAGCCTATAATTTTAATGAACTTAATATTAAGCGCAAAACAGAAACTGAATCAGAAGAATGTATAGAAACAGACTCTGAATTTGATTCAGTTTCAGAATGTGGTACAAAGAGAAGAAAAGTTGGTGTAAAACTGAAGGCTGAAAAACTTGATTTAATTTGCGAATGGAAAGCATGTAATTTTACTTGTAAATTTGTGGATTTGTTTATTAAACATGTTGCTAATCATATTACTGAGCTAGCTGTGGAAGAAATCTCTGGATCAGAATCTTATGTTTGTTTGTGGTCTGGTTGTGATTATAACAGTGGAGTGAGTATAGACATTATGCGTCATGTAAATTATCATGCTTTCCATTCTAAATTAAAGTCTATAGGAGTGAATGTAAGGAATAGAATGAAACTCCCTGTATGTACATAAGTAATAATCTAATTTTATATTATAAAAAATTTCATTTGGCAATTATTTTATTTTATCATTTCAGAAATGTCAGCGTGACAAAGATTGGAAAAATATTTTGGAGTCACTTCCTGAACACGATTGTTCATGGGAAGGCTGCGAGACTGATAGTTTTAGTAACTATCAAATGTTTCTTTATCATATATTAACTCACGTAGAAAATAATCCTCGAGGAAATAAAGTTAAAGGTGGAATAGATTGCCAATGGTCTGGATGTAAAGGCAATTATGTTAGCTTATATAAACTTAGAGAACATTTAAGAGTTCATACAAAAGAAAAGATTATCGCTTGTCCTGACTGTGGTTCCATGTTTGCCTCCAATACAAAATTCCATGATCATTGTAAAAGACAAATATCTTTAGAAGGTGTGTATATAATTTCTTATTTTAATCAATCATGTAATGATAATATTCTTAAATAGTTCAAGGGTTTCAATGTTCTCACTGCCATAAATTTTATCCCACTGAATCTCTTTTACGAGAACATATGAGAAATCATATTTTCCATTACAAGTGTAATATGTGTGATATGAGTTGTGATTCACCATCTGGTTTAGCTAAACATATACTGTATAGACATACATCTACTAGAAATTTTCCTTGCAAGTTATGTTCACATGCTGCCAAATCACAAAAAGATCTTGATTCCCACATGACTTTACATTTTGATAGGTCAAATTATACCTGTAATATAGAAGGATGTCTATATTCTTGCAAAAATGCCTATACTTTAGACAGGTAAGCTTGACATATTAACGTAATATGGCTTAATTATCTCATTATTAAATTATTTTTATGTAAAACTAAAATTAGGCATGTAGAAAAGATACATCGTTTACAAACTCGATGGTACTGCTGCCATGAGTGTCCTATAAAATATAAAAAAAGTTATCCACTTACAAAACATTTGATGGAAGCACATCATCTTCAATGGTTAAAAGGTCATAAAAGATTTCAATACGTGCTTGAAGATGACGGCTGTTACAGACTTCAAACTATTAGATATGAAAGCACAGATGAAAATGTATCTACTTCATCACAGGGTGTAGACCAAGATCCTTTATCTACTGTAAACTATAAGGTAAATTAATTATGAATTTGTTTAATTTATAAAAAGTAGAGGGAACCCTTATTTTTTTCATTTTATAAAATCTAATTATGTTTCCAGGTTGCTGGTGAATTTAGTTATGAAAAACCAGCCAAATCACTTCCAACAATTCAAAATATTTTAATATCAATTGATGAAATTGATGAGCATGGAAATGTAATTGAAAGCCAAATTATTGAAACACAAGAAACCAATGTATTACCTCCATCAGTTGAACCCCCCATTATATTAACGTAATATAGACATCTATTAGTTATTTAAAGTTTAGTTACAGTTTTTGTAAACTTTTTTTGCATAAAATTTATAATCTAAATTAAAAATCCTCTAATAAAATACTGCCTTGTTTGAATTAATCTTTTTATTACATAAATTGTATAAAAAATGACAGTTTTATATTATCACCTATTTTGTAATAATTAATGAAATAACTTGGTAGTGCATTTCTAAAATTAAATTAAGAACAAATTTATTGACTGTACAAATAATAAATACATATATGCTAATAGATATCTTAACATATGTAGAAAGCACTTATTTACGTTTTTTACACTTTGTTCTTCCACGTCGTTTACGAGGAACTGAAGTGGTACGATTTGTATCCGTTTTTTTAGAATTTCTACAACGAATAGAGTTTTATTATAACATTATATTTACACATTCAACATACCTCAGTTAATGTAAATAAGTAACAAAATACCTGTGTACTCTATTAACAGATACTGTAGGTTGCTTTTTTAATTGCAAATGTTGCTGTACCAATTCAGCCAATTTCCCTTGCTGAGCTAACATTGACAAGAATGTACAAATAAACTCATCATAGTTATGAGTTCGTCTGCAGTCATCAATCTGCAAAATTTATTAAAATTTAGTTATATATTTTAATATGTAGTCCACTATAGTATAAATAATATACTTTGTATTTATTTCTTTTGTCATTTTCATCTTTTAGAGCTGTTTCACAAATACCAATTTCATGTTCTAAATTCTTAAGTAACGCTAATAAATCTTTTGGAGCAAATGTGTGAGGTTCAGAAAGTTCTGAAAATTCTGAACAGAGTTTTGAATCAATCTTTTCAATTTTTTTTTCTTCGGTAACAGTATCACCATTACTTGTTTTTACTCTTGCATGAGGAACTCTTGATTCCCCTGATATACAAACTTTCTTATTTAGATGTGTATTATCTGAAACTAATCTTTTTCCATTGATATTAATATTGCTCAGTGAACGACCTGAAAGGATAAAAAGAAAAAAATATAAAAGAAAAATTGGAATATTTGCATGTCATAATTACTTAATCCGTTTTCATTCTTTTCCTCTCCTGCAACTCTAATAACTACAAATTTCTTAAACTCTTTGGCGGACGTAGGGCTACTTATCTGCTCTGAATTCCATCCCCAAGCTAAAAAGAAAAGTATAAACTAACTTTGTAATGATGAATTGCTTTGTTGGGTTGTACCTTGGGTTGGGGAATTAAATGCAGAACCTATTTCTGATGAAGTATCAGTACTTGAAGAACTATGTGCAGGAGATGTTTGAATTTGTAGAGGTGTTGCATAATCAAGAGCACAAACATTAAGTACTTTTTCTGGGCTATAGTAAACAATTTTTTAATGGTAAATTACTCAAATAGTTCAATTTTTTAATTTTTAATTTTAATTTTTACCTTTTTGATAAGCTTGCCTTTGTATTTGAATTAGCTATATCATTATTTGAATCATTAACTGCTTCTATGCAGATTACTGGTATCGAAGTAGTAGCTTCAGTATCGCATGATTCATTATCTTGTTTACATTTTTCTTTCTTTTCATTAACATCATTGTTATTACCATTACTTTTGTTGACATGATTTTCTGAGTGATGTGTTAACTTTACAAGCTGTTGCAGAGCCTCTAAAACTATTTGCCTATTGGTCCTCAGCATTGTTAATTTATGAGAAATTGCTAATCTTCTATCTGGCACAACAGCCATCAAATTAAATCTAATATCTTGTAATTGTTCTCCTGTAGATATGCCTAAACGGTCCATAATAACTCTTTTAAAATGTTCTGTCCACTCTTCAGTTTCTTTCCATGGTCCATGATCCATGGGATATGGTTTCAAGCCATCCAGTTCAAAAAGTTTCCCATTAATAGGTACATAACTGACAAAATGGAAAGCTTCTCCAGTAAATCTACCTGTGGTTACACCACTAGTATTTTTATCTTGTCTTCTTTTTGCTTGAGGCATTGCATGAGAATTATGAGCACATGCTAATTCTGGTGTATTTCCAATAGCCCAGCCTTTATTTTCAGGACACATACCAGCTGTATGAAGCTTTAAACGAGATAGTGTTGATCCAAGGTGTATATTGGGACAATTTAATAAAACAGATAATAGTGCATGCGTGGCGCAACTATTTGGTACAACCTGTAAATAATAATACAAATTTTTATTATAAATAATTAAAATATGTCTTATAAATCTCACTTGTTGAGCAAAAAATATATCATTGACAATGTCTTCATCTTTCACAAAGCTTTCATCCTGATCAACAATTTTACGCCGAGATCTTCTTTCTTCTATCCATCGAAACAAAAAAATAAATCCATAAACAGGTCCTTCCAAGGATTTCTGAAGATCATAAATTTCTTCTACTTGAACTCCTTTAACTCCAAAATCCTCTAATAACAGTGTGAATAATCCTTAAAAAATTTTATTCATTTAATTACAAAACTTACAAAACACATTACTGAAAAATATTTCATAGTCAATTTCTTAAAAAAATGTCAACTATACAATCATGCCAGAAATTTTTAAAACAATGTTCATAACAATCTAGTCTAGATATTATAATAAATATAAAAGTATAAAATAGTGATAGATTTGTATTATTCAACTTTTTCAAAGTACATTAAATTTCACTATAATCATAAGAATTTTACAAAATAGTTTGTTGAAATAAATAATCAAGTCAAGCATATATTTAAGCATTGCACATACCAGGATCACTCTCCAATTCTAACCAGCCTTCTGTTAAACGATTTATGTCAACAGGCATTTTGGAAGCAAAATGATGAATGGAATATCTTTTTAAGTTATGTTTGTTTATTCGAATTATTACAATCTTCTCTTCTATTTGGCGTTTACTAATTTTATCAGTATCATTAATGAGCATTCAAGATCTCACTATTATTATTTAGGAATGTTTACTAATCTTTGGTAAAATCAACCTTACACTCTCTCTCTTTCACTCTTTAAGCTGATGAAGTTCCGCAATCACAACAGCGTAACCTCAAATATTCATATTTAGCTATTCTGTGATTCATATGCAGTAATTTATTATCTTTATTACCACCATTGCTCCGCTCATATTATACTCCAAATAATATGAAAATGATACATTATTGAGAGAGAATAAGAAGAACACGGATTGATGAATAACAATGAAATGGCCGACCACCTATATTTTGATAACTATTGTGTATGTATGTATAATATGTATGTACATACATAGGTAACTTCTACCCATGAAATTGATGTATACGCTATCGCGTTTTTATAATTTGTGATGTGTTTTGTTAACTAAATATATATAACTGACAACGACAACGATTACTTATACCGCGGCATCAATAATGCCTATAGGACTTCTATTACTCCTACTCTACTACTCTACTACGTACTACTACTACTACTACTACTCTACTACTCTACTATAGGAGGAGTCTCATTGTGATTGCTGCGACCTCTTGTGGCACAAAATAGAAATAAATTGGCAGGGACTTTCACATACTGCATAGGGCAGAGATTGAGCATTATTTTATTTAATATATCAATAATAATGGAAGAAATTAATAAATGAATATATGCCAACTTTGATACTAAATATATCTTATAAATAAGCACATTTTTTCGATTTTGTTATTTTGATTATAATTAATATATTAAATAAAAATATTATTCTGTCTTCCGTACCCTGGACGGGTTGATTGTATGTATGTATGTACATACATACATACGTGTAGTGTCAGTGCTGAGAATCCGACCATTCAATCAAAAAGTTCTTTTTCTATAGTCGTACCGTTTCTAGGTATGTTTTCAATTCATCGGCTAAATGATACGGCTTCGTTACAAGTTTCACTTGTTGATATCACATCAATTTAAAATTCAGGGCAATCGAAAACAAAAATTCATTATACGTCAGAACGTAAGTAATTGATTGGACTAATTGAGCTATTAATAAAAAATATTTTAAAAATCATGAATATTGCTTATTGATGAGTATGCTAATGTAAAAAAAGTTTTTGGGATGATTAATATCATTTATATATATTTTCTTCTTCTTCTCATATATTCAAGTACTTCCATAAAATTAAGGCCTAATTCCACTATTTGTAGTTGAAAGTCTATCAATTTTCTATCATTTGCCATCTTATAGACTGCAATAATGTAAAGGTTAGATAGGCGTTCATTAAATGTGGTACGTTCGGCGCTACAGTTTTAAACAACAGTCACCGCTTTGCTCACTACCGGTAGTGTTGGTACTAAATAATCGAACTAGATATTTTTAGTGATGTTACTATAGTTGCGATTCGCGTCCGTATCCGTCCGCTTCCGTATGTACACCTATGTAACAGGGGCCATATAGACGATTGTATAGTATACACACCACAGCCGGGTGAGTCGGGACATCACGTGCTGCGAACTTATCAATACTTTCCCAGTTTAACTAAGTTAACTCCAAATCACATCTTTCGACGCTCGTTTCCGGCTGTTATGCAAAAAAATACTGTTTCAACCCGACTGATGCGAAAAGGCTTTTTGACGAAATTGTTTACAGCACGATCACCTCCGGCTCGTGCCTTAAACTTATCATTTCGTTAAAAAAGCCTTTACACACCCGTTAGAAAATGATATTTGACGAAACTGGTTACAGCACTTGCCTCCGGCTCTTGCTATAAACTTCTCGTTTCGTCAAAAAAGCGTTTGCGCATCCGTTAGAAAATTTACTATTAAGAAAAGAAGAAATTAGTATATTCTCTTGAATGATCTTTATTCATATATTTATTTGTCTCTTCCTTGGAATTAACTCTACTTCAGTCATGTTTTTCATACTTTCCTGGATGTCATCGATCGTCAAAAATAATTTGAATTTAAAACTTTGCCTGTCACGAGGTAATGTCCGGTTAATGAACAATCATTGCTATCATGCATACAGGATTGGTATATCGGCTCTCGTGGAGACTCATTGCTATTCTAAAAAGATAAAGATATACAACTAATGTTTTCCAAATAACTTGGTTCATTTTTTTATAAGAGTATATAAATTAATATAATTTACATATTTTTAATTGGTACAAATTAAAAGGAATCTATTGGCATCTTTTTTTCCGAAAATTCAACGTTTGTTTTTGTGCCAGGAGTATAGATTTTCCGAGATTTCGTTCTTTTGGCTTTTTTTGATATTCCGAGGGATATAAATTGTAAAATTGTTATGCTCATATAAAAAAAATTTAATTGCAGCTAATTATGTCATTTTTTTTAATGAAAATCAATTATTTTTGTGCCACAGTCTACCGGTCTATCTCATGCGAACATAACATATATATATATACTATCACGTAACAGCTGATCAGGTGACTATCTTTTAGCCAATCAAGTCACGAATAAACTGACTTCACTTTATCAGGTTCTCTTTTTTATTTTTCTTAAACATTTTTATTTTTTATTTTTTATGCGAGCAAAAACCAAATCACGAATAAACAGGCTTGACTTTGTCAGATTCTTTTTTATAAGAGAAAATAAAAAGCGATGGAGGACTGCTGATTGCATGCGCCGCATTTTATTACTATACAGTTACGGACAGTCTGCGCATGTCAAAATTTTGCTTTCTTTCCGTCCGTGTTTGGTCATTCAATTAATGAGGTATAACGTGTTTTAACTAGAGACTTGAGTAGATTAATAACAAACGTCTATTATCAATAAAATTAAAATGTCTCAAATATCTATGACTGAACAACCAAACCATCACCAAATTGATTTGACGCAGTTGGATTTAGAACAGCTTACGGAGTTGAAGCACCAGTTAGATCGGGAACTGGCGGTGTTTCAAGATTCTCTACACAGTTTAAAAATTGCTCAAAGTAAATTTCAAGAATCTAATGAGAGTCTTGACAAATTAACACCAGACGCTGCAGGTAATATCACTTAAAAGTTTTTTGTATTTGAGAAAAACGTTCGTTTTAATTTGTAGGTTAGAAAATAATTTTATTAATTTAATGATTATGCTACTCATGTAAAGTAGATTTAAATAAAATTTTTCCATTAGTTTGTTTCAGCACTGATTAAAAGATACGATTTCATTATTTTAAAGCTTATAAAAATTTCATATTTTCATTAAAGAAGATTATATATAACTTGTTTTGATTGGTCAATATTTTGTAACTTTTGTTGCTTTTTCATTTATTATGTTGAATGAAATGCAGAATAACAATTAAAAATAGTAATTTACCGAGATTACAAAATAAAGTTGTAATTATAAAACAAAAAAATATGTACAGTTAAAGTTCTTTAATTTCTTTTCTTAATTTACATAAATGTTATTTTAAGTATGAAAAATAATTTATATATTCATATAAAAGATTTGATATATATAATTCTATTTATTTTTAATAAAATATGTACAATTTAGTCAGTTCAATTTACAGAGGTATATAATTTAAGAGCTTTGACTAAATATAGGTATATTTTATAGTACTTAATATAAAAGATAAGTTATTTCAATAATATCTGACTAAATAGTGATGTTTTTATTAATGTGATTTATTGTAATACATAATTTCAGGGAAAGAAATTTTAGTCCCTTTAACAGGATCTATGTATGTACCTGGAAAGTTGGCAGATACTGAAAAAGTGCTCATCGACATTGGTACAGGATATTATGCAGAGGTAACTATACCGCATGCAAAGGAATATTTCAAAAGAAGAATAGCATACGTAACAGAACAGATGGAAAAAATACAAGTTATAGGACAAGAGAAAAATAAAATTAGAGAAGCAATATCGGATGTCATTGGAATGAAACTGAAAAGTCTACAAAATGAAGTGGTGGAACAATCATAAGTTATGCAGATACTAATACATTTTAATTTAAAATTTTTTTTTTAAAAAATAATAAAATTTAAAAAGATGAATGAAGTAAATGATCAAACAGATATAGATGATTAAATATTTTTTCCAGAAGCATTTTTAGAGAAAATGGAAGCCAGTTAATGGAGTCTACCTTGAATATTCTGTTGTACTTATTCAATTTTTAATTTTCTGCAAAAATCTAAATGAATCACCATTTATATTTGTTTAAAAAAATGATGGATGGCTTTGATATTTATAAAAAGCTTCCAATTCAATGAGTAAAATGGATTATTCAAAAATGTTAATAATTATGTATTCTAGATTGACTTCTCAGTGCTCCTTAATTAATCTTGATGTCCATGTTTATTTTTCATTAGTAGGTTTGAGTTCTTATTTCGTTATTTTAAAGCATATTAAAAATCAATATTTTCATAAAATTAATAATTCAAGCACTGTGTCTTTGAAGTTTGATATTGTTAGGGATATTGAAATACAATGCAATTATTAACATGACTTTCTATCTTTATAAATGTAAATCATGAAATAGATCATCATTCAGTTATAAACTTTTATGTTGTAAAGAAAGTTATTGAATTATTCTTTTAGCATAAATTGTACGAAATGTAAAGTATTATCAATTGAACAGTTTGATATTTCTCATGGAAATAAATTAGGTGTGCTATTGTATTTAATCCTTGTGTTTAATCCTTGTATAAACGTTCCCCCTTGAGTAAGATGATGCGCGTGCAAAGTACGTATATAACATACGAACTTCAAATAGTATATGGAATAATTTGGAAGGTTTTTCACAAGCGATTACGTTTTTGTGAAACGGAGTTAAAAAGAAATGTATTTTCGATATTAAAACTCGATTTATGTTTCAAATAAAAAATTATATTTAAAGTGAGTTTTTTATAAATTACCTAAATAAAATTATTAACAAATTTAAAGTCAAATTGCAAATAAACGAGAGAAAAAAACATGATATTAATTAACTGCTACATAACCCAATACGAAAACTAAAAATTAAATTAATGCTCATTACAAGTCATAAAAGTTAGATAATTATTAATTTTTTTATATAATTTAATTTCAACATGGCTATTGTTTATAAAATTTAGTTTGCTCACTAAGCTTATCGTTTTATTTAACATGTACACTAAATTAGTACTTAGAAACGCTATATAACACTGTTATAAGAGTTATTGAACAAACTACTTGCATGTATTGAATATAAATTGTTTAATTTTGGAAATTTCGTTTTTCCAATAATTGTCAGTATTACGTGTGAATTTTGTAATAGTTTGTTAATGGTTCTTGGTATTGCATCAAATTACCTTCAATTGAAAGAGAACAATGCTGTTATAATTGTAGATTGTTTGTGAAAGTTTTCTTTTACGGTTGCAATGGCACTTGTTAAGATATTGTGTATATCTATCGTTAAAATTCAATTGAATCGTTGGTATTAAAATTGAAAAATGAAAGGATAGAGATGAAGGAATAATAAGGATTGGCAAATAAAGAAATCACCGAATCAATAATTTTATTCATTAGTCATATAAACAAGATTCCATGGGAAACGATAACAACATTATATCTCAAACGCTCAATAATAGGTTGTCGAAGTGTGCGTACGGCAATTGCACTTGAAAGACAAGTGCGAAAGAAATTGTCGGTGAACAAAAAATATATCCATTGGGCATATCGTATAATATTGCATAGGTACACTTTAACTGGCTCTCGACGAGGCGAGACGATGGAAACATACTTTGTTCATGATATTACATACGAGGGAACACCTTCGATCTACTTGGATATATTTTTATTTTGATTGCAGAGATGGGTGGGCCGATTGAGACGGCACTTTTATATATACGACGAAACATGTTGAAGGAAAGTGCTGAGCTTTCAAAGACTGCTTACACTAGTTGGCTATTTGACATCGGATAAGCTACTTAATACTTGTTCGACAAGTCAAAAGGTATCCTTTAACTTTCTTGGAGTAAAGAGTATTGATGCATGTAATAGCGCCACTCAGAGCTTATTTTTGACTGCTTTTCAAATGTCATAGCTCCGCAAGTTTTGCAAGTTTTCGAAGTGCAATGGCTCATTCGATTCGCCTCGTTTGTCTTTCGGCATCTTGTTTATTGCAATTTAGTAGGCAATAAAAATGAAGCTCTCAAGTTCGGTACTACTTGGTCGAGTGAGACCAATCCCGGTAAAAGTTCCCCGTAAAATAAATGAAATTGCCCGAAAGCCGCTTAAAAATATTTCAAATTTACAGCAGGTAGAGATATTTACATTAATAATGGTCGACGATAAGTGCAATTCTCACGCGGCAATAAATAATATACATATCTGAAGGCAGTCTCCTGACTAAGGCGAATCAAGTGAGCTGTTGCCCTCCCGAAACTAAGGAAAACTTGTCGGGGCAGCGAGCCTTCCAATATAGTCGATAATTGGCCTGCCATTGGTTTTTGCAGAGCGTTGGATTTTTCAAATCTTGGATAAGCAAAAGATTTCTTCTTTTACGTGTTCTGTCGTATACGTGCACGAGCTGCAATGATCGGCTGAGCCGCCTCTCTACAGTCAGAGTAAAAACTTGGCCGGGATGAGCCGCGCGTGCGTGTACGTAGGTCGTGATGCATATATATCACGACATAATTAAACGTGTACGTTACACAAAATCGCTTACCACAACGGCTACCGCAACGCGCCACTTGCAATATATATATATGCATATATACGTATATTATATATATATGCATAAGTACATAGACAATGTTCGCTAAATTAGTACATCTTCTATTTACACAAATAACACTGGCTCGATGAGAGCAGACGAGTCGCGGTGAGACATTTCATATTATTTATTTCGACGTTACAACATATCTGTATGTATACACGCAGGCGTGAGCGTGGGTGTATATATAAATATTTGTATCCATGTAGGTGAGTACGTATAAGTATGCGTCGCGTAGACGCGCGTATCCGTAGGCTTGTTCGCGTCGTTGTCGATCAGTGGTGACTAGGACCCGGGGGCAGGAGGGGAGAAGGGGAGGAAGGTGGCTATGCAATGGTGCGACGGTGCGACGAGCTCAGCCGCTTGGATGGTCCGTCGTCGGGGTGGCGTGCGAGGAGCTCTGCTGGACCGCGCCGCCGATGTGCTATCTCAAGCGGGCGCCGAGCGCCAGCGCGTCAGCGAGCAACAGCGTCCAGGACAGCCAGAGCGCGGCGCCACCGCCGGTCGCGCCGCCACCGCCGCCGCCGCCGCCGCCACCGCCGCCGCCGCCGTCTGTAATCACACGCGACAGTTATTGGCGAGTGGGACCAACGGACGTCCGCGTGTCGTCGGCCGATAGTTACGGTTGTGGGAAGATTCGCGGGTGCCGAGGACGGAGGCGAGCCTCGGGCGCTCCTCCTCGAGCAGCAGGTTCACTTGGCGCTTGTAGAGGTGGAAGACTTCGGCGCGGCAGCTGACGACGATGCGGCCCCCTTGGAAGCTGTCCGAGTCGACGTCGAACTCGATGCCGGCGAGGCTCAGCGTGCGGCTCTCGTTTCGCAGGCCGACCGTCACGTTCCTGGTGAAGCTCGAGTTGATCTGCGACCAGGCGCACGCTCGTTAAAGGTGCTGCCGGGCCGGGGATCAGCCGGCCGAGCTGCCGCGGGTAAGCCGCTGAGAAATTGGGCCGAGCCCCGGAGCCGCGGCACGTCCGCAGCGGCGAGAAACCTTGATGCACGACGCCGCGCGCTCGGCGGCATCGTTGTCCGCCGAGTATAAAGTCGCGGGTTTATTTGCGCGAGAGCCGGGGATCTAGGCGTACGTGGCTACGCAGGCAGCTAGCGAGCACTGTGAGAACATTCCGCGAGTCGCTCGCAGCCACTGCATGGATTTACTATCTACGAAGGACATTTGTTTCGCGGCGCGCGGCGCGGGTGACCGTCCCCGCGTCCTCGCTCCCTCTCTTCCGCGCTCGGCCGTCTTCCTCTTCTCCTTCGCGGCCTCTCGGCTCGGTACTCGCCCCGGTGCACGCGCTTGACTTTCGCGGGCCAGTCGTGCTCGATCGGACAAGTGGATCCCCGAGTGTCGCACCTGCGGCGGGCTCTGACTCAATTCACCGGCTCGACGCGGCGCACAACGATGCCGCGCGGCCTCTTTTCGATTGGAGGCGCGGTCGAGGAAAGACCGACGTCACGCGGAACACGGCAAAAGACAATAGAGAAGCGGCGACCACCGCGTCTTTAATTTAGATTTCTCACGGCGCCGACGTAAATGCAAGCCGAATACCTTTGAAGGGAGGTATATTCTCGGAAAACAAACGATAAATTCGCGTAGAAACTGTCGTGTTTCCTCGTAACAGATTTGAAGGCGCAAGATAATCTGGTCTGGAAAAGCATATAAACGACAGAGGTACGCGCGCGCGTCGAGGAAGAGAGAGAGAGAGAGAGAGAGAGAGAGAGAGAGAGAGAGAGAGAGAGAGAGAGAGAGTGAGAGGTAGGAGCGATAATAACGCGGAAGAAGAAGCCGAGAGCCTGGGGATGGAAGCGAGCGGGCTGCAGCGCAGGCGCGAACGACTTTTCTTTATTATTCTCGCGAAGCGTGAGACTTTTTAGCGGTGCTCTCTTGCGTCCCCTCCCGCCCTCCTTCCCCCCTCGCTCGCTCTCTCCCGCGCGCGCGCGCGCGTGTACGCGGCTGCGAGTCGGCGGAGGCTTAGCGTGCTATTTTAATTGTCCGTGTGCGAGACTAAAGCAGGCGGCAAAGCTCGGCGCGGTAATGCACTCGGAGCTTTCGACTTTTCACGCCTCGCTCAATCGGCAAATGCGCGTGCGACCGAGCGCCTCCTTCGTACTCGGCTTAGTCGAGTGCCGCCTGTCTCACGGGCTGCGAGGGCGACTTCGCGTACGATCAGGCGCGATCCCAGAAGCGACGGAAGTGCGCGGCGCGCGCGACTCGTCCGATCGACGAGCGCGGACTTGGTGAAAATTCAACGAGTCCGGCCTTCGTGGCCGCGGCGCGGCTACCACGAGGCGAAAGAGAACGAGAGCCGGAGGAAAAAGGAGGGCGCGGGCAGGCCGCGCTCCGCTTGGTTTATCCTGCGGCAGAATAACGACTTTCGCTAATGCATTTCCCGGGAGGCGAAAAGTGGATTTGCCTGTATCTCGGTCTGCGCTCTCTTGGCGCCCCCTCCCGACTTTCGCGCGCGCTATCTCCGTCTTGCTTGCATACGTAGGTCTCGCGCGGGCTGCCTTCTTATCTGGGCGCACTCGGACTCGGCGGCGATTCCAGTTCACGCCCGGCAGCACTCTCGACGAAAGCCGACGGGCGTCGCGAGCGCGCTACCGGCGCAACGGCAATTGACAAATGAATCGCGGCGTCCGCTGAGGCGAATCGCGGGCAGCGATATAATTAGCTAATTAGCTGGCGCGAGTCGTTCGAGTGGCGTCGCGTCAATCGCACGCGGAACGGCTCGAGCGCGCATTTCGCAGTCTGCCGCGATCCTTCTCATTTCTCACGTACGAGCGATCCGAGCGATCGCCAGCGCCAGCGGAGGAGGGGCAGGAGACTTACCGGAAGCCGATTGACAGTCCAGGTGATGTTGGCGGGCGGGTTGCTCAGCGGCACGCTGCAGTTGCCTCGCACCGTGTCGCCCAGCGCGTATCTCGGCTTCTCCACGCGAGCCGTCACGTTGCCGTCCGGCAGCTCTGCGAATCATTTTCATTTGGTCATTAGCGCTCTGGCTGCGGCCATTGTGCGCCGAGTCCGAGGACGCCCGTCGGCTGGCCGTGCTCGCCTTGGCGAGAAACGTCCATTCGAATAATCGATGCCGCCGGCGACTCGCTCTCTCCGTCGGACGCTGCGGCGGCAAAAACAAGCCGCCTCCCAGCCCCCCATTTGATTTTCCCGTCGAGCGCGCTGCTCCGATTCCGCTTTCGTATTAATTGGGCTTGTCCGGTTGGCGGCAGCGCAGCGCAGCGCAGCCTGGCGCAGCGCAAGCCCGCGCGGAAACCAAAAGCAGCCAGTCACAGGGTCACAGCAGGAGTCAAGGGCGAACCAGTGAGCTCACGGGATAGCGCGATGGAGAGCCAGAAAAGAGCACACGCATCGCCGAGGTCGAGGAGAGGATAATGCACACGGGCAGAGGAGAGCGAGAATATAAGTGAAAGAGGGCGGCGAGTGGCCCGAGGCTGGTTAGTTGACGCGGGCGGGAGAGGGAGGGGGGTGGATGCGAGCGCGCTTTAATTGGGCGCGATTACGGCGACAAAGCAGCGAGCTGCAAGAAAGCCAGCTGCTTTCATGGCTGCCGCCGCGGCACGGCGCACGTGCGGATAGATTGCAAAGGGCGGATAAATTGAAAAGGAGGCGAAACAAAGGCCACGGCAGAGAGAGAGAGAGAGAGAGAGAGAGAGAGGTCAACAACGGCCAATCCCTCTGCCTGGTCGTCCGCTCGGCCTTTTCCACGAGGAAAGCAATCGGGCTAGGTTACCCTGGCGTGCACTTACTGACGACGTTCATGTAGCCGGACTCCATCCTGGTGAGGAACAAGGGCAGGTCGGTGGACACCTCGCAGCGATACTTGCCGGCCAGATCGCTGCTCACGTTGTTCACGATGACGCTATGGTGGTCGCTCTTGTTCAGCTGCAAAGGACGGTCAAGCGTGTCATCGCAAAAGGTCGATCGTCGAGATGCGCGCGGCAGCAATCGGGGCGCTCGCGTGCAGTGGGTCTGCGGCGCAGTCAGAGGCGTGCATCGAATTCCGAGTTAATTAAGCATCGTCAACCGCAGAATCGCGGAGCCGCGCGGCGGCTATTTATTAAGAATCGATTGCCGGCCCCGCGCGCGCACGCGGCCGCCCGCCAACGAACAGTTTAGCGATGATTAATTATACGTGTTGTCGGCCACGGCCCTGACGAGCGCGCGGGCGCGCTGCAATCAATTTCGCCCGGCGGCGCGGCTCCCGTACGTCCGCCGCCGATCCTCGACACGCCGCATTTTCGGCCTGGCGAATATAATTGTCAAGCTCGCCCGACACTCGCCGGGCACTCGTTCGGCCCCTCTGTCACAGCGCGCCACTCGCGCCACTCGCGCCACTCGCTACTTCGTTCCTCGGTGGTTTATTCGCGAGAACGGGGCGGCATTAGCGGCCCAGCCGGCTGCCGGTGGCCTCGCCTGGACGTTCATTTTTAATGGACTCCCGCTAATTCGCCGGCGCAGCTCATTAGCGGGCCAGGCCGCGCGCAATTACGGGCGCGATCGTTGGCAGACTCGGCCGGGGTCCCGCCGAAACGGCCGAAGGAGCGCGGACGGACGCGAGTCGGGGGCGAGAGCCGCGGCGTGCAAGCAGCGGCCACGAAGAAGATATCGTCGAGAGCCGCGAATGGCCCATTCGCGGGAACGTTATTCGAATGGCCGCGGAGCTGTCTGGCGAGCGCGCGCCATCGCCGACAAAACTGCGAGGCTGTCAAAAATGGAATAAGTCGTTAGCGGGCCGCGGCGGGGGGCAGGCCGAGATGGGGATCGTCGCACATTCGAATGCAAAAGCGGCCGGCGCCGCGCCGCTGGTCGAACGGCCGATCGATACGGCAGTGCGCGGCGCGCTCGTTCCGGGGCCTGGCCGCGCGTCCGCAGTCCCCCGTGGCCGAGCTTCCGCGACGCGACGCCCGCCGGGGGCTGATCGCGGCGGATCGATCGCGGCCACCCCGCCGGCAGTCCGCCGTCGGACTGCTCGGGCCGCTGATCGCGACGACGCGCGACGACGCGCGACTCGACGATCGTGGCCGGATCGGAATCTCGCGGCCACGAGGCCCTCCTTTTCCGATCCAGTGGGCTTTGCCAGTCGAGTCGAGTCGATTATCGCGTTAGCGGCTGGCAAGATAATTACACTCGAGGATCGATTCTCCTCCTCGGCTGGCGGCGCTCTCGGGCCATCTCGTCCTCTTCGTAAAATACGGATTACCGGACTCGCCGCCGTTAATTGCTCCTGCCGCCGACCATTACATTTCAATGCATAGCTTGGGCTTTTGGCGTGCACGTCGCGTCGCTCCGGGGAGGAACAGGCAAACAAGCGGCACCGGCAGGCTTCGAGGACGCCCGCGTGGCAAGGGACGGCTCATACTTACGTCGACTTTCTCGCCGAGGGCGCCGAACGTGGACCGGGATGGCAGCTCCTTGGGGATGTACCTGTAGAACTCGTTTTGGCTTTTGTACCACTTGACCGCGTATAACGGCAGTGAGTGCAGATCGTAATCGCAGGTCATATTGACGGTCGAATTTTCGGCCACGGCCATCGGGATCTTTATCGACACTTCGATCTCGCCAAGCGTGCCTATAGGAACAAGCACACACACAAACACATCACATGTTATTCATCGGCAGGAAGTATCCTAATCGAGTTTCGCGGCTGCGGCTGATCGTATAATTGCACGATCGATCGCCCGCGCTCGGATTTCAATGCAGCAAACCAGCACTCCCGCGTGGTCTGATTCCGCGGACAAAGTGCGATTTGCTCTTCACGCGGAAAGCCGAGGCGAGCCGCCGGTCTTTTTGTAAAGCTGCAGTCTTCGCGCGTCGTCGCCCGAGACGCGCATCCCGACGCATTCCCGGTGGAATCAGCGCGCGAACCGACGACCAGCGGGCCCTTATTGGCCGCGCCGCTCCCCGCGGCAAGGCCTAATGGACAGTCGGCGGCGCAAACACACGCTCAACGACGCTCCGCGCTCCCGTTTGATCTTTCGCTTTCTCGCGCGCGCGCGACCTGTTGTGTTCCGCGCGCGATGACATCTCCAAATGCCGGCAAAGGGCATTTAATTCGCCGAAAATCCTGTGTGTGCGCGCAAAAAGGCCACCTGCCAATATTTGCACTTGCTTCCGTAAACGCTCGCTGCTTACAATGCGCCCCGATGTTTCGCTCGTGTTTTTTCGGTCGTTTGTTTGGATTGCATTTCTTTTTTTTACTCCCGTTTTGTTTTTTCACGCCAGCGACGCGGCGACAAAGGCATCAAAGGGACCGCGCTGCTCGCGATGGCGAATGAAAAGCGCGCTTGCGAGCTCTGCTAATTTGAACGACGCTCTATCCACAGCTACGACTAGTCGTCCAAGACTCAACTACGACAGAAGCACCGGAGGAATAACGAGGATCGAGTGGCAGTCGATCAATGGCCAGAAGAGTGCCCTCGTCGTCGTTGGTCGCGAATGATTCGGTCGGCGGAAGCGTGCACGCAGCTACAACGCCCGAGCCGAGTCGAGCATTATCACCGCGATAATCGGATCTCGTAGGCAATTTGTAAATGCTATCATTTTTTTGGCGTCTTCGACTGCCGTTCGTTTAGTCGACAAGAGCGCGACGGATCGAGGCTTCGCTCGTGGCAGCAGTCGCGCCGGATTGTTTCTAGTTGTATCGGATAACAAATCAAAACTCGAGACTGCTCAAGATTATCGCGAATAGCTAGATGAAACGATTCTGGCTCGATTAGTTTCCGCGAGGCTGTCCAATGCTCGGGAGCTTTTTCTCGTTAGGACCCAGCTGAAATGAATAAGAAGGGGTAAAAGGTGGTGGAGCGATGGTCGGCTACCGACCGTAGGAGAAGCACGAGTGCATTAAAAGATGCAGCTCGAAGGAGAAGCTGGCGTTTTACGCCGCGGCATATTGCGCGGATCGACGATGTATTTGCTCAGGTGGAATGCGACGGGGTTGCTGGTTCGATCGGGAGACTCGCTGAAAAAGAGCTATAGCAGCTGGCAGTGCAGTCCGCGGAAATCCAATCCCATCGCGCATCGGGCGCAGCAAGCTCGAGTGCTTTTTCGCGCACTCGCTCGGACCGCTCCTCGACCGCCGATCGAGCGAGCAACTTCTCGAGACGGTACTGACAAGTCTTTCAATCAAGCAAAGAGCTGCCCGAGAGCGCGTTTGTTCTACGGATCGGCGCGGCGCGGCGCGTCGCCGTGGTCCGCGCGAGAGCGCCCATCAAGACTCGAGTTATACGCAGCGGCGGCGCCCCATTGTGCCGCGCGCTTTCGACGAGCGTTTCGAAGCGCCGCGTCGGCCGCCGCCTTGGAATTGCATTTGACGATTGCGGCTGCCCGAAGACGTCGTGCGCTCTGCGACGATACAGTCGGCTTATTCGTCCCGCGTCGCCAACAACTGTCACGCCGATGCAAGTCGGGTATCAGCGGACGCGAGATTCTCGTAGCCGGGCGATTCACGCAAACGCGGATGCGCACCGTTTACCGGCAGACCTGCTGCTGCACCGGGCGTTCGGAAGAGCTCGGAAGAAATTGGAAATGCTCGATGAGCTAGACTGTCTCCGCAAATGGCCAGACGCCCGGCCGACTCGATAAATAATTTGGCATCCGGCCGGCGGCTCGGCAACGCGACCGAGCGAGCGTTAATTTTTACGCGCAAACGTCGGACAAAGTTTTTCCATTTGGGCTGCGCTTCACGCTCCAAGTTTTAATAGCATTTCGATTCTCAAGGCTGAGCACATCGGTTGAATTTCGAGCTTCGTTTAACGGACGGGTTATTATCGCCGCGCTCGAGTCTGCGGGTATACATCGTCGTCCCCGCGCCGATGTATACGCATCGGCACGGCTGAAGTCGACGCGTCCGCGAGCGCACATCAACACCGCCGGATCTCGGAGGCTTTTGTCGCGCCGAGCGAGATTCGAGGCTGCGGTGCTTGATCCGGATGCGATCGCTCGCTGGTCGATCGGCAAACGAGTCGTCGACGACGTCGGTGCGAGCGATTCGCGCACACGGGCATCGCCAAGAACCACAGCGCTTGCCTTGCGTTGGCAGCTGTCCATTTTTCGCGTTTTCGCGTTATTTCGATTATTCTGAACGTGAAAAAAAAAAGACAGCGCTTTGTCCTAGGCTGCCTGCGAGGTTCGCAGCTGGCACAACTGGTGCCTCGCGGGCTTGGCAGACAATGCCACCGCGTCCGCGAGAGATGCGCTGGCGCAACAATAACAGCGAGGGAGGACGAGAGGGGTGGATCGGGGTTGGGGGGGGGGGGGGGGGCGAGTAGCACGCCTATAAATCGAGGCCGGCCCCGTGGAAAAGCGGATATCCGTTGCTTTGCGTGAGCCCGGCCCCACCGGCTCGCGAGGACGCGGGATTTATTCTCGTGGCGCGCCCGACACCGCGACTTTTCGAGTTCCCCGGAGCGAGCGAGCGCACGCGCGCGCGACAGCCGCGGTCGGGCCTAACTGAGCGCGCGACTGTCGCGTGTCGTAAATGGCGCACTTTTTTTTGCGGCTCGACTGGAGAAGTATGTGGCAAGCTTCGGCGTGATTTACAGCACGAGCGGCCGAAATTGGTCGACGTGCACTTGCGCCGCGGGCAGGCGGCCTCCCCGCTAGCTTACGCGCCCCGGCGAATTCAAGTCGCGCGTCGCCGCGGAGTCTGCTGATATTCCGAGACTGCTTTTCAAAGCCTAGTGTATTTATGGACGCGGTGGCTGCCGCAGAGCCCCGCCGCGCGTCGACTGCGCTGCAAGCACTGAAAGGGATTCGAGCAGCTTCCGTGCGACCGCAGGCACAGCGAACAGCGAGGGACGCGACAGGGGGGGGGGGGGGAGCAGGCGGCAGGGAGAAGGAGCACTGATAAAAGGAGCGCCGGCGAGATTACTGGCTGACACTCGAGATTCGCGGTGCGAAACGAGCAGTCGTGGAAGCTGCCTGGCATCGCGATCCCCGAGGCTCTCCTGCGCGCGACACGACCACCTCGTCGTGTCGCCAGTCAATAACAATGTTTTGCCTTTATAACTCGACTGTCTTACTCTTGAGGATACGTGTCGCTCGTTCCGCAGCGCGTGCCTTCTATCTGCCGCCGCTTCCGTCAGAACGACAGCTGTCGACTGTAGATCACGCCGAGCACCACAATAACTCATATTCGCCATGAACGCCACGAAAATCTGGAATAAGTCTGGCGGTCAACTTTTGCCGCTGATGATTTATGCCCTCGACGACTCGGAATAGCAAAGAAGGAACGAATACCGTCGAAATTGACGTCGATACCCAATCGCGAACTCTGCCGTCTGCTCCATTCTGCATGTCGGTACTAATTGTAGCAACGTTCAACTGTCTCATCTGGTTTTCATGCTCGCTCAACGCCACGGTGCGTTCCAATTGTATTTTTGCGAACGAGAGCTGCAACTCGATAGCTGGTCGTTCGTCCGTGGGCTGGGCTTGCGAGCCCGACTGGGGAGTCGAAATCCGAAGCGAAGCGCACCGGCATACGCGCGCGCGCGTCAACGAGCTGCGCCCTCTCCCCGTTGCGGCTGTCAAGTGGCACAGTCGACGTAGCTCGCCGCTGGAGAAGGCGCCGACTGGCCCGCGGACGCGACGCGCCAGTTCGGGGCACGACCGAGCGCTTCGAGCCGACGATAACGAGCCGGCACCGCGCGGCGATTTATGCGCGGACGGCCAGGCCGTTCTCGCCGGACGACTGTTTGGCCGACGCTATACGAGCGGTTCGGGCGCCCGGCGATTGATTCCGCCAGGGCTTTTAATAAAGTCCACGAATTACCGCGACAGCGGCATGAGCAGCCTACTCGGGCTCTTATCTCGAGGCTTCGCCCATTATTTTCGCGGATTTTCCACGCCCGGCCAATTGTAGCTGGTAATCGATGGGCGGCATATATACCCGAGCGAAGGGAGAGAAAAAGTGGAGCGAAGCATAAGCCGCTGCTTGCTCTGCGTAATCCGTTGGTTCAACGCTTTTCCACCTTTATTTTGCTCGAGCGACTCGGAGAGCAGCTCGATGCACAGCTCGACAGAGAGAGAGAGAGAGAGAGAGAGAGAAAGAGAGAGAGAGAGAGAGAGAGAGAGAGAGAGAGAGAGAGAGAGAGAGAGAGAGCATAATTTTTGTTATCGCCTCAGAGCACTTGGCAGCTAGTTTTTACCCGCTTTTCTCCGCTCGGTCCGCCTCTCGTGGCTCAAGCGCGCGCAGCTGCGGCCCCCGAGCTCGCTATTTTCCAGCTCGCTGAAAACGGCAGCGCCAGCGCAGCCGATATATATCGCCGATGAAGCGAGCGCCCCTATATTACATGTTTATTCGGCTTGCTGCCGCTCCGACTGCGCAATACGCCGTCCGCCGGCTTGGCGCGCGCGGCCTCGTCCTGCCGTAGCCGCGCTCGCGCGCTCGTCGTCGCCGGCCGCGGATCGCGCGGCTCGGTCGGCCGGCTCCTTTGCCTCGGCGCCACGCGACGAGGACTCCACGGGGGCGGGCGGCGAGCCCGTTACGTCACGCGCGCGCCTCTGCGCGAGTTGGCGGAGTGTTCAAACTTGTATTTTATAGCGTCAGCCGCTCCCGAGGAATATCCCCTG